TAATCTGATTAATCAGTAGTTCTTAACAATATGGAGAATAAGAGCTTTAAAAATTAAGTTTTTATTAATTCAGTAATAATTATTTAAAAAAATAATATGTTTTGTTAATATTGATATGATTTTAATAAAAAAATGCGTTTTGTTCCTATCTGTTGTTTGTCGTGTTCTTTCAGAAAAAATAATTTTTAAAAAATAGTTATATTGTTTTCGTCATTCAATCCTCATAATTCTTTTTTTTTTTTTTTTTTTAAAAAAAAAAATCATTCAATCCGCATAATTCTGTTTGTTTTTTTTATTTTTAAAAAAAAAAAATCAACAAGCGTAAGACCTGTTCCCATTTTCACAATCACGATAATTTTTTTTTTTTTTTTTTTTAAAAAAAAAAATCAACAACGCGTAAGACCTTTTCCCATTTCACAATCACGCATAAAAACGAAGAAAGCCCTTTTTGTTGTTTCTGAACATGGGGGTTTACGTCTTATCTGCCGCTTTGCTCTCCTTCGCCTATTTGCCTCTCTTTAGATAATTAATTAATATTAACACCGAAATTAAAATTCCTCCGCAATAATATTTTAATCATACGTTAATCTAAAAGACATTTGTGATTTTCTGCCTTTTTAAATTAACAATTCTTCAATCATTTTAGCGTGTCAACTTTCATTTGTTTATTGCAATCATTATTCCCATTGCTATTGTTATTATATTATTATTACGATTGAATAATTGTTTTTTTTTAAAATGATTATAGTTTAATTTGATTGTTAATTACACACTGATTATTGATTTGATGGTAATCTAGCTACTTGTTCTTATTATAAGCTGTTATGTTATGCAAGTTGAAAGAATCTGCAACCGATTTCCATTATTTAATGTTACTGGGATTGTTCTGTTTAATTAATTATCTAATTATTTAAACGGTGTCGCTTTCAATGCCAGGGCAGGAGCTGAAAATGAAACACACGAGTCCTTTGTGGTGTGAACTGAAATAAGTGGCGTTTCCTGTTTTCAGGATAATAGCATAAGCAAAAAAACATAAATTTTGATTCATATTTTTTTTAACTTGTTAATTCCCTAAATTTCTGAATCAGATTCTTTGTTTTGATGCTTTTGGCGCAACAATGATTCTAAAATGTATCGGTGATTGTTATGTTTTATGAATTAGTATCGTTCATTTTTAGAACAGAATTAAATTACCCTATGTACTTAAATACCGTTTTTTGAAAGTTTAAAATTCAACGTCACATGCCTTGACAAGTTTAGTTTGGACAATGTAGGACCAAGGAAAAGAAATCAAATCATGCGTAATTCCGGAATCCATTTAGATTCATCATCATCACTAAATTTAGATTCAGTGGCTACAATAACATGGGTTGTTCACACTCAAAATTGACACTACTAGCAAAATTTGGAGATATCGATCTGTCGATAATTAATTGAGGGGACCAATATCTTTCTTTTTCTTTCTTTAAAAACATAAGTATATAAATAGCAGCAGCTTCCTAAACCTACTAAACGCATTCTTGAATGTTTTGAATTGTGTGTTTGTCTTCTTTACTTGACTTGGATTAACATTTATTGAAGCATGTAGCCATGGAAGATTCAATTATGTAGAATAGTAATAAAATTGAATTTTCCCTCTCCAAGTATGGTGACCAACTTGTCTTTTACGCTGGCAGATTACAAGTGGTAAAGATTCTATAGGGAACTAGCAATTAAAAAAGTGGCAAGAACCCCAAGAACTTGAAATCAAAATTGATTAATAAATTCCAGAAACAATAATATATTAATCTTCATGCCATAACCCAGAAGGCAGAAGCACGAGGATAAATAAAATGACAAAAAACCAAGAAAAAGACAATTTCATTTCGTATATATTAATATAATAAAATGGAAGCTGCTATATTTCCAGCTTTTTTTTTTTTAATTAAACTGAGAAATGCAATATACAGAGTCTGAATCCTCTGATAGCAATTTTTCAGTACATCAGTGACAGATTCCTATCGGAGAAAAGCTTATGATGTGAAACTTCTGCTTCATTTCTCTCCTTTTTTAGAGGGTTTATGAGTTCTGATGACATAAAGAAACCAGATAGTTGGGAAATTGCGCTCAATTCGCGCTCAGGAGTCAGGACCTCAGGTGCGCGTGTACGTCTCAGTGGCAGGGATGAAAGTTACAGGTTGCTGTCCTTTTTCCGTGTATGTGGTGGAGATGTGGGCCTTAACGGTCATTTTCTTATATACATAAATAAAAAATATTATATATAATTGAGTAAATTAAAAATTAGAAATAAATAAATCCAATCACATAATTGTTTCAAAGTATTACATTTTACAAGTTATAAAGAATTGGACAAAATTAAGGATAAAGGAGATGAATCATTTGACACTGTGCATATTGACAAAAACAATGGAATGCCAAAATCATGAAAGCAAATAGAAAAAATATATACTAACATTTCAGGACATACTATTTGAAATGATTTTTAGAAACAGAATGCTATCCGCTGCAATGAGAGGATTAATTCTATTGTACAGCTTTTAATGTTTTTTCGAGCTATTGAATTTAATAAAAAAAACAATAAAAAAATGATTTTAGAAGTGTCGTTATAGCATCCACAAATTTTGGAAGTGTGATGTAATGTCCATTTTGAAGCTGACACAAATAAGTGTTGACTATAAATGTAAAAGGACCCAAATTAATTTGGGAGAATTGGGTTTTTCCTTCGATCATAATTCTAAGGGCCCATATAAATCATCCATTCTTTGACAATTGATCAACTGATATCAACTACTCAAATTCAGTTTCTTTATTTCGTATTATTCAAATACAAAATCAAAAATTTTTTTTTTTCAGAAAAAAAAACATAGTTTTATACATTTATTATGACCATTACTGCTCATCTTTTCAACTACCAATTTATCCTTTCCAGCAGTACTTCTTAGGAAAGATTGATATATAAGATCAAAGTAAAAAAAATATCATATATAAAAAATAAAAGAAATTAGAAAATCAAAGCAGTCGTCCCTCTTATATAGAAAAAAGGGAAGCCCATGATCTTCACGTTGGCACTAGCACTAAGGTAATGCATCTATTGAAATTCCAATGACACAGTTGCAGCCATTTTCTTCTTTTGTAGATCACCATTAACTCTTGGTGCCACACAGATGATTTCTTAATTATGTGTTCTTTTTTTTTTTTTTTTTTTACTAAAAAATGGAAAAAATTGCAAAGTGCAATTGCCCCAACACTAAAATTCTAAAATTAAATGATAGTGGTGGACTAAGTTAGGGCTGCTTTAATTAATTAATTTATTTTCTTTATACAAAGATTTTCTGTACATTTTTAATTATAATAATCTATAATATAAGTATAGAATTTTTTTAAATGAAGGGAAAAAATTATTATAATGTTTACTATAAAATAGAGTTTGAGAAAAGAAAAAAAAAAAAAAAAAAAAAAAAAGTTTGGAGAAAAGAAAAAAAAAAAAAAAAAAAAAACCAGATGGAGCGCCAATGACAGAACGCATTGTAAAGAATTAAAGATGGAAGATAACCAGCTTTTTACAATGGGCCAGAGAGGCCCAGGAAAAAAAAAAAAAAAAAAAAAAAAAAAAACAGATGGAGCGCCAATGACAGAACGCATTGTAAAGAATAAAGATGGAAGATAACCAGCTTTTTACAATGGGCCAGAGGCCCAGAAAGCAGACAATTAGATACATAAATAAGACAAAGAAGTTGGAAAAGCACATACAAGAGCCCAAAAGAGAGAGAGCTAACCAGAAAAGCCCATATTGAGTTGGGTTTTTTTATGCTAATTAAGTGCTATGGATGAGCTCATTCATGACTCGAGGATGAAATGAAATGAAACCTACATTAGCCTAATCATAAAAAATAATGTTCAGACATAGTCCTTAAAGCTCAATCCATCGATTGACATATTGGAAAGTTATGTTTGATAGGGTCCATGAAAAAACCTATCTCATCCCAAATAGTTTCCCAAAACATTTGCCAGTTGGTTCTCATATTCTTGATTCAAAAAGGTCCAACTCCCAAAAAACATAGGTTAGAAATTTACCTGCAGTTAAGACATTGGATCCTACTGACTAGTGTTTTGCCTTTATATAGCCCAACTCAAATAAATGATCTACAATTGCTCTTTAAAAGTCCTGCTTCTTCTTCATTGCCATGCACACTTTATATGCATTATATAACTCTCGTGTCAGAAAAAACAAATGTCATCTTCCAATACCCACATGAAAATTCATTTCCTTTCTTGATAGAGCTTCAAGCATGTGAAATTTAATGTTTGCCTGTTTGGTAAGTTCATAAAACTAAAATCGTGTCATGGATTAAAGCCAGGTCTAGAATGGTCCACTGCCCTTATTATCTTCCAAATTTGTTAGCCGAAACTATCATAAGTCGGTATTGCATACCCTACAATAAGTAGGCCCTTGCTATTAGAGCAGCCAACGAGGGACCAACCTTGTCCCATCTTAGCTCATATCTACATATATTTTTTTTTTTACAGCTAAGTTAGGCTTATCATTCTGGTTCAGTCAAGGATAACTAACACTGATCACGGCTTTAATGCCTAAATTGTGATCTAAGTAGGTAAATTTGGTTTATTTTGGATTGGATGCTTAATTATATATATATATAACATAGTTGTAACATAAGACAAAAACATCAAAACGTGTCTTATTGAACAAAAAGACAGAGATGGAGAAAAGAAAAAGACAAGCAAATACAGCAAGAAGCTCCATCTATCACTATGTTTAGTGACCATAATGGTAAAGATGGACAAAAGATTGAATGCCACTATTCACATGCCCCTCTGGGTTTCATGGGTTTCCCATGTGCTTCTTCACAAATACATACAAAATATCTTTTCGTACTATATTATCTAATCTCTCCAGCTATGTTAATTAAATGCTGCAATTACATTCTCTTTCGAGTCTTTTACGAAAAATGCAACTATTACTATAATCAACAGAGCGAACATGTTCAATATAATATGTTATATCTTTTCACTAGGTACTAAATATAGTTACAAATTAAGCCAAAAAAGTCTATTTAGAAACAAAGTGCAAGACTTCGAAAATTATGTAAATTTGAACCCGCTTAAGTAAAATATACAGTGAAAAAAGAACCTAAAAAAAAAATTTAAAAAGAAATTACATTCAAGAATGCCATATTCCACTCAACATACTACGGAATCTATTTGTAGATAGTTTCCTGACAAGTCTTTTTGCATCTGAAACTTCAGCTTCAGCAAGTTTCTCGATATTCTTCAAATAACCAGAGTTGACAATCTTTCTTCTTCCACTGTTGCTACTTGTCAATGAAATTAATATGGAAAGTAAGAACTTTTTATTACCTGCTGAATTTGCCTCTTCTTGATCAAGCAATTGAAGAAGAAAGGCAATGCTGCGATCATCTTGTATGAATCTTTTCCGATTTTTGGGCACTGAAACCATGCTTGTAAGTGCCTCTGATGCCATTTCTCTAACTTCAAATGATTTTGCATCAAGAAATCTGACAAATTCAGCCATAAAACCGGCATCTCCCATTGCTTTATTTGCTTCCTCTGATGTTCCTGATAGCCTAAATGCTACTTTAAGCGCCAATTCTTGAACTGAAACATCTCCATTTTTGAGAAAGAAAAGCAACTGATCAATAAACCCGTAACTTGTCAATATGCTAATACAATTTGTTGAAGAGAAGCACAAATTTTCAATCGCCCTTAATGCAATCTCTCTAGATTTATATGTGGATGTAATTTTTGGCTCCAGAAGGTGTACTAACGCGCGAATTCCACCTTCTCTAACTATCAATTGCCTAACTGATTCATCTCCAGAAGCAATATTTTGAAGGAATTCAATTGAACTTATTTGCACAGCTTCGTCTTTCGATCTTGAAAGCTTGATAAATCTAGTAACAGCACCTTCTTCAATCATAAATTTTTTAATTTCTTCAACACCAACAAGATTTCTCAATACCCCACAAGCAGGACCAATAAGTTCTGCTCTACAATCACCAAAAGAACACATTTTTAATAAAGCCGTGACACCACCATGAGCTGAAACTGACCAAGCATTATCAGAATTCTCAGTCAATTTCTGTAAACTTCTAGCGGAAGCTTCTTTTCCCAATTCACTACCGCTTTCCAAAACCCTAACCAAAGGACCTATAACCCCAGAACCAATTAATACAGACTTGCAAGAATCAAACCCAGAAATTAAAGAAACAACCTTTACAGCCTCTTCTTGAATTCCAATTTCAGATGAGTCAAGAAGATTAACCAATACGTGCATAATGTCGCCAACTTCAACAATTACCTTCACATATTTCTCATCTTCTGCAATAACCTCATTTAAATTGACCAACGCTTGTCTTTTCATTTGAGTATCACCAATCTTCATCCTGGTAAACAGATCCCTAACATAAAACCTCATGTCATCTTTAGAAGCGTTGACTCCAGGCTTAGACACAACAATGGCAAACCCTTGAGTTAAAATGCCTGCAGTACAAATCCCAGATAAATTTTTCACAAGCTGATCGAACTTTGCAGCCATTACATCCAAATCACTCTGCATCAAAAGCTTTCCACTGTATGAAAGATCCACACATCTTCGAGCAAGATCGTTGCAGTTGTTGGCAGCTTCTATTATAGCAGACATGAGACTTGACAGCAATGTGTTTTGATTGGAATCGCAATTCTCCATAGCGATTAGGCTTGTCTGTAGCTCTTCTAACTTGTTTCTTAATAGTTGCCATTTCACTGCAAAAACTCTAGTTCCATGAGAAAAGGAGATTAAAGAAGATACAACCTCAATAGCTTCCCTGAGAATGGATGTCGACGTCGATGAAGATTCTGATGAGGTCTGGTCGTGTATTGGATTTTCCTGTCTCATTTTGTTTTCTCTTTTTTGTGTTTTATTAATGACTTTGAAACAAACCCATATGGTATCTCCAAATGCAGAATCTAAGAGATGAATTTTTCCGTCAAGAGAGAGAAGCACATGAGATACTAGCTGCACATCTATCTATTCTATCTGTTATCTGTGCTTATCTTCTGACTAACAGCAACTGAATTGGATGTAACAATGCATTTACGCAACTGTCCTTACGAAGTCAGGGGCATTTATGTCATTTAATCCAAAATCAATAGCTAATTACTATCTTAAAAAAACTGTCACACTATATTACTATTTTGTCCTAGTTTTTACCAAGAACTGATTCACTCAGGTATGGGTAGGTGTTCCCTGCGGATTTTATATGATTTGCCTATTGTTCATGTGGATTAATCAAGTACGTATTGGGATTACTAGAACGTTGTTGGTTGTCGTTTTTGCCTGTAGTAAAATGCAAAACACAGAGTGTTGTGAAAGTTACTATACATGCTTCAGAAACTGTATTATTTTTGTTTTTACTTGGACTTAACGGTGGAAGGTATTAGTTAACCTTTCCCTTCATTACTCTATATTGAGAGTTACCAAACTTTTTTTTACTCTTCTCAACAACATTTTTCAAATACCAATAATCCACCTGTGCAGTTTTTAAGAATGTTGCCGTTAAGAATATGAGCACTCTGGTTCAGTAAATGCACTCCACAGGTTTATGCATTGTTCAGCGAAGATGAATTAATTATTCTTTTTTTTATTATTATTTTTTCAATGAACAATCCATGTAATATGTAATATTAATTTCATTTTAGAATTCGTAGTTATTCTTTTTCATGAGTGGTTTTTTTAATAATCGAATATTTAATATTGCCGAAAGATGATTTATTCATTTCAATCAATGAATATAAATGATATATTCTCAATTAGATGAAAGAAATATAATTAGTCTTAAGGGGACATTCGCATTTTATAATTTTGAGACAGTAATTTATTAAGATCTTTAGGAAAAACATGTACATAGTTAGGAAAATTGCTTATTCCAGGCTGCTAAAGGGAGGTTGAGAGAAAACAAAAGGCCTGGGGGAAGGGCGATGGACCACGCCCTAATAAGAAGAGAGTGCTTAGATAGGGTGAAAAGAAGAAATGAGTAGCTTTCAATATTGTGGGAGGATAGAGAAGACATAAAGGTCACCCCACCATGTGAAGGGCTTTGTTGGATGCCTTGAGCTAGCAGTCACCTTTTTAATACCAAGTGGAGATGAAGCCTTCACTCATGGTTTTCTTTCCTTTCTATTCTTTTCTGTCTGTCATTTATTAAATGTTTAAAGTCTAATTGGCCCAAATCTAATTTATTTTCATTTTAATCTCATAAAGTGTACTAACTTATTAAGTTTCTTTAATTAAGTCATGACCTTTGTGGTTTTTAAATTTAATTGACTTTGTCAAGGTCGCTATGTTGTTTGAGGTGGTGCTAAACCAAAAAATAAAAAAAAAGAAATCCAAAAGGTTCTCTCATGTCAACACAATTTTACAAAAAGAAACCACAAAGCATGTTGACTATTTATAAATTAAGCTTGAGGAATAATCTTTAACGGAATTTCTGGTAGTTGTTCATATAATAAAATTATATAATTAAAAAAAAGGGTAAAAAGAAGATTAAAACCATAGAAAATGACAAATGAGATAATATATAAATTAAAATATATTAATAAAATAATTAGGAGACTAATTATGCTCTGAGTTTGTCTCACTTCAAGACAAAAGTTTATCCATTATTATTCTGCTGGTCACGGATTCTTATTTTATGAATCTTTTGGCGATTAGCATGCTTTAAATTAGCTGGAGTTATGTGGTTTGGATGGACATTAATTAGTATTAACTTCTGTTAATCTACTTTAGGACTTGTAAATGTACGTACATATATACAAAAATTACAAATTATCTTTTTCGAAAAAGAAAATAAAAATTAAACATGTGGAAAATTCAGATGTTAATTCTTTCTGGGTTGTCTTCAGCGATGAACTTTCTGTAAGTAGGCCACTGTCTGCTGGCCTAGTGACTGCATCAGAAAATGTTTGTTGCCTTCCTTCTCTTCATAGCATATAATTTTAACTTTGCATCTTTACTACTCTGAATGTAGTGGTAGTGGGGTCTTTCTTATTGCTTTAGAATTTATCTCTGACATTTGTGAAGTATTTCTTTCACCTTTTTCTTTCGGAAATATATCCGACGGGTTAACTCAGGTGGAAAAGAAAGAATACCCTTAACTTTATAGGCAGTAAAAAATGATATTGTTGGAAACATAGGGATATATGTGGAGTGTTAGGTACATATCTCCATTTGTATACAAAAGCAAGAAACTGATAGTTTGGGATACATGTAACTTTGAGTACAGGAGAAGGGAAATTCAACAAGGAAAAAGTTGTGGCTACTATATACCTTGGCTTTGAAGAGAAAGGTATATACAGCAAAATTTTCATGCCCATCTACTACTCTGTTGAGAGAGAGAAAGAGAAAAAAAAAAAACAATAACAACATCAAACCTTTTATAAAGTTTGATAAGAAAAGAGATTGCTTGATGTGGATATAAAGATTTGGTGTCGCAATTCCTTGTATTATATTTTCCAACTATAATAAAAATTTTCAATCTTTCAATTTCCATAATTAAATAGGACCCTTTAGTGGCAAGTTCCGCAATTAACCTGTAAACTATCTATTTATAAGAATAAACGTAGCTTAAGCTAAGTTGTATTTACCAATACGTAATCAGATTTGAAAATCTGCTGATGTACAGCTTAAATTAAGGAAGCTACAGGTGCTGATAATGACTATTTTCTTTTTCATTAGTCTTAATCTAAAGATTGTGAAACCATTAAATAGTTTTTGGATAATGTGGAGCCAAAAATGTCAAGATGTAGTGTTTTTTGTATTTAATAAGCAATCTAAATGATATGGGTTGTCAAGTAATATTGATCTTAATCCGAAAATAATCTTGATTTTACAATTGTGGCAATGGAAAGTGTTCTCTGAGCAAAATGGGTTAAGTTGAGATGGTAGAATCTGTTTGATGATGAAGAACATAATTGCTGAATCTGGCATTTTGGAGTAATAATGAAATGATAAAATTGATGGGATAGTGAGTGAGTGGCTTTGATTTCGCAACTTACAATGCAAGAAAATGATGTGTCCTCACTCCTCACAACATCAGGCATGGACCTCTGTCACTCGTACTATCGTCACTCTTATTAGCTTTTCATTTGAATGACACAGATTAACAATGTCAAACACTAATTAATGCTTTGTAATTGCAAATATAGTAATTAGGGCTGTACGTACCAAGAAATAATTCAGATTTCAAAGTTACAAAATTAGCTAATATGTTATTTATTTTGTGATTTGATTAATAAATAATAATAGTAAATATTAATAAAAGATAGAATAATAATAATGATAATAAAATAATCGATTGGAGCACCTTCCTTCCAAAATATGGGTATCGGAATTGGGCTATTGCCCGAAACTATCAATGAAACAAATAGGCTTTGATTAATCGAGTGGGACCCATGGTAAGGAAATGTGACTGAATTTGATGTGAATGATAAAAAAACAAAATAATAATAATAACAATAAAAACAAAGGAAAAAGTTGAATTTTATAATATTTTTCGATAAAAAATAATAGAAAAATATACAGTGTTATGAGTAAAATTTTGGAAGCGATCTGATGGCTTGCCTGAAGATATTTGCTACCTACAAAACAATCGTGAACCACCGTGACTCTGTATATGAACTACCCCCGATCACAAATCTTCTTATATGGCCCAGCTAAGAGCGGCCCAGACCAGCCCAATATAATTACTTTTAGGTCCAAAACACATGGATTGCAATCAGCTTTCCAATGGCTCTGTAGAAAGATGCTATATATCAAACCAATAAAAATAGAGATATCTCGTTTTACTTTTGGTTTGGAGAAATTCTCCGGTTGAGTTTGTTTGTAGCAAAATCGAAGGATTTGAAGGTTCCAAGTAGCATTTTCCGCAAGTTCACTCATGAAATGAATCATTGCAAAAAAAAAAATTGCAGCATTTAAAATGTGAAATGGAATTATCAACCATCAGTATAAACTATAAGAAAGAGCTTCAAAAGTATCCATTCCTGTTAACTTCCAAGTCTCCAAATTCTTAGGAAGAGAGTAATTGTGAATCAATACAAATGAATAGACCTAAGAACAAAACATATTCAAAGGTCTTCGGAATCAAATAAAAATAAAAGAAAACGATACTGAATCAGAAGCAAAAAGACAATCAGTCATCGACCTTTGAACATTCACAGGGAAATTATTGGCAAATAGTAGCCATTCAGCCACATACATCCCACATCTCCAAGATAATTTGGACCAGCAAAACAATTAGCCTCTTTTGCCACTGACTATCCCACAAGCCGTTGATTAAAAAATGGTCCTTTGTCTACTGCACTTGCATATGCCATTGGGTGCATCCAAATGTATTTATCCCATGGGCCTATAAGCTGATACCTTATACCTGGCTTCAATCAATTTGCACCCTTTCCTTCATTCAGGGCTATAATAGTCTCACCACAAACCTTGCCTTGAGTACTCACTGCTTTCTCTCTTTTGATCTCTTCCACCACACTCGAGAACAGAGCCATGTTAGAAGGTAAAGCTGTTGTTGGTGAGACTGACATGCTTCAAACCATGCAGCAGGATGCACTTCACTTAGCTGCAAAGGCCCTTGATATTTTTGATGTCACGGAGTCCACTGATATTGCCCGCTTTATTAAAAAGGTGAACTCCTGAATCAATTTGATTTTAGCTCAATATTGAATTGTTAAGGAACGCAAAATGACATCCTTTTGTTATGCCTTGAAAATCATTGTTGCAGGATTTTGACATGCTCCGTGGACCAGGATGGCAATGCATAGTAGGGACAGAATTTGGTTCCTTTGTGACCCATTACCATGGCTGCTTCATCTACTTCAACATTGGCAGTATTGCAATTATGCTATTCAGGTGTGCTGTAAATCAAGTGGACGAAGCAAACGTGTTTCCAGCTCTGGATTGATGAATAGGCTTTGTTTTTATTGTATCTTTTTCACTTCCATATTCCACTGTTCACTGCTTGGAGAAAATAAACAGCAGTAGAAATATGGATTCATGTTTCTTTGACCCATTTTATCTTCTTCCCACTCACATCACAAATATGAATTGCATATCCAATGAAGCTTTCTCTGCAGAACCTATGAAGTAGAGGATACAATTGCCATAAAAAAGAGATACAAGTGACACTATGTACAGGGCAGGAATAGTAATACATGAAAAGAGCCTCATGAAGACAAAACTTGGTAGAAAATTTGAAGAGTGCATTACTTCCATGGCAAAACAGTAACTTAATTAATCACTGATGGGCATAAATACATGTCTTCAGCACACACTCTTCAGTCTAGTTGCAAAGTGCTTCCTGATAAATACTAACCTATACTGCAGTCACTGCATAATGGTTGCCAGGAGAATAGTTCAACTCAACCAACCACAAGAATTATGCAGGCAACTCAGCTACCTATGATCAAAAGGAAAAAGCAGGGGAATAAAGGGGATTTCCCCTCCCATATTGAGCTTGTGTACCTTCCCCTCATAAAGGAGAGGCACTAACAGGCAACCCATGCTCTGAAGTTCCTGCCAGCTAAAGAGTGCCTGTCAATGTCACTTAATGTATGTGAATGTGCACAAACCTATGCATGTACTTCTGTGTATATGTAACTGAGTGTTTTATTTGTTTTCATGTTGTGTACAAGAGAGAGACGGGTTACCTAAGTTATAAACCTGAAAGAGTGAGGACAGAAGGAGGGGCATCTCTTCTTGGTCCGGCAACAGAACGGTAAACGTAAACTTTATCAGCCTGACTGTCATCGCTCCATTCTTCCTTCATTACCTCCACATTCAATCTAGGCATTTCCCTTGCCAATAGCCGACAGCCATTCATTGTCACTTTGCAGGATGACATCCAAAGTGACCTCATAGATTCATACTTCTCTAAACCTGAGAGAAGAGCTGCATTTCCAAATGGGCAATCCCTTATCTCAAGTTTTCTCAACTTTGGACAACCTCCTAGTACACACTGCATCCCCCAGTCGCTGCTGCCAGCAAAAGCTACGGAAAGAGTTTCCAAATTTTTTGCATACCTCCCAATATACTCGAATGTCAGGTCTGTCAAGAGACCTGAAACTGAAAGTCTCTGAAGTTTATTGCAAGTCTTCACAACTGCACCAAAAGCCTCATCCATGGGTTCATTTGTCGTGTAATCTGGTTGACCAGGATTCATTATGCAGAGACGGAAGTGAGTGAAGTTTGGACAGTTTTGCACAATTGTAGCTACTGCAGCATTCGTCATCTGCCGGCAAAAGTAGAGAACATAGTGAAGTCTCCGACAACCATAAGACACAGCAACAAACCCTGCTTCGGTCACCCCATGTATAATTTCCTCATCGAAGGGATCCGCAGGGAATACACGGAGTTCCTCCAGCAAAGGGCAGTGTGATCCAACAGCCTCCAGCCCTTTGTCCTCCACAGTGTCCAGGACCTGCAACAAGATTACAATTAAACCCCCAAGAGAACTGAAGTTGTGAAGGCTTGTCTATGACTTACTTCATGCTCAACCAGTGTTTTAAATGATAGTTTCAAAAGTAAAGCTAGGAAAAGTGCCAGGGTAAATGACCTGTCGGGTTTTTATTCTTTGAATATCTCAAGCTCTTATATATTCCATGTACTCAGGACAACGATATATATCCAGACCCAAAGATTGATGTAATATGCATGATTAAATTATATAAAAGATGTGTAGCATACACAGACAGCAAAATATTCAGGGTGTTTCCATAAAAACATTAAGCACAACTGGGAATACAATAGAACAATCAAGAACAAGAGAAGCTTTCTAGGACTCTGACACATTTGAAACAAAATATCCAATTACAGAAATAGTGATTGTTGAATAGCTAATCCAAGTTGTGCAAGATAGGACAAACATATGGTATAGCGAAAGAGAATGAAGGTATCCGTCTTCCAGAAACATAAATGGATAGGGAAAAAAGAAAGAAAGAAAATGGTTTCTTACCCATAGTCGGCGAAGTTGTGGGCAGTGACGAAGAAGATTATCAAGTTCAAGACTTTGCAAAGCAGCATAGCTCAAATTTAGGAAGGTCAAGTTTGTACAAGCAGGGTAGAGAACTGGTAAATATAGTGCCATCGCTTCCCATAAACCAGAAAGGGTATCTAGGTTCTTACAATGACTGAATGCATTTTCGAGATCAGTGTACTGCTGGGTAGACAGCTCTTGTGAGAAAGAGCCAGTACCAAGCTCTGTTAACTGTGGGGCACCGACGAGCAGCCTCTGTAGTTGGTCCAAGGAAATATTTTTGTTGACCTTCAGGACTTTTAATGATTTGCACCTAGTCACAAGTCTCTCAAGGGCATCAAAATTGACTTCACTATTTAGGTTGGCAAAGTTTAATATTTCCAATGATGAGAAGTTTTCAGGAAAGCAGCTCAGCCAACTGCCACTCTTGTCATCAATACCATTCTCCTGTATGTCAAGCTCAGTCAAATTCCTGAAACCAAACAAGAATTAGAAATTCCCTCACATACAAGATATCTAGCATACACCATCTGAGGCTGGCAGCAAGAAAGATAGCTGAAGAATGGCCAAACAATACCCTAAATAGTACAATTTCTATGAAATTGAGGAGCTATAAACTTACAATAGATCTTTTAGGGAAGATGAAGAAAAACAACAGCAGCTCGATATAAAGTACTCATGAATCATTAATTATTATTTCAGCCTTTGTAATTTATTATCTTTCTGTTTGAGCTATACAAAGTTCGAGGGGAAAGGATCATATTAAAGCAAAATAATTGAGCATATAATGTTGCACACTTGACACAAGGAAAATTAATCCTGCTCATGCCAAGTGATAACTTCATAACATGTCAATAAACCAGAATAACGAATCCATAACAATTAGCTGGTGGTACATCAGCACAAAGTTCTCCAATTGAATCAGCAAGTATCTAGATTATTTATTGGGAGAAGAGATTAACTAGGGTAGTTTCAGTCGCTAAAATGAAATAAAAATAACCAGGTTCTCCACATCAGGTTACTGCTAAAATAAAGAAAAACCTCTACCTCCACCGGTCTTCTCTCAAATGATGCCTATGTAGCCAAACCACATTCAAGGAAATGACCGTGCATTCAAATGTATGTAAATCATTAGAAAGGTTATCGTGGCTCCAAAAATTTTAAAAAAAGAAAATGCAAGCTGGCCCAAATTTATTTGTACTGATATCACAAATTAAAAAAAAAATGCTACCTTTTCTTTTTATTCTACTTTTTATTTTTCTAATAGTCCAAGCAGATGTTGACAGAAATAATTCCCATATTTATCACCGCCAAGAAGATATCCAACGCTATACAAAGCATCTTGAGTATTATTCATTCATTCATATCCCTAGTCATTGCTTACTGCTCAGTGAACCAACCAACCACCAATATATGTGTGCGTACTTGTGCAGTGGATGACAAGTTGACAAAAGGATTATGCCATCCAATAAATGCGTATTAACAGGTCAAATGTCACATCAGAACAAAAGAGAAATAAAGCATTAACAAGCACAGGAGAAAGGAAGTGGAACAATAGAACCATAAGTAATGCCATTAAGCCCCTGCTTTTCTGGCAACGTAAATAGAGTCAAATAAATTGTTATGATCCATAAGGCCAAGAAGGTATTTGATTTATGGCTGCAGAGATTTATCCCAGAGTAGTCCTTAGTTCTAGAGAGATCTTATTAGGGAAAATGAAAACGAAAATCAATTTGAGAATCCTGAAATGGGGAGGGAAGGAGGCAAACAAAAAACAAAAAAAAACAAAAAAACAAAAACAAAAATACAAGAACCATATCAGATCCATAATTGACCCAATAATACATACAACTGTATCTACTAAGCAACCAAGTAGCAGTAGCAAGACCAATGTCCATGAAAATAATTGACCCAATAATACATACAACGAAACACAGAAATTTGTATTTAAAAAAAAAAAAAAAGGATATTTGAGCCGATAACGACATCAAATATATGCCATAAACCAATAAATGCCCTTCAACAGATCAAACATCAAATCAAGAAAAGGAAATTAGAGTTAAAAAAAAAAAAGTGTAAACGCAAAATAGTAGAACCACTTCTATCAATTTAGCACTGGTACCTTTTACAAGCGAAAACCAGAAACCAGCCCACTTATTTCACAAACTCAAACTCAAACTCAAAAACAATGAACAGAACAATACATTCAAAACGTTTGTCTAATACCCACAAACAGATGATGGATCTTAACCCAATAACAGAGACAATAAATGCAAAGCACACAATTAATACTAATAATTAAAAACACAAAACACAAAATTTTAAGCGAAAATTGAATAGCCAACAAAGAAATAAGCAGCAGATTAGAGGAAAATCCGTACTTGCAATGAGTGGCAATGGCTGCAAGCCCATCGGTACTGAACCCATCACAGCTTAAAAGCGAGAGAGCTTTAAAGTTGGGAAAGTTGAAGGCCAAAAACTCTAAGCTCTCGTCAGTAATAGACATTCTTTTAAGCCTAAGCTCCTCCAGAAATGGATATTTGGAGGCGAAAACAAGCAGCCAAGACTGAATATCAGCACCCCAATTCCGAGGGACCAAATTGAAGTCCGAGAATCTCGGTTTCCCTTTAAGGGTAACACTGCGGATTTTCGGAAACCGACGAGCAACGATCTCGGGAGAAACTGAGTAGCAATTACCAATAAAAACATGAGTTCGCGACCAGCTCTCAGCGTTGTACCAGTCCTTGCATACCAGAGAAACCGAGCTCCGGTCTTTAGTAGATTTCAGTAGTCCCAGAACGCGTTCTAGTACCTCGTCAGGAAATGGAGATGACCGAGTTGACTCGATTGGCAACTCCAGCGATTCCTTCTTCCTCTTCGAATTACGATCCATTATATAGTTGGCCAAAACACAATCCCCTCCAAGTCACCGTAGCTCAAATCACCATTAACACTAAAATTTCTAAAAAAGAAAATGTAGAACACAAAAACTCTGATGGATAATTTTTTAAGACAAAAAAAGAGACAAGAAATGATTGGGTTTACACCTTTAGGTGGAAATGTTATGCCTTTGAGACTTTCCAAGTTAAGAGAAAGAGGACTGTCTTATGGAAGCACTAGAAAGCTTTCTCTCTTCTCTAAATTTAGGAAGCTTGTTGTGGGTATAGAGGCCAAAGAAGAAAGAAGCTCAGGCACTTGCGTATTATAGCAAAAGCAACAGACAGAATATTTCTAATAAAATACTAAAACAAAATTATTATCAGAAAAAAAAAAGTTAATTATAAAATAGCGATTTTTTACTTTTTAAAACGATTTTATAGTATTATAATTTTATTTATTCACTCCCATTTTAGCTGAAGCTAACACAGAGATGGCAAATGAGAGAGGGAGAGAGAGACGAGGATATCATAGCCTACGACACCTAACCTGTGCTATGGTGCGCAATGCACACAACGTCCCATTTCCCGCCACGTACGTGATTTTGGACCTTGCAATGCGCACTGCGCATATGGTGGATGTTAGAATGTAAACTCGAGGATTTGAGTCAAAGGAGCTGCGAATTATAAAAAACAGAAAAAAAATTTGGCCATTTATTTGTTTTCCTTTTCTTTTTGTCTTGTTTTCCAATTATAACCCCGCTCGCCGTTGGTGATTTTTCCGTCGGATGGTGAAACTGAAAAGTAGAGGAGAAAAAAAATTAATAAAATAACTGTCTTTCTTTCTTAATACTTACTTATTTCTTTTGGAAAAGAGAAAATTTTGGAATTGCTTTTACTATGAATTATTGTGAAAAATATCTTTTAAAATTTCATATTTTTAGATTTAAAATGAACTAAAAAGTTTTTACTCTAATAAATTTAGATTTAATTATGAGATTCAAAATAGTAAAACTAAACCAATATTCATTGTCAATTTGAGAGGTATTATTTCAAGTTCATTGATCGAAACATTTATATCAAATAAAAGAACTAGTCAACGGAAAATAATTTGTGAAAAAATATTTTTCATAATTTTTCATTGTTTCGGACGCTCAGAAAAATAAGTTAATGGAAAATATTTTTCTGTTCAAAGGAAAATTAAGTCATTTTTTAAGAAAAATATTTTTCGGATTGACAAATCTTAAAAATCCATATTTTTAATTTATTAATCATTATAGTCACTACTACTAGTCACTATTTACCACCGACTATTACCACAGGCTACCATCATCGGCCACCCGCGGCTTTCATCACTTATATTTTTTTTCATTCTTTTCCTATTTAACAATAAAATATTTAAATTTTAAAATTTCTATTATTATTAATATTTTTTATGGTCTTGTGAGATAAAAATTTTAATATTTTTAATTAATTTTCAATATTACAACTAAACAAGAAAAATAAGTTATTTAAAAAATATTTTTCAGCGAGTTATTTTAAAAAAATAAACAGAAATATAAAATAAAAAAAAAATTCAATTAGTAAAAACGATTTCATGGAAAGAAAAAAATTTTGACACGCGGAACACAAGTTATTCGTAGAAATTGAAAACTTCCAATGAACTGTAGGTTCATGGAAGTCTGAAAAATTGGCAGAGATTTGAATCTGAACGGAAGCTGAAATTTTCACGGAAATAGTTTTGTACGCAAAGTTTCAACTCATTTACATTTTGACGGAAAAAAGATCCAAACACAGGTTATGTGATATCTCATCACGCTGCCATCAATGATATCCTGACCAATCACTCTTCTTCGAAAACAACATTCCACTTTTTAGTTACAGAAATGCCCTTTCTGATGTTCTGACCTTCAATTCATAACCAGAAAATACTTATCTTTTATTGATATATATATTTTTTCATTAATATTTAAGAATTGTTTCTTTCCGTTGCGCATGGTGGACCAGCAGTGCAAAACTGGACTAACGATCGGTCCTGTGATTAAACGAATTTGCGTCAGGGCCACTTGTGGTATCAGTTCGGCTCTGAAGCTCTGACCCAGGGCCAGAGGATAGAGAAAAGGAAACCAGGCTTCAGCTTCAGCGTTTATGCATGTTTAGGAGCTGGGGGCATTTTTGTAAAGTTGTGGGGAAGATAGGGCTGTTGGGGGGTCATTTTTGGTAATTGGTAGTTTAATAGGCTCTTTAATTTATGATTGGGCCAATTTGGTATCCGACCCAAATTTCCAATTCAACAACTAAGCAATTGGAAAAGCTGGGAACGTGCAATATTGCCATCCCAATCTGCATGCAATTTATTTTATTACAATGATGTCCATGTGTTTCTGTTAAATGACTTCAATATCCTAGGTACGAAGTTCATAATTATATCAGTTCAAATTCGTTTCAAAAACATTAAAGCAAAGTTTAATAAATTTTTAATTTAGAGTACAGATGAGTTCAGCCCGTTCGTGAAAAGTTTGAACTTAAAATCAAAACAAATTCAAAATTATTCACTTGAATCAAGCTCGAGCTCCTATATTTTATATAATAATAATAATAGTAATAATAATAATATTATTATTATTTTTTTTATTCATACGAGGTTAAATGAATAGAAATAATATTATACGCTACACAACACGGATAACCTTTCTTTTTAATAATATCTACTAAATTGATAATAATTTGTACTATGGAAATGATTAAATCTCAGACACACTTACCACTTTTTCTATGATATATAATTAATTCAATCAGACCATACCTAATTAGCATAACACGTTTATTGAGCTTTAGATATTCAAAATAAATAAATTTAGATAAATTGAAATCGACTTTCAAGTCTCAAACCAAGTTTGATTTCAAAATTTTTAAACTCATTGCGATTCAAAATATGTTCGGCAAAATTAATTGTTTTGGTTGTCGTTAGTTATTTTAGTAACGTTAACTGTTAATTGTTTTAGTATGATTTCATAAAATGCTAAAAAGCTAAACGTTACACGATTTAACTTTTTATAAAACGCTATAATACTGAATACTATAAAAAATAATATAAACACTAAAAGCTATTTAAAAAATTATTGCATACGAAATATATAATAAGATTATAGGGTACCTCCCCAGTGATTTAATCAATTAATTGCACAAAAGAATGACATTTCGGAAGCAAAACCAAAGAGTCTAAGATTAATGATCTGACGCAAAGACAGAGAATCACGTGGGAGGTCACGTGATGTCTTCTTAAACCCACGTTTATGGATTGGTGGCATAGCACGAGGGCAAAAAATTTTTGAAGCATCTAATCGTTACTAACAGCTAATGCTCTCGAATCTCTATAATTAAAGATAATAATGGAATAATTAACAACATAATATACTCGATTTCAGTTTGCTACTACTAACTAATACTGGTATTATTGAAAAAATAATAATAACAAGAAAAACAGCTGGCAGTCAATCTTCCATTCAGTTTAGCTGGAGACACGTGGTTCTCTTATTTTTTTAATTGAGTTTTCTCCTTAATTTCAGGAAAGTTTTGTTTTTATTTTTTGCAAACCTTATTTTAACTAGAAAATCTTTTATGTTAATTAAGGAAATATTCGACCTTAGCAATTAGTGTTTAAATATCATAAGTTGGCACTTGAGATTGTGGAAAACAAACTTAGATAGTTGCTTATCATTTATAAAATCGTCTAATCAGATCTTAACTTACTCATATATAATTATAAATTATATATTTAAATTTTAAATAAAAATTTAAAAAATGGGTTCGAGATTATAGTCTTATAAAGATTCCCTATTTGATTTCAAAATTTTATCATAATTATATACTCTTTAAATATCGAAATATACGGCATTTTATTGTAATTGTTTTTTCAAAAAATATAAGATGTTTTAAGTGTTTTAAGAAATAATAAAAATAAAATTTTTTAAATGATTCAAATAAAACGTTTAATAGCAAATATTTCAAACTTTCAGTTCTAACTAACTTCTAAAGACATAAATTTAGGTTTTACTAATGACTAACTCTTGATAATCATATTTAATTTTCAATAATCGAAGGAGGTGCATCGAAAGCAATTATACAGAAGGACCACATTTTCCTCTGTCCTAAGGGATTTTCATTTTGAAGAAACACCTTATGCACTCATCATTAATAAATTGACACTTTTTGTACCCAAAAAAATTGGCACTCTCATGATTAATTAGAAAATCGTTGGACCCTGTTCCCGGTAAAAGCGCAAGGTGAGGGAGATGCCATTGCCCGCACTCACTGATGTGCAAAACCAGTAATAATGACCCAAAGATGGTCCATAGCCTGCAAGTACCACCACCATCACCACCTCCACCTCCACCTCCACCTCCACCTCCGCCTCCCCTCTTCTTCAATTATGGCGTTACAGTCTTAAATTTTCTGTTGCATTACGAGATAATTATAGGATAATGAAATGGGCTGTGATTTTCCTATCAATAAACATAAAGCAACTAATATTTCTCCTGTATACCATTAGGAAAACCCAAATCAATTTCATTCCATTATTATCAAGTGCATTAGGCAAATATATTATACAAAAAGCAGTTGAAGGTGCCACGTCATTTCTTGCATAGATTAATAAGAAGCATGGCTCATGTAATAAATGCAACAGTGGCATATCAACTGTGTGCTCATGTGAGGAGAGACGTTGGTGGGCCCCACTAGTAATACCCAATTTGCTACTTAGTGGGCTCCTTATCTGAGGCGGGTTATTCAGCAATGCCACGATGAGTTAGGTTATACTACTATAAAACACTAGCCAACTTGCATTGGATTGGACTTAGTGTTCATCATTTTTTAAATGGCTAGTGGTGAATAATAAGAGAATTAAACTTTTTTTTTTTATAATTTAATTGGTGATTGTTACTCTGTAAACACCATGCCACGTAATATCTCATTTTTTCCCTTAATGTACATGTGCAGTCCACCATCACCAGCTCTTAAATATTAGTATTTGCATATTTTTTTAGCATTGAACAATGGACCAATAGCTTTATTTGCATGTTCTGAAATAATAATAATCCCCAAAGAGGAGAATAGTACAAAGTTTCGAGTTACTTAGAAAAATGCTGATGGTGATCACTTATGATTAATAAGTTTTTACAAATAGATAGATGATTAAGAAATTTGAAAACCGAATTTTGTTAGATAAAAGAGTCCTTTCACCTAAAGTATTAATTCTCTCAAACAAGAACCCACCATCAGGATAACATCGGTTCCTCTAAAATGAAAGGCTATGCTTAAACATCTCTTCCATTAGAAATTTAGAATAGAGACCCTTACCCTTTTGTCCCCTGAGGATTAAGAACCCCATGTTCTACCAACCTGCTTTATCTTTCGATGTCCACATCATTGTCCAATCTACGTAATATTGTCTATTACCCACAATGTACCACCAAAAGGAAAAACAGAGGAGAACTAGTTTAGGGGTCTTACACGTGGCAGCTGACCTGCAGGACAAAAATAGCCCGGCTTGTTGATAATTTCGTTCTCGAGTCACTAGGTGTTTATTTGCTTTTAGTTAAAATTATTTTTTTTTTGAACAAATATTTGCTTTTAGTTAATTATGTATTTATGGTTAAATTTAAATGGCAGGTGTCTTGATCTGGCCTAGGCTTTGGGACTCCTTGAATGCTCTATGAGAAGATATTTCTAATTTAATTGAGCATCATTTTTTCCATCTATTAGGCTATTATTTTGTCACTTCATGTGAAATAGATTTTAACTTAGATGAACTTATATTTTAGTTTTTAGTTTTTACTTTTTAGGGACTTTTCATCTTAATTAGTAAATGGTCATTGATTGGCTGAACATATGGATATGGGTTCATGTGATGAGAATGACAGTTAACTAATTCAAGTTCAGTATTGTGCCTAATTTTTCCTAAATAACCATACACACTGGCTTAGAACAAATGTGTAGCTATGAACACAATGCGGGCCCAAACAGAACGATAACGGCCCAAGGCTCAAGCATGAGATAAGATTAAACGAGATCTGTGTTGGGCCACCAAAGAATATGAGATAAAGCGTACACCCTGAAGCATTCAAAATTCAGATCTTTTCCTTTCAAAAAGAAAAATTCAGATCTTTAATTAAAATATCTTAGCAGCAAAATCAGGAACAATAAGAATATTACCGATGTAGAGGTGACAACTCAGAGATTTAACTAAACATCCAAATATATCTGCCGAATTACTGGTAAACTAACGACGGGTTTCCATATATATGGTCATTAAATTAATTGAATAAGGCAAAAATGTGAGCAAAATTTTTTCCGTTGCTACCAGTTGTATTAACAGCACGTGCTCAGGTTCCGCAGGTTCAAGAATCTGTTGTTAGCTGGCCTCAAATGCCGCTGGAATCCCTCCCAAAAATGAAACGCCTTGTCCAGTCCGTTATCACTAATGCTCTTGTGCGCCAGCTCACTAGCTTGCTGAAGAAGGGTAGAAAATAAAACGGAAAAACAATGATGTTAAGAGGAGCTCAGAGTTTGGAGCAATTTGAGGATTTGCAAACAGAGAAAGATTGATTACCTGGCATAGACAGAATACCAAAGCCATTGACTACTGTGTCCAATTGAAACCCAATCACCAGGTAGTTGTGCTGCCGTTTGCTCACCTCCCAGTGGAGCGAATTGCCCAAGATGCCTATACCTGGAAAAAAAATTGACCATAAAACAAATCAGCATAAATTTCTTAACCGCTAAAAAGTCTCCATGAAGCAATTCCTAACAAATTCAGAAAGTTCCAAAGGCGGCGGCGGCTGCTCCGAAGAAAAATAATCACCACTTTGCAATCATAAATTAAATACATCGGGCCCCAGGAACAAATAAATTAATGCCCATGCACAAGCTTGCATATGGATGAAAGGTTATCGAGATAAGAGATAAACCTGAAAGGTTGAAACCGATGGCGACCTTCTCCCCTGAACCTAATAGGGCCTTCCGGATTTTTCTCAGCCTCTTCCATGCGGTTGAAGCATTTGGCAAGGTAGGCACCTTGTTGAGATGCAACCTGAGATTGTTGGATAAACAAAAATAATCAGCAGATAATTTTTTGAGAAAAAATACAAGCAAGCAGACTTGTCTGTGACTGAAGCATCATAACACCTGTGCGGTTGCTGGGAGATTCTTCATCTGAGAATCCACTTCAGAAAGAGCTGTTTTAAACTCCTCAATATTCAGTTCAATGGATTCTTTTGCAACGTCCCCTTTGGCAGCCTTCAGCAGATCAACAATATTGCTCATTTTCTTGTTCTTCAGATAAAGTTCCACTTGGGGATATCTTTGAGAAATGTCTTTAATGACTTCCTGAAATTCTTTTACCGTAAGTGTTCCGGAATTGTCCTTGTCTGCCTTCTTGAATATTGCTGAGATATCTTCCTACAAGCAGAGCAAAAATAAGTAAGAATAAGCCAAAAGAAAAACAGATGGGTGATTACTTTGTCATGGGGTAAACTAGAACAACGTTCAATACAAACAATGGCAGAGTATAAAGATGCTAACAGAAGTCAAAAACCACAACATCAATAATTATAAATTCAATTAGAGGTGATATAAATTGTAACAGAAGAGATACAAGAACAGGTACCATGACTTTGCGCTGGTTGATTGTGGCACAATCACCGAGTGCATAAACATTGTTACATCCCTCAACTCGCAGCCACTCGTCAGTTGCTAAAGCACGCCTGTTGTTCTGTTTACAGGAACAGACAAATGCATTGAAAGGGATTGAGATAAAAGACTGCTCATTGTCCGTAAGATTTTAAAGGAACTATTGGAAGAAAGACCCTAGACAATCAAAAACAAAGCATTACATCAATTCATATGCCTACAACATACCTGACCAATTTGCTTCATAAAATCCCTTACGACTGGACGAGTTCCAATTCCAGTTGACCAGACAACCATTCCATAAGGTACGGAAGCAATTTCTCCATTCCCCCTTACTTTAGTGGATATTTCTTTATCAGATACTCCCACAACCATGGAGCCTAATTTCACATCAATGCCATCTCTTTTGAACTTTTCTTCAGCAAACTCTGTGATTCTTTTGTCAAACCTGCAAATATGAACTTCCACAAGTATAACACATATTCTTCATGAAAATGTAGGGTGGGGGATATCCAAATAGTTTGAAAGCCAAATAGGAACTCATATGTGCAACAAATTTCATAACTAGGTGAATCAAAGAGCATATACTTTTGCTTTACCTTTTTTAAACTCCAATAAAAGAGGTGAAAAATAAGTACTTAAGACAAATTAACTAACTATTTTGGGAGTTGTCCTTATACTAGTTAGCAGTTTATGCAAGAACTTCTCTACTGTTTATAATCCAAAAGCAAATATATTATTAAGGATCCCATAATCTCGAGGACTTCATTTCTTATCAGAGTGGTCTGAGGCCTCCATTTATATCCTGCTTCGATGTGCTGGTCCTCTATGAGAGGATGGAATTAAACAAGGAAAGCTTCTTCCACATGCCTTTCGTTCTAGGTTATGCAGACAACAACATGATTCAATTTCCTATATAATGCTTTGAAAACAAGGATGTATGCATCCAACATGACAAAAAGATCGAGTTTCTCTGATCCTTACATGTTCAGAATATGGTCTGCTGCCTCGAGAAGTGTTATTTTTACAAAATCTTTGGCTGCAGGATATAATTTGACCAAGTCCTCATTAACAAAATCATGAAGCTCTGCAGCAAATTCCACACCAGTGGGGCCACCACCAACCACCACAAAATGAAGAATTCTCTTCCTCTCCTCCTCAGTTAAACCTGGCAGACTTGCCTTCTCAAAGTTGTCAATGACATTCCTACGAATCTTCTGAGCATCTTCAACCTCCTGCAAGTGAAAATGCATTGCATAGAAAATTAGCAATGTGTCCATAAAAGACTTGGTTCTATCACCAATATCCCAAACACTGCAGTGATATCTTTCCTTTGACATTTTTTGTCTTCCACTTCACGGTGTTGGACATCTTTATTAGCCAAAGAATTTTCCAAACAGTAAAGAAAGGAGGAATGCTTATATTTGAAAAAGGTTTCTAAGTAAATTACTTTCAAGAAATTGCAATGCTCCTCGACACCAGGTGTGTTGAATGTATTTGGGCGAGCTCCCATGGCTATTACAAGGTAGTCATATTCTACCACAAATTCTTTTTTCCCATTCAAATTGTTATATTCATTCGATCGGCAATAAACTTTTTTGTTTTCTGCATCAATCTTGAAACACTCGCCTTCCGAGAAACAAACATCCATTTTTTTCTGCACAAGGAAAAATAAGAACCAATCAGTGCTTTACCACATAATAACCACAAGATATTGGTTATCAAACATAATATTTCATATGAATGATAAATTTGAACAATTTTCCTTAATTTATGTTGTTAGCCTCTAGCTCTTCTTTTTTTCGAGAATTGACCAGTTCTGCTGCCCATAAATGGATGTTCCATACAGTTATTTAACACTTCAACAAAGTTCCCTTTCTCTTTTCCACACACCAATATATGATGTTCAACACTCAATACATGAACGACAATATGCAAAGAAAATTTAATCGGATATCTGAACTAAACAGTCCACAGGGCATTCAATTTAGACCTAGACTTAATATTGGATGTCAGAACACCAACATATCATTCTGTTCATGTTCAGAAACATAACATCATGTGCAAACATTGTCAGGAGAATGGTGATCAATTGGCAGTCACTGGGCAAAAACTATTAGAAAACATTTAGAAACAGAATAAGAGAATCTGAAATCTGAAATTGTGAAAGGGCACTGATTATAGAAACCACAAGCAAACAGTTTACAGAGTCAATTTGCTTACCTTCCTGACAATATTACGAATAGGTTCAACAATGCTGCGAGCTTCCACTGTACCAACCGTAACACTTGGTAGCAGGGGAGTAAATGCAAAGTAGTTGCGAGGCGAAATCACTTGGACATCATATGAGGGGTCATTTAGTTTCTTCAAAAAACTTGTTCCTGCCCAACCAGTTCCGAGCACCACCACTTTCTTTTTCTTACTCACCGTTTCGGGTGGTGGTGCCCTAGCAAGTACGCCATTGGATGAGTTCGCATCAGCATAAGCCACAAGGCCCCCACCACTGCAAAATATGGCATTGGCATTTGGAACAACCAAGAGAGAAACAGAAGTAAGAACAAGGGGCAACATATTGAATTACTAATTTACTAAAATTTTAAAAGAAAGGGCCAAAAATAATTGAGGAAGAAGCTCGAGTTGGCAAAAGCTTAAAATCTTCATTATTAACTACAATGGCCGTTTTTGCAACTACTTAAAAATTAAAATTAATTCATATGAAAAATAATAAGCAGATGATACAAACAATTCTGAAAATTGAATTGCATGTGCAACTCTTAAAAGTAGTGCATTTTCAAGATCTAGCTTAGCAAGTAACCACTATCCAATTAAGCAAGCAATTCAGTTTGCCTAAAACTATCATAGCATGTATTTAACAATAAAACAAAAATCAACAATATACCTTTCAAAAGGTTGTAAAACATAAATAAGAGAAATGAAAAAGCATAGACATGTACAAACTTTTCTTCTATGTTCTTAAAAATTTAAGAAAATTCGTGTGCCAAAATGTCAGAGACAGAAGAGCACTTTCACTTTGCTCTGCTCTGCTCTCTCTCCACCGTAACTATGTTTTTTCTCACTAGCGCATATTTGTATCAGGTAGTAAACCGAATTAAGGAATACAATAATACAAATCTCTATAATTAATGGCAATCAAAGAGTTCAAAACCTGCTAACACACGACACATGAAAAATAATAAAATAAAAGAAATGTATATGATGATATTAATAACATTAATAAAAAATAATGATTGCTGTAGATGAAAAGCCAATAGCATATTAAGAAGAATAATAGGCAAAAATTAACAGATCAAATCACGTACACAAAACAAATCTGACCAGAAAAAAAAAAAAAGGAAGAAGCAATATATGGAATGGAATTGAAAAAGAAGAAGAGGATGAAACAGAGCATATACCTGACGGCGCAGACCACAACAAACTTGGAGAGCAAAGGAGAGTCGCGGAAAGATCTAGATACGAATATACTAAAACCTCTCATTTTCGTTTCCAAAAATCCTGGAGAAAGCAATCGATAATCAGATAGCAACAATCAGCTATATTGTAATGGAAAGTTTTCCAATAAAACAGAGGAAAATCAACAAGAGAACGTTACACAGAGAGACGTGGCTTTGCTTCTTGAGTTATACAGCAGGAGAAGAAGCAATGGAGAAATTCTGGCGAGAGAGTCCAAAAATGTGGGAGAGAGCTCAAGCTGAAAACGTGATGGCTGTGAATGTCGTTGTCGAGATGGTTCCGGACCTTTTTGAGCTTTGATTGACTTGAAGGGCAAGGAAATTGCGGCACGTGCTGTGCATTGGCGATCCGTGCTGCGCTTTTATTATTTGTCGTTCTAATAAGTGAACGCGTGTTGATTCTGTGGCCCACGTCGTTTTATATTTTAGGGTTTGATTTGTAGGTCTGTACTGTAGTCTGTTCTGTATAGAGGTTGAATAGCTGTGAGCTGTTGATCAATAGCCGCCCACATGCTGATCAACGGAGTATATTTTTTATGTTCTCTCCTGCTGCACCTTTTTTTTTTTTTTTTTTTTTGCTGTTGATCAATAGCCCGCCCACCCACATTGCTGATCAACGGAGTATATTTTTATGTTCTTCTCCTGTGCCACCCTTTTTTTTTTTTTTTTTTTAGTTAAGATTTCGGTGGCAATCTTTAAAGTTATTACTAATATTATTTATCAAATGCAAACGCAATCTCTGCTTAGCCAACTTACTTTTTAAGAACGCAGATACATTTGGACGGAAAAAATATACATATAAAAGGAAAGAAAAAATTAAGAAACGTTGGTAAATTTATAATTTAAAAAAAAGGGATTATGATAGCCACCGGTAATCCATTATTGAATTCAGCGGTGGTTAAGTTGGCTTAAAGAAATATTAGAGGAAATTGTCAAGTTAAAGGGCATTCATGAACATCACATTCGCATGCATTTTTAACCCAAGCAGGAGTGTTGTTCTGCACATGATTGGAGGCTCTTTAAATCTACGAATTGGAATTTGCATAAATGTCTTTGTGAATAAGAGTAAAGAAGAAGAGTCGTTGCTGGTGCTGATTTCTAGGCAAGATGCTTTTTTTTTTTTTTTTTTTTTTAGTTAAGATTTTCGGTGGCAATCTTTAAGTTATTACTAATAATTATTATCAAATGCAAACGCAATCTGCTTAGCCAACTTACTTTAAAACGCAGATACATTTGGACGGAAAAAAATATACATATAAAAGGAAAGAAAATAATAAGAAAACGTTGTAAATTATATTTAAAAAAAAGGATTATATAGCCACCGGTAATCCATTATTGAATTCAGCGGTGGTTAAGTGGCTTAAAGAAATATTAGAGAAATTGTCAAGTTAAAGGGCATCATGACATCACATTCGCATGATTTTAACCCAAGCAGGAGTGTGTTTCTGCCACATGATTGGAGGACTCTTTAAATCTACGAAATTGGAATTTGCATAAATGTCTTGATGAATAAGAGAAGAGAAGAGTCGTGCTGGTTGTGATTTCTAGAAGAATGCTAGACTGTATTGACTTGTACCAATCGCCAACCACTCGTTAATAACATCTGCCTTTCGCCACTTTGACTTTCAACATTGATCAAATTCGTTTCGAACAATTGCATGTGGAATGCCCTTCCACCGTCATTTCACATGTCAAAAATTCTATTCTTTTTCCGAATATTATTATTTTTCAGTTAAAGAAACATTGGTGGCACAGATACGAAAAACCAAAAGATGCTTGGGTTTATACAATTAATAATTAATGAACCTAAAGCGGGCCCATAAAAGCTATGCACAGCAGTTTAGGCCCATGGACCTTGACGTCCTTTTGTTTAGTTCAGAAGATACGGCTGGTTAAAACAAAAGCACGAGTCTTATTCCAAAAGTGATAAAAATGAAAATTAAGGAAGCATTTGGCGAGAGAAGTTTCTCTCAGCATTATTGATCAAGTCATTGTTAACTGAACAGTTGTTAATGTTGATTGAAACTGTTTAATCTAGATGAGCATTTAGTCAAGTTTTTGGCATCTAATTCAGTCTTCCATGCTGATAAGACTGAGACTTTAGGGTATTCTTTCTCAACCACAGTTTCCTTCCGTTCAAAGGATCACCTTTCGCATGCACAGAACTGAATTCAGACGTCATTGCATTGTCCAGTGCAGTCTATCAGCACGCTTTGCCATATACTCCAATCTTATTCTCCAAAATGCAAACTAATTAACTAATTTTTGGAATATATTTCTAGGAATAAGACTGTATAAATTTTAGATTTAGTGACTTAAACGATTAAGATAGAGTAGTTGGAACTCCTTTAATCTTAATCGAAACTCTCGGATAGCTCGATATTCCCAACAATTACTTATTTTCATAATAACGAAGAGTATTTTTGGCATCTGTTTTATATTTTGATAAGATCAATGTTAAATTATTTTTTTGGTCATGTAATTTTTAAAAATATGACAAAGTTTGAGCTTGGAAGCATGAATTTCTGGTCTGCATGTGACTGCCATTGAGTAGAGGATTACCAATAAGATTAATAGTGTGTACCTGAACGCAAGTGTTGAGTGTATGACCAAACTAGTAGTTGATTTTTATTTTTCTTTATGCGTGAGATATCTCAATCAACCAAGTGTCCATGAACTTGTCAACTTCTTTGGATAGGAGACAGGCGCCCTCTCATTATCAAATGCTACAGTGCATTTCTGGACCGCATTGCCAAATAAAATCTTTCACTTCCATAGAATCGACACTTTCCACTTGTTACGTTATTATTATTATTATAACTTTAGAGTAAATAAAAATGATTATAGGGGTATGTTAGTCATGTCATGTGATAATAAACACATTTAAATCTTTGGATTTAGTGATTAACTGTGTGCTTTTGTCATCGGTTCGGTTTATACAACGCTAATTTGCTTATCATCCAAAAAAAGAAAAAAAATCCAACAGGACTCTAAAGTCTAAACACAATTTCCTTACTAACTGCTTTTTAATTAATCCACATTAACCATAATCAAGACCTGGCGCATCAAATCAAACACGTCATTTTTTATTTTTGGGCCTAATTATATCTCACCTGAAGGCATCGTTTCTGGGGGGAGATATATCAATTTCTATCAAATTATCTTCTTCAGCCTGAAAATCAAAACACGAATGCTTCCTGTTATTGTTACCAAGAGCTATCTCTATCAGTAACCCTGCTCTATCTTCCTCTTCCCATCTAAAGCAAACGCTTTCAGGGGAATCCCATCCTCCATTCATCGGTAAATTGCCGTCGGAGGAACTATCCGAGTCTGTTTCCGGATAGTACATTGACAAAGATGGGTATCTCTCCAGAGACAAGCTCCCGGCAGGATCAAAATCCTGATTCTTCTCATTCGAATCCTCTTTGTCCTCTTCTTCACCTTCGTAGGCCTCGTATATCACTTCCAATGGCGCCCTTACGTTCCAGCCAACGAACGTCTCTTCAAAATTTGATTTCGGATTCGGATCGAAATTCGCTTTAGCGTGGCATGCGACCCATTTGTCAACATTGGCCAAGAAAACAGATTTTTCTGCTTTATCGAAATTATCGTCCCTGTTTTCCTTTATTTCAGCGGTCTCTTCATTCTCAATTTCCTCCAGGTTTCGAGTATGGACTCTCTGGATGGCGCCGAGGCGGAGGAGAAAGAGCAAGAGAAGCACAGTTAAAATCAGAACAGGTAAGAGGACTTTGAGAGCGTGAGGGAAATAGAGGAGAATTAGGGTAGAAAGAGTGATAATGCAAGAGCAAAGAGGATCAGAAGAGAAATAAGAAAAAGTTTTTGAGGGAACAGTGTTCATGATCTCGACAGGAACTAAAACTGAAACTGAATTCAATCCCCACGGGGTTCCATTTCCTTCCATAAAGAAACAAATAAGAAAATAAGCGTGGACTCCGGAAGTAAAGATTTATGTGAGCGGAAATTTAAAATCCATTAAAGACCAATAGATTCACAGTAAGAGAAGCATGCAAAGATATTAAAGAGAAAAGAAAGGTAGAAGGAGAGAGATAGAGAGGGGTTTAAAGAGGTTCCTTGTGGGGTTTAAAGGCATTTTTTTCTAAGCAGAGTGCGTAAGAGAGAGGCATGGAATACATCAAAAAGAGACGAATGGGTGATGTGGGTATCATTTGTTTCCTGTACAATTTGTCAATTACCGAGATGGCCTTTTGTAGTATTATTACTATAAAAATCCACAAAATCACCATTAAAAGTCTAAAACAGAAAGTTTATTTACTGTGTGCATGCATTTAATTACTGCATGAAGCCCCCCTCGAGTCAGAATCTAATCGGACGCCCGTAATTATTAGTCTTGATTCAAGGTTTTGGACCACATATTTTTCTTGGAAAATCCAGCATAGAATCGAATTTCACTTTCCATCTTGATTATCATTATTGGGTTCGTTTTACCTCATGAATTTATACGTTGGTATTTTCTTCCGTTTCTGGATTGTTAGTTGATACTTTTTGTTTTGATTCCCAGATAACGTGTCATTCGTGAACAGATTCGTGTATTTTGTTTTTGGTACTTGAAATTGTGGAAGGGAATGCAGCGTTAAGTTTCAGATATCAATTGTACAGCCGACAGCTTACGAAACAGCTAATTTTACCGATTAAAATCATATATAGTATTATGATGGAAAAAAGTATTTTTTCTTAGTGCCTTTCTTGCCAGAACCAAGTCTTATGTGCCTCTAGGTACAGTCTTACATACACTTGAAAAGGCTCATCTTGAGCAGATTAATAAGGTTGAATAGAAAAGGTTAATCAATGATTAGAAACAGCAACAGTAATTTCAATGGACAATTGGGACTTGTTGATAGAACATTTTCAGAATGTGGGTAACCACACGTTACAATCAACTTTGCAGGATTTTTTTTCCCTCCATCCAATTAACTTTTTCAACAAAATCCTTTTCTTGGGTTATCTTTCTTCCTTTCTTTTCATGGCCTTATAGCTAGCCAGGAATCAATCTCCTTTTGTATGAGATGGTAGTTGTCTTGTAATACTGGGGACATATTGGCAAAATTAAATACTTTCTGACCTGCCAATTGCATTCTTCCATGAATTGTCTAAGGATTTTTCAGATGGACGCTTGCAGTTGATTTTGAAATTGTTAGCTGTACGATCAAAAACTGCCGCTTCCCATATTAAACTTAATTTTCAGAATTGTAGGTGAGACTAATGTGAAGGAAAAATGCCAAAGAAAAATAATTTGAAATGAATTATTTTAAAGTCATTAATGAAATATGAAAATATAAAATCATGTTCGATAAAGTTCACGGAGTCACAAAAATAATCATATCACTTTCGGTTTTATATTATATTTGTACCATTAAGGTAATTATTGACCTCAGTAAAGGAAGAAGGAATTGGAAAATCCAGTTAACTTTCAATGGAAGGACTTTACATGATTGCTTTTACCTTATTAGGTACTCTAACAAACAAGACATCCCTTAAACAAGTACTGGAGCTGCATAAACCGTTAAGGAATTTATTTACTTTGACATTTGATAGTACTTAACGAGTTAAATGTCTATTGTCTAGTTAACATCAGGTGTGGTGGGATTAATTCAACACTCAACAACTTAATTAGGCTAATTAATTAATTACAAGACAAAGTCACATGCAATTCCCAAAATCTAAACTTGTCCTATCTACGAGTAATAGTCCCCAACAAGCAATCATGACAGGTTAACAAGCAATGCATGCCAATTACACTTTGCATGCTTAATTAGGAGTTAGATAGGAAAGGAGAGTAAAGAGAAAATAATTAAGAAAATTAAAAAGAGAATGAAAAAGGGAAACTAAAAGAGCCGTTGTTCTTAATTACACTATTTATACATATTGAAAAAGGAAAAAAAAAAAGGATTTTTCTTTTTTCTTTTTCCAATTTTTCTAAAATAAAATTCTTTCAAACATATGGCATGGTAATTAAGTAAATAAATAGATTTTCTTTTACTTCAATTAATTTTTTCTTTTTGAGTATTAGAAAAAAAGATGATTTGGTAGCACACACACTTACTATTAGATTAGACTAGATGTGTAATTAAATATTATTAATCTAGACTGTGCGGAGGGCGAATTACTAAAATTTGATGGCTGGATATAATAATAATAATAATAATAAAAACATAACTAACACAATTAATAATTTTTGCTTACGATGCACGTGCTGTGGACAAAAGGAGGTGTCCCTCATAAAAAGCAATAGGGTCGTTGATCATTGAAAAGTTAAACGGAAAAATAAAATAAAGCAAAAGGCTTAGCTTTTAGGTTCTCTGACTATAGTTCTGGTCAGGTCTGGCAAAGGAGGTAGCTAGTAGAGTTCTCTCTCAACTATTATAAGATGGTAATTTGGGTCGACCACAAGATGAAATGCATGTTAGCTTGACTTTCAAGAAAAATAATGCATTGAAGTTTAGGTACAAGGTCCCCCAGATAGTCTGATTTGGGTATGGGTTAAAGGAAGTGTATCTCATCTTGATAAGAAAAATCAGGAATTTTGTGTAGTCAGAGAGAGAGAGAGAGAGAGAGCCATATCCAAATGCACCCTTTTCGATCTGCTATTAAGAAAGTATTTTTCAGTGGAGTTATTAGTTCTCATCAACTCTATTGGTTACTATTTGGACTCTAATTGAAATTTCAAATATGTAATTTCACAATCCTACAAATTATAGTAACGACAAAAGTCGAGTCATTGTCCATAGAAATGTATTAGAAAAGAGTAAATGTATAAAACCTTCCAAAGAGTGGTGCTTTTTCAACTCCCTCTAAATGGAGGTTAGTTGGTCGTCAGCCGCTCTCTGGATAAGGATTTTTGTTTTGGATTATTACTATGGCTTTAATGAATAGAGAGAGTCTCTAAGGAGAAGAAACGAGATTCAGGCACAAGAAAAATGAGTTGCTTAATGGTGGGAAACCGCCGTAACATAAATTTTGCACAAATAATAGTGATTATTAATTGTGGCAGACAACAAATCTAGACCGTCAATTCAACGTTATAAGTTGTAACACAAGAGAACCGGGGCTGAAGCTTATTTTATCCGAGGCAAATATGCATATTGTAGCTCATAATTCCAAGTTAGGGACGAAGGAAGAAGGTAATAGTGGTGGGGTTCAGATGATGAACAGGTGATAGAGAATATAGAACTTTGGAGAGGCTTATCACATGGTACAGTGGTTAAGGGTACAATGCATTGGGACCTATTGCTTTCCTTTTAGCCCTAGATGACTCCTCAAATTTGGTCATTTTTCTTCGGAATTCAAAAACTTGCAGCCAACTAAGAGAGACTCTGTGCTCAGTGACTGGATCCCAGTCATGGTAGCTGAAAATGACATCATTATCTATCCTAGATTTTTATCAAGTTCAAAATAATCTAAATAAGCTCAGCAAGGGCATAGTCTCCTTTTTATATTACAAGATATTTCGGATTATACTCGAGTTATATTTACAGAATCCAGTGGTTCAGCTCTTACAAAAACTAAGCAGTTCCACGTGAGATGCAACTTGTCCTCAGGCTTTTTGCTTCAATTTCGAGAGATTCTCTATCTCCTGAAACTCTGAACAAAAACCCGTAAACAATTAGTAGTACCTTCCAGGGTAGTTTCCATATTGAGGCCTTGATGGAGTTGAAGATGGAGACAAGGACCAAGGTCTTCCATGACTTGAACCTGAAGCAACAAATGAATCAATCATAATGACAACAAACCAATTTAAAGCAAACAGTAAATGAAAAGTTCAAATCCTTCCTAACCAATTAACCAAAAGTTCACATCATTACTAGATCAATGTTATATAGTAACTACCATAGGAAGGATATGTAGGCGCTCTTGTAGCCTGCGGCCTAGCTTGATGACCTCCAGCGGTGTTACATGCAAATGAAGATGACAACAAATTTTCACCAGGGTTAGCTTCAATTAGGTTACACCTATAGGCGTCAACAGCCCCATAGCTCTGGTGGTAAGTGTCAGGTCTACCTCCAGGAATAGCACCATAACCTCCAGAATACCCGCTATTATGTTGTGGAACATAATTTTCGTAAGTACTGTAAGGAACAGGTGCTCTAACTACAGAGGGATATTGATAAATTTGATATGTTCCAGACGAAGAAGCTTGTCCTTGATTTACCTGCAGTATTTTAGCAAGAAGCACTAAGATGTATATTCTGGTGCGGTCAAGATAAAACAACTAAGAAGTATAAATATTAGAGCCCAAGAGCACTCAATCTTCCTTGCAGAAAAGCAAAGTAAATTGGGCCAGGACAGAATGGGTAATCCAGCTTACTTGGTTGGCAACTTGATACCCATTATTAACTGGACGCGGAGTTGGAACCAATGGAGGATGAGGTGGATAAGAACTCTCCCATTGTCCACCACTCACTATTCCAAGGGCAATGAGATCAGGACTTCATTCACATGATATATGCATAAATCAATAGCAACAAGCTATGCAAAAACCTGATAAAGCTCCTTCATTTTGCCCTGAAGGTCCAGTAGATGAAGTAACAGAACTTTCCCAAATATGAGGTGTAAAGTTGGTTTTTAAAGTAAGTTTCATATCCTCCAAGTATTCCTGCGACTCTTCTCTACCAAGTTCGGTAAATATAACCTTACAAAATGTCCAAAAGCATCAGTCATATGGCAATCTGCAGCTGCCAAATGAAATAAAGCATAAAAGTTTCCCTATTCACCTGGTCAAAAAACTCATCTGAACCAAGCATATCCTTGCTCGTGGGCAGAACATAATTAGCTGCCAAAGAATAATCAGAAAAGCCATAATAAGAAATATCATGATGCAAATAACCAAAGGGACTGGAGCTAAAAATCAAATTGATCATCCAAACTATGCAAATTATTGTAATTGAATACCTAACATATTATTCACAGCATCAGCCGGAACTTCCTTTCCCATTTCTTCAAATCTTCTCTTTGCACGAAACTTCAGCTCCTCTGGTTTCGGAAATACCACAACCGCAATCTGATTTGTGATATAAAAAAGATGAAATAAAAAAAATTAAATTAATATGCCAAACTTCCTTCTATAAACAATAAGAATAATTTTTTTTAGCAACTACCTTATGAAAATTTGCAAATGGTCTCAATTTACGTTTGCGTGCACTCTTGAAAACATTAGTCTGATCGATAACATAATTGCGGGGAGTCCTAGCTGCCCTGGTTAGTAGGATATCGAATATTTCATTTGCTTGACTAATCAAGCGATCAAAACGTTCACCATAGTTTTTTTTCCGCAATAGTCCAGGAACCTATAAAAACAAACCAGTTTTATAGAGCCGTAAAACAATTGAAGAAACACTCAACTAGGAACAGATGACATTCAAAGCAAAAGGTTATAGGAAATGGGAACCTTCATTTGATCCAGAACCAAGTTTGTTCCAAGCAAAACATATCGCCTTTCAGGATGTTCTTTCACCCATTTCTCAGCCCATGTAGTCTTACCTGAAGCAGGTAACCCCACCATCATCATTACCTCACAGTCCTTTATGTCAGGGAAAACAGGTCCCATTATTGCATTTCCATCTTCAATAGCTGAAGCCCAGGGTTGATATCCTTCTTCAGGAACGAGTCCATCTTCAGCACTGAACTGCAATTGAACCTCTACATTTTTCAATAAAACATGAGCAAATAGTGCTGATTCCCATTGCAGCTGTTTTGTAGGAGAATCCACCACTCCAAGACCTGTTGGACCAGCATTAAATTCCCTTGCAATGCCTAACCATTTTCCATTCTTGGAGAATCCTATAGAAGCTAGTGGTCTACTTTCAAGATCTACAGCACACACAATTATATCTCCAACTCCAAAATTTTCACCATAATCTGAAAATTTTCCAGCAGTAGAGAATTTTCCAGTTCCCCCAAAACCAAAGCTGTGCGAGGTCTCGCCAAGATTTCCTACTGCATCATCTCCTCTTGAAATTCCAATTCGACAGACATGCTGCTGATCTGGGGGTGTGTCTTCCATATTAACTGTCTGCGCAGCGATAACTTTGCAACCAAAACAGTACTTCCCTGCAGTAATTCCAACATTTGCACGAGCACCAGACCAACAATAAGCAAACCCTCCTTCGTGAAGTGCAAAGCCCTTGACACCATCGTTTTCAATATTGAAATCTGGAGAAATGATAGAATAAACACTGATTATCAGACACCTAGGAAAATAATAGCTTTTTAATTTTACACGAAGTGACAAAATAAATAAACAAATAGATGGCCAGCCATTTTCCTATCACCTATATTTCACTTTCTTCTATTATTTAATCGTTCTAACAATTACTTGTACTTCACAAGAATAATTAATAACTGCAGGTCTCAAAGCATACAATTTTAGATATCAGATGCCCAATCCAATCCCTTCTCATAAAGCTACTCAATGTTTCAGCTTCTTTGCTCCTTTCTCATATTCTGTATCGTTTATCAAATTATTCCTCTTTTGATGATTAAGAAAAAAATAGAATACCTAAATTGCAATCAGCAGGGTTGAGAACCACGCGTTTCCGGTAAGACCTTGCCTTTTTGGACTCAGGCTGCTCAGGTTCAGATTCGCCTTGAGGTTGGAGCTCGCGTTTCGCGGAAGCCATTGATAATGAGAGTTACCTCTATTTTAAGCAACACAATTAGAAGAAGCGCTAAATGAATCGAGAATTTTTATAGTTCAACGCACGCAGTGTAAACTATTAAGCCGTACGTGGCGACAGAGAGAAGAGAAGTACAATTTACAAAGGCCTGGATGGACTGTCGTTTTGGTTTATCTCCTATACCGGTCAACCGACTTATGACGTTAGGCTTTGGTTTTAGAAACACCATTGTAGTTGGGCCAACATTGGGCTGAGTCCCAGATATTCTATTCGGATAGTCTGTTGTCCGTACACTCATAAAATTTGAACTGAAAGTGGGGAGTTCTGATTGATGGTCCAAGACTGAGTAGGCCAGGCCTTGACCAATAAAAATTGAAGATACAAGAATCGTAGAAAGTAAAATAAAACACTGTAATCAACAGGGACGGGTCCCCATGCCCAAAAAAAGAGAAAGAAATCCTTCAAATCAAATTGTATGCTTCAGAGAAAGGAAGAGCATCTGAAACAATCAATGGTTTAGATTAATGGTTTAGATTAATGGGAAGATTATTCTCAGTATTTTGAGCTTTAAGTTGCTCTGCGTCATGCTACTTGTACTTGCTACGAAACCCTTTGTCGCTACCAGCAAACTTTGCACCCCTTTTGATGTTTTCTATTCTTTCGTAGAAGTTTGACACCTGGGGATTAAGAAACTAGAGAACAACTCAACTAAAAACTGATCATTCTTCCTTTATTTAGGAACTTGTGCTTGAACATTGGAGGAAGAATTGTATATACAGTAAATGCATGCTGTCTTCGATATAAGTGGAATTCGCAACAGCTGTCTGCCAATGTTCTCCCACATTCTGCACATTCAATCCTTTCCACTTGTCAAGGCTAATTAGCTACAATTAAGCCCCTTCAGTAGTTGTCAAGTCTAAAACTGCGATTAATTAGCTATCCTTAGCAGTTAATGACTCCCAAAATCTAAACTACCCTCACGAAAACATAATCCCCGACTCAAAGAAATGATCCATAATTTAAACATTACATAAAACACTAATAAAAAGAATTAAAATGCAGCGAATTATTCTTCATTTTATTAGACATAAAGCGTATACAGATCATAAACACTATGACATTCATTCTTTTATCAAACTAGAAGGGAAAAGATTGCCCTTAAAAAGAATATCTCAGTAACCACATGTACACCCACAAAAGATACAAACAAGCCCAATACTTATCTTCAATGGAAGATTTGAAGAATAAAATTTGGCCTGTAAAGATTCTTGTCATGTACAGAACCTACCAAAAACGAGATCCGATAACAAACAAGATCTCCACCCCCGTCTTCTTCTATCTACAACAAACAACAAATTCGTGTTATTTACAAGACTTGCTCTGCGTTCACGTCTCTGTTTCCAGGAACAGCTCCTTCCTTGGGGAAGCAAATAATGCCACTGATATGTCGGCGAGATTTTTCCCATTTAGTCTCGACTTGTAAGATCGTGGAACCTTTGGTGCATTTGGTGCCTCAATATCTTCGAATTCGCTTGGATTTTCGAAATCGATTGAAGTTCGAAAAGCTGGAGTCTTTTTTGGCGTACTATAGGCGAAGTGCCATTTTTTAGCAACCAAAGTCTGTTAATCCAAAATAAACGAAATAATCAGCAATCACTCACTCATAATCAAAGCAATCAATAAGTTAATCAATGAATAAACTAAAAATGTTCAAATGCACTTACAGCTTCTCTAATTACTGTGGAGACATGGAAAAGCTGCTTCAGATCATCATGATCCACACCGCAGAGAATCTTAACCTGCAAAACAAAATTAGAAATATTATCACTAACAGTCACTAATAGTTGAATTAGAAACCAGAAGAGAATTATCCGAGCTTAAGAATCTAGTATTAATACTAACCAGAATATCCTGAGGCAGGCTTTCAAGAGCAGATTTTTCAGGCTCTAAATTGCAATGCCTTTTCAATGGAGTTTGGATAGGCGAATCGAGAGGCAAAAAGTCTTCACTGTTTGAAATTAAAATCCTTTTTCTTCCAAAACTTCGTGTATATTTCACGAACCCAAACCCTAATCCCTCTTCACCAAAAATTCCAGTACGCCTTGACTTCATTGAATTGCATCTCCTTCCCAATGCCATTATGAGCAAGATATTCAAATTCAAATAACAAATCTTCTTTCCTAAATCTGCAACCAAACAAAGGGAAGCCAAAATCAACATCAGATTAGGCTAATCAGAAAGCAGAAACGAACAGAATTAGAAACAGAAGCCAGTATCAAAACCAAATCAAAAGAAGACCTTTTTGAGTTTTTCAAAAACAGAAGGAGATCGATAGGAGAATATATGAGCAAATCTCCAAGAGAGAGAAAGACAGACCTTTATAAAACCCTAAATTTGAGAGAGAAAGCGTTGCTGTTAAGGTAAAACCCTTGTTAAGTGGCGAAAATGGAGTCAGAACCGTGTTTGAAGTAGAGAGAGTTTTCAGTTTTGCTTTAAAAATGTAAAGTGGCGTTTATATAGCGTGGAAAAGATAGTGTTCTACTCTTTTTAAAATGGAAAAAATCCGTAGCACTGATAATAAATATAAATAATAAATAATAAAACAACAAATAAATAAATAAAATAAAAATGAACATCTATTCGGTAACGCGGTTAACGCCAGAAAGTACTGGACGATTCCAGTGAAAAAATCTTCCTCCGTGCGGGTTAAAGTTATCCTTTTGGCGGTTAAAAAAATAAAATAGTGGAATAGGGGAAAACTAGCCGTTTGAGTGGTGTACGTGGCGAAAGATAACTCGAGATAGGAAGGAACTTGTGTGCTGGCTCCTGTGACGTGGCTATGGTCGGTCCAAGTCGGCTGCGTCGGTGTCTTCTCGAACACGTTTTTGTGTTTTTTAACTTTTTTTTTATTTGATAAGGGTGTGCCGAATATTTGTTTATAGTGGCAGGTGACTGGGCAATATGTACGTGGCAGAATGGTTGTGGATGGTGATGGGTGGATGTCTGAGTGGATGGTGGGGATTTGAAGTGAATGTGCTTATCGGAAGATGAGAGAAGTAGCTGAACCGTGTCCAATGGTTTGTTTGACTAAAGATTCCGAAACGGCGGCTGACCGGTGGTCGTTGGTTAGCTTGCGGGTTGCGAACGATGCTAATCTAAAAAGTGAGTCAAAAACACGTCAATAAAGCTTTTTAAACTTTAATAAAAACGAATGATGGCTAAGAAAAAAGCATGTCTTTTCGCCTTAATTAGCAGACAGATCTTGTTTTTTCGTCGGGGATTCTTGATCCTAACAATAATTACTTTAATTAATTAACTGAAATTGCAATATAGTAGTAAGTTTAAGACTCAATACCAAGTAAACCAAAAGAAAACTGGTAAGGCCTTCCAAATCAAGCTCTTAAACGCCTTTCTCAGTGACTAATTATTGCTCAATCAATACTTCAATATCAACTACTTGTAAAATCTCCTCGGAGATGACATGTCGCAAATCTTTTATCCAAATTTAATCTGCAAGTGAACAGCCAAGGTTTCTTAAATCTTCTTGACAAAATTCCGATTCCATGGCAACTGATAGAGACGAATGAAGAGTATCATCCCTACTGTATACGCTGTCAAGACAATTATGTTGTCTCTTTAGTTTATGAGAAGGTTGTTCTCTGGTTTGGCTCTTATTTTAGAAGGTGCAATTGAAGAGAGTTTCTTTAACTTCTCTGTTATGAAATTTGTTTTCCGCCTCCTCTTTGAATTAAAGAGTGATATGAGAAACTAATACAGGAGAAGCTTTTAAATCAGAGATTTCCTCGCAATGTGAAATTTATAGGGAAAGTTTTCCCTCGGTTTGTGTCTGACCGAAAGCGGAATTTTCAAGTAATAAATGGGCCTACACAGAAAACATGATTGGACAAACTTGGGCCTCTATTAAATTAAAATGCTAGTCGACTGCAAATGAAATGAGCTGTAAACCACATGATGAAAGTTGCCACGTGGCTGTCTCACGTCCAGATATGTTGCCATCTGGTAAAAGTACATTATGACAGTGGTACCAATCTTCCACGTCGCGTGGATCAGCGTCACACTCTGCAACGTGGCAGAGACACGTGGTAGTGCCACATCAGCAGACTGGCAACTGCCACACCATCAATGTGAGCACACAGATGCTAGTCTGACACGTGGCTTCTGACAACAAAAATGCTGCCGTGTGGCAACTCGTACGCACCTGCCACATGTAGAGTTCCCTATCAGCATTATTTGCCGCGTTGGGGCAATATGCCAAGTGGCAACATCCATGTCATTTGTGCTTGCCACATGGATAGTATCATGCCACATTGTTGCCACATCATAACATACTGCCATGTACATAGTTACACGTCATTTCATGACAGCCACGTGGATAGCCACAACCTCAACTTTCTTTATGTTCAAGTCTACCGTATTTCTAGTCTAAAAAAAAAAGAAAAAAAAAAAGAGGTCTACCATATCTCTATCGAAGCCTCTATAATGTAGACTTATATTTCTATGGAGTATCACTTGTTTTGCATGGAAACGAAGAATGTACAACATTTAGGTAAACGATGATGGTCTCTGTTTAGTTTGACATAAGATTAAGTAAGGTGTCTCCATTTCAGCTGCAGGGCACTGCAGAGGGACTCAAGAATCCTGGTGGTGCAAATCACTTTCTGATTGACTGTTAAAATCACCAACTTGGACATCGGTACCATTTTCCATTGCAGAAGCATAGAAGAAACTCCACACTGAGGCGCAGTTTTCATCATCTGCATTAAACAGAATCAGCATATCAATTAATATAATGTGTATACATTTACAGCTTCAAACTCGTCATAAAGATTTCACCAAGAATTCGATCTTGGAAATTTCACTTAAGCTCATCAATGTTTAACTAACAGCTTCAACATTGAAACAAAAGGTTCAACTTAAACAATGCCAAAACTCATTTGCTCATTATTACATGGTTTATGAGTTTTTGCCGTGGAACTAGGCCGTCTCCTCTCACCTTTTTCATTGAAACAGCTATAATATTAAAATATACCATGCAGCAAATTCACACAATGCAAACTAGAAGGGCAGGAAAAATATTGCATTTGCATTTGGCTTAAAACATGTCTAGATAACTGTGGAAAGCATTGGATTACGTTTAATACCATTCAAAAGCAAATTCTCATGGCCATCATCAGGAACTTGAAATCTTCGATGTCCTGATGAAGAGGCTGCCATAGGCAGGAATGGATGGAATGAGAAACCACTGACTGTGTCTGTGTGGTATAGAGAACAAAAATTGATCAGAAAAGGAAAGACTAAGCATAACTAAAAAGCCCAACTGTATAGCTTGAAAGGATATGGCTGAATACCTGCTGCAGCCTGAAAACTAGATGTCCATTGTCCAGTTTGTAGATCATATATATGAACCAACCCATCCTGAAAGCGAAGATTTAAAAAATATATATTAAATATACCTGCAGCAAATATCACAAACCCAATGGCAAACTAGAAGGCAGGAAAAATTGCGATTCTTGCATTTGGCTTAAAACATGTCTAGATAACTGTGGTAAAGCATTTGGATACGTCTTGAATACCATTCAAAAGCAAATTCTCATGGCCACATCAGGAACTTAAATTCTTTCGATGTCCTCTGATAAGAGGTGCCATAGGCAGGAATGGATGGAATGAGAAGAACCACTGACTGTGTTCTCGTGGTATAGAGAACAAAAATTGATCAGAAAAGGAAAGGACTAAGCATAACTAAAAAAAGCCAACTGTATACTTGAAGGAATTATGGCTGAATACCTGCTTGCAGCCTTGAAAACTAGACTGTCCTTGTCCAGTTTGTAGAATCATTATATATGAACAACCCATTCCTGTGAAGAGCGAAGATTTAAAAAATACATATATATTATATCATATATATATATATATATCATATATCCGCTGGTAAATAATGACTATGGATATGTCCATGCCTATATCCGCTGGTAAATAATGACTATGGATATGTCCATAGCCTTTTACTCCACTATGGAAACAATGATATAAGCTCAAATGATACCTGACCACCTGTGCCAAGATGTCGGCCAAAGGGTTCAATATCAAACAATATCCGCTGGTTGGTTTGTTCTGATGATCTGTATAACCTTATAATACAAAGCACATATGAAAATATAAGTATTAAATGCTGGCACATTTATTACATATTCTATCACTGAACTTGCCAACTTGCATTAGAATTACTATGAACTACTAAAATCTTAAGTACGCTAACGTGGACTATCTTTTCCCATAACTTCCACTAGCTTCATAAATACTTAATTTTTTGTGAGAAAAAAGAAGAGCGAGAAAGATAAAACACTTACTTGTACACAACTTCAACAGTTTTTCGCAGATCCCAGCACAGGATATATGGATCCTACAAGGAATATGAACATAAAGTTGTAAATTAAAATATTGGTATAAAACACATTTGAAGATAAAATTAAGAAGTGGTTGCTTATGTGTGTGCAAAAATGCACATGTTTGTCAATGTTTTGCTGGGTTAAATATCCTGTTATAGATTGTAGCACATGTGCGTAAGCAGCACCATGGTAAATAATTGTCATAGAATATATTACAAATAAAAAGTGCAGCTGTCCTGCCTCTGACATGGAAAGAGCTTGAAACAGTACAAGCTTGGATTAGCTGCAAGTTCTAGTCTGATCTACAATTCTTCCTTTTGTAGATTAATCCAAGAATGCGAAAAATGATCCTTAAATCAGCATTGCTAGAAAAAATACACATTTTGTGTTCTGGGCATCCATCCTCCAGGATACTCAATGTGCTAAATATAGCAACAAGAAACAAAAGCAAGAAAAAAAAGGAATAAATTTAGTTTATTTTACGTACCTTCCTTCCTCCAGTATAAAGATAGTTTCCATCTTTTGAGAATTGGACCTGAAAGGAAAAACAGTTAGAGCCTTATTCATGGCCACCATGATCAATATCAAAATAATAACAATTAATTCTCACTTACATGTGTAATCCCACCTTCTTGACCATGTAAAACATATAAGAGTTCCATGTTATCCTCCCTAAAGATTGCTGCAGTCTGGCTATAAGAACCAGTAGCTAGCATTCCACTACGAGTTGGAGAAACAGCAATGGCAGATATTATACCTATAGATATCAAAAGAAATTGAGGACATCAGTGCTTTATCACTTCTATTAGCTATCAATGATCATTTGTGCAACCAAACTAATAAATAAACCTGTTTGCCCCTCTTTATTTCCTTGGAGGGTCGAGTATTGCTCAAAATCTCTGCCAGGCCGATGAATATCAAATACTCTTACTGATTTGTTGTATCCAGCAAAAATCCTATAAGACAAAGGAAGGATTGAAGAAAATAAAATTCAATGTTGTTGAATTCTGAACTAACATCAATAAAACTAAACAAATGAACCCAGACTGATGACAACTGGCAGTCTACCAAATGACACAGCTCTTTGTTTCATTTTTTGCTATGTAAACAACATTTGCACACCAACGTAAGACTCAAATCCATAAAACTCCAAAAGACAAAGTTCCAGTCCATCAAAGAAGACATTCAACATATGGTTATGACAGATGAAAACCATAATCAGGCAAAGTATAAACTTTCCAAAGAACATTTTCTTACTTGGTCCCAGCAGGATTAAATGCAATTGAAAAGGCAGCCGTAATTTCATCCACAGCATCATAAGCACGGTATGTGCAACGCAGCTGCAATTGTCAACATTTATGATCAAAGATCAGATGAACATAATAACATAAATGAGCTGAAAGGAAAAGTTATTTCTTTTTTCTATAACAGGAACATGTAGAATTTCTACTCTTTGCTAGTCAAAGTATACTTATAGCAGCCAATTAGGCAAAAGCAAATAAACTATTTAGAATCTTAAAGAATCATTCATCTCATCTAAAAAGATGGCAATAAAAACCATAAAACAATAAAACAAATAAAGAACAGAATACCAGGCCAGAACTAGCATCCCAAAGATGAATTGGATGGTCACGAGTAGTACTAGCGAATACACAACTAACAGGTTCTGAAAAGCGAAGCAATTTGAAGTCAAACATACACAATATAACATCAGAGAAAATTGAAACCATGTAGTATAAATTGAAAATTAAAAAAAAAAAAAGTTCAACGGAAGCACCTGAAGCAGTCATATATGGGTACCAACAGAAGTCATAAACGGACTCCCCTTCATTCACAACAAGGCTGGCATCATAGGAATCTGAGAGCCACATGAACACCATAAACATAGAATAAAGGAAACAAAATGAAAAAAAAAAACGAAAACTACTTGCTAATGCTTTAGATTTGCTTCTTGTATGAACAATAAACCGTAAGCTTACCTTCATCGACATTTATAGAACATGCATTAGAATCACTACCGCTTCCATCATCTGGTCTAATCATAAATAATATGTTATTTTATTATCCATAGAACAATTAAAGAAAATATCTGATCCCATTTCTGTACTATGTATTAAAACCGATGATAGCATAAAGACTTACAATGAGAATAGACGCAGCGTATTGTCCTCCGTGCTCGTTAAAAAACACGACCCATCTGGAGACCTTAAAAATTAATAAAACAAATTAAAGTTAAAAAGAAGAAAAACAACAGAAGTGTAGAAATGGACAAAGTAAATGCAAGACATGATACCATTTAACGCCTTTGAGGAAATTGTTAGCGTTTGAACTAGTCCTGAACTGCTTGTAGAAATGGTGGATTCTCCGTGGAGGCAAATCGAACCTAATTAAAGGCCACGAGTAGTCTTGTTCAATCGATTGTGTGGTCTCTGTAGCTACTTCCATAGCCTCCTGCTGCTCTCCTTCTCCCATTGGATTCCCGGTTTCCGATCCGAGAGCGGGTCGGATTGAGAACGAGAAGCAAGGCTGAGCTTTAAATTGGGAGCCGGAAGGGTTTATCTGAGGTTCCTGCTTTTGAGATTTTGCAATTAGCGCCAAAACTAGTACTGTGAAGGAGTAATCTTTAATTTTGCAATAATTGCATCTACTGAAGATCAAGTAAATTATACAACTTAACTTGTAGAGTCCACAACTTCAGTGGTCGATGATTAAAGCGCACTTAATCCCACCATAGTTTTATAGAAAATATTTTTTTAAACTAAAAAAAATTTAATTGGTCTCTCACTTGATTCCATTTTGATCGTATAGAAAATATTTTTTTAAACAAAAAAAAATCCGGTTGGCCTTCTCACTATTTATAAAATATATGTTACAAAGAGTGTTTAAAATTATATTTTTTTTAAATGATCTTTTTCATAAATAACAAATGTGTTCCAATTTCAATTTCTTCTTGATGCATGTCATTCTTAAATTGAGAATAGTACCTAATTTACAGTCCCTTCCCTGATACGAGAATAAGAGAACTCGAAATGTAGTACTGTTAACTTACTAATAGGAGCGAATGCAAACAATCTGATGTAATTGTTTTAGAGTGATAAAGATACTAACAATCTTAACAACTCTGTGATCTAGTTTTCTCCTTAAACGTGCATCAAAATAGGCTCTTGAATGCAAAATCCGCACTTTGCTAAAATAAAAATGTCCCTTCCAAAATCATCACAACCTCTTAAGCACCTGTTAAGGAATACGGAATGAGCAGAGTTCCCCTAAACATATATAGAACATGAGCAACGATAAAATAATATAATTTTATTCAATGAAATTGTGATTACAGTACATAAACTGTCACAACTATTTGGATTTGCCAGGTTGTAGTTTCATGGCCATTATGTTTATAAGAGAAGATAACATCTCAATGGAATGAGAGAAATTTCACAATCAATGTTTTTTCTTTCCAATTTTCCATGAAATATATGAATCATTGCCATCACAGTGAAGAGCCTCTCAAATATGGATCATCCCTGTATTTTGAGTACAACGGAAGATCCAAGGCTCTCTCTGCAATTCTTCTGTCCTCGTGAATCTTCGCTATCAAGCTCTCAAGTGATGGGAAATTGGCCTGTTATTATCCAAGCCCAAACTTTAGCACAAATTAAATGAAATATTGAGACTGGTTTGAGAAAAAGGGGGAAAGAGATTGCAGAAAGAAAAAAGAAAGAAAGGAAACACTAATCAGCATTAGTGATACCTCAGGTCGAATATAGCCAACTATAACAAGGCGCAACTCCTCACCATAGAAATCTTCTTCAAATTCATGAAGCAGCCATGGTTCCTGTAAAATTAACTAGAATTAGAAAATAGCAAAAACACATGCTTAGCCCACTTTTAACCTGTTTCTACACTCACTATAGTCTTCTCTGTGTTGTTAAAATATGGGTTCCAACCAATACTCATGACCATTTTATACACGCCACGTGTTGATAGTCCAGCCCAACCAAAATACACGCCCGAGGGATGTTGTGAAAGCACTGTTGAATAACCTTCTGTTGATATATTAGCTGAAACAAAGATATAACCTATTAGAAGATGAAACAGAATAGAAATAGGATTTACTTTCCTTTAGTATCAAATTCAGTTACAACCTCAAGGTCGTCATAAGAAAAAAGCTGATAGCCACAAGTAAATTGACATTTTAACCAAAGGAACAGAAAAAGATTAATTCTCAATACCAGTGGGTACCCCAAGAACCTTTGAGCCACGACCAAATCCCTTAATTACAGGACCACCAATATGCCAAGGTTCCACAGGTAAGGTATCCTCAATCCCTGCGATTAGAAATCAATTTTACCAATGAGAACTGAGCTGAAAAGAAACTTGTTATGTTATTGAAACAATGATCAAGGTCTTTGATATTTACAATCTTCAAATGCAGGCAGGCCCCATTTTTCAGGACGTAAATCAAGTAGAGAGTTCATCACTTCATCTGCTGATGTATAAAGATGGGACTGTTTTGGAAATGATGGTACAGCAACTACTGCCATGCCAGCAGCCTTACCACCAGTAACACCTGGCCTGCCACATCAAAATGTTCAAATATGTTAAACAGGACAATATGATAGTGTAATGTGCTACTGTAGTTAACAGTTTTTTTGTAAAAAAAGTGCCCAGAGCCAAGAAATGTCCATCGTAAAAGTAAATTAAGCAAATTTCATACATATAAAAGGAAAGAAGAATTTCACTGCAGGCTTTTTTTCACTATCTACCCAGTTTAAACTGTTTGCTGGACTGTTTGACGGTTGACGGCCACAAAAAAGAAACTCATTTTTTATAATTGTAACCTCTCCATATGCAATTGCAAGCTAATTATCATAGGATACATTATTGTGCTTTCTAAGAAATAACACTCCCCCCTCCTTATGAAATGGCATTTGACCCCCTTATTTTTTTTGTCCCCCACAAAATGTAAAATAAAAATTAACCTAAAATTCTTGCCTTTTTGGGTGCAAAATATTATGGCAAACTATAAGGCTAAAAAAATAGAGAATATAATAAACAGCATATTTGATTGTGAGGCTTTGGTCACTAAATTTTAAGTATATTTGCCAATAACAAAATCTATTTTGAAATCTGATTTTCTTTATTCTTTTCTTTTTTTTCTTTTGGCAAGAGTAAAGAGTTTAATAATTAGCATACTGATTTTAAAATTTTATAGTCTCTTATATATGGTTAACCAAAATTGTTATTTTTAACTTTGGTTCTTAAAATTGTTAAAATTTTTCCTACAGGTGAAATAGAAAGGACAGATGAATAAAAGTAAAACTACCAAGTAATTTATTTGCTGCACTTACAAAGAATCTTCAATGACTAGGCAACTGGAGGGATCAATATTTAGCCTTCTAGCTGCTTCCAAAAATCTTCAACAGCAAAATACAGAGTTATATTTAAGAACATATGAATATTTCCGAGACAAATAAAAGACAATCCAAAGAAGAAAATATGGAATTGTCATATATCTATCTTACATTTCTGGAGATGGTTTACCAGTTTTCACTTCATCACCGCCAATAATGACAGAGAAGGATTCCTTCCAGCCTATATGTAGGAAAAATAAGCAAACAAGTTCAAATAGACCAGGGCAATCGATTTATCCTTGGGATAAGTAAAAAATTATAATATTCACATGATAAAAATAGAAAACATCAATACATTAAACTGTATAAAAAAAGCTAACCCTGGTGATGTGAAATTTTGGATTCTACATTTGCCCTTGGAGAGTTTGATGCTAATGCCATAGGCACATTATGACCCCTCAAATGCTTAATTAAGCGATTGGCACCGGGAAGTGCTTTAATTTTGCACATCCTACAGGTTTTAAAAGAACAGTTTTTGTTATTTCAACCACTGGGAAAATACCGTTGCTAAAATGAATTCGAGAAAATTCATTTGTTTATTAGTCAAAAAAAAAAAAAAGAAAAAAAAAGCATTGTGGTTCAACAAAGATCCCTGATCCATACAGATAATATTCAACAAAATTGAGTGTAGAGATTAGTATATTACTGAGCGGAGAACATAGGGGTGAGCTCTGTGATAAATTCTTCTGTTGAACAAGGAAGCCCATAATCTTCCACAACAGCAGTAGCAGCTTCCAAGGGAGTCTTTCCTACTATTCTAGTAGCTTCCCTCCCATCCCACTGTTTCCCATACTTGATCAAACAAACTTTTAAAACATCACTTACTATTCCATCTATCATGAAATTGAAAATCGAACTGTCAGCAAACAAGGGAAAAATGGCACAGAATCGGAAGGTAAGAAGAAAGCAGATGGCAAAGCATTAATGAAACAAAGAAAAGAGAATATTCAACAAAACATGGATTTTCAGTATATGATATTTATGTGTGAGAGGATTCACAAATATAATGGTGATGCTAAAAAGCATAAAGATAGTGAAATTCAGGTTAAAAGCATAAACTGACCTGTATTGATAAGGGTACCATCTAAATCAAGGATAACAGCAGACACAAACTTCTTCACAGGGCTTGCCATAAACTATTTAGAAACCATGCATCACCAAGATTGTACTCCCATTTTAAGAAGAATGCATCTGAAACATACCAGCAATTGGAAATACCAGAAATAGATTCAAAATTAAAACTTGGCTTCAATCAATTCCGCTAATCCGTATTCCATTAGTGCCCAAAAAAATGCATATTCGACATGGATTTTTGCGAATCGTATTTTTTCCTGACTTTCTATTAGTCATTTTAGCAAACAACATTCGTTCGGGAAAAAAAAAGACAGTAAATATGTAAAACAAATTAAGCAAATTAGCATAGAACTTTTAAATCAGAATAAGAAAACTGTACCTTGAATCAAATGAGAAAAGGCAAAGGATAAAACTAGTATCAGTCTCTGAGCTCTGCACAAAATTTGTCTGTTTCTAGAAAACCGTTTATAGAGAGAGGACTGAGAAATCGAGAAGCCAAATATGGGATTTTCTAGTTTGCTCGCATACTACTTCTACTCGTACCTATGCCAATAAGAAATGATGGCCTGTCCACAGTAGTGATTTGTGGGAGAACCAAGCAGCTATTATTTTCCAAAGCCCACAATTCTAGTCGTCTAGACTATGTGTAAATTCTAGTAAAGGATAAAATTAAAGATTTAGGACCAAAATTACTTCCTCCAAAACAGGGAAAAGTATATAAATTGTAAAGCCAGGAGCTTTCCTACTTTTCATTTCCACCCAAATCAATTTACATAAAATTGTACTAATAATAATAAATAATAATACAAACATGGTTGATTGTGACACGGCGCATACATAATACGGCGATGAGTAGTATATTCCATTTTTTGTGCTTCACGGGTCAATTGGCTCACGTCCAATCCTAACAAGAAATATAGATGGGCTTTCTATTTGGTGCCACGCGCTGCATAATTTCGTTTCTTAACAATTCTTCTTCAAGGTTGCCTTACAAAAAGAAGGTTAGTTTGAGCCCGAAATACGGAGAATACGAACACGCAGCCAACCCTGATATTGGGCTGAAGTCAAGCTTGGTGTAAGACCTCTGCCTAGCCTGAGACAGAACTTAACACAGTCCGGTTACTGGACAGTTCTTTTCGGCATATAATTCTGGCACAAGAACACATGCATTTCAAAATGCCTTCCCCAACTCTTTTACAACAGGTTAATATCATTGTTATATGTTAATTGCTTGAAGTTAAAATTTCAAACTAACAACGACAAACTTTTTGTGCAGAGATATGTGGGTTGTAGATTGAACAGAATGGCAGTAGTCCTATCAATCATCATATCAGTACAAGCAATATGTGCCCGGTAAAACTCAAATAAGCATGAGGATTTAATAATAATAAAAAAAGAACGTACAAATAATCTGCCATTTACAAATATCAAAAAGATGTGGAGTGTAAATTAAATAGAGGGGCCTCAGTCTTATCAATCATCATATTACACAGGCTACATATGCCAGGTAAAACTTCAATAAGATGAGATTGTAAAGAAGAAAATATAGAGAGACATTTATTCTTTATAAAACTTGTACAAAATTCGGGAGTTCCACAGAAATTTCTTCTTAAGAAGTGAAAACTGCTTCCTTTTTACACAAGAGAGTCAAGAAAGTTCTTGAACATCACTTGGGAAGCAGAACCACAGCATTAGGAGAAGATCTTGGGAAGCTTAATAATTTTTCAGCTACTTGAAGTACATTCTCTCTTCTAGATTGACGGTGTTCACCAAATGCATCGACTATGACCATCTTCTCTAGCCTCCTTGCATTCTTAAGTATAAACTCAACAAAATCAATTACTAATACATACTCACCAGACCTTGTACGAAAGTCGATAATCTCAACTGTCTTTAGATGCAATGACAAACAAATTGTTTTTAGTGATGCCCAATAGTTGTCTCCAAAATCATAGGATTTTGCAAATTTGCGGTCAAAATTGAACTGCAATCAGAGATGTTGTTAGGCTATGAGTTTATGCATATGATTATAGTTTATATCAATGTTTGTTGCAGGTTAGAGCTATCTCCACAGAATAGTTTTAAATATTGGTAGTAGTGTAAGTTAACTGTCATTCTTTTGAAAATTCATGTTAGTTAAAATACTCAGAGCAAATGATCCTCTGGCCTTGATTATAAGACCTGCAGAAACTCAACCTCTATCAAAATCTTAAGTGAAGTTCCTAACGTAGTTTACCTGCAAAGTTGTGGCCCGATGCTTCATAATTAATTTCTCTAACTCAGGTGAACTGCGAAGTAGACTCGCAATCCCGGGGAGGTGCCAATTCTCAAAATCATAAACGCTTAGAGTTAAGCATTTGCGATTTGACAATGGAGAAGGCAGACCTTTGACCTCTAATATTGACAAAACCTTTGCAAATCAAGTGAAAAAAACGAACAACAACAAAGTGAAAAAGTCAGTTTCAAATTTCTAATAGTTCTATCAAAGAATTGCAATCAAGTAATAATTTTCCATTCAAAAATAACAGCAACAACAAAGAAATTATCATTTGATATATACTAACACATATAACAAGAACAATAATATTTACCTGAATACACCAATTCCCAATTTTTAGCTCCTTAACATGATGAACCTTCTCAAGAAGCTGCCTCACAAGATTTTGATACTTGACATACTTATACAACTTATTACCACGTTCTTTGTCAACTTCCAAGTAAAAATCGAGTGTAACACTGACCAAGGATGACACATTCATTAACTTACACTTCCTTTTACCCCAATCGGCAAGAATTTTCAGTTTTTCCACGTAAGGACTGGAGATTTCAAGCAGTGAATCATCTTCTTCATCTTCATAGCCTTCTGCAACTCCATCTATCACCAATTTTTTCAAACATTTTGATGAAACATCAATGCGATGAATCCTTGGACACCAGTGCAGTTTTAAAGATTCTAGCATCGGACTGCCAGATAGAATATTTTCAACAACTTCATCTGTCAAATTAGACTCGTATATATCCAAAACCTTGAGTGACCTCCACTCCACATTTCCATCAATCGCGTAATCACAACGTGTGGTCTTCAATTCACGCAACCAATGGTTCTTGTACAAGAATTGGGGCAAAGTATAATGATCCCAATCGTCGTGTTCAAAAAGGTCCAAAGCAAGCTTTTCCACTTCACGTTCAGTGGCAAAACGAACCCACGATTCAATTCTTGGTTGCAGCTTGCTAAGCCACCTTCCATTATGATCGATGTCAATAGCAAAGTTCTTGATTTTCGGAGAAGCGTACTGAATTAGGGCTTTGTCAACGAAACTGGCGAACTGTCTAACAGATTTGTAACTTTCGCCGAGTTCGAAAGTGAGGTTTGGGACATGGGTCCATATGTATTGCCACCGTTTAGATAAAACGCTAGTTTTAATAACGTCTTCTGTTGATGGCAGAAAGGAGAGGATGTGATGGGTGAGGGAATCATGTAAGGCACTAATGCGATCTTCATTTTCAGGAGATTTGAGTCTTTTGTAGCTTCTATCTTCAACAAAATCAATCGCCTGCGAGCTTCCTTGAGTTCCTTCTTCTTCACTTCGATTATGGCTACTACTTTCCTCTTCCATGGCAAGAGGATTTCAACGAAGAAGTCAAACCCTGCAGGTTCTTACAGCGAGGGGCAGAAGGGACCAACACTGTGAAGTGTAAGAGCAGATTTTACAAAAACTTTTTGGGCTTATCTCTTGGACAATAAAATAGGGCCTACCAAACTTTAAAATAGCCGAACTTATATTTGTTACCACTATTTGATTTAGGGATCATATAGAATACGATACAACTAAACTAACTCGATGCAGCTCTCGGAGGGACACATACAGCTCCACTCCCAAAAACATATAGTCTTCACGTAGAGATTACTTACTAAACCGTATTCATAACGCCACTTATAAATTAAATAAATGAAATTAATAATTTTTTAAAAGACAATCTGATTTTTTTTTTCAAATATATAATCAAAAATATATAATCAAAAATATTTTCATTTGATTTCAATAAAAATTATTATTTTCATTAATTTGATTCATAAGTAGAATCATGAATTCGGTTTAGATAAAATTTTTCTATCCTCGCATATGTTACACTGATGGTCATATTTTATTTTTGTCTAGAAGTCAATTACATTAATTAATTTCATATTTGCGTTACATAGGCCATTACTTGCAAATAGGAAACAAAACCACAGCATGAGGAGATCTAGGGATGCTGAGCAATTTTTGTGACAGTCGAAGAAGATGATCTGTTTTATTTGCAACATGAAAGGGATAAGCATCAAGTATCGCCATCTTCTCTAGCACTCTTGCATTTCTAAGCAAAAACTCTACAAATGCAAGTGCACGTTTATTCCCAAGTAAATGTTCTTCCCAGCTGACAATCTCTATGTTCTTGAGATGCAATGACAAGCACCTGAAAATTCTTCTCTGTGATGTCCAATAATTCTCTCCAAGATCATAGCTGTTGGTGAAGTTATCATCAAAATTGAACTGCAAAGAATGTTTAGGCCAACAATATATCTAAACATAGACATTATTAATTTATTGATGAAATTTGAAATCAGGATGTAAAGTCATACCGGGTAACTTTTGCCATAGGATAATTTTATAACTAATTTCTCTAGCTCAGGTGAATTGTGAAGAAGATTAGCTATGCCAGGGAGAACCCAGTTTTCGAAATAGCGAATGTTCAGAACTAAACATTTGCGAGTTGATTCTGGAGAAGGCATAGCTTTAACCTCTAGGATTGACATAACCTTCAATCACATGAAAAACAAAACCATGCAAATCCAATTTAGATATACTATTAGTAAAGGCGTGAACACTGAGATATGATAAACGTAAAGTTTTTGCTATGTTCTGCCATTTTTGGGACAGAGCAATAGGATTAATACCAATTAGAAAATGCAAAGAAAACAAACCTCAATACACCAAGTCCCGATTTTAAGCTGCTTAGCATGCTTAACCTTCTCAAGAAGTTCCTTCACTGCGTTTGAATATATGTCATACAAATCAGTTCCAACTCTCCCGTAATCACCGAACTTAAAGTCCAAGACAGCAACTACCAAAGATGACACATTTATTAACTTGCACTTCCTCTTTTCCCAATTTCCCAGAAATTTCAGTTTCTCAAGGAAAGGACCACAAATTTCAAGAACAGAATCATCTTGTCCGCCTGTAAGATCGAAAATATGATATATCACCAACTTCTTCAAACATTTTGACGTAATGTCAAGGCGATGAATCCCTTGGCAGTAGTAAAGTTTCAAATATTCAAGTGAAGGACTACCACATAAAATATTATTCATTACTTGGTCAGTCAACGTGGCATGCCCTATGCTCAAAACCTTGAGCAATCTCCAGTTCACTCTTTCTTCAGGTAAGAAATTGCAAAACGACGTTGTGAGCTCTTTTAGGGATTTGTGACTATACAAGAATTTTGGTAACGGGTAAGCATCAGAATAACTATGGATCACTGTATAGTTATCTAATGCACAGAATTTCAAGGTTAGCTCCTCAAGGTCACGCCTCGTAGCGAAAAGAATCCATGATTCTACTCGCGAATAGAGTTGGCAATATTGCGGGTAATCAAGCTCAAGGTGGAATTTCTTTGTTTTGGAAGAAGAGTAAAGAGTCAGTGTTCTGTCGAGAAATTCACAGAAGTTTTCGTAGAAATCAGAACTGTACCCATCGATCCAACGGAAAATGAGGCTGGGGACTTGAGTCCACTGATATTGCCATCTCTTTGACAAAACGGAAGTTTGTACTGCGTCTTTAGTCGATGGCAGAAAGGAGAGGATGTAGTGGATGACGGAGTCGGGTAATGCGCTAATTCGATCTTCTTCATCATGAAGTTTGACATTTTGGCTGGTTTGTTGAAGAAATTGGATGACTGGTAGATCGGAATAGAAAGTTTGGTCAACTTCTCTTTGACCTCGGCTGTTCAGTGGAGAGAGATGATTACCTTGGTTCTCCATGATCTCTTTTCTGAAAACAGGGGAGTTGAAAACTTCATATTATGACCCGTTCATTTCAATGTTTACAATATGTAAACTTCAATAAGATGATTCCAAGATCAATTCATAAAAAAAAACAAATATGATGATTCCAAGATGTATAATTAACGTCAATTTCACCTTCTCGATGAAGTGGATATTATAAAAAAAATTGATTAATAAATTATTTTGCCATGTTTTCTATGAACATTTTTTTTCCTATTGCTCTATATCTTAATTCTTGACTCTTTTTACTTCTAGTAAAACATTATGTCAACAGGTCGTTGTAGTATGGTGGTGAGTATTCCCGCCTGTCACGCGGGTGACCCGGGTTCGATCCCCGGCAACGGCGATTATTAGTATTTTTTATTTTTAAAAACATATTAATTCGCTTTTACGCATGGGCTTCTTGGTAATCGAGCCCATAATTGCTTTTACAAGAAACGGCCTGTCGTCCGGAAAGAAAAAGCATTGATAATTTGGGTTTGTGCGAGCTATAAAAACCCGCCCTGTAGTCTGTTTCCCACTTCATCGCCTAGCAACACTTCTGCTCCTACGCCACCGGCTACTTATTTTTTCTCCTTTAGTTCTTACTTCTACTTCACTAAATTCTTATGCTTCCACTTCTATTTCACTAAACGAAACACCGGTTACGGTTTCTACAACAGAATTTCTTTCGCATTTTTCTTCAATCATGGAAACTGACGAGGAGCAACCAGTGCTTCCATTTCAGCTTCAATTCGACAAACCCGTAGCCTCTCAGGTTTTTTATCCTACTTCCCAAATGTGGTTGTGTGTATATATCAGTGCACAGTCACTCACATTTTTTTTTTTTTCATAAATACTTTGATAGATTAAAATTGCTGAGTGGAACCCAGAGAAGGATTTATTAGCAATGGTGACAGAGGATTCAAAGGTTTTGCTCCATCGCTTCAATTGGCAGAGGTTATGGACCATCTCCCCTGGTATTTTATTTTTTCTACTATTTGATTACTTATGTATAAGAGATTGCTGCTTATGGAGTTTTGTATAAGCTTAGTTTTTAGATTTTAGGATTTTTATTTTCAGAATTCGCTTGTCATAAGCAAATATTTGGAGAAGGCAAGATGTCAACGACTGTAACCGTTTTTCTTCGCTGTGTTTCTTTGATCTGCTCTGATATATTGTTTAAATTTCCTAAACTGCTTGCGGTGCTGTTTACTTCACAATGGTGTCCTTCTCGTTTAACTTTATGTAATTTATTTGTCTATGCACAAGCAGACTTCAACCAGGCTAAAAGGCTGTTTAACGAATTCATGTATATTGTTTAGGAAAGTGCATTACATCATTATGCTGGCGTCCTGATGGTAAGGCGATAGCCGTTGGACTTGAAGATGGAACCATTTCCTTGCATGATGTCGAGGTGAATAGACTTCATTTAACTTCTTTTGAAATTTACTGCTTTGGTTTGGTTGGGTGGTCTTAAGCTTTTTTTTATACCATTTTACGTATTCATGGTGTTTGGTTGCTCTTATTCAGAAAATCTGTACTATGTATAATCCTTTTTTTTATTGATTTATTTGTTTACTTTGGTTTTATATTTTACTGATCTCCAGTACTATATGTCAAGCAGAATGGGAAGTTATTGAGGAGCTTGAAATCTCATACTGTTGCAGTTGTGTGTCTTAACTGGGAGGAGGATGGACAACTAAAAAGGGTATGCTGCTTCTTCTTCTTTTTTTTTTTGGCCATCCATAGGGATGAGATCTATCAACAGAATTCTTATCACCTTCTATTTGAAATTTACTCTCTTAAATACTAACAGATGAAAACATCTTCATTTTTTTTTTTCCAATTGGGTTGATCTGTTTATTTTTCTGTCTATTTTCTTATGAGTAGCAATTTATATCATTACTCCCATTCTCTTTTCATCTCAATTTCAGATTGATTGTTGTAACTTCTCAACATATGAAGACCGTACTCCTCGTTTCTTCCCTCCTGCTCCAAGGCCACCTAGGATGCCTGGTGTGGTGTCTGGGGATGCCGGTTTCATGGATGACAACGAAGATTCATACCAAGAGTTGTCAAATTCTTCATACCAGCAATTTAATATTTTATGTAGCGCTGACAGAGATGGAAGCATTTGCTTTAGTATTTTCGGAATATTTCCCATAGGAAAAATAGTAAGTTATTGATTAGTATTTTCATTCTTTTTGTAGCTATCTAATGTCAATTGTATCTCAACTTCTTTGAACCCAGTGGAATTCTATTCTGAAATAGTCAGTTGATTCTGACGATGTGATGAATTGTGATTTGTGAGACTATTATGAGATTTGTTAGTTCAGCAGTGTAGGAAACCATGCAGATAGATGAGTCCTTATGCTAAGTCTTAGGCTACAGGCCTACAACAGATGGATAAGAACAAGTCTAGGCTAAGGTAGTGAGTTATCTAAAGATGAGCAACTTTTGAATATATTGATTAATTCACAAAGGCATGAGTTGGTTGGAATATATTAAAGCTACCAGAATAACAGTTTCTATTTCTTAGGCCATTCAACACTTTTTCTCCTGCATTTGTTATTTTATTCGTAGGGGCTTATGGTAGATATTATTGGTATTATTGTGAGAAAATGTACTTCAGATTTTCTTGAAATAAAGTTCATAGCTGAATAATTGCAATACAAATATTGCTTAGTTGTTCCAAGTTTTTTATCAGTTAAAAGAATATATCAATTTATTTGCCTGAGAATCAAATTACGCTGTTCTAACACATCAAATTTCTCTGTTCTTCAGTATCATGTTTATTGTGTCACTTAGTTATCTCTAATACAGAATGTACACGACTTTTCTGTTCCTGCTCCCTTTGTGGATAAGCAATCTGTTTACCAGCTTATGAATGCTTCGAGTTGCAAGGTATGCGTATGCTGTATGCTGATAGCATTAACAAGTATATTTACCATGCTGAGGCAAGATAATGTTAATATATATATTTGTTTTCATTAGGTCGCTTTGTCAAAAGACCTTCGTCATATGATTGTCATGTGCTCAGGAGAACTTAATGATAATATGGTTGGATCGAGAGAAAATCAAATGGCTGGGGATGTTATGCATGGGTCACATGGCTTAGTTCTTGATACTTCCATCTTCTCAAAGAGGTAAGTTTTAAGGAAAGCACGATTACTCACTCTCTGTCTGTAGAACTATACATTTGTAATTTTCCCTTGTTGTGATTCATTCATCATTAAATTTCAAGCTTTTGACCTTTATGAATATTGGACTTGATATGAATATACAACACGAATAATTTACTCTCTTTATCATTGTAGGAAAAGTGAGCTCCATCAATTGGCCCAACAAGCTTCTAATATTGAGGAGTTAACCGAGGTTATCCGGGCATCATTATCAGTGATGTCAACACAGTGGTCAGATGCCATGCGTGTGTTTCATGAGAAGTTTGATTCGCTATCTAATTTGATTGTGGACCATGGTAAATGCAGATAAGGACACTAGATATCATTTTAGCAGTTGTGCAAACTGTTTGTTTTTAGTAATTTATTTATTGATTTTTGTCATTTGCATATAGCCCTGGACTCATCTCCCCAAGAGGAGTTTCTGAGCCTTTTAGGTGGCGCTCGGACTAGTCCTGCAGTACATCAATTTCTGGTTAATACTCTTGGTGAAGTGGTATGCTTGGCTTATCAAAATTTATTTTTCTTAAGAGGAAATTGTAACTATATATTTGGCTCAATCCTTTTTAATGTTTCTTTTTCTTCTTGGTTGACAGGGTGTGAAGCGTGTATCAAAAGTTGTTTGTGGTGCTGGGAAAGAACTTCAGCGTATTGTTCTTGATCATATTCAGGTGCATTATTGCATTCTTTTAACCTGTTAATTCAGTATTCAGGTTAGGGAGCATTTTCTAGAATCTGGTGGATCAGTTAGTACATTATCATCAGGATATAACCAAACTTATTGTGCATGTATGCCAGAGATATTGACTTTTGACAGTCAAGATATTTATGAATACATATATCCTAGAATAGTTTGCTATTTGCCAGCAATCTGATTCACTGAATAAAATAACATATCCACACTGCACATCTATATGAACTATGTCTATGTTCCATACTGCACTTCTATGCTTGTTACTCTTATATGTATGGTATAATGTATCATTTTGCTATATTTTAACTGTTGGTTTGTGTTGTTTGCTTATCTCATAAAATTATTAAAGTAGAAGCCTTGTTGATGGCATATGAATTATTAAGTCTTTAATTTTCCTTTGGCCTTCTATTTTTTCATGCTGATTTGGCTTTGTTTGTTCTGTTCCCATACCAAGAAGGCTTGAGTAACAACTAAGATAAATATTTATTTCCCAGCCTGCTGCAGAAATAATTGCATTTAGAATGGGAGAACTAAGAGGCCTGTCAAGATGGCGTGCTCGCTACCAAGGTATTGGTTTGGATGAGATGCTCATCAATAATGCAACAGAAAAATCAGGCATGATGCTAGTACAAATTGAACGGTTTATGAGGGTTCTTTCATCCGTGGAGCAACAGGTATTGTGATTTGAGGAAGTTAAACTAGTTTCTTGAGGTGTTTCGAACTAGTAAATTAGTCTTCTTCAACTCTATGAAAGAATGGAGATTAGAAGGAACTGAACTGCTGAAAATAGTTGCAGTTTAGAAATGCATTTTTTTTTACTAGAATGCTTTAAGTCCTTATTCTTGAATATAAGATTCAATTTAGTTTAATTGTAGATTTTTTTAAGAACATTTGCTTTTAATAATATGGAGTCAATCAATACTGAAATGGATGACTAACACATGAAAATTTTGTGGCAAGGCTACATGCCCCAACATACTTGTGTGAGATGCCTGAATCAAATTTGGAACAGTTTCTAGATTTGCAACAAAAACCTTTAGGTGGTTGCACTGGATTTATATGGCTTTTAGGTAAGTTATATTTATGTAGGCATTAATCACCCTTGCTTTCCAGGAGGATGAGGATTGTGGCATTACAAAATTATTTGTTATGGGATTAGATAGATTTCTATGGAAAGAAGTTGTCCAAAATCGAAGAAGGCACTTCCCCTTTCGTGAAATCACAAACTAACTCTGTTTTACCTCCAATATTCTTTTGTCTTTTCAGTTCTCAAATTTCTTCAATTGGCTGCTTAAATGTATAAAACTACTTATGCAAGAACCAAGTGATCAGCTTCTGCCATACAACAGGTGGTTTTTTTTTTTTTTTTTTTTTTTTTTTTTTTTTATGCAAGAACCAAGTTTGATCAGCTTTCTGCCAAATCCATAACAAAACAAAACAAGCCGCTGAGTATTTATTATAACTTTTTAATATTTTATTTATTTTTTGTGTTAAAAACATTTCAGGACATCCTTTTTCACATTCAATCTGGTGACTATACAAATCCACATTTCGTTAAGTGAGTCATTTTCCTAGTCATTAACTTAATAATTAAGGCAAGCCGAAACCTATTTAGATTGCTCATAATTTACAAGCTTTAAGACTAACCAAAAGTTCTATAAATAATGACACCAGATCAGTAAAGCAAGTATGCAACAATAAAAGAAACTTAATCTTTGAAGAGTACACCTGTCACCCTCAAAATATTTAGAAAGTACTTCCCGAATATTAATTAGTTAATTGCTACATGTACCTATTACTCAAACTGAAAGATCAATTATACTAGACTCTCTTTTTTTTTTTTTTTTTTTTTTTTTTTTGTTCAATTCAGACATCCTTTTTCACATTCAATCTGGTGACTATCATCAATTTTTGTGGTCATTTTCTTTTTACTTTTTGGCAGCGAACTTGTTGTCATATTCTTGAAGTTCTTATATGATCAAGATCCAGTAAGGCAGTTGCTAGAACTATCTGAAGTCAGTCATAATATTGAAGTTGATTTGTAAGCTGTCTATTCAACTGAAGTCAATTTACAGCTTCTTTTCTCCCACCAATCTTGCCTGTAACATTTCACAGATTGCTATCATAAGCAAACCATGCAAGATTGTAAAATCCTAAGTTGGACATCCACATCATGAAGTAGCTTTGTAAGCTATATTTAACAAACTAAAAGTCTAGTGAAATCTGCTTTTCAATCAAGCTAAAACTAAGATACAATGTTTCAGCATAGAACTGTCTACTTCTATCATTTGATCGAATGTTGAAAGATGAACTTCCAGTTAAGCTCCTGTGTCTAAAGACACTCTCAATAGCATGCTTTTTTGCTAAGGACATGCTTTGATGTTTCACATGGATGCAAATGTTTATAAATTTAGTTTAGTCCAAATAATTCAACACTGCTAAATTTTTCAGGGAAACTATGCAAAGAGTTAAAGAATTAGTTCAGTTTGGAGGCTTTTCAGACTCTGAATATCTGAGAAGGACATTAGCTAAAGAATTTCAGCAAATGGAGTCTAGGTATATCTTCTTCTTTTGATGCATAATCTATCGAACGGTGAATTGTGGTGTTGGGGAGGTAACCATCATGAAATATACAAAATATACTTCTAAGGCTACTACCAGCAAACAAATTCCTAAAATGGTGATGATATTGTTGGGTGTTGAAGATACATGTGACTCTATTATCAGTTTAAACGAGCAAATCAAAAGTAAACACAACTAGCTTAAGCAAGCACTTGGTTGTTATCAGCTAATTTATATTACATTCTTCTTTGTTGACAAAATTTGACTTTTCATACTTACAAGCTATGAATTTATGGCTCCATAAGTTTAGCTTCAAGGAGGCTTTTCACATGCCCTTTAATACAATCTCGAGAAAAATACTATGCAAGGATTTGCTGCCGCTGTTTCCACTTCCGTCCTCATCAGCATCTACATCCATAACAATTCCTATGTCAATATCATTCTACGAGGTACTTTTCTTTTCCTCTGGATAAATTGCTATGAGCTGCCTACTAATTTCATTTTTGTTCTCTCCCTCTCTTGCTCAAGTGGGTGTTAATTTGCAATTGCATGACAATTGGGTGATTAATGCCAAATCAATTTGTAATGCTATACCATTTCATCCATTGTACTATATATTTAACCTCATCCATGAAAACTTTTTGTTTAGTTCTAATATTTCTTTTTTTCATTTTTCTCCTGTAGGAAGACTCCCAATCAGTTTCATCTAATCAGACTTGTCAACATGATCTTATTGATTACATATGCTTCCAAGTACCAAATGAACCTTCTTCAGATATTTCAAATTGTATAGGCATAATGAGAGGGTTTACGAATGATCCGAGCAGTTTAAAGGAGAGCTATACTTCATTGGAAGCCATATTGTTGTCTATTCCTGCTGGTTATGACTGTGTTGATCTTTCTTTATATAAGGTGAAATATTACAAAACGTGGTCTTTTAGGTCCATTCTTGTGTGATTGCTATATAACCTGCATTGCTTAAAACAGGATACTCAAATTGTCTTGTTACTAAATGGGACTGTCACATCATCTGAAAGCTCTGGAGATGCATGTATGATGATTTTGCAAGCTAATGACCTTCCATTTATATCTATTTCAAGGTCGACTTCTTTGAAGATGTGGAAATCGCATCAACTTAGGGTAACTTCTGCGACTTGTACTCTTAACTGCAATTCTTGGGTTGCATAGCCTGTGGCAAAACCTCAATGTTTTCTAGTGCTATTGCAGTTCATCTTTTCTATATGTGTCGTTTTCACGTGTCTGAAACTTTTGAATCTGTTTTAACTTATGCTTAAGCTACTTGGTAGTCCCTCCCATATCTAAGTTTTGTAGCTTATTAGAGCCTTGAAGTTCTATATTGTTTTATCCCATGCTTAAGCTTCTCAGTCACCACTATGCTTATAATGTCATCAGTCAACTTCTTGTGTAGTGTATTAAGATCTACGGGAATATGTATTTGACTTATTAACTTGTGTTAGAATTCTCAGGTTAAATGATATTTTCTTCTTTTGGGAAAAAAAACAAAAAAGACCTTACTCTTCCAATATTTTGGGTATTCAGGATGCTGTCGTGCAGCTGCAAATGGAGAATGAAAAGGTTCGCTATATTCCTCATTCTGTAATTGCTCCCTTGGCTGTCAGTGGTAAGCTTTCCTCATGGCTCAGTTTCATATTGTACTTGTAGAATTTCATGGATAGCGGTTCTGGAGTTTTACGGATAGAAATTGGAAATCTCAAGTGAATTAATTGACTAATGATTTTAATGTGGACACATCTAGAACATTTTCAACATTTACTCATTGTTTGGGACAAATGAATTCCACAAATTCCTAGAATTGAAATCTATATTTTTTTTTTCATTCCAAACACAAAAATATGGAGTTCTAAATGAATTCCACAAAATATGGATTTCTAAATGAACTCCACAAAATTTTGTGGAATTCATTTAGAAATCCATATTTTTGTGTTTGCAATGAAAAAAAATATAGATTTCAATTCTAGGAATTCAATTCCATGGAATTAGACATGATTATATCAAATTTCACAAAAATAGATTAAATTTTCAAATGAATTTCACAAAACTAAGGAATCTAACTTTTTATGACAAAACTACCATTCTCTATCTACAAATTTAATTTTACAATTTTTTTACTTATTTGAATTATTTACTTTATCAAATTTGACCAAATTTTATTTTTTTGGAAACATTTTTTTCTTATTATTATGTTTTTATTTTCTAGAATTTCAATAGAGATACCGCGAACTTCTGGAGTTTTACGGAATAGAAAATTGCGAATAATCTCAAAGATGGAATCTAAATATGAACTAAAATGATAAATAATTAAAATGTTGGAGACACCTCTAGAACCATTTCAAACATTTACTCATTTGTTATAAGGCGACAGAAATGGAAACCACAAATTAATCCTACGAATCTCGAAAATCCTAAAATTCTTTTTTTTTCATTCCGAAACACAAAAAATACTGGAAAGAGTAATCTAAATAATCACAATAATATGGAATTTCTTAAATGAAAAACTTACCACAAAAACTTTGTGGAATTTTCATTTAGAAATCAAATATTTTTGTGTTATAGCATATGAAAAAAAAAATAAGAAATAATAACAAATTAAAATCTAAGAGAAATATCAATTCCATGGAAAATTAGTGACACATATCTAAATATCAAACTATATTTCACATAAAATAGATATTAAATTTTACCAAAAATTGACCTTTTCCACAACAAAAACTAAGGAATCTAAATTTTTATGACAAACTTACATTCTCTATAAGCTACAAATAATAATAATTTTAATACAATTTAATTTTACTTATATTAATCATAATACTACTTATCCACATTATGACACAAATTATATACTTATAGATATGGAAACCATTTTTTTTCTTATTTATGTTTTATTTTAATACTATTTAGCATTTTATTACTAATCAAAGATGGAAGGAAGATTCAAGATTAACCAAATATACCATTTAATCAAACTCAAATTAAAATTCAAAACAACTAACCTCTTATTAATATTATTTTATTTTATATATCTTATTAATAATAAAAAAAATTTAAATAATATTAGAACATAAACAGTAAAGTAATAAATTATAGTGTTTATCATTTAATAAATTATCTTGTAGAAATTACAATAATAAAAAAATTGGAATAAGATAATAATTCTCTAGGAAAATAAAAGCAAATAAAATTTCAAATTATGAATTGTGTTTCAAATACAAGCATAAGATATTACGTGGAATTCACCACTTAGACAATTAACAAATATATATAAATAAATTACAAAGTATTCATAGCCCACCTAAACATTGAAAATTCATATTACAAAATGAAAATTATATAGCATAACATAAATATAATTAGTGTTTATCATTTATTTTTGTGAAATTACTATTTGAATGATATTTTAGGAAATAAAAGCAAATAAATTTCAAATTATGAATTTGTTTCATACATGTTTACGTGGAATTCAATTGAATTACATATTTTAAATTAATCATGCTAAACATGAAAATTCATTTACAAATGAATTTCATCTTTTAAATTCATTTATATCAAACGGAGCATTATATTTGTGCTTTGATTCCATAAATCCTTAATTAATCAACAAATACTGGAACTTTTGGTGGTAAATTTATCATTTGATAATCTCATCATCAATGTCTATTAACATATTAAACATTTATATTTTCCCGTGGTTATTATTTCAATAATTTTTTAGTATTTTACTGCTACCTTCCAGTTGTAACTAGTTTCTTGATGTTATTGTGAAAATCTTACGTAACAGCATCCAGAGGTGTAGCCTGCATTTTTGCTGCAAGAAAACGCGCCTTGGTTTACATCTTGGAGGAAGATGAAGATGAAGTTCCAGAAACAGAATGGCTGCCTCCCTCTTGGTGAGTTCTATCAGAACAAATCGGTAGTTTTATAAATTTGGCTTATTCTATATTCATTAAAGGTATAGCTCTGTTATTTGCAATAGATATGAAATTTAAATTAATCAATATTTTTTATCAGATGATTACAATTTCATGCTTGGATAAGGAAATCGCTAAAATGCCATCGTAAGGATGACCAAACTCGTAAGAAGAGGCGCGTGAGATGAAGAGTTGAAGGAGATATTTATTGGCACTAAACAACTTCTGCACCCTTTGGAATGTCGTTTATTTTGTATTTTATGTAAAAAATAAAAAATAAAAAGTATAACGACTGTATGAGCTTTTGTCGTTTATACGACCAACCCTTAAGGGTTTAGAGTAACAACCGTGCGCCATTTTGTTCGTTCTTATGGTTCTGCAAGTTCGGTTTGTTCAGTGTCTTTTGTCCCAAATAAAATATCCTTTTAGAAAAATTCGTCATTTTGGCCACCCGCTACTCAAAAGGACCAACCAATTCTTTGGAACGCAGAAGGTCCTTTATTATTGTCGTTTCTGTTAAAAAAAAAAAAAAAAAAAAAAAAAAAATAAAAAAAAAAAAAAAAAAAAAGAAAAAGAGAAAAAAAAAAAAAAAAAAAAAAAGAAAAAAAGAAGAAAACGAAGTAACAATTGCGTCGACTGTCGAGCAAACAGCTTGGCACATGCGATAAAGAATTGATTGAGCTTTTTGATGGCGAAAGCCCTAAACTGAAATAAAAGCAAAGTTTGTGGATTTTTCTCGATTCTAGATAATGTTTATTGTTTTCATCTTAAACGTATTTTAGATCGTAATGCATTGGTCGCTAATAGCCTGTAACTGCATGTGATGTCGCTCATGAATTCTGTGAATAAAATGCTTTGGTAAATATAATCTGCCTTCCATGAATTCACAAAGAAATCGATTAGGACTGCTTGTGGTAAAAACAGGTTACAAGTTAAAACACCAGACATATATCATAAAGGTTACATTGGGCAATTTCATCCCTATCACCAATTATTTTATTGCTAAAAAGGAACAATAAATACAAGCCGTTCATTTTTGTTGGACTTTACTAAACACAACAGAATAAGAACGTAACAAGATAAAGTAAGTTGCAGATAAAATTAGCCTCTAGATTCTATCCTATCTGCTTCACACGCTAAGTTTTCCAGTTACAGGAAAAGCCCAAGTGAAAAATATTAGAACAAATATCACCAATCGAATCAGTTGCTCTTCAAAACTCAACACTGAGAATGCTCAAGGGAGCATCACCTTGAGATGAAGACAACTACTGAACAGCTAGATAGACGATATGAGCTTACTGTGCGGTGAAAACTGTACAAAGAGAGGGCTCCAGATGCAAGGATTATAATCCAAGAATAGCAGGAAGACCCTACCCAGCCCTGGAGGCTAGAAACCGTGGAAGCATTAAGATAGGAATTGGGCTGGAAAGGACGAAGCTTGCTAACACTGAAACCTGGCCAGTATCGCTTCGCAGGCCATCCTTAAGGATCATCTAACTCAACAAGCTGAGCTCGCCTCTCAGCAGCCTTTTTCCTAATAAAGATGCCCCATCTGAGGGCTGCCTTGAGTTTGAGCCAACCAAGGACAGCTTTGCCTGATGAACGGGATTGATCATCACCCACGCTGTAGTTTGGAGATAGGGCAGGCATGTATGCTGATGAGTAAGGGTACCCATCTTCAGTTGTGTTGAAGGAGTTAAGGCCCTGACCTCCCATGTTAAATATGCGAAGAAGATGCTGCATATCTTCACTTTCAAGCATCTCATGGCTTCTCATTCGAATATCTTCCTCTTGCAAAAAGTCCTCAGCTCCCCTATAAGAAGTAAGGTTCGGTGCACAAACACCTTGAAAGCTGGATGTCGATGACTGTGGTGGGCCGAGTGCCGGTATATTGTCACTTCTTGGTAATTGAGCTTGCTGTGAAGTACTACCTAGGGGGTTTTGCAGAGGTAATGAAGCAGCATCAAATTGAAAAGGCATGTTTTGATTTCCAGTATGCGGCTGCATTGAAAACCTTGCAGCCATACTCTCATTGTAACCTAGAGAGAGAGAGAGAGAGAGAGAGAGAGAGAGAGAGAGAGAGAGAGAGAGAGAGAACGAGAGCATTCAGTCAGCAACGGAACCAAGGTGAACTTGGTACTAATTTCAATAGAGAGAGAGAGAGAGAGAGAGAGAGAGAGAGAGAGAGAGAGAGAGCATTCAGTCAGCAACGGAACCAATGGTGAACTTGGTACTAAATTTCAATATGAAAAGCTATAAAATAGGCACCAAGAAATGTATCACGTCTTTCAATCCCATTTACCATATGTTATAATACATATGATGATGATTCTGAACTTAAAAACTGTACCTCCAACAGTTGGACCCGAGTCCATAGCAGGCTGCTCTGGAGGCACTGGAACTGATATGGTCGGTAAAGTAACTTGATGGTCATAAGAGTTCAAATAGTCCTGTTGACTGGTAGGAATATCAATTTGGGAAGCAGCTATGTTCTCATTCTCCTTAAAGTCTAGAAGTGTTTTGCCATCATACTCTATAACATGCATCCAATTCTCATACGCCTTCTTCACCAATTCATCCACATGCACCTGCAAAAACCAAATCCCTCACAAATTTTTCAAAGTTCACCTTTTTGTCCCTCTATTTTTCTTGGTTCATGAGGGATCCTGAAAAATTTTTTCTTAGCCAGATTTGAAAAATAATTATTTATTGCATACTATCATAACCAAGTTTATTTAGTTTTAAAAAGTGCAAAATTTAGGAACCCAGTATCATTGGGAAAAAAAAGTCCCATCAAAATTAATAGGGCATGCACAGTAGTTCCTATGCTAGCTGTGCCCTGCTTGGTCCCCCAGCACAGTGGAGTTTCCATTGCAGGATTATGTACCTTCTGGCTGTCAGAAAGAGATTCTGCTGAATAGTACTGTCCATTAGCAATTAAGCCACTCAACTCATAGATATTGTTGAAAACAACACCAACATTCTTTGCATCATCAGGATAGTACACGTAAAGTTTCCCACTCAGAACACAAGTCTTCGCATGCTCTACAAGAACATCCCACATCTTATTTGACATGCCACTTCCAAGAATCTGCAGAAAATGAGCAAAAGATAAATCATAAATAAGAATACATGAATTAGCACTCAAAATTGACAACCAAATTAAATTCTTACATTCCTCAATCTCTGAGAGTCCCTGACTACAAGCCGTAAGAAGTCTTCAACAGTAAATATCCCAGCTTTATTCAGCCTCTTGTGGAAAGATCCATCCTTCCCAATCTTCTCCAATCTCCAGACCTCATCATTTAATGCAGGTGGATAATGTTTCTTGTATACTTCGAAAGAAATAAAAGAAGAAAAAAAAATGGGGGAGAGGGGGGAAGGAAAGGAAGATTTAGAATCTCTCAGATAGAATAGTACAAGCAAAAGGATAAAAACCATGAAATATGTTTCACAGATAGAAGCAATAAATTATGAGCTCACATTCTCCCCGGTGATCCTTGACAGTAAAGGCATCAGTTTTGGCTTCACGAATACGAACCCCTTCACAATAGCCTGGGGAAACCTTCAATCCTAGCCTAAACTTCCTGCTTCTAATCCAGCTTGAGTTGTCAGTAAATGTCAACTCTCCTAGAGTTCCTACACCTTCTTTCAGCGTCACTTGCAAATCCCCAGTTAGGAGTGGCCTCTTCCCCTCACGCTCTTTAACTATATGAGAGTCAAATTCTTCCTGAGTCCAGTTATCAACATCTTCATTATTAAAATCACCTTCAAGAACAATAACATCTAATTTCACTGAGGATTCAGGACCAAATGTGACAACATGGCCTGTATTTGCATCAATCAACACAATATGGATTGCAGCACCCTGCTCCCCTTCGACTTTCCCACCAGTAAAGAGAGGAAGGGACATCCTGGATCTGAAGTGCAACTGCAAGTTTCTTCCATCAGGCCCCCCTATACATTTTGGAGAAGATCTGCATTTTCTCAACCATTAGAGAAACAAACTAGTAATGCAGAGGCATATAATGAATTCAAAAGAACAAAACGCAACCATCTAATTCACATAGTTAAGAATCAATCAATTAGGAGTAACGCTCGACAATTCTCAATATGTAACAGAAAAAGGCCCACATGAAAAGTGTAGAAGGAATATCTAGAAAAATAATATTATCCCATTGACTTTAGGCTCTAAGAGAGCCAAGTTCCACCGTTGAAAAAGTAAAGCAGATTTACCTGTAGGAAATTTCATAATGTAACTGAAAATGAGGTGGAGACAATAGAATTGAACTGATTAAAGCAGTACAGCAAACAAAAGGGGTGACAAGGTCTATCTTCACACTGATTCAAGCAATGCAAAATACAAATTCAAGTCCTAGTCACGGTAATGTTGGTGTCTATAAAACGTCATTTTGACATATCTAGCAGAAATGCTGAGATAGAATCTCCAATCCTTCATGCATACTAGTCAGTAGAAGAAAATTCAAAAATATGCAAGCATAAGCACACCAAATACATAAAGAAAGCACCATCAAGTCTGATTCTGATTCAGTAGAGTATTATTTTAACAAGCAGAAAAATGGTGCATACTTTCCAGTAAGTTTGGCTGGGCCTCCTAATTTTGCTAGAGCACGCTCCACTTCTTCACTAACCTGCTTAGCATTGAAGACAGGTAAAAGTAAAAAATCTATCCACAAAGAAAGAAAAAGGCTTGACTAAAACTAACTGGTCATAAAATAAGTGTGATTAGCCCTTGGAGATGTTGTAATTAGAAAATAAAATGATGAGAAAATAGTTGCTCTAAATCCTTCAACAGTATAAAAAAACCACAAGGATGCAATTTATCTTACAACTCTCCTAAGAATAGGCTCCAGTGATGAGCAAAGTTTCTGCAGACTATCCACCTTGAGAGCTTCAACAATAACGCTGCAACACAGTTGAGAAATGTGGAGGATTTTAAACCAATATTCAATAAATAAAATGCTAACCATAGAACACAACCATTCTCCTCAAGCAAGAAGGAAAAGATGCTTATAAAGACAGTTTGAAACAAACGAAGTCAGACAAGGGCTGTTAAACAAATTTGCATTTCGAAAAGTGCAATACAGGAAAAAAAAAACCATGCTAAAGAATTGCAGATAAATATTGTATAAGTAAAGACTATAAGTACAAGAATGGATTCCAATTTAGTATGTTCATAATCACAAACTGAGAAGACATGCTGCCAAACTGAAACAAGATAACAAAATTTGGAAAAAAAAAAAAAAAACACACTACTAAAATTAGGTATTTTTCGTGTAAGCAATCCAAGTTTCTGGTTCATTTCCCAGTTGATCTCGTTAGAGTTTCAATCCAATGAGAACAATACATTTTGGTTGTTTTGCTTTCCAAAACCTACTCAAAATATAAAGCTTTGTCAGTTCAACAATTATAAGCTGATGAGTTTACTAAATAATTCTACAAAAATGAAGTTCAGGTAGATTCCAAGAAGCAGAAATCATTAGAAATTCAGGAATCAACAGACAATGTCTTCAACCAAAACAAGTAACTGAACTGACAGTTGCTCGATAGTCAAAGCTTGTAAGAAAATTTAAAAAAAAAAAAAAAAAAAAAAAAGCGAATCAAACAACCAATGCTTCAAGCCAAAACAAGTAACTGAACCCTGACTAGTTTGTCTCGAATAGTTAAAGCTTGTAGAAAATTTAAAAAAAAAAAAAAAAAAAAGAAAAAAAAAAAAAAAAAAAAAAAGAAATAACTAACAAAATCTTACTTATCAAAAGGGAAACAAAAATAAATAAATGCACCTAGCTAAAGCAGGCCGTTTTCTATCAGGCTGGCCTTCGTCACCAGAACTTGAATCTAGTCCTCTCTTCTCTCTCGCCATACTAGTCGATCTCTCCATGAACCTCGTTTGCATCTTCACCACGTTTGGTTTCCGAGGAAAAAAAAAAAGAATAACAAGTTGAGAAACTTTGCAATTGACAAATAACTTTATGTTTATAACAAACAAATTAAGGAACAGGAAACCAGAAAACCAAATAAATATGAAGATATAGTAAAGCGCGTAGGTGTGCATGTATTTGTTCGATTGTATTGTAATATCCACTTTACCAAAAACTGAGACTTATTGCATGATCCGAAATTCGAAATTCGAAAGGAGAAATCAGAGAATAACAAAAGAGGAAAGAACTTTATCTTTTATCTGAGTTGAGAGAGAAAAAGAGAGACGACAAAGTAAGCGGGAAAGTGAATTCGATACCTCCAAGAGAAAATTCCATTTTAAATTTTGTGAGAATCTGAGAAATTTCCAGGAAGCGTCTGCGAATTTTCACTATCGAAAGAACTTGCAAAGAGATTTCGTCATTTTCTGGGTGCTCATATCATTAGCAACAATGACGGCTGTCTCTAGTTAAACAGTAAGGGGGACCAAAACCGAAAAGGAAAGGAAAGAGAGAATCTCTTGCCTCAGGGTTTAGCGCTTTGTGAGAGTTGGTGGATTTGAGTCAGTAGATATTCGGGACGAGGCGAGCGAAGCCATCCGGGCCGTTGGATTGGTAGAAGATTATTTTCCGGGAATCTTTTTTGAATTTTATTTCGCCTTTTTGCCACAACACACGTGAGTGCTGGAAACGGTTCTCTGTGTTTTTGTTGTGCGTTATGTGTTGTGTGCATCAATAGGGAGGGAGTAACAGTGTTTTTTCTGTTAATGTTGGAAAAACTCACTCTCTGCTAACGATAGAGATGAGACAGGGTGAGCGAGTGGGGCTACGGAATACTTAGAAGCTGCCGTAAGCAGGTCGACCGCTGCTAAACTCACCGATCGCCAAGCATAGATTCCCCCTCCATATCCAGGAAGGAAGAAATTATCATTTCTAATTCTACCTGAATGAATATTTTCAGATTCGAAATTTTCATTGCAAAAATCATTCATAAAAATCCATAATAATCTTTAAATTTTTCTTTTAAAAAAAATATATTCAAGTTGTTTACATATTTAAATAATTAATTAAATATTTAACTCTCCATAATGTATGGGTATAATATAAATAGAAGAGAAATACTGAGATTAAAAAACAAAGGTTAAATTTAATAATGACTTTCTACTAAAAATATATCGTAATAAAACATTAACATTTAAATTTAATTAGAAATTTTAATATTAAAATTATAACAGTAACTCATATTTCAATTTAATTAATAATTTTAAAAAATATTAAAAACTTAAACGAAAACTACATTATTATTATTATTATTATTATTATAATTTTAAAAAATATTAATAAAATTAAATACGAAACTACATATTATTATTATATTATTATTGATTATTAATTATTATTATTATTCATTATAATATATTATATATGATATATTATATATATATATATTATTAGTATATATTATATATATTTGTATATATATATAACGAAATATAGATTATATAACGAATATAATCAATATGGAAAGTACATTTCAAAAAAATATAAGATCTTTAATAAACCACGTAACATATACTAAAATCTTGTTATTTTTGAGGATTTTTTTTTTTATAATATACGGGCAATCAAATATGATCTAGTTGGTCTTTATAATTTTTATAAAAAGTGTAGAAAATGAAAAATTTCGAATTCAAAACATTAGAATATTATTCTTTTTTAGACATAATAAAGATAAGTTTAATCTATATCTTAATCTTCAAATTCAAACCTCTTTAATTATTTAAAAATAATAAATAAATAATTTTCTAATCTTTTTATTATTTAAATTCAAGATCTCCTATTGAAAGAAATTATAAATCTTTATCAATTTTAAAGTTGATATTATTTGTAATAACAACCGTATCCTTTGTGAATTGTGAATTTGTGATTGCGAGTTGACAATAATGGGGTGATATTTTACTATTTTAATGAAAAATTGAATTGAATGGGACATATTTATCTTGTGTTTTTCGAAACAGCCTCTTCAACATTGAATGCTCTGCTTTTCACAGATCTGTTTGGCTTCTTATCCTGTCCATCGTACTGGCAAAACTAGAATAAAATAACAAAAAAAAAAAAAAAAAAAATACAAAAAAAAAAAAAAAAAAAAAAAAAAAAAACCTGTAATAACTGGCAGATCAGATGTTGACACGTCGTGAACGTTTTTTCTATTGGGTGTATATTGTCATGAAAAATTCACGAGCAATGCTAAAATACAGCTGCGACTGCAATTGTATAACCTGGAGTCCGTCTGGACAGCCATTGCCATTGGAGACACATGCTCTAACACTGACCAGAATTCGCAATTCACACACAATGGGTCAGTTTCGGACCCGTTAATTTAACAACCTTGTAAGAATTACTCGGAGTGAACGTGAAAATATTTGTGCTAATGTGGATGTTATTGCCGACAGTACTATCGCATGATCGTTAGCACAGTGCTAGTAAACACACTAAACAAGAACATGTTAAGAAGATAAGTTTTTTTTTTTTTTTTTTTTTTTTTTTTTTTTTTTTTTTTTTTTTTTTTTTTTTTTTTTTTGAAAAAGAAGATAGGTTTCCTTGAGTTGACAATTAATATCCATTGCTTTTATTATTACTAAATAGAAAATACTTAATTGATGGAGGATACTATGTGTTACAAATAACTCAGTGTTACACAATAAGATTAACTCATCATTAACTCTCTAAATTAACGGAAATTTTTATGATTTTAAAGATAGATCGCGGTATTAAAAAAATTATTGTTCTTTGTTATTGATTAGTCCATTTTTTATCTATTTTATTAGTAAATAAACAATATTAGATAAATGCCTTCAATGTACCCATTTGTCCTTTTCTTTTGTACGGAAAAAAAAAAACAGGAACAAGCAGAAAAACAAATGTAACCAAATCATATAATTATTGCAGGGCACAACTAAACGGCGTAGGGAAAGCAGTGAGATTTACTCCCAAGTCTCACCCACTTTTGTTCATACTTGAGAAGAGGGACCAGATAAGGAACTAACTAGCCTAACTGCGCCACACTAAGGGGACCAGATAGAGACCTAGCCTCGCTCTTTCGAAACCGACAAAGGCGACCATATAGAGAACTAGCCTCACTGTTTCTGAACCCGACAAAGTTAAATAGATGAAAAGAAAAAAGAAAATGCGTTTGCCGGGAGTCGAACCCGGGTCTATTGCTTGGAAGGCAATTATCCTAACCGTTGGACTACAAACGCTTGACTGGAAGCTTTAGCCCAATCAACTAATTTGAAAATTCTACTTATCCAAGGTTTAAATATTGCAGTATCATTTCATTGAAACTGAAGCTTGTGTAGTCTATATAAGCTTACATTTTATTTAAATTGAACTTGGAACTTGTGAATTGTAGATGGTCTAGCACAGCTTGATGGGCTTGTGACCTTATGCTTCACCAGAGAATTCCTTCAAATTCCATGTACAATCAGAGATAGGCTGTTGTTTATTAAAAAGCCATATCAAGAACCTCTAGCAACAATAGAGGCAATATGGACCCACAAAGGTCACAGTTCTGCAAAAGCCATGGCCAGTACTTGTACAACATCAAATGCAGAGTCAAATTGCACAGTTCGCTGCCTTATCCTCCCTGGAATCTCTCATAAAGTTACCCAGAGACCACAAGCTGTTATATTCAAAGACAAAGCAGCATGAAACACAAGTGTACATAAATAAATGCCTATAAATTGCAAGAATACAAAGAAAGGACCATGTACTCAAACCATCATTAATGCCAGCTTCGCATGATCCTTAGGAAAAGACAGTACGAAAAATTTACTAAGAATATGTTCAAAAGCACATGACTCAAAATTTGAAAAAAATTGGTAGACAATATATCAGTTCTAACCATAAACATACATCAGGTCAAGAGTAAATTCAACAACTGAGCTTTCATATCACGAAATCCATGAATGCAACTCCAACTTTAATGGCCTAGCAGGATGTATCGGCGATTGTGCTTGTTATGCCTTATATTGCCAGTAGAAAAACAATTTGATCCACATTTCACTTTGTAGGAAGGCAACTACCGCTTCTTGTTCTTTTTCTTTGCTTTCTTTTTGTCTCTCTTATTGTGTGGCTTTGACTGTGACTTGTGCTTTGAGGCTTTCTTGAAAGACTTCTTTTTACTTACGCCTAAATTGTGCTTCTTATCGACTCCAGTCAATATTGGCACTGCTGTCAGCGTTTTCTCACTCCCAAGATCCTTATCTTCTCGAGAAATCTCACTGGTTGTCACAGTAACTTTCATATCTCCATTGTCATACTCCATTGTTCCTTTTGCAGATAAAAAAAAAAAAAAAAAAAAAAAAAAAAAAATCAAAAAAAAAAAAAAAAAAAAAATCAAATCACATATCAAATAGGTACAAAGGTTAAGCTATGTATTACATGATCTATCGGCTATGATCTAGGGAAGTGCCAAAAGATTCTCATCTTATATACTCCCTGGATGCTATGTTCAACGGTATTTTGAAATAATATGATTTCCAATTATTAGTTTATGTAACAATACCTCGTCTCTTTGTAATTAGTCACATTAAATAAGATTAATCTAGACACCTGTCATGCAAGCAAGATTTGCTGGATTAAACAAGTATGTGTATTCTGCATCCCAAAAGCAGTTTGTTAATATATATACATATATATATATTCCCCAAGGCAATAACACGCTGATGGCAAAGTTAGCACAACAGAGATATTGACAAATGGTGGTGCAGCTAATTCCAAGGGCTTAATAATTTAATATATTCTCAAGTGGCATGGACGTCTCATATCCATCAGCTTCCAGTTAGTAGAAAATACCATTTACTGATGCAGTTGGCTCAGTTTCTTCACCATCTTTGTGGAACTCAGCACTTTCATCAGATGCAGGTGGAGCTCCTCCATATAAAGCAAATTCTCTTTCCAGTTTCCTCTGCAAACATGTCAGGCAGAAAAGCTGAGAGAAAGAAAACTTGGGATCTTCTCTTCAATTACATGAGAAAGATTGATGCATTGTGATGCCATGTGAAATAAAAATCACAACAAAAGATTAGCAGCCTAAAATAAAAATAAAATAAACAAAGCAAGACAAAACTGAAGGTTAATCAGAATCAGCTTTTATCTTTCCCCAATTCCCTTTCAATAAATTTTTCTCCACTCATGTCAGATTGCTAAATTAGGTTTCAATAGCTACATGAGAAGTTTTAAAGTTGTCTAATTCAGAAAGATTATGAGGGGGGAACCATGCATCCTTCAAAGGAGTAGCAGGGGGCAAATTGGATACAATTCTCATTGGTGCTTATCACCAACAATTTGGAGCAAAATTTTTCCCTTCTGAACATAAGAGTGAATTAGCCTTCTGTTTTCCCTCACTAATGTCATAGGCTCAATGAAAGATGTACCACCTAAAGTCTCCATAAACAATGGGCACACTAGAATTGAAAGCTTGCTGATTGCCAAATGATCACCAGAGTGCTCATTTGACCACATGTTAACACTAATGCACAAAACAAATTGACCACATGTATAATTGAAATTGCTTCAACCAAAGTAATTTTTTTATTAGGGAAGAAATTTTAATATAAGCTAGGTGCATTCAGGTATACGCACTCACCTGGCCAAATTTTGGACTACCAAACAAACAGAAAACCTCAAATTCTTATTAATGATTCCATTCATTATAAGATATCATTCTCTAAAAATAGTCTCATTGAACAACCATTTCTTAAAGCATCTCCAGGCAATTGAACTTCATTGTTAGTATTTAAGAACAAAAACCATTGCTCCCAATGCTCACCATATTATATCAATATCGTTACCATGAAATGAAACCCTACGAGCTACATTTCTAGTTTTCTGCCGTTAACTAGCAGGCTGGCTTTATCAATGTCTATAGCTTCTAATGAGGCAATTTATAGTGTCTTAACGTGCCATCAACAGACTTACTGTTGCCAGAAGGAACAGGTATCCAATTAGAAACTATAAATATCTACCAATTTCAAGCATAAACCAAAAAAAAACAAAAAGAGACATTCAGGTAAAAATTATACAAACCTTTTTGCGCTGCTCGATACGTTTGCGCCTTAAGGCCTCCTCTTGCTGCTTCTGGGCTTCCTTTCTCCTCTTCTTCTTCCTCTTGTGAAACCCTGTCACGTAGTCCCTTAACAAACGAACCCCAAATGAGCCAGACCACCAATGGTGCCAACAAAGCAAGTTTAGCGGTGAAAACAAAACGCATAATAACACAGCGTATTACCTGAGATCTTTCTCGTTGAAAGATACAGCCAAAGCTTTGTTCTTAAGAGCACGCTTGTTTATGTGACGAGCTCGGACCGCTGGTAGCTGTGGTTCTGCTTCTTCAATTTGGCCTTCCATCATAGATAGTAATTTGCAAGTTCTCCCTTTGCGGGGAGTTTAGAAATTAGAATCGGGCGATTGTGCACCGGGTTAGCAAATCGGTTCTAGGCTTCTACCCGAGTAAGTGCTGTAGAGCTTAAAAACGGGTCCATTTACGTATCCGTCCTGCTGACTTTGGATTGTTCGTGGGCCGCTTGAATGCACTTTTCGCAATTTTATAAGCCCTAAAATTTTTGTTTCATATGCAGATTTTAAATGCAATGAGACATATATTGAAGTATTAAATTATATAAATTTTCAAATTTTTTATTTATTGAGAAATTAAATATATTGAAATAAAATTATGAAGTATACAACTTGGATGATCCTTTTTAATCTCACAAAATTACTGAAAATTTTCGTGAAAATCAATAAAATCATAACATAAATTTAAAACTTATGAATAATAAATGTTTAATTCATAATTTTTGACCAGCAATGATTCTAATTGTTCATATGACAGAAGGACCAGTGCACTAACAAGGCGTCAAAAGATATATATTAGTGATATTTTAAATGATTAAAATCACTTATTTCAAATACATAAAATTTACAAAAGTAGAGTGTTTCATCATTTATTTAAAATAAGTGATTTAATCAGTAATACAAGGGAAAAAAAAAAAAAAAAAAGAACGAAAGGCCAGTGCCATCTAAACCAAGGACGTGACAAAAAATAATATATAGAGTAGATATTATTTAAAAAGATAAAATACATTATGTCAATAACAATAAAATGACAGAAAGTTATAGTATGTAGTTTCATCACAAATTTAATTTAAGAATAATAGTTGAGATTTAATCAGTAATACAGAGAAAAAAAAAAAAAAAAAACATGCTAATCCGAAAATAATATACAAATACAGAAACTCTTAAAGTTATCATCCTCAATCTACTTTGCCAAAAATCTAAATAACAGAGTTACTTTTAAAAGGGGAAAAAAAAAAAAAAAAATAACGGAAGGAGATCTAATGCATAACTAATGAAATATATAGGAAAAAATTTTAAAGAGAATATTATATGTAGGGTATCTTCTTGAATAAAAAACTATATATTAATAGTGGTGGAAAACAAGCTTAGGTTATATAAATCATGTTGTTTTGAAAATAATTATACAATTGATTTAATTTCAAATAAAATTTACAAATTTGTAACTTTTATACTCCTAAAAATAGATAATTGGGTAAAATAAATTATTCTTTGAAATATTATAATTTTTTATTTTTTTTAAATTTAATCTTCAATATACCAATATTCTAATATTCAAATTATAAATATCAATTATCCTATATATTTATATCGGTCTTTTTTAAAAATTATAGAGATTCCATTTTTGAGTAGAGAATTGTCTTTCTATGTTAAGAACAAACTTTAGAATAAAAAAAAATAAACAATAGAGTATTATTTATTATTGAATATTTTAAAAATCTATTCAAATAATGTCTAACACTATAATTGTTATGGAAACATTTCTTAAAAAAAAAAAAAAAAAAAAGGAAGGAGATCTAATGCATAACTATGATATATGGAAAAATTTTAGAGAATTATATGAGGGTATCTTCTTGAAACAATAAAGACAAGCTTAGTATATAAATCATTTGTTTGAAAACTAATTATACAATGATTTAATTCAAAAAATTACAATTTGTCAACTTTTATCCTAAAAATAGATAATTTATGGAAAATAAATTATTCTTGAAATATTATAAATTATATTATTTTTAAATTTAATCTTCAATATACCATACTAAAATTCAAATTATAAATATCATTATCCTATATATTATACGGTCTTTTAAAAATTATAGAGATTGATTTGAGTAGAGAGATTTTAAATTCTTTAAGCAAACTTTCAAAAAAAAAAAAAAAACAATAGAGTATTTATTATTATTGATATTTAAAATCTATCATATAAGTAAATTATTGTTATGAACACTTCCTTAAAGGCTGGAATGGAATAATAAAAAAAAAGTAAACAAATGAAATGAATTCTTAATTTATATAATTCATGTGTAAAATTAATTTAATTATTTCAAATAAAATGAATCATGCTTAAAAGTTAACTTAAAAATTATTTTTACGAAATAATAATTAAGTTTCAAGAAGTATATCATTCTATTCTAAGAAACAAACAAAGAAATATCATTCACGATAAAAAAATAGGCGCGCGGCCAACGAACATCAGCTGGCGTACAACTCGAAGCAATCAAACAGTACGGGTTCACACATTACTAAAAGGCAAAAGCCGCCAGCCACCAACCCGGTTCTCTATATAAACCAAACCGCACTAACAAGAAGCGAAACGAACTAACTACCTTGTAGATGGATGAGTCTGAGAGCACGCCCGAGCTCATTATGTCCGACCGGGTCACCGTCAACGGAACCATTACCGAGTTGACTCTAACTGCAGACGGAAAGCTCCAGTGGACGGAGAGAGGTCAACGGTGTTTGACCATCGAAAAGGAGGTGCTTGGATTTGTAATTGAGGGAGCTAAAATAAGGATCAAGGCTATTGTGGATAGCGGAGATGGCATCTGCTGTGGAGGCAGTAAGGGAGCTCTGGTGAGGAAGGATTTCGTATTCCAGTCTCTGCATGAGGACTCGCCGAGAGTTTGGTGCCATCGTCTCCGCGATTACATCGACTCTCTCGGTAACTCCTTTTGCCTCTGTTTTGTTTCATTTTTTTTTTCAATTGAAAAATCATAACAAAAGATGAGAAAAGTTGGAGTTTCAATCTGGATTAACTGAGTAAAGGTAAATGGTCAATGCAACATTAGCTGCTTATCATTTGTTTTTTCAGTTAAATAGCAATCTTATAATGCTCTATTTGGTGGTTGTGAATCAGTAGGACAGGATGAGAAAACTTGAAACTTTGAACAACAAAATGAAACTTTAATTTTTTACAGGTCGACCAAAGAGGCTGTTTATATTTGTGAATCCATTTGGGGGAAACAAATCTGCAACAAAGGTTTTTCTTGATGTAGTAAAACCGTTACTTGAAGATGCTGATATACAAATTACAGTGCAAGGTCCAGATTTGTGCATATTGGTTATTGATGGTTACCTATTCTAGGATTGTTGTTCATTACTCTTATGCTTTACTTATATTTACTGATCAGAAACCAAACATCAGCTCCATGCCAAGGAGGTTGCTAGCACCCTTGATCTTACCAAATATGATGGCATTGTTTGTGTTAGCGGAGATGGTATCCTTGTTGAGGTTAGTCGGCTCTGCCTAGTTTCAAAACTAATAGCATTTTGCATTTTTATTGTGAAAATGACAAGTTTTGGACTTAATCTGTCTGCTGCTGAAGCAACTTATTTTTATAAGAATGTTTTTTGGGGTTACTTAAATAATTTGCTATGATATTTTCATTTATAACTTTGAAGGAAAATATGCCAAGAAGTTGAAAATGATTGAACATTTCTCTATGGAAGTTTGAGATTGTCCTTCGTTTCAGCTTTTAATTTAAATGGTAGATATTTCATTTTCACATGTTTTTACTGTCATAGCGGTTGAAGTCTCTTGATTTATGTACAATTTAAAATGTTAGAGAGACAAACTACTTTGAATGTGATTTTACATTTGAAGTTAGAGCCCTGTTAAAAGATTTGTGAACTCTAGAAAAAAGTATTGCAACCTTATCCTGCCGATGGAATAGCATGCATTGTCATCTATGCATTCTTTCGCTGCTTGCTCCACCTTGCTACTTGGAGATTTAGGTCTATAAGGAATAACTGTCAATTAGATTGCAACAATTGCCGCTGGATGTGTGACTAAAGTTTTATTTTGAAAGCTAGAGTTCCTTTATTCTTGTCTTGCATTTTGCCTTTAGACAAGTTTTATTTATTTTTCTTATCGCTAAATTATGGACTTCTAGTCATTTCTGTTCCTTTCTCCTTCTTACTAGCTTCACTTTTTAGTAGGTGGTAAATGGACTTTTAGCAAGAGAAGACTGGAGTGATGCAATAAAGGTGCCTCTTGGAATGGTTCCTGCAGGTTTTTTTATCCTTATCTCTGTTTTAATACATAAGTATTGTGTGGCATGAACTCTTCTCAGATCATAGTTTATGAAATGGTCAGTGTGTGTGTAATTCATTGAACTTGTATTTGATGAGTGAGTTATTAAGTTGCTGCAAGGTGTTTTAGATTTCTATGGCATTAAGTCTATCTTATCAACTACTGGTGGTCGAAATTTAAAATTTTAAAATGATTCTGACTGGGACAAGCAATTAGATGAGCTTAATTTAACTGCTTCTCTTTGCAAATGAGATACAGTCGGCTTTGTGCCGGACAACCATGTTTTATTGACTTTGTGCTGTATAACCATGTCTTATTGTTGAAACTGAGGCCATTTGTCATGCAAGCCATATGTCTGGTCCATTGCACTCATTATGATTATGGACCTTTTAGTTTGTTAACCTCATCCTGTTAAAAAGTGGTGGTGGTTTTTCATTGCGCAAATCCAACTGCACAGAATTTCTGTTTCTGATGTTTTACATGCCCTATATCTGGGTGTAGGTACAGGAAATGGAATGGTAAAGTCTCTTCTTGATTCAGTTGGTGAACCTTGTAAACCATCTAACGCCATACTTGCAATAATACGAGGTTAAACATAGGGTTTTGAACATTTCCTGTTTTTGTCTTTATCATTTATTGCAATTTATTGCTCAAAGGATTTTTACTTCATGATTTACTTGCTGGCAGGCCATAAGTGTTCACTGGATGTAGCTACTATCTTACAGGGAGAAACCAAATTTTTCAGTGTCCTGATGCTTTCTTGGGGTACAAATATAATCTTCTTGTGTACTAATTTCTATAGTTGAAGGAGGAATCTTAATGCTCCTAATACTTAACTTGGATTTAATGTTGGTTTCCATAAAGAATTTCTCTAGCTTTAACCCTGGGGCAACTGGAAAGCCAAATTACTATTATTTTTTATTGCGTTTATTTTATTTCAGGTTTGGTAGCAGATGTTGACATTGAGTCAGAAAAGTACAGGTGGATGGGAAGTATTCGGCTTGATTTTTATGTACGCTCTTCTTTTTTCTTACCTTTCCCTCTTAATGTTCTATTTCATTGTGCAACTCTTTTCTTCTTTCACATTTTATACATGTAATGTCTTTTCAGATACTTGCATGAGTTTCAGCCTGAAATTTATAGTTCAGGTAAAGTTAAGGGATAAATTATTTTTAAGACAAGTTACCATGCTTAGAATATTCCCTATAACCTTTAATTCTCCCTTAGTGTGTTGGGCATGAAAGTTAAAAAAAAAAAAAAAATTAATTGTTTGATTTTTATTGGTTTTCTAGCCAGACAGATATAGCATAGTAAATTTTGTTCTGTTGAATGAAGTAGCTGTTTTTATGAAACCTGTTGTTGCACTGCAATAGGAGTTGTTCACAATACTTTTTCAAGAGTCACGTTATCAAGCTTTTGTAAAGGGAATGAGTTTGCCTTAGCCAGATAGTGTGATGGGCTTTTCTCTTCCACAATTAAATAAATTAGAGCTTTATTTTGATTGAAGTTCACTTGCTTCCCCAAATTATTAACTAGGATTAATTTGATTGACCAATATATGCAGCTGTCATGCATCTGTGGCTCCTTTTCCTTTTCGACAGATACTTTACTTTTCCTTTTCAGTTGTAATAAATGCATGCAGCAGATCCTCTGTTGCATGGTGCAATGATTGAATTGATGTTAGGACCACGAATCTCTTTTTGGTTTTGTTATTCAAGGCTAGTTACGAGGCTTGGTTGGTTTGGTGGTGTATTATTAAAAATTTAATTATTTTTCTGTCCTTTGCTTTTCTCCTTCCATTTATAGGCTCTGCAACGGATATTCCACCTCAGGCATTATAACGGGAGTATTTCTTTTGTGCCTGGACCTGGCTTTGAAACTTATGGAGAACCAACTAATTATAATGCTGAATTTGCTGGAAAACAGAATATTTGCAATCCCAGCCAAGAACAGCCTGTTAAGGCACAACAACGTGGTTACCAGGGATCAGATGCTGACTTGATCAGTCTGGATTGGAGGACAATCAGTGGGCCATTTGTTTCAATCTGGCTCCATAATGTACCTTGGGGTGGGGAGGATATCATGGCAGCGCCTGATGCAAAGGTTTGTCATAACCCTCTGGTTTCGCATTCTGCTTTGTCTTCATGACGCAGGCCAATCCCTGACCATCTATTTTTTCATTTGCATTTCCATGGAATTTTTATCAAAGAGTTTAAGTTATTTATTTTACGCAGTTATCTTTTAAAATTTGTGATGCTTCTTGACTTGTATATAAACTATCATACTTGGAAATGTAGAATTTTGGGTTGATGTAAATCTGGAACCAAATTCATGAATGGCTTTATTATCAGATTCTAGCATATCCTTTTAGTGTAAGATGCACTCCTTCTGAGAGGGAGCTCATGAGCTTGTTTGGTATATTTTTGAATTTCATGAACTTCTATAGAATTCATTTAAAAATCTAAAGTTTCTTGTTTGGTATATTTTTGAATTTCATGAACTTCTATAGAATTCATTTAAAAATCTAAAGTTTCTTGTTTGGTATATTTTTGAATTTCATGAACTTCTATAGAATTCATTTATATCAAAAGGACATGGTTTAAGTTTAAGTTTTATTTTACGCAGTTTCATATTATAAAATTTTTTGGTATGACTGGACATTCTTGATTGTAAATTAAACTATCCAAAATTAAGAGACTTTACTTTTGGAAATTAGTTAGAATATTTTGGGGTTTTGACTTAAAGTAAATTCTGTGAACCATAATTTCATGGAATGGTTTTTTATAAGATTCTAGCAAATATTACCTTTTAGGTAAAAAGAAAATATGCACTCCGTTCTGAAGAGGAGCTAACATGAAACTTGTATTGGAGAGTAGATAATTTATTGAAATTATCCCAATGGAAGACTTCTAATAAAGAATTATCATTTAAAAAATCATGAAAAGTTTCATGATTATGGTAAAAATATAATTGAAATTCATGAACTTCTGAATTAGAATCATTTCCAAATTCTTCACAATGTTCACATTTTGTGGAAGTAAGGAACCGGGATATTTTTATTTTGGGGGGAGGTTCCACATTTTTAATTCCATCAGGTTTGGTTAATGCCTTAGGGATCTACACATTCTAACAAAATTGCAAATAAATTTCATGAACTTCTATAGAATTCATTTAAAAATCTAAAGTTTCTTGTTTGGTATATTTTTGAATTTCATGAACTTCTATAGAATTCATTTAAAAATCTAAAGTTTCTTGTTTGGTATATTTTTGAATTTCATGAACTTCTATAGAATTCATTTAAAAATCTAAAGTTTCTTGTTTGGTATATTTTTGAATTTCATGAACTTCTATAGAATTCATTTACAAATCTAAAGTTTCTTGTTTGGTAGGACTGGATATTTATTTGGAGTTCCACATTTTTAATTCATCAGGTGGTTATGCTTAGATCAAATTCTAACAAAATTGCAAATTAATTCTAAACTTGAAAAGAGTACAAGTTACTACTAAAACTAGTGAATTTTAAATACCAGCTAGTGAAGTTACATATTTAAACTGAATTCTGTGATTAATCCAAGCATGAAATTTCATTTGTAAATGAATTATCCTTAATGAAATTTATTTGCAAATAAAATGAATTTAATATGAATACAACTCAAACACTATGTAAAAGTAAAGTCCTCCGTTGCTCTGTTCTTTTGCTGTTGTTGCATCCTGCCGCTAGATTAGTAGCTGTATGGAAAATGAACCATAATGCTCAATTTAAAGTCTTTTTATTTCTCTTTAAGAGCCTCATCCAATTCTAGATAGTGGCTATTTGTCTGCTTTTAAAGCTTAATCCAATTCTTGATGGTTTTCTCTCACTGCCTCCCTGTTCTTTCCTTGTAAAAGCAACATTATAAAATTTATATTGCCTGTTGATTTTCAGTTCTCGGATGGTTATTTGGATTTAATACTCATCAAGGAATGCCCAAAATTACCCTTGCTAAAATTGATGACCGAGATGAGTAGTGGAGGTCACGTCAAATCACCCTATGTCATATACATTAAGGTTAGTCAACCGTATTTTCAGAATTGATTACATTTTATCTTGTTTACTTGCATATTATACAACCTCTTTTTTGTTTTTTTCTTCTCTCCTTTCAGTTTGATGCACATTGCTTGGATTATGTTGAGAGTTGATGTTTGTAAATTTTGGATTTATCCTTAAATGTTGGAATGGATATAGGGACTGAGAAATCCTTGTATATGAATGTATTCATCTCGTGTTTTGCAACAAACGGCAGGTGAAAGCTTTCATACTGGAACCTGGTCCTCGCGCTGAGGATCCAACCAAGGGAGGGATCATAGATGTAGATGGTGAGGTACTTGCCAGAGGAAATGGATCATATAAGTGTGAAGAGAAGACTTTGATGGTCTATGACAAGCTTCAAATAACAGTAGACAAAGGTTTAGCTACTCTATTTTCTCCGGCATGACAAATCAAGAAGTTTCATATGTACTTGATATCATAATTTCATTGGATTTTACAATTGGAATGGAAGTTTCATCACCTGTCATTATTATTATTATTATTTTAAATGTATATATTTTACATGTATATAACCACAAATGGGAAAATAATACAGCAATGAAAATGAGATTGTAAAGGAAATAGTAACATTCTTTAACTGGTCGCTGGCTGCCTAGGGCCTAGGGCTTTATATGAATCCAGGTTTGTTGAGTTGAGCTCATTTACAGTTTCTAGTTTAAAAATTATTAATATTTCTATTTTTTTTGGCCTCTTTTACAGTCTTCAACTTGAGCTCGACCTGAGTTTAAGTGATTAAAAAAAAAAAAAAATTGAAATTGAATATTTGTGAAGCATAGAATTGAACCTGATGAACCTTCATTGAGAACTTTTCTTTTCTTTTCTTTTCTTTTCTTTATTTAACTATATAAGCAATTATTATGAAGATCTATACAAATTGCATTCAGAAATGTGAACTTACGTGCTGTATGTAACGAAACAAACAGCAGTAGAAACTGGAAAACACCAAAACACTCGAATTTTGCAGTAAAAATCCCTAACAAGATCAACCCATTACAAGCCAAAACCCAACAATAAAAAAAATAAAATAAACACAGTAGCGATGAAGAGTTGTGCAATTACCTGAAATTTGACAGCAGATGGAAATGATTTAATGCATACGTTGAGAATGACAACTAACAAGCGCAACCCAGAGCCCGATATTAATAAAAAGGCAACAGAAACTCTGAATGTATTAAATACATTCTATAAATGGATTAGGGTTCTAGTTTTTCAATCCTCAGAACCTGAAAATATCATACTTCTTATTCCAAATAATATATGCAACTTAAGTTAAAGAGAAGATGAATTTGTTTTAACTTTACGGAAAAAGTAAAAAATTTTGAAATCTGTAGTTATCTATACTACCTTTTTTTTTTTTTTCTAAAAAATGGAAAACATATTTTCTATTATAAGCACCTAGCAAACACCGTGCCTTGAAATGACTTGGTCTGTTTTGGGTGAAACATCATTATAGAACAACAGTAGTAGAATTTAAGAATCAAAGGTTTTGTTATATCTTATCCATGGCTTTGTTTTTTTCCTTCTAAAAGTGAAGACAAACTGAAAGGCAAATTCAACCATATTCCCACAAAACTACATGAAAACCCACAAATCAACTCCATTTCCTATAATTGAACGACATAGCAGTTTTAACGTAAGTGTCAAAATCAAGAACAATTTGCGTGACGAACGAGTCAATCCATAATTATTAATAATATAAACCTTCTTCATTTCTACTCTTACTACTTTTTTTTTTTGTTCGGATATAACTTTATGCTCAAACCAAGAGTGATATTCAAGTCAAGAGTGATATTCAAGTAAAACTCTTCTAACAACGACAAGTCTAGATTTCGGAACTCTTTTACTACTTTTGCTTATGCTTACCCTAATAATTAATCTATCCAATTTGTATCTGCATGTGGCAGTCCGTCATTTTATGCTGTTAGTTCCAATTTTCTCCTAGGAAGTTTAAACAAACAACAAGATAAACAAATTAACATTGTTAGACGTGGCCGAGATATATAGTATATACATGCTTATCCTACAGTCCTTTATGATACCTATCATTTAATTATTTTCATTTTTAGTATTTATCACATACATAAGATTTTAACGTATGCTTAATTGTCTCTAATTACATACTCTCTGGAGATTTCCGTGCTTAGTCTTGCATTTAACATGCTAACTAATGCCAATCTAGCTTGCAATAATTAGACCCTCAACGTCCCTTTTAAGTTCTTTGCAATAAATATATATATTTTTTTCTTTTCATAACCTATTACTTCACTGTTCACACACATAAGGATTCAAATTCCTAATCGTTGCATGCAAGTTTCAACTTTAGATGGGCCATCTTCTCTTTGGATGTAGAGGAACGTTGCTTTCCCTCGGATCAATAATTTGAACCCACAAACAAAATAGCTTGAAAACTGCAATATCTTTTCCCACTAGCAATCCCAACTGACCTCTTCTGTTAAGGAAACAAAAATCATTTTCCACGCTGCGTCAACTGGATATTAATTTCTCAAAAACCCTAAAAAATCATCACGTTATTATACTTTTATTTGTATAATTATATTTATTGAATATATACTCTTTGAGTACAAATTTGCAAGAGGACGACATTTTACATGGGAGGGGATAGGGAGATAATCGAATCCTTGTAAGGCTTTTAACCAGTGATTCCATAAATACGTGTTGTATCATGCAGGCAAGCTTTAGTACATACAGTTAAAAAGCACTGGCCAAAAACAAAATAGACGGTTCCTATATATGTTCCTACTTGCTGGTTTGCAGTTGTTTTTTCAACCTTAAAAGCAAGCAAAGCAAAGCGCGTGTCGAAGAACCTTGTGCTATACGTGATTGCATGACTCTTGCTGGCGGGGACCACGCATTCATTCTTCACATTACCTTTCTTCTATTGTAGAAATAAGACTATTCTCCTCGCGGGGGTATTTTTGTCAAAACAAGTCAAACTCAGTAATTTGGAATTTCGTATCCAAAGTGACCAACGAGGACAAGAAAATAAAAAATAAAAAAAAAACGACAACGCCAAGAATGAGGGCAGTAGGCCACGACTCGACGTGTTTAAATCCTCATAAATATTCATTCACACGCGCATGTTTGTGTATGTATATATACGCACTTCCGATATACAATAAAATAAAGACACATTTATTATCTCTCACTAACAAAATAACAATTCCTTTTCCTCCTCTCTTCTCTCTCTTGAAAAACCCTCTCTGATATTACTCCTTTAACTCCGCATGATTGAACAGATCAGGCCGTAAAAACCATTTCGACTCTCATTTTCTGCTTTCTTTCTCTTACTTCTTTTTGCTCTACGACTTGCAGGATTTTGAATTTTTGGAGGGTTACTTGTTAGTGTCTCGCTGTTTGTTTGTTTGTATGTACCTTTGGTTTTTCATTTTTGAAAAGTGAACAAGTTTCGATGTCTACTGCTGCTCCTTCTTCTTCGTCTTCTTCGGCGTCTAAGAAATGCTTCAATTTGGATTGTACGGACTTCAAATCCAGGAAAGGTTGGCGGCTTCGTTCCGGAGAGTTTGCTGAGCTTTGTGATCGATGCGCGTGAGTTGTTGACTGCTTCACTGTAATTTTTTTTAGTGTGGTTTATTTGAATTTTGGCTTTTTGTGTCAATTTTGGTTTTAATTTCGAGGTTTGTTAGTTTGGCGGGTTTGATTGAGGGTGAATTTAAGACTATACTTGTTAGAGATACGTTAGTGGCTTTTTGTTTTGTTACTTGCTAAATTTAGGAAGTTGTTATAGTTCTCCAGCTGGAAATTGGGGTTTATTGCGAGGTTAATTTGGAAAAATTGGCTTTGGCTCAAGCTTTGTGCCGAAGTGAATGTGCTTTAGTGTATAGCCTTCTCATTTTTTTTTACTGAAGTGCTGTATCAAATGACAATGGAATTTTCTCATATATTTATGCGTGTTTCTAACTGTAACTTTTCCTTTCTGATCATTTATTTTGTTGAACATAATGTCAGTTTCTTAATTAGACATATGAGTTGTCCCTTCTATGTTAGCTGTGGGTCATCTTCCCTCCTCATACTTCAAATAAATTATCTACCCATATCTCATGATGGACCTGTTGAGAGGATGACAAACTGCTGTCAAAGATTGGTAGAATATGTGAGATTGGTTTGTAGAAATGCCTGGATGATATTATTCTTGCCTTTAGTATTTGGTCTGATTCTTACTTCAGCTAGAATGCTCTTAATTTTCATTTTAGTTTTTATCCTTTATTTTTCTGGGATTTGGGTCTTCAACTGCAGAGGAGAGAAGGAAACATTCCTTCAGCTAATGACAAAGAGTTACTCATTGAGGAAAAGCCAGAGTATTCTAGTTACAACAAAACATGCTGGAGAGAGAAGAAGATTGGTACTCTAGGAAATAGGAAAACTCAATGTCTCAAACAGGCTTTCAATTCATCAATGTTTAGATGACAACATGTCTGGCATTTTGATGGAATTTGATTGCTCAAGAATCATCATTGGTTATCTGCTGGTACATCAAAGGCTGTGGCAACTCTTTTATCTAATTGAAGTTTGTGATATTCCTTTGCCGCTCCTCTTGGTCCTTTGACCACTGACTTAACCTTTTTATACATGTTGCCTCATACCTACAATATCATTTAGAATTATGCTGACAATATATTTTCCAAACCACAGTCCTAATAAAATATGAAATTAGCTCACAAATCATCGTTCCATATGCATGTTAAGTTTGGGAGACAAAATATGTAGTAAGGTGAACGTCCATTCATTAGTCTGAATGGCTTGAGCTTTTGAATGCAATTTTTGTGACTGTCTTGCTGTCCCTGAAGTTGGTCTTATTACCATGCAGCTTGAAAAGGGCTAACTTTTCGGTTATCAACTTCTGTATAGGTTTGGACTTATCTTGGCTTCAGTTTAATATGAATGTTTGTAGCTTGGTACAGTTCTGTTGACCTTAGAGTATTATTTTGTTGGCGATTACCTTACTTATTAGCAATTAAACCTTAGCTGGGTTGATGTGGTATGGAGTTGGTTGTTTTCAAGTGGGCGTCTCTATCCATCTCTCTTAAAATTATTGTTCAACAAATGGTTATCTTAGTACATTGGATGAGAAACATATGCTTGAATAGTCATTACCTTCTATTTCTTTGTTTATTATGTTTTTCCATTGCACTTTTGTATTTTGAGATTTTGGTGTCTTTTATTTTATTTTATTTTTGCTGTTCAGTTAACAATACAATTAACTTTGGTTATGTATGATTTAGTTCTACTTATGAGGAGGGGAGATTCTGTGAGATTTTCCATATGAATGCCACTGGTTGGAGATGTTGTGAATCTTGTGGGAAGGTAAGCAGAAAACTTTTCTTGTTGAGTTGTATGCTTTCTGTGCTCTGTTAAAATATCAAATATGCAGTGGAAGTTTCCAAATTTATTCTGATTCTAGTGCAAGTCACTTTATGGACAATTTCTTACTGCAGCGAGTTCATTGTGGATGCATTGTTTCAAATCATGCATTTATGCTACTGGATGCTGGAGGGATTGAGTGCATGGCATGTGCAAGAAAAAATGTTGTTTTGGTAAGGAATCATTTTAATCTTTCATAAAACTCCTAACTCTGTACTAATTATAGTCTGATAAATCTGTTTTTATTTTGTTTTGCTAATATATTCATATAATTGAGACTGTTTTGGGGCTATGCTTGCAGTAAAGAACATGAGCTTTGTTTGATTAATAAAATGGAAGCTAATGGCACTTTTCGCTAAATGAATCAAATATCTAATTAACCATGTACATTAGTGGTACAATAGATTAACTCTGTTCCATACTGTATGTGCCAGACATCAAGTACTGCATGGCCACCTTCGATATTTTACAATAGTCCTTTATCTGAGAGATTTAAAGACGTTTCTGTCAAAAATTGGAGTCAGTTAGCGGGGTCAGGTCCAGTACCATGGCGGCAAGCACCCAGTTTGTTCAATTCTTCTATTTCTCATTCCGATGGGCATCCCAGAACACTCTATGAAATTGACAGGCTTCATGCGGGTGAAAGATCAACTCTCCCTTCTCTAGAAAAAGGGAGAATAGAGGATTTTTCTGAAAGATTAATAAATGGGAACCTGAAGCTTGGTACACGTGCACGGGATATAGTTGAGAATGGTAATGCAGGTACAGATCACTTACCTGCAATTTTTATGCTACTTGTAGGAAAGAAATGTGTGATAATTTGGCATTTTCCCCATAGCTATGCTAGAGAAATAGATGAACAAATTTGGTAGCTGCAAAACCTTATTTGAACATCCTGTTGCAGGAACCAGTAGTGAGGAGAAACCTGGTTCTTGCTTAGGTATATCGCATCAACCGTCTCTAAGGGAGGATCCATCTGCTCCACAATTTGGAATGCCTCTACCTTTCACATCTCTCAATGAACCAAATGGTCAAATTGGTGGTTCTGGAACTCCTTTACGGCAACCTGCTCCACCTTTGCTTGCTAAGCAATTTCATGGTAATTTGCACGGTGGAGTCGACTCATCACCTGATACTCATATTCGCAATGGAAGGCCTCGAGCAGATGCTCGTGCAAGAAGCCAATTACTCCCTCGTTACTGGCCCAGGTTTACAGATGAAGAGCTACAACAGATTTCTGGAAAGTATCCTTTGATTCAATAATTTATGAATTTGAGGCATTTTATATTTGTGAACTCTAATTCTTAAAACTAGTTAATTAAACTCATGAACACGCATGGGGTCAAGGGGATGGGCTGACTTTATTCTGTTCTTTTCATAACAGGCTTTGCCTTTCTTTTTCTTTACAACTATGCAATCTATCCTTAACCATATTAAAGTTCAAATTCTGTAATCACTCCTTTGTTTGAGAAAATGTTGAGCGCTAGTGATGCTGGGCGAATTGGGCGTTTGGTGCTGCCGAAAAAATGTGCTGAGGTTAGTAAACATGCCACCCTGCTCAACCCTTCACTTTTTCCACTATCCAGCTTTCTATTCTGAATTGTTCTATATTAGAGAAGGTTGATGAGATGCATATTGTGGTCAACAAGCAGAACATAATGATTTCTTTTCTGATTGATACACACACACACACACACACACACACACACACACCCCATTGATTTCATTCTAGGTAGAGTGTTGTTCACTGGATTAGGACTACATTCATGCTTAAGTTGATTGCTAAATCCTTTTTTTATTCTCTGTATAATGCTGTCATATTTACTACTTTAACTTCATCTTATGGACCAAGGAGTCGCTGAATATAAAATCTTTCAAGTGATTGACCAAACTGCAGAATATGGTATGGGCATGTCAATGTACACCAGAATGTTTTTGCAGGCTCCCATATTCTGTTGAATGATTCTATCCTGGGAACTGTCTGTTGATAGTGGATTCTAAATACACTTTTGAGCAGGTTTAGACTTGAATGTAAGTAGAAAGGGGAATTAATGATAAGTTGATAACTTAAGATGATCTCCATAATGACCATGAATCGAGCCCATACTTTTAATTTCTTTTTTGAATTTTCCCGGTGATTTCTTTGTTGAATATTCTGTAACTGTCTTATTAAAATATATGCAATGCTCATGTGGGGTGTTGTGCATTTGATTCTTGTGAAACCTCATATTTTGAGGAAACTCAAGTGCCTGGCTTTTCAATGAGACAGCTTATAGGCTGATTACGTATTTGCATGAAGAATAAGTTAGTAAATTTTGCCTCCCTTGCTTTTCTTTTTGGCTTCAGTATCATTTTCTTTCTCGATGATTCTTCAATAGAATCAATACTGATTTTCTTACTTTGGACAGGCTTATTTTCCGCCCATCTCACATCCTGAAGGATTGCCTCTTAAGGTCCAGGATTCTAAAGGCAAAGAATGGATATTTCAATTCCGCTTCTGGCCTAACAATAATAGTAGAATGTATGTTCTTGAGGGGGTAACTCCTTGCATACAGAATATGCGGTTGCAAGCTGGCGATATAGGTAACTACCAAATTGAGTGGAAGTAATAGTCAAAAGTTACCTACTTCAAAATTTGGGGATGATTATATTCTCTGCATTATACTAGTTTTCTTATTTTGAGATCTTTTGGATATAGTTGACAATGACAAGGCTTACATCTAGTGAGAATTGTTGCCTTTTAGTTTTGGTTTTTTTCTTTTACTTGTCCGGCTCCTTAATCTTTGAATTCATCTTCCTTGTGATGTGGTGCCAACTTTTGTTGAAGTACTGGTTCGTGGTTTTCGAGTTCTCTGTTACTGGGTCTGAAATTTGTTTTTGTTTCCTCAGTAACATTTAGTCGACTAGAGCCAGAAGGAAAATTGGTTATGGGATTCAGAAAGGCTTCAACTGCTCCATCATCTGATCAGGTATGACCTTGTCAAATTTCATAGTATCTTTTCAGATGTCTACTTTTGCATGCCAGAGCACAAGGACAGGGACAAATGAAAGTCCCTCAACTGTTTTTTTGGATGTATTGCTAGCGCAGTTAGATATCCCTAAGCTTATGGCATCATTATGTGCATAGTTTGTGCATCGTCCATCTTGTCATAGATAAAAACAAGTGTATGCATGCTTGTTTAAGAAATATTAATCGATCTAATCATTAATCTTCTAATATCAATAGTATTATGCCGTGCTGTTTAGTTTGTGCATTTCTTACAGTCTGGAAAAGATGTAAACAGTTATTGATTTAGTTATTGATTTGCTGCTTTAGATTTAATTTTGAGATGAATTAAGCCAATAGATTAACCCATATTCTGTATTTTCATTTTCAGGATAATGATACAAGTAAGACTAGTAATGGTCTTTCTGCAAATAGAGATGTTAGTACTGCAAAGCCTTTTATGGTGAAGTTGCTTTAACCTTTTATCATTTAAAAGATAAATTGGAATAACCCCGTTTTTTATCAACTGAACAGGCTGAATTTGCTGATCCCAGTCCTTGGTCTAAAGTAGACAAGTCAGGATACATAGCTAAAGAAGTTCTTGAAGCAAAATCATCAATCAAAAAGAGGAAAAGCAGCACATTGGGTTCTAAGAGTAAGCGCCTGAGAATTGAAAATGAAGACATGATAGAACTGAAGCTAACATGGGAAGAAGCACAAGGACTGCTGCGCCCCCCTCCCGACCATATTCCTAGTGTTGTGGTGATTGAAGGATTTGAGTTAGAGGAATATGAGGTTTGGTTTCTTCCGTATTCGATAGAAATTTGTCCCAGTGATCACCATTATCTTTTTCTTTTTAGCCATCTTCCAGCGTGCTTGATTTTACAGCCAGTTTCAATAGATTACTTGAATCATATGACCCTGTTGCCATTGACTGTTGGCATATTTGTTTAATTCTAGAATGGCCTTCTTTTGTCGCATTGAATTTTAGGCAAATGATACTGAGACACAAAGGAGTAAAACAATGCAAAAGTATCAAAGAAAGACTCCTTTATTTTGTACCACATATAAATAAGAATTCCTAACTGTTGCATGGTTTCACACTTGTTATCATCAATCCTTGTTTGGCTTGACTTAATCTTTATCAGAGCATTAATTGAAAATTCCTTAAAATTGTTATTATGTTTGGATGAAGAGTTTGAACATGCATTAGTGCATCTTTATCACGTTATACCTTGTCAGACTTCCGTTCTGTTTCCACACTCACTTGTGTTCTATTACAGGATGCCCCAATTCTTGGGAAGCCAACAGTTTTTGCAACTGATAATTCGGGGTAAGTTACTTGGGCAGTTCAGCATCATTTGGCTCATCAGCTCATGCAATGATTTATATACGTTCTTTACAGACATAGACTTGATCTTTTATTCTTCGTGGCATTCTCTATTGAAGAGAATCCTTGCTATTGTACCTGGTTAAGACTCTAAATCTTTTATGATACGGGGTGTTTTTCTTGGAGAATATTTACATGTCTCATCTTTTGTGGAGCCTTAGCCTTTTTGGAACTTTGAATTTATTGACCATTGTGGGTTTTTTTCATAATTGTTGATATAAATAGGGGATAACATGTTAGCATTATAATCTTTTTTCTGCTGTCAAATTACGAAGATGAATGCAGGTTTGTTTTATTGCCGTGATTTTAAAAGTTTTCCTTGTTGTAAGTTGTAACATTTTCTCATCTTTTTTCTCGTCAGTCAAAAGATTCAATGGGTTCAATGTGAAGATTGTTTTAAATGGCGCAAATTGCCTGCTGATGCTCTTCTTCCGTCCAAATGGACATGTTCTAGTAACTCCTGGGATCAAGGAAGGTATAACATGCATCCAGCTGTTTTTTCTGATACGTGTCTGTCTCCATATATTCAATAATCTATGCTCTCAAGTTTAAGTGATGCATGGTGAAAAACCATATAGTTTTTCATCCCTCATAAGATGTAAACATGCATTTGAAGGGTAAACTTGTCGATTGAAATTGTGTTCACTTCACTGGATGATTTCTGCTTCTATGATGGGTGTTAAAAGCTTATGAAAGATCATTGGACTGTGCTGTATGAAACTTCTGTCATGGAAAGGAGCCAACTTTTTGGGACTTTTAGATGGGTTCTTGCTTGTTATGTTGTAATGTGTTTTTATATAAATGGTAAAATGGACTAAGCCCATGTTCTACTTTCTTTTGTCTCTGAGATGGACAAACAACAGTGTAAAGTTTGACAGCATCTGAAATTCTGCGAATTGTCATCTTTGAGTATTGTGTTCACTATTTCTATCCTTCTGTCACCAGATCATTTTGTTCAGCAGCTCAAGAATTGACAGCAGAGCAGCTTGAAGATCTGCTACCTTCTTGTCATATAGGTATAAATTACCTGGAATGGTTTTTCCGTTTCATCTTTTCTACATGCTCAAGTTTACTTGCATATTGATGATTTAAAATGCTCTCTCTTGTTCAAATGGTGGTACCTTGTACTTTCTGCCCCAACTGCTGAATTTTCAATTTTTATCACGGTTGTGAAAAAGCAGCTGCTTCCAAGAAAATGAAGGCTTCTAAACAGGATGTTGATAATGTTGAAGCACTGGAGGGGCTTGACACTCTTGCCAACCTAGCTATTTTAGGAGAGAATGAGGCACTTCCAGCTTCATCCCAAGCCACCACAAAGCACCCACGGCATAGGCCTGGCTGTTCCTGTATTGTTTGCATTCAGCCACCAAGTGGGAAGGGTCCAAAACACAAGCAGACATGCACATGTAATGTGTGCCAAACAGTGAAGCGACGTTTCAAAACCCTAATGATGAAGCGTGAGAAGAAGCAATCGGAGAAAGAAGCAGAAACTACTAGGAAAAAGCAGCAACAAGCTTTACCTGAGAAATTGTTGGATGATGACCCCTCACCATCGACCAACACTGAAAGTAGCAGCCCAGACAAAAAAAAGATGATCAGTGAAGGCTCTGATGATGACCCCAACAAAACTAAATCCTCCACTTCACCTTTTAAAGGTCAAATAGACCTGAATATCCAGCCAGAACGAGAGGAAGAGTTGTCACCTGGTTCAGATTCTGGAAGCATGATGAAGATGCTCCAAGATGCTACTGAGAGGTATCTCAGGCAGCACAGGTTGTTAGTCTCAGACGACGACAATAATATTTCATCAGGTAATCAAGTACTTGCAGGTCATGAAATGGGTGAAAAAATCAGCAATGGCGTTGTGCTTGGCAACGGTCATCAAGATTCTGACAAAGATCATCCTGCAACTTTCTCAGTGAAAGTGTCTGCGACCTCTCCAGCCACTGGATAGTTATGCCTTTAATTATGAAATGCTGTATTGACTGTCCATGTAGGACTTGGGAGCTGAATCCGAGGATTATTTATCTTTGTACGTTTATACATCGGTATGGCGCTTCTTTGGTCTGTACATACAAGTAGAGAGGTAGGAAGAGTGGGCAACATGGTTGAGAAACCGATAATTTTGCTGATTCACATTCATATGTGATCTTCTCTACTGTAATATAAGCGAATGCTAATTAGTTTAGAGGGAAAGAATGACGATAACAAGTGGTAGTAGGTTGAAGCTATGTACTTCAGTTTAGGAGCTCACTGCTGCCCTGGTTCAGGTTCAGGTTCAGGATCACGAGAATGTAACTAAGCTGTGCCAGTTTTTCACTCGGTGAAATGAGAAATTGCTTCTGTTATTCTAGTTAATTTGCATTATTGCCTTCAAACTTAAAAGTAGTTGAACCGTCTCTTTGCCGAGAATCAGGTTGAATTTGCTCCACCGGCCACCTGACGAGTGGTTCGGGCAGTAAAATGGTGGGCAATCATATTTAATTCAATGTGTGTTTTGTTTGTGTAATTTGCTAAATTCCCATTTTTAACTGAAAATTTGATTGTAAAATCTAAATCTGGAAAAAATGAATTGATGACCCTATGGCGTTTTGATGAATTTTTTTTTCTTTTGAAGAAGACGCTTAAAATATGAGCACATAAGACAAGAATGTGAAATATTTGTTTACCGAAACCACGGCGTTGAAGCATCAATTATTAAAACTTTTGACTTTTATTATGATATGTAGCTCTTGTTAATTGTTCATAATGAGGACTAATTATGTGTGAAAAATAATATATTAATAGTAATAAGAATTAATAAACAAAAGGAGCAGGGTTGTCCATTAGTTAAATGACTAGCCACAAGATAATTGAAGAGTTAAGGTTGGATACACAGATTGTAGGTTTTTGTGGTTGAGAGGAAAGCAAAAGAAGACACAGTCAACCTAACCAATGAAAAAGGGAAAGCCACTTATTCAAAAGCTTTCAGGTAAAAGCTTGGTTGGTTATCATCTGATAATAACCTCAAGCCCCTTATAACTTAGTTCCCAACGCCAAAAATAAGGTTGCTTTCCCGATATTCATTTTCTTGGTGACAATTTTGCTGTTGTCGCCTCTTCTCTTCCTCCTCCTTAGGCAGCAAGCAAGAAATGGAGAGGAAGATGATGAACAAAATAAATACAGGCATACTCTATTAGATTTAATACATTCTACTAATTTCATAAAAAAGAAAAAAAAATTGAGGAAGTACATTTGCAGCAGAACAACAAACTCCAAGATGAACGATTTATTTTCAAGTTCTTTCAAGAAATATACTGACCTCAAGCAGCAAACACAGAATGATGATGTGGAGGAAGGAAAGGAGCCTATGAATCTTGATAAATTCTTCGGCGATGTCGAGAATGTTAAGGAAGACATGAAAACCGTAGAAAAGCTCTACAAAAACTTACAAGACGCAAATGAAGAGAGCAAAGTTGCGCATAATGCAAAAACTATGAAAGCTATCCGTTCTCGAATGGACTCTGAAGTTGAGCAAGTCCTGAAACGTGTCAAAATCATCAAAGGAAAGCTTGAAGGTTTAGAACGTTCCAATGCAGCTGCACGGAACATTCCAGGGTGCGGTCCAGGCTCGTCTGCAGATAGAACTAGGACTTCTGTTGTGAGCGGTTTAGGAAAGAAACTAAAAGACCTAATGGATAACTTTCAGGGTTTAAGAGCTAAGATGACAGCTGAATATAAAGAAACTGTTGAACGGAGGTATTTTACTATAACAGGAGAAAAGCCAAGTGAAGAAACTATTGAGAATTTGATAGAAAGTGGAGAAAGTGAAAGTTTCCTGCAGAAAGCTATTCAGGATCAAGGGAGAGGTCAGATTCTTGACACTATATCGGAAATTCAAGAAAGACATGATGCAGTAAAGGAAATAGAAAAGAACTTGATTGAGCTTCATCAGGTTTTCTTGGATATGGCTGCTCTTGTGGAAGCTCAAGGGCACCAACTCAATGACATTGAGAGTCATGTCGCACATGCTAGTTCATTCGTGCGACGAGGGACTGAGCAACTTCAGGAGGCCAGGGAATATCAGAAAAGCTCTAGAAAATGGACTTGCATTGCCATTTATGGTGGAATTGTTGTTGTCATTTTGCTCCTATTGCCACTCTTACCAACAATTTTGTCCCTCTTGTAGAAAGAAGAGAAGTCACAGCTTCTTCAATTCTGAAAATATATGTATATCATTTTCACTGTAATGAAAATTTGTTAGATTGTAAAAAAACTTTGTAAGATTTTGTATTTTATTTCCCAAGATAGTGTTTTAATGTCTCAGACTTACATTCTGACTATAGACGGCAAAACTTGGGATGTTAGTTCAGGAAAAAAATAAAAAATCCAAAATAAATGGTCCGTTGGCATATTGGAGATGTCTGAATTCTGCCTCACTTCCCATGAAACGCCATAGACGAAAACTAGATGAGTTTTTAAGTTTTTATCGAGATACTAGAAAATCATAGGATGAAGAAGAGCAGATTCTTTTTTTCTTTTTACTTCTACCTTACCATTGATCACACATACGTGTATATATATATAGTAGAGATTTCTGTGTAAATCATATCTTCACAACAGTACAAAACTATCAATCTTGCAGCTATGATTGCCAAAAAAACAAGCCAGAATCATCTGAGCTGTTTGAATAGAAGATATTAATATATAATGTGCATGTACAAAAGTTATTATGAACAGCTATCGGAACTTGGCATACAACAGAACCCTACATTTGTTATTAATTTAGTCCTCTTTGGCCCTTAAAATTCTAGAATTTGCTATGATCAAGCAAAAAAGTTACAGGGTCACAATATTTCACATGTGCGCCTGCCGACCTTTGATGTTTTGCTTGATATGCTGTCTGTCAATAGTTAATAATACAGCCACAACAAGGAGATGACAACGGCAATGCGGTCAAACTGTCACCTGTAGATTCATCAGCAAGGGACTTTCAACTAGCTTTCTTTCAATTGCATAAAGTAAGAACAACACAAAGCAACTGCTGTTCCAAAATAATTTCTTCGAACACCCTAGTTTGTCAAATGCAGATAGCCCCAAAGAATCTACAGTCGGCTTCTTTTTAGAACAATGGCAAAGCTATGTGACAGAAGAGGATTTAATTGGGTTTAATTATGTGGCAAATCACCACAAATTACATAACAAGATACTAATAAAATTTCAGCCTACCAACTGCAATTTATGCTGAACAAGATGACATAGAAACCAGCAATTCCCGCTTTGGAAGATTAGAATACTTCACAAATCAAAATGAAAGATGAATGAATATTGAGATACTAAATGGAAGTACAAACAATTTACACAATACAAGACGGCAAAATAATAACAATTTAATGGTTCAGCCATTCCCAAAATGTATAAAACCTGTTACAAAATTAGTAATTCTTCCAACTCATCATCGAGGTTCTACCAAGTTGCAGCAACAAACAAGACAATATGTATTGAATAACCCAGACTCAATGATTGTACCCATTAATTTACAAGCTCAACAAAACCAATCAAGTTCCAGCAGTAGGCAAAGCTGCCATAAAAGAATTATATGAGGACTCCAGATCAAAGTGTAGTTGCCGGGCCTGCTGCTCTGTCAATTCATCTGCTGCCCCCATCTTAGACAGCCTAGAAATCCACTCTTTCATCTTTGTCTTGCCCTCAAAGTCTGGTGGCAAAATGCTCAATTTATTAAGTGAAGCTGAAAGGTCTGATAGCAGCGGATGCACCTGATCCACTGCCACCATATTCAGTTTTAGGGAATCCATGGCTGTAATGAAGTTTTGCACACACTCTGCCACAATGGCAGCTGATGTTGTCGCTGAGGCAGCTGCAGCAGCCCGGTGTTCCACTGTGGCAGGGACCCCTGAGGTCACCAATCGGTTTATGGCAGCTGGACAATCCATCTTGTATGTGTCTGCAAAGCGCTCAATGCTAGGGACTATGTCTTTCAAAGTGGAAGCTAGTGTTTTGAAGTGGGCGATAAGCTTGTGGCATTCGGTTTCATACTCAGATGAGGTGATAATGTCACGAATATAGGCCTTTTCAAGCTTCTCCGTCGCTTTGATTATAGCATAGAGCTCAGCAAAGTTCTCGTACATTTCTCTCTCGCGCTTGTCGTTCCATAGCTTGACCTCCATTGCAAATAGGTACGCTTAACAAATATACTTTCACAATTGGATATATATAAAGGTATATGTGGAGGATTGGAGAAGAGAACGGGACACGCGCAAAGAGCACTAGCCTTCGCTGAAAAACATCCATATATACAGGAAGATAAAACATAATTAGACAAATATTGTCACTTTTGCAAATCCAAAAAACACAGTACAGGCAAACAATTCAAAGCGTGTGATAAAGTCGTCCTATTTATCTGGTTTAATAGATAATGTTTGAACATACATTCCATGGCTATCGCAAAATAGCAAACTAACTATTTCATAGAGTTCATCCAAAATTAAGAAAAAACAAATGCATATTAACTAGAGATAGCAAGCAACGGAAGAAAGAACAGAGAAATGAAAACAGAAACAAGACCCAACTATGCAAATATGCTTACTTTCAACTGATCATGGACCAATACAATACTACTTGTGTATTAATACAGATGAAAAACTTCTATTCACAAGAAATAAAAAAAAAAAAAAAAAAACACAAGAAATAAAAAAAAAAAAAAAAAAAGGAAAAGGCAAAAGACCTATAGCAGCTAAAGTTTCCATCTTTTTCTCCGATCTCTACCGATTTCTTTTCAGAAACCAATGAGACAAACAAACAGATCTTATAATGCGCAAATTATAAACCACCAATATAAAAAAAAAAAAAAAAAAAAAAGGAAAAGGCAAAAGTATAGCAGCTAAAGTTTCCATCTTTTCTCCGATTCTACCGATTTCTCAGAAACCAATGAGACAAACAAACAGATCTTATAATCGCAAATTATAAACCACAAATATAACATCAAACCCCTTTTCAATTATAAAATTAGAAAAGCCCTTTTCAAAGTTTACCTCTAGGTCATCCTAGAGCGAAGAATCCCAAACGTAATACCCATACGGCTTAGAACTCCAAAAAGTACGTAAGACGAACATATATATGATTTGAAAGAGAAAAAGAGGAACTTACAGGAAGTGAAAAACGCGGCTTTGAACAGCGTGAAGGCTCTTTCTCTGGGTTGCAGAGAAGAGAGAGAAAAGAAGGGAGAGAGGGAGATAATGTATTTGTATTATGAGGATTTGGAGAGAGAGAGAGAGACAGAGATGGGGTTGCGTGTGGGCTCGCGTATATTATTATTGCTGCTTACGGCATCTACGTGTAGCAGTTGGGATGAGCAGAAGAGTGAGACACCTCCGTTACGTTCTGTTACGGTGATATGACGCTACATTAGCTTTCATGGCCTCGCATGCCTTTTGTCCAATCATTCCTTTCTATTTATTACGGGCAATCCCGATAATGATCGGATCGAACCCTCTACTTTCCTCCTTACAGTTACCGAATTATTGATCTTTGAAATATGAATTTTATTATTCAATATAAAGATTTTTTCTTATTGTTTAGAAATTTCCAACTTTTTTTTTAATATTAGGGTTGACTCTTCAGTTTGGATGGAAAATATGTTAGGATCCATCGACAAAATTAATTGCCTTAATTGTTTAATCAGCGTTTAATTGTTAAATGTATGCTCATTAAACCTTTAAATAGTTTTTTAAATATATAATATCTTAATTTTTAAAAATTAATTTAAATATTATGTTATCGATTACTGTAAAAAATAGAATTTAACTTTTTGACCAGCTATTTAGAAAGTTGTTCTCTCAACTAGAAATATCAAAAGAAAATAAATGTAAAAATTTCAATTTAAAATCGAATAAAAAATTAAAAGGGACCAATTTCAATTTCTATTATTATTACGGAAGAATCCTAAAAGGAAATAAAAGATTAGAAAGAAGGATATAATATTGAAATAGATCAGTATTGGAATGTAATTAAAAGCATATTAAAATTAATAAATTTGAAAATTGAAAAATCAATTTCAATTATTTTTTTGAGTTTTAACAGCTTAAAATTATTAGTTTACTAAGCTGAAAATTTGATTAAATGAGTTGGTCTAGTTAAGGCTCCATGGAGCAAGCTTTAATCAAAATTTTTAAAAAGAAAACTTGTTTTTCATTGGAAAGTTGCATGAATGAAATTGAGAAAATTGATTTAGAAAATAACGAAGTAATAAAATATTATATTTGTATTGCTTAATTTAAACATTATATTATTCGTTATTACTTTATTACCAAATTAAAATATAAAAAGCAATACGTGGTATGCAGCTGGCACATGCATTCTGATGTGGCAACAATGCTGCGCTGGCATACACAGCATGTTTGACAGTTGGCACGGATTTAGTGACGTATCAGAAGGTGTTGACATAGCTGGTGGTTGCGTGGCTTCAAGCCTGTTTAACAGTTTGGTTCCAATGGTTGTTTGGCACGATGGGCTGGCTAGCATTCAACGGGCACCTAAACTAGCAACCAGTAACAAAACTTGGATGGGCTGGGCCAATAGGAGCAGCCTAATTATTCACCCTAATCCCTTTGTCTCGTGTGAAATGGGAGCTATCAATCACTACCAAGTTTCAAGATCGACGCTTGGAACATCTCTGCGAAACAATTAATTGCAGTGAGAAGTTGCAAATTCTCAGATAAGTTTTCCCTCTGCTGTCGACATTTTTGTCCAAAGTAGCTTAGATTTAGGGATTTGGTTTACTTCAGCAAATTATTTTGATTTTTGTTTATAGAGGTTCAGGGCTTTACTTATAAATTCAAAAAGCGGCTTTCAGTTTTGCATCAGTTTGGTTTTACTAGAGTTTTAGAGTTTATTCTGCGCCAAATTTTTTATAGATATGTCAATTCCTAGAGAGCTTTATCCGTCCCAAGATGATCTCTTGTACGAAGAGGAGATATTACGTAACCCATTCAGCCTCAAGCTTTGGTGGCGCTACCTAATAGCCCGTCGTGAAGCACCTTTCAAAAAGCGGTTCATTATCTATGAGAGAGCTGTTAAGGCTTTACCAGGGAGCTATAAGCTTTGGCATGCCTATCTTACTGAGCGTCTCGATATTGTTAGAAACTTGCCCATCACTCACTCCCAATATGAAACCCTAAACAATACATTTGAAAGAGCATTGGTTACTATGCATAAAATGCCTCGAATTTGGATCATGTACTTGCAATCTCTAACCAACCAGAAATTGATTACTCGTACCCGTAGGTCTTTTGATAGAGCACTCTGTGCATTGCCAGTCACGCAACATGATAGGATTTGGGAGCTATATTTGAGGTTTGTCAGCCAAGAGGGAATTCCAATTGAGACTTCACTCAGGGTTTATAGGAGGTACTTGAAGTATGACCCTAGTCATATTGAGGACTTCATTGAGTTCTTGGTGAATTCCCATCTCTGGCAAGAGGCAGCTGAGAGGCTTGCTTCAGTGTTGAATGACGATCAGTTTTATTCTATAAAGGGGAAAATAAAGCATACGTTATGGCTAGAATTGTGTGATCTTCTTACTAGACATGCAAAGGAGGTCTCTGGTTTGAATGTTGACGCCATTATTAGGGGTGGCATTAGGAAGTTTACAGATGACGTTGGCACATTGTGGACATCTCTTGCTGATTATTATATTAGGAGGGGTTTGTTTGAGAAGGCTAGGGATATTTTTGAGGAGGGTATGACTACAGTGGTTACTGTGAGAGATTTTAGTGTTATTTTTGATGCATATTCACAGTTTGAAGAGAGTATGGTAGCATATAAGTTGGATCTGGACTTGAGTGATGAGGAAGAGAATGATGATGATGCCAAGCAAGAAGAGGATATTCGTTTAGAAGTGAATTCTAAGTTTGAGAAGAAGATACTTAAAGGGTTTTGGTTACATGATGATAATAATGTGGATTTGATGTTGGCCCGATTGGAGTATCTCATGGATAGAAGGCCAGAATTAGCCAATAGTGTACTTTTGCGACAAAATCCACATAATGTGGAACAGTGGCACAGGAGGGTTAAGCTTTTTGAGGGCAATCCAACTAAACAGATACTAACTTACACTGAGGCAGTAAGGACAGTTGATCCGATGAAAGCAGTAGGAAAGCCTCACACTCTATGGATTGCTTTTGCCAAGTTGTATGAGAATCACAATGATCTTGTCAATGCAAGAGTAATTTTTGACAAGGCTGTCCAAGTGAACTATAAGACTGTTGATAATCTGGCCAGCATTTGGTGTGAGTGGGCTGAAATGGAAATTAGACACAAAAATTTCAAAGGTGCATTGGAGCTGTTGAGGCGGGCCACAGCAGAACCATCAGTTGAGGTCAAACGAAGAGGTAATCCTAAAATTTTCTCATTTACTGTCTTCCCTTATTCTAATTGTCATTTACTCTGCACTCTGTTAGTGGCTATCCTGCATGATTGTAATGCCTATTTCAAACCAATTAAATTCCTGTTACAAAAACTTGTTAGAAGTTTGTTTACAGAAATTTCGAGTTGCGAGTCTCAAGAATCAAAATATGTAACAATTTAGTGAATGTGACTTCATATTTTGAAGCTAGGACTGAACATTTCGGCTTATAATAATATCCTGTTAATGATAGTTTTTGTTTTATAATAACTGAAGCAATTCAATGTGGTTAAGACTTGGTGCATTGACATATTTTTCAGTTGGATGGGAGGGTGGGGAGATATGGGAAGTTGTAGGGAAGGCATGCAGTTTTATATATTCCAACAAAAGCAATACAAGGTTCCTATTTTTTGAAAAGGAAAAAAGATACAGAGTTATAAACATGGACAAGAACATTTTGGAGGATTCAAATTATAAAGCTGGTTGATTTGCGAAGAAGCTTTATTAGAGGATTCAAATTGGACACCCAACTGATTATTTCATTTCTGTGCTGTGGTTGCAGTGGCTGCTGATGGCAATGAACCAGTCCAGATGAAGTTGCATAAGTCCTTGAGACTCTGGACTTTTTATGTCGATTTGGAAGAGGGCCTTGGGACCTTGGAGTCCACTCGAGCAGTCTATGAGCGAATATTGGACCTGAGAATAGCCACACCACAAATCATTATCAATTATGCATTGCTCCTAGAAGTATGATATCTATAATTCTACTGCTTTGTTCCTTTTAGTTGTTACTTTTATTGATGTAAATTGAATCACTTATATTATTTTGGACTGTGCAGGAACACAAGTACTTTGAAGATGCATTCAAGGTATACGAAAGAGGAGTGAAAATATTTAAGTATCCTCATGTGAAAGACATATGGGTCACATATCTTTCAAAGTTTGTAAAGAGATATGGCAAGACAAAACTGGAACGAGCAAGAGAGTTATTTGAACATGCTATTGAAATGGTATGCTCCTTATTCTCAGATTCTCTTTGTTTCATACCTCTGATATCGTATATGTTTATCGCTGAAGATGACTGCCAAAGTTTTGGAACGTTTAACAGGGTTTTCTGCTTTTAGATTGCTTCTGGAGTTTTTAATATTACAGAAGTTTGTCTGATGACTGTGTTGCTCACCTTGTTGTATCTGATTGTCTGGTTCTTTGTAAATAGGCATCATTCCTGTGTATATTTTTAACTTGAAAAATGCAATCTAGGTTTATGTGGAAGGGTCTGTAGGTTGCCTGAATAGATGCTGTGCAACTCTCATCTAGTTAGTATGAGACCTGGAAACTGGAATAATGTTTAAAGTATTAATATAGAGAATTATTGATTTGTATCTTTGCTTGCATGGTCCTCCTGCATCCTTCCTCTCCTTCATCCAAAAATTATTTTGACACCTTAGCAATTAAGAATTGTCAGTGTTTGATTGTTGATGTGTGATACATTTTGATACGGTCCCTTGCTATGGATCGGTGAGTTAGAATATCAGGATGAGTGAGGGGAGGTCGGAAAGGTGGAGTGTGTGTTTTCTTTGAGCGACCTATGATTTTAGCTAAATCAGATTCGTTAGAGAGAACCTGGATCTCTTGAATTAAAGCACTCAAAAACTTTGGAAATTTTCTGCATACCTTTATTATTGAATTCTCAAGTTTAAATATACTGCTGGAGGAATAACTACCTCCTTTAAACAAGGTAACATGGAAACATGGAAGTTCAACTTCCTACAACTAAGGAACATGATTAACAAACTGAACCACAATTAAACAATTGAAATAAAACTGAACAAAGCATGAAAACCATCAGTTGAATATGCCACTATTCTTGGTGGACGTGATTAGTGACTTGGACATGACCTGGTTTTGCTTTTCCTGTATTCCCATGTGTGAAGATTTTGTAAACTTGAATGCTGGAATATGGATGATCATCAGTTAAAGAGCTAACATATTTCTTCAGAAATTATCACTAGGAAATACTTGATCAATGAAGTCAATTCAGGAGCTTTCCTTTTTCATACTTTGGGTCCTTTTCTGTGTAATAATCTTGAGCTAGGTCATTGAATATATCAATGCTTTGAGGATTTATATTGGAATTAGAAACAGCAATGATTTTTGTCATGCTTATAGTTCCAATTAAAATTTAAGGGGTAAATGTGTTAGCTTGTAAAGGAATTATCTACAATGGTCATTGTAGTTTACCTTTTATTGGCATCCATATAATTCCCTGTTCACTTTTTTGTCATGATTGTAATTTATTAATTCCTTCACATGGTTATATGTGATATATTCTGTAATCAGTGTGGTATCTTAGTTATATCATTCTAGCATGGTGTTTCCATGGGTCTTCAAATGAGTGATACTGGTAGTACCATAGTAGCATAATTTTGTTTGTGGTATGATGTTGACCTTGTCACTTTTTTATGTTTGTCAGGCTCCTGCTGATGCAGTGAAACCCTTGTATCTTCAATATGCAAAGCTGGAAGAGGATTATGGTTTGGCAAAGCGAGCTATGAAGGTTTATGATCAAGCAACAAAAGCTGTCCCTAATAGTGAAAAACTGGAGATGTATAAAATTTATATTGCCCGTGCGGCTGAGATTTTTGGTGTCCCAAAAACCAGGGAGATATATGAGCAAGCAATTCAGGAACCGGGTGGTCTTCCTGATAAAGATGTAAAGACAATGTGTTTGAAGTATGCTGAATTGGAGAAGAGCCTGGGAGAAATTGATCGTGCACGTGCCATATATGTATATGCATCTCAACTTGCTGATCCACGAACTGATGCAGATTTCTGGAATAAATGGCACGAGTTTGAGGTACAACATGGAAATGAGGACACTTTCCGAGATATGCTGCGGACTAAACGAAGTGCTTCAGCAAGCCATAGCCAGGTAAACAATTTTCTTTATGTTACAGCTGTGAAGACAATACTTGACTCTAATGTGAGTGTCATCAATTGATGTGTGCTCTTTATGATTCATATGCTTCTCTTTATGCTGAAGGGGTTAGTCATTGCTGACGCCTCTTGCATTCCAAACAATTGCAATTATGGAATTAGAGCCAAGGTCAACTTATACTTAAATGCATTCAAGTTTTCCATTGAAGTACATGGAGATGTTAAAGTTTCATATAGCATTTCAATTTGCTCATAGTTTGATGGGAATGATCAATTATCTATTGAAATCAAAGATGAAAACGAAAAATTGTATTTAAGGTGGAGACAGGGCATTATTTCCTTAACCTTAGGTTTTCCTTTTCAAGTTTTCATCTTTATGAACTCTTGAATTAGCTGGCCGACTCAATTATTGTAATGTCTTTAGGATATGATTCTCAATGGACTTTACTCTCTGCACTGAGACTGGTAACAAGTCTTGTCAAAACAGTTGGATCTTTATCCTTGTTGCATCATTTTGAATGCAACAACAAAACAACTAAGCCTTAATCCGAAACTAGTTATATGAATCCAATGTTTCCATTTTTCTATGTTCTTAACTAGGTCTTTACATCATTTTGAATAGTTGATGTTAATTTTGTAAATCTGATTCTCATTTTCTTTCATTGCAGCAACATATTTTGCCCGAGTATTTGATGCCAAAGGATCAAAGGCTGGACATTGACGAGGCAAAAGACAAATTGAAACAGGCTGGGGTTCCTGAAGATGAAATGGCTGCTCTAGAGAGGCAGTTAGCTCCTGCAGCCATCAATACTACAACTAAAGACAGCAACAGAAAAGTGGGCTTTTGGAGTGCTGGGGTGGAATCGCAGCCTGATGGAGCAATAAAGGTTAATGTGAACCAGGAAGACATTGAGCTGCCAGAAGAAAGTGACTCTGAAGATGATGAAAAAGTGGAGATTACGCAGAAAGATGTTCCATCTGCTGTCTTTGGCGGATTGGCTAGGAAGAGAGAGGAGACTGAAAAAGATGAAGGTGGAGGCGACACTGGAATCGGTAAGGATAAGGATGGTGAGAGCCGTCTTGGGGCCTTGGAGAGAATAAAACGGCAAAAAAGAGCATGATTACCTTGAAATTTGAAGTCAGGCTAAACTGTCATGAAGTTTTGACAAATGTCCTAACTGCCATACATACACCTGAAGTTGTCCTTTGCGATTTGTATGATAATAGTTGATTGTACTGGAGGTGGACATTTTCATCAAGCCAAAATGTTGTAGAGGACCCCAGAATACAATTCATTTGGATTCAATTGGCTAGTAGGTTCTGCTACGAAAAATGAGGTTGACTAATCAGATGTACTCAAAGTGGCTATGAATAGCAACGCCTGAGGCACACCACATGCAAGTAGGTACAACGTTTACACCGAGGCCCATAATTATAAGACCCATATCCAACTATTTGTAAGCTGTAGACAGGAGTAGACTGTAATTTGTAGTGAATTTTCCTTTTTTGTATTTTGTTAATGATAAATCCTTTGAATGTGTAACGCGACAGGGCCAATTATCATTTCCTTTGAATTTGCTACTAAACCAAGTTTCCATGAAGATTTGCTGTAATTGCATTGCTTTGACTAGAGGCAAATACAACCAAATATGGACCCCAATTTGCACCTGCAATCAAAATATACAGTAGTTTAACAAAAAATCTCAGACTCCCACTTATATCCTTCTTGACAACCAAACTTGGTTATTGTCTTTTTGTACACTGAAACTTCTCAAAAACCCACATGATTAACCCCATCCACCAAACTGAACAAGCTTTGCCATCTGTCGTCAACTTTACAAGTTTAATCGACTTATTACGCTCCAGTGACGTGCCAAAAAAGGCAAGACAAATGGCCGATGTGAATTATGAACATCTTTATTTCAGAATCAAAAGGAATACATCGCCACTGTCTTTAATCAATAAAGAAAATTCTTGGTATTACATGTCCTTTCTCTTCTTCATGTACTTTTTATCTTTTACTATAGGATCAAATTTGATTGATTATCAAAAATAATGTATTCCCATACTAGCATCAATTTTTGTCACAAAAAATAACAAAAGGGGAATTCAAATTTGGATCTTATAATAGGGGAAGGATAGGATCCTACGTAACAAAACAGAAATTATTTGCTAATCCCACTGTTTTTAATTAAAAGGAAATTGAAGGCCCTGTCACCATACTGTTTTTTTTTTTTTTTTTTTTTTTAATCTTATAATAGGGGAAGGATAGGAATCCTACGTAACCCAAAACAGAAATTATTTGCCTAATCCCACTGTTTTTAAATTTAAAAGAAATTGAAGGCCCTGTCACCATTACTGTTTTTTTTTATTTTTTTTTTTTTATATTAAAAGGAAGGAACCAATGCTACTATGTATTGGGCCATTCATTAAAGATGAATAAATTTTTTTTTTTTTTTTTTTTTTTAATTAAAAGGAAGGAACAATGCTACTATGTATTGGCCATTCATTAAAGATGAATAAAAGAACACACAAGTTTCTTCCTTTACAGACACCAGACCGACCATAGCACAACCAAAACTATAGTATTTTAATACTATCTTTGTATGTAAGCTCAACCCTTTTTTGCTTCAAATTCTAACCCCTACATTTTTTTACCTAATCAGGAAAAGAATAAATAAATAAAAAGAAATACACATTTCCTTTTTCCAGTAAAATCAAACCCATTAAAGTTTTTTTTTTTTTTTTTCTTTTTTGAAAACTATTTCATTAAGAATAATTAAAATTAATGGCTTCCACGGAGAACCATTTCCTTGTAATGATTCAACGACTCTTGTCTCTGCATCCTCATCTCTTCGTTGAACTTCTTAATGAACGCCTCAACTCGGCGGTTCAACTCATCCTGACTCAGCGACGGCTCTTTTTTCAGCCTCCCTGACGCAGGAGAGTTGCTCACAGGTGGCGGCTGGTAATTGGTCCTGTCCTTGAAAGTCTCTGATTTCTTCGGTAACGATGGGTCCACTTGAATTACGTCTACTTGACGGCCGTAATTCTCGAACGTCTCCGACTTCTTCAAGTGTCTCGTTAACGGCATTGCTCGTCCCTCCGTTATCATTTTCCACGTGTTCTCCAGCGTCTCGTGCCGTTTGGGTTTCGCGACTCTCAACGCTCTTCCGCCTGAAAAATAAGCAAAAATAATTAATCATTGAATGACCTATTTATCCTACAAACCGAAACTTATTCACGTGTAATAGCAGGGTGTTTTCGGGATTTTGCAATTAAGCGTCGAGAAGACGCAAAGTTTGAATTTTTTTTTTTTTGTCCTGCAAAATTCAAATCAATCAAAGTCATGGCTATACGACAACGTTTCAGATCAACAACTAAAAGAAGAACCATTGGCCGCAAATTTTGATGCGAACGGCGCCAGAGACGTCTTGTCGACGCCGACCAAAACGCCGTCCGATATTAAAATTCGACACATAGACCAAAAGGAATAGTACATAAATAAAATTGCATTATACATACCTTCAGGGCTAGCTCGAACCGGTTTCCGGTGACCAAAGCGAGTAGAAACCAGAGGTTTCTCAGCCGGAAGAAGTAGCTCCGGAAAATTCTCAGACGACTCCATCCTCTTCGGAGGGATCCACGTGGACTTCGAGATTACAAAGTCATCCTCATCCTCCTTACTCTCAACCTCCACAGAACTGCTCACCATCACAGCATTCTTATCTTCAAAAACAGCTTCACCAGCCTTCTCATCCCTCAGCTCATACACAACCTCCGAAGCCGTCGATTCATGACCTTCATATGCGGACCGAATCTCCGGTACGGAAACCTTCATATCGTAATGGAACTGATCCGTCTCGCGTATCGTTATTTTCGGCGCAGGTATTTGCTCTTGCTGATCTTTATCGCCATGTCTATGGTGGAACCGAGAAGAAGCAGCGATGGTTATGATGATGCAGTTAAGTATAACGTAGAGATAAGGAGGTTTAAGCCACGAAGCCAATGAGCTCCATATAAGAGGAGCTTGATACACAGAGAAATCGACAACCAACGGAACAGAAACTTTAAAAAGCAAAGCTAGTGATAATACACCAGTGGAAATCAATACAACTTGAAGTGAGAATGTCATTGAACCCATTTTTGGCTTACCTTTGCTCTGTGTGGTTTTTCTGTATCGGAAATGGTGGCGACTAGTGGATGTGGAGTTAGAAGAAGGAAGCAGGGATTATATAGAGAGAGAGAGAGTGTGTGTGTGGGGACACGGTTAGTGAAATGATGTGAACCGTTCGATTTAGACTGGGGAGTATCTGGATGGTTGAGATGTGTGGATGCGTGTGAGTATATGTGCGTGTGGAGGTGACATGCTCGTGTGGGAGTGGGAGCTTCCATAGTGCGCTTCTTCTTGGTATTGGAAAAATCTACGGTGGCCCACTTGATTAAAGAGTTAGTACTAATCAGATCATTTAAAGATAAGAGTGGAATCTCTAAATTAACTAAACTTTACCATTCATGGTATACAAAAAGGTCATCGTCTGTTTTGCCTTTACTTGTCAAGGCAATTTTGCGTACCATCAATACATCAACATTAGATAAATATTTTTCCATACAAATCAAATTTATATGTGCAAATTATATAAATAATCTTTTAAAAAAACCATATAAATTTATTATTAGATAAAAAATTAGAGACGAAAAAAAATATATGAAAGAAAAATATGAAAGTGAATAAATTTATTTTCTTCTTGAATAATAAAATTATGAGTTTAATTTTCACTTTCCAAGATGGGCTCACAGCAGTTCAACTATCTTTCTTGAAACTGCAAAAGCAATTACTAATTCAAGGCGTTGCGGAGTTAAATATTGTCCAGTGTGCAAAATTATATTCTTTAGGCTGCAGAAACACTTTTTGAATATTTAAATGTACTCATTCTCAACGGTCATATTATTGACCGTTACTCACGCAGGCTGTACCGAGATCCCATAGCGCTGGTCCAATGGGTGCGGTAAGGCTCGCTGTTGGCATGTGGGGTGCAGCCCTAACCGACCAAAAGTCCTTTTTAGCTTTTAGTAGTCGATTAGTAGCAGTGATACGGATACGGTGAGGAGGCCCTACCAATACTTGAGATAGTCAAGGATTCATCCCTGAAGGATACGACTATTAAAATACAAATAACAAGATAAAAGGCTAATTTATTAATTTATACTAGAAAAATAAAATAAAAGTATTAATTTTCCACACCACTATTATTTGGTCAAAGACATATGCATTAATCGAGTAGACACACCGATGTAGTGTAGAAATGGGAAAATGGAAGTATATGTATAAATTATTGTATGATATTTTATTGTCCAATAATCAAATTTTCAAAAATAAAGTCTTTTTTTTTTTTTTTTTTTTTTGTTTTTTTTTTTTTTTTTTTTTTGTTAGTTAGAGATGAATAAATAATGATCTACATTGACTATGTAGGCAAACAAATGCAAAGCTTTAACTGTAATGTAATGTCGTTAAACAAAAATGGTATCTCAAAATAAAAAAATCTTCCACATGGTATACGCGGACCACTCTTATAGGTCAAGTCTCTTGGAGTCAGCTCCAAAGAATGTTGACTTATACACCTTAATGCATGTCAATTAATACACACGTACGTATAGGATTATCTACATTTCTTAATCAGACAAGTTAATTAAAAAAAATATACGTAAAGATAGATAACTTTTGATGGTGTGAACATTTGAATGTTTAGCTCTAGGGTTGGCTTCAAGTAAAAAGTTAAACGCCAATTAGATTGATCAGCAAGCATTAGCGTAGCCGCGTAGGAGAAAAGGGGGCAAGAAAGTCCACACACCATAAATGTATACTTCGCATTGAATAATAACTATAAAAACTGATTAACTGTCCACATGGAAGGATCGAGATGGCCTTGGCAAGAAGATTAGGAAATGGATAAGGATTTTTGGCAGTTAAATATCTATTCTGTTGAACAAAACTGAACTAACTGTCAGTCCATATATCGTGACCTTGCCTGACAGGTAGTTTCATATATTGTCAAATGTCAAAGATGACTGAGATGGATTTGGTCCTTTCATGAACCACTACACATTTTACTTACTTTGAAGATGTTAATAAGCCTTCTTCACCAAGTAATCTCCACAACGGGACGGTGCTCTTTTAGCATAAAAGTCAACACATTCAAAAGTCCTGATTCGTTAACTCAATTAAAGCTTTTTTTTTTTTTTTTTTTTAAGTCCTGATTCGTTTAACGTCTGTTCATTAAAATTAAAGCTTTTTTTTTTTTTTTTTTTATAATTGAAAAATTGTTAACTTATAATTATCCATGCATGCAAGCATGCATGATGATATATATATAGTCATGGATAATCCTGCATTAATTCAGAATACTAATATAAATAAACTAAGAATAGTATTGCCTTAACCGCATGGAAACACGTATATGTGAATAAGTACACGTATGGAATTTTCCTGACATAATAACCATCTTATAATGAATTAATCAGTTTGATAATTAAGATTAATTAATCCATACTGTTCCTTCAAAAAGAAAATATCTGTACTATAATCTATATGTTTAACTTATTGTGTTCCTTCCGGGAATCCAGGAAAACTAAAAAGATTGAAATTTCTCTTCACCAAAAAAAAAAAAAAAAAAATTTTCTCTTCACCCAAAAAAAAAAAAAAAAAAAAAAAAAAAAAAAGATTAAAATGTGAAAGCACTTGATTAGGCCACATGCCATTCTTTATTAATTATACATATTGTACTCAACCTAAGAAACTAATCATGATTAAGACTCCCATTTTTGGTGTTTTCAAATTGTTGATTTAGCTCTTTCTAGATCAGCTCTTTTTTCTTGAAATGAACGATCTAAGATTATACATATATATATATATTATTAAAAATGTTTTGCATTGCCGTGTGATGTGAATAAGGTTGTACACAGTCTTGTAGACAGATATGTAATGGTCGGTCATGTCCATGAATTGTTGTCAATTGGATAGCGTTGACTAGTAGTTTTTCTATAAAAAATAAAAATAAAAGTAAATAAGAAAAAACTGCATGGTAATTGCATTAAAATAAGAAATTAGCTATTGGGTAGATTTACTGCTTTCAACTTATACTCCAATGCCCTTAGAAATATATTACAATCAAATTTCACATTATGTCGGCAACTTAATCAATTGATCTAATTTTTATGCTTGAAGAAGCAAAAGTTAGTTTAATTATTGTAAAATTATAAATTAGAATTTGATTTTTAACTAATTAATAAATCAAATTATATAATATAAACCCTGAAACTCGTCAATTTTTTCAATTTAAATATATAAATCTAATTTGGAAACTTTTAAGTGAAAATCAAAGATTAATAGCTTATATTCTTAATAAGTTCTTAGAGCAAAATAAACTTCAGGAAACATCGAGAACTATGGCTCCATCAAAATTACATTTTCGTAGCCCTTTCTTGTTAAGTAATTAATGTCTATTGGGGTGGACGGTGGTGGTGTTATCCTACAAGTCAACAAAAGGTTTTTCTTTTTCTTCTTTTTTTTTTTTTTCTAACTAAAGCAGAAGTAAAAGATTTACTGTGATATTTATTTTCTCCATGTAAAGGGACCGGTACGATGATGACTTGCAAACATTAATTTGGTCAAAAACGAGTAAGATAACAGTGACGTTATAGTAACTAAATCAAAAGATATGGAAACAAATACCCATACCATCTTAATTTGTACTTTTCAAGTGTATATATAAATATATATGTTTCTAAGAACCGCCCATTTCCCTACTGACTGCCATATGGAACTATCTTCGTGCAATCCTTATCAGTATATCCTTGAATTTTTTTTTTTTTAATTTTTCTTTTATATATTAGAAGTATCTCAAGTGAAAATTTTTCAACAAGAGAGTAATATTATAGAGAAAAGTAATCGCAAATCCTAGATTTCTTCTTAACCTGCCAGATTTAGGTTACCTGCCTGGCAGATTAGTTGAAGATATTATTAGATACATGTCAACGACGTCCCAAAATATTCTCAGCTGAAACCTTCTACGCCTTTAATTACTGTATTTGAGTGTAATATAATACAAATTACATCCATTAAACTATTTTATTTGTTATTTTTAAAGCTGTTACACCACAAATCTAATATATTTCCTTAGGCTGTTTCTATGTATCGACATGTGTGCTTGTCCATGTCATTTGTTAATAATCTCAAAGCCCATCAAAGAGATGGAAGCTCTTCCACTATGCAACCCATCATGGCTACACAATCATGAAGTCCTCGAGATTTCTTTTTTTTTTTTTTGTTCCTTTCAGTTGAGAGCATATTGGAAGAGAAAGATTGAAACTTTAGCTGTTCAATCAATATATTAGTTGTATTCAGATATGACATTAGCTTAAGAACAACTGTTTCGGTCACTAGCAGAACCAGCTTGCAAGCTTTAATCTGATGGATTAATTTAACTTTCTTTGCTTGCATTAAAGGGGATTAAAAGATTAATCTTGCTATATTTGATACGAATCAAACTTTATTACATCAATAAAAGTAGTAAATCAATACAAATGAAAGCAGTAAACCAAATAGGCAATAATATGTGTAGTTTAACTATATCTGATCTAAAATAGGAAAATGCAACCAACTACTGTCTTGTAAACATCCCTGGCGTTAATGAAGACCAATCATAGTATACTTGAGGTTGTGTTGGAGCGGCTGGGAACGCAGCAGGCATAGTTGACCTGAAATTCATTGCCCCATTAATTTGAGCTACTGGTCCTGGACCATACATGCTGTAAATGATTAATGACCATTAGATTAGACCTTAATTATATGCAACTATAAACTGAAGCTTATATAAATGCAATCATCAGAATCATTTAATGGTAATGTAATCTTTGAATAACATGTCAATGAAACACACCTATGATTCGCATGCAGTACATTATTTTCAAGCTAATAGTTGATTTAAATGCTTTAAAGAAGTAGGCTAATAGATTAACCTAACAATTTCTCGATGACTCTGCTGAATCCCACAGCATTCCTACCTTGATACTGGAACATTAGCCGAGTTCCCTGCCAAATACATTTGCTGGTTGCTCCCAATCTGGCACAGGAATGTGACAACAAGATGAGAACTGATTTTTCAATCAAAATATTTGATGTGGGCATTTAAGAGCTCAACCTGAATGTATTTTTGTAGATTAGAGGTTGGCATCATCACTCCAGGAACCTGATGGCCGTTATTTACCCAATTCTGACTGGATAAATGGGCACCATTGGCATTATATTGAAGTGCATTGGCAGGAAAGGTTTGTGATCCACCACTAGAATTCACTGCGGTCACCATGAGGACCTGTTGTTTTTGGGACAACGTATGAACCTTTTGTTGGTGGACAGAAAATGGAGACATCATGCTAGACTGTCCAAAATCCACAGCTTAAATGGTAAGATGGATATAACATTTTTTAATAGTTAAATTAATTTATGATATCAAAGAAAACACAAAAATACAAAGAAGGTATCAAATTCAAGTCTCATTTTGTTTCCCCTATTAAAAGACAGGAGAAAATTAAAAATAATACCAAGCGGTGAAATTTCACTTTCAATTGTCCTCAAGGAATGCGTTTACATCAGTTCATTATAGTCAAGAAAGTAATTGTCAATTTAAAATCTAAGGGGTGTGTGTGTGTATATATATATATATATATATATATACCAGCCTAGGTGATCAAAATTGTAATGAGGCGATCCTCTACCGCTAAGCCTATGTTGAATACATTATTCTTCTCACCACTAATACTATCTTGAAAACGAAAATAAATCATGTTTTGCAGCAACAAACTATGAATGATTATTCTTGGTTTTGCAGCATATGTACCTTCTCAAATAGATTCGTGACATCATTATGTGTATCTCTTTGGGGTCTCTCTAAAGATGATGCAACCAGTGGTGGATCTCTAAACATATTCTCAGCTTCATATTTGGGTTGTATCTTGCTTTCAAACACATTTGACGAATTACTTCTCCCTGATGTTGATTCTGCCCTGGCAGCTGCATGTTGGCAAAGTCAAGGTCAATTGCAATAACCTAGTTAAGAAGTGAATCTTAAGAAAACTACCATGTTAGAAAAATCAGGGATAAGGGTAAGCATTATCAGAAGTTGCTTACAGAACACCAATAGAAGAACTCACATTGGAGACCACCAGTGGGCTTCATGGAGAAGTTTCCACTTGAATCATCTGTGCAAAGCAAGTTAAAAAGTTCAGTTACATAATCCACTTTTGCTGGTGTTGCGACTGAGGTCGCTTTTTCTTCCTTCTTAACCAACTCTGCTTTTGAGGCTGCTTGTTTTGTGTCATGTGTGACCTGTTCCTTTTTAGGTTGATCTGAGTTCTGCACAGGTTCTTGTGGTTTTGTATCATTCGTAACCTGTTCATCCAGTCTGTTACTTTCATATATGTTGAAACAGAATCAATAGAAAATGAAAAATAAAGGCATGCATACTGTCATGCACACACAATTATACATTTAGTGAGAAAATGCATGACAAATCATTGCCCATTAAACTCTCTGAAGGCCATGTTTGTGCAGACACCTTATATTCAAGTGGCTCCCAATAATTCTTCCAATGCAAAATGACTATGCAGGACTCTAACAATCAAATACTATCTGATTCTATGTTCTTTGCATTTGGACAATTTCAGAAAATAGCTCTTTTTTCTTACTGATTCCACCATGCTAAACAGAGAATTCAGCAACAAAAATCTGATAACTTGCTTGAGTTTTTCGTTATTGCATTTAGACTGTTAACAGTTAAACATGTATAACACTAAAGCCTAAGAAAACTAGAAACATTTCTCATTGTACAATATGATTTTTGTTAATTCATTCACATATAAAATATGTAAGCTAAGATCAAACAAGGAATGTGTAGGGGGGGGGGGAACAGGAATGTGTAGGGGGGGGGGGGGGTGCAGGGATCTGGTATTGATGACCAGCCGGGGGGGGGGGGGGTGCAGGGATCTGGTATTGATGACCAGCCAGAGGAGCAAAAGGAAAACTGGATGCACCTGTTGGGACGTTTTAACAGACACTGGTTTACAACTTTTAGAAGTAGGTCTATTGTCATTTGCAATTGCAGGAGGAGTGATTTTCCTCTCCTCAAAAACATGGTTAATTTTCTCCATTCCCTTATGGCTAGCCTCCAGTCCTGATCTATAAATTGAAGCCTTCTCCACGATCACCTTTGGAGGTAATTTTGCTTTACCATCCCTAGGAACCCATCTCTTCTCCTCATACCTGACAGATAATGTAGGCATCCATGATAGCTACTTAAAAGAGCGAAGCAAAATATTACTTTAAAGAAAAGAGAAGCAAAATATTAGTTCAGTCAACCATATGGAATCTTACTTTGCACGAATGAAATTCTCAATTCTAACTCTATCATAATTAGGAGGCAACTCAGCTTCCCAGTAGCTATTTGATTTATTGTTCCCCATAGCTGTGAACATGAAACCAAAAACAAATAAAAAAAATCTAAGGAATAATATAATTTTAGATATGAGTAAAAGCATAAATGAAGCAAGTAAGAGTTCTCACATTGGATTAAAGCAATTTGCTCTGGGAGCCATGTGTCCAGAGTGGCAGATCTTACCTGCATTATGATCACATAGAAGCTGAATAAAATATCTCACATGAAAAAATTTGCACCTATAATTGTAATATAAGATGGTGTCTTCGATGAAATGTTATGTTTGAATAGGAAAAATATAGTGCACCTTTGATATGTGTACTCCAAGACTTCTATGCACACCTGAGCATTGCATGCAAATGAAGATACCAAGATTCACACTCGCCCATCGAGGACCTCTGAATAGCAAAAAAGACAGCACCACAAGTTATAAATCTTCAAACCACTGCTATAGCATACAAATAGACCAATCCTGTCCAAGAACTCAAATATAATACTCAAAAGCTCAGGAATTTTATCACTATCACTTCCGGCATTTGATTATATAAATGCTTGCCACTGTGTCGTTATACAAAAATGTTATATTGTGTTCAGGTACCTACTTGCTTTTGCAGTCAGCACACTCCCTATTTTCTGGTAATTTGAGGAGACCTTCTAAGACCTGCAAACAAAAGGAGTCTGACAAGGTAAGATTGACAAGATTTTAACCACTAAGCTATATACATTTTCTTTCATCAATCCTGAATAATTTTATGACCATTTCTGGATTCAATTACAAGTCAAATTTCATCATCTTTCCTGCATTTGGCGTAATTAACATGTGTCTAATAAAATTTACTTCATCATCACGGGGTCACTTTATACAAGCAAGGGTTTTCCTTGCCTCACTTACATAAAAGCGCATTTTCTTTCTCACAAATTTATCTAAAAGTATGTCTCCATGTCATACCTAACATGAATTTATTTGATTCATGAGGCTTTAGATTCTAAACTTAAATGTTCTCCGGCCTAAAAGCAAAATTTAAATCATTGAAATTTTGGGTAAATTATTATTATGTATATATATATTTTAAAAAAAATTCTTATTTAGCTTCAGTTTTGTTCTAATCAACTCACAAATCATTCAACTAGTCCATAAGAGTGCTCTACATCATTAATGGCATATAGTCCAGAGAGAGATAACAGCGTAGCTGAAGTTACTTTCCGCTATTGATAATCTCGAAAGAAATAAGCGCAATTAAACAACTGCATACACTTCTAGATATTCTTTTTTCTGGTTAATAAGCCACAATAAAATAGAAATAATCAATTTTTAGCAGTCAGAAGTCATTTGGAAGTAGAGAACTAATATGTTGATAACCCAGTTAAAATTTGAACAAGAATTCTCAAAGAGCAAATATAACTGAAACATATTTGCCGCTGACAACATAGATGTCTTGATGCAACCATTGAATGGAGGAAAGAACTATGGGTTATGTTGCTCTAGATAATGTACAGATACATACATGCAGAAAGTAACTAAAATAGAAGAAAATTACACAGCTGATTTCATCCTTATTATGATGAAGCTGATTATTAGGCTGATTATATGCCTGTTAATATTCTAACAGCCTCTATGCGCAAGATTACTTAACATCTATTGAACAAGACCGCACCCTAAACCCTATAAAGCTTAAACGTTGTTTATTTTCAGCTTAAACTACTCTGTTACACAAGAAGTTGCAAATGAAAATGGAACAAACATAATAATCACAGTAGAGAATCCATTAAAATAAAATAAAAAATAAAAAAAACAACAAGACCAAGGAACGTCTCTTATTATCGAAAGTAAACAAATTTATGATTCCAAACACTAAGAAAACTAGCAAAATACAGACATGTATATCAAAATTAATATATACAGAACCTTTCTGTGCTTGGCATTAAGTACTTTAGAAACGTTGGCCTTTTCATTCATGTTTGGCAAACTCTTCGTTATCTATCTCCAATAGCGAAGAAAACCTCCTTTAATTGTCTCTTCAAATACTCTTCTATATCTATGTCTGCTGCCTTAGAATCAGAGAGACCGTTTAGAAAAAGGAAGCTGAGAAGTAGAAGAAGAGAAGAAATGGCAAAGTGGGTTATCTTTCTCTTTGCTTTTGCTTGACTTTGTTCGGTTATATTCTTTGGAGTATATTTTTGATTGAAGGGCAGCGTGTCCACACGCGTTGATGGGACTTCAATGGTGGCGCTTTGTATGCCTGTTTTTTGTTTCGTGGCGCGTGAAACGTGTGTAGCCTTTGACGCCGCTTTTTCCTTGTTTGGTTGCTGACTGTATCCAATTTTCTTTTTGGTTGCTGAGAAAATAGAAGGAAAGCCCATCTTTTTTTTTTTTTTTTCTTTTTATTTAATGGTCAGCCCAAATAAGCTTTTTTTTTTTTTTTTTTTTTTTAAAGCCCCATCTTTTTTTTTTTTTTATTCTTTTTATTTAATGGTCAGCCCAAATAAGCTTTTTTTTTTTTTTTTTTTTTTTTGACATTAAATAAGCTAATTAACCGGTGCCATCATTATTCATGCACAGCTTTTTTTAAATATTATTAATCCTTAACTTACCAATTAAAATTAATTGGATTGTTTTAAATTGACGATGACATAATATAAAATTATCATTGCCAATTTAATTGTGAATTATAAATTTTATATTGTTTATTACGTATTTTTAATTAGAAGAAAGAATCTTATTAAGACAAGCCTTGTACGGTGGGAAACCTACCGGAGTTACTGTACCATAACCATTGTTAATGTGTGAATAGTAGACTTGAATAATGCAACTCTATGAAAGCTTAATCATATTATATAATTTTCTCTAAATTTATTAATCCAAAATGGGTCAGGTCATGGAATCGGACAGAGGCTACAAAACAATAATAGAATGACAGATATTCTCGTATGCCAACCACAAATTGGCAAATGTGCAAATGAAATTATGCTTAACAATTCCATTTTGTTTTGAAGCTATTGTTCATAATATTTATATTGCTTGCCATTCAATAAAAAGTTGCATGGAAATCTTTCATCATCCTTTGACAAAATTGCTAATGGACAATCCTCCTGTAAGCCTTAGTAGGGAATACATAGTGGGATCAAATCATAAATGGCCTTTTCTTTCTTTCTGTTTTTTTTATTTATTTTATTTTTTTTTTAAATTTTAGAATTTAGCTTTTTGGTGAATTTATTTATCAGGGCATAGGATAGTTTAATTTTCAAGTAATACATACATTTTCTTTTTTCTTTTTTAAATTTATTAATACTTATCAAACCCAGTAATTGATCAATTATTGGTTGCCCTTATTAGCCTTTCCTTTTCCAAAAAGAAATGATAAAAACCACAATTTCTTAAACTTAATGATTTTATTATCTATTTTAATTGGCTTGTCGGGCTAACGCCTCAATAATATAATTATTATTGACAATATTATTTTTATCACTAAATTACCATAATCACCTTTATCACATAACAGACAAATGGTTGCATCCCATATTCGTTATAACTACTTCTATGATAAGATAAATTCATGCCTTGTGCTTGATCAATGACAAGCCATTTTCAAGCAGCAATTAGCCTGCTAGGATCACAAACTCACAACCTGAGCCCCATCAAAACTACTCCGCTGTTGAAATCGCCATCAGCCGGCTTATCCGATTGGTCCATTGGCTGTTTAATCGTCATGCCACTTCAGAATTGACTTCAACTAATGGCTCAACAAAACCATCATCCCCCAAGGTTAAAATTCAATGTTTACTTTAGCCCAAAAAAAGATTGTTTCTGCAAATTAGAATGGAATCATACATCAAAGCCAAAATGACCTTTCACTAGAATTGCACTGCAATTTCAGCTACAAATGCACTGCACCTTATAATTATACCTTCTCTCGACGGAAAAAAAAAAAAAATTATAATTATGTTCTTCTACATGGCTTCTAAGCAAATGGTTTTTTCTTCTTTTAGCAAAATCATATAGCAATCTACAAAATGTTCCACATGCATATATAACGTTAACAATTCAAATTTAGGAGCATGGTCATATCAATCCTTCTTTTTTAATCTCATCTTCGCTTCTGCATCTCCACTATAAGGTGCAACATGGTATGCGTACTGTTGGAGAACAGAGAATACCACCATCTCCAAACATACCAAAACATTCTGAAGAGCTTCTTCAATGTGCTCCACATCCAACCAGAAATGATTAGATCGAATTATACCAACGGCAACTAGTATGTCGAGCACCACACCCTGCATATGGCCAAAGAAAGCATCAATTGACATCTAATAGCAGTGAGGCGCACAACTGCTAGTTACTAAAATAAATGTAAGAATGAGAACAAAAATAAATTCAGAACAAATAGATCATGGAAATGAAAGTTTCAACACAATGCAAAGGAATGGTAAGCCCTCATGATTTGGAGGTGCACAAATCTACCATACACAAACTATGACTACTAAGTCATTTATGACTAGCGTAGTCTGCGCTCTGTGCGACGCAAGTTACCAAACTTTTGTGAAATTCTAAAACTTTGATTAAACAACCTTATTTTGAAGTAATATAAGCATCAGCACACTGCACATTCTATGTGAACTTAGATTGATTTATTTTTCATTCAGTGTTCTATTAGCAACTCTTTTTATGCATTTGAACTTTCCAGCTTTGGCCTAAAGCCCCCTCCAACAAAAACAAAAAAAAAGAAGGAATAAATAGAAGAATAAGCAAGACAGTTGGAGTAGATATTTACCTGCCAAAAACAAAAGAAAACAATCCCCTTAATGCACAAGAACTTTGCGAGTGGATTGTGTGGTGCTAACTCTTTTGCAAACACATGGTAAAACAGCACCAAGGAATACAATGCCAAGGAAACCGAAATGTTGAGGATAATGGTGAATGTCCAACTCAACCAGGAGGGATAAATCCCAAGAATTTGCAGTATTATCATCAAGATGGAACATATTGGCCGAATGACAACAAATTGCCATGTCCAATATTTGAGGAGCCTCAGGGTACGGTGGTCCAGTCGGACAGTGTGAGGCTGCAGTGTGTGAAGACAGGAATTAAGTGAAAAACTAAAAAAAAAAAGGTGGATTGAAACAACATATCCATCATAGATAGACAAACCTAAGAATGGTATTTATCTATAAGTGAAAAAAAGGAAAGATAAAAACCGAACAAAATGTTGCACCTGGAAAAGAGTCATCGGGAAAGAATGGTGGATTTCTCTTCCTTTTATTTCATCTGGCACAATATTTCTGCTAATGGATATATTCAGGTAACTGTACATTAAAGCCAGGAACTTGGCAATCACCTGTAAACATAAATGCAAAACTAGAAGTGAAACATAGCACCAAAATAGCCATAAGCAAAGCCAAATCATAATCGAGTATGAGACACTCACCAAAGCCTCATAACATTCCTTAATGGAGTCCAAAAACATGAAAAACGCCTTACTCCCTTGAATATCTAACAATCCCACAAACGAGTCAACGGCATATATGGGAGCCATAAGTATAATAATTAATATGGCCTTCTGCTCCTTTGGGTTTTTCCAGTAAAAGAGATGCTGAGATAGGAGCTGCATTGTAAAATGCATTGTAAGCATTGTACAGAAAGCAGATCCAATAATTGTGATTTGCCCACGATCCATTTTGGATATATCCATTATTCAAGTAGGAATCTGCAAAAGAGCAAAATATTCTTCAGGATGTACACAAGATCAATTGTCAATGGAAGTTATTACAACTTCAACAACATATCCAGCAGGAATTTAGAAAAAGAAAAAACACACATCATTATTACTACAAAACCTATTGTCTCATTGATGATTCATCTCATCTGCTAAAAGCAAAAGATTCACCTAAAATAACTGAAAATATATATAACCTCAAGGTCAGTTGTAAACCCACCACCAAAAAAACATAACTTTTCACACAATTGCGAACACATGGCTGTGGTGGCATAATAAATAAATAAAGACATGTAAATTGAAAATTTACATGCTAATAAATCCTAATAGGATTTACACAACCAAATATAAAGATACTGCTTTACACAACCAAATATAAAGATGCTGCTTTTCACAACCAAATATCGGGTTTTGAGCAATTTCTTTAGCTTGAGTTGGTCTACGTATTCAATTGTGGCGCTTGAGATAAAAGTAGAAACACACACAAGAGAGAGCTTTGCATATCAGATCAGCAATTGATTTCCCCTAAATAGAGCTAATTTCAAGTGCCATAAATAATGAACATACCAGACACTGTGAGAAAAAGAATATCAACTGAACTTCACACCGAGATTTGATCGACAGTCTGTCGTCGTCTTCTTCTTCGGCTGGTAGCAAGGAAACCAAATCTCTCGTCAAAGAATTAGTTGGGCTTATCAGGAAATCAATTGCAATCAATGTGTGGACCCTTATCAGGCCGACACGAATCAAATTTTGAATGGTTTTCTTTATTTTTTTCCTTTGTGAAGAAAATAAGTTTTATACTTAAAACAAGACGGGCTACTAGTCAAATTAATAGTTGGGCTTTTTTCTTATTTAAGAAATCAAATCGGCCCAAATAGACAAACTGCAAGCTTATTATAAAAAAAATTGATGCCCACTAAAAAAAAAAAAAAACCATTGATTACCCATACATTAAGTTCCCATACATTAAGTTCTCAGTAGCCAAACATTGATCATAATCCTAAAAGAAACAAAATATAACTACATCATTTTCATGTTGGGAGAATGAAGATTAGGATTTTGAGCCATGAATTTCTTTAAAAGATCATGTTTTTCAATCTCATCACTTGTAGGAAGACCCATCTGTTTCCGTCTTTGATCAAATATCTTCTCTACAAGAGATTTTATTTCCGGGTCCAACTGAAACAGATGATTCGGCTGTGGTTCGGCTTTTTGTATATCAATCTCAGAACAACCCCTTAAACAATGATTTCCACCAAATCTGCCTATCGACCTTTTGTCTTTAGCACAGAAATCAGTTTTTGATCCTCCAGATTCCTAAAGCAATCATTAACTTTTACAGTTTCTAAAAGCTCTCCTTCAATAATTGGCGGTTGGCCTTTGAATCCACTCTCAGAGATTTCTTCTTTATCTCGCACACAATTTGCCTTGATTTTGTTTCTAGAGGAATTGGAACCGTGTGACATTTACTTCTTGCAGAGTCTGTGTCCACGAATGATTTTGTATATCTAGATCATTGCCTTTATTAGGAATAAGGGCATTCTTCTCATTCTCAATATTCTGAGGAGTAGGAGGTTGAATTTGGTCGTTTTGACCTTCTTCGTAATCAGAGAGGACTGTCATGGCTGAATTTTTGGATTGATAAAAGTTGCTAGGTTTTAAGTGGAGGGAGAAACTGTGTTGATCGCTATAGGCGTATAGAAAAATTTTAATTAAAAAGAGAATCCAAAACTGTAATTGAAAACAAATTCTATCTCCTTAAGGATTTTAACTTGTTTAACTTCAAAATAATTTAACCACCGACTTAATAAAATGACCCGATATTTAACCCGGGGGGAGCTGCATAAACTATTCCAAGGAAATCTGAAAATACAAATTACAGCCCAAGTCCAACCTGTTGGCCCAATAAAAAGAATAATGGCTAAATCCAACCTATCGAAGCCCAAGAGGACCAATAGCACAACCAATATAACGACCGGCCGGTCGTTCGTTCAAAGTGGAAATCCCTTCCAAAATAACGACCTCCATTTGACAAACTTCCATAATTAACTACTCTCAGTATTGTTTCTTTATTCAATTTAATGCGCGCGATATTTGATTCCACCATCACCCAGAGACCGTTACTTTATCCATTTGTTAAATTCATTCCCAGGAAATTAAACCCAACCTTAAACTTCATTCATTAGACTAGAATATTGTCCATGGGGAAAACCTTGCATTACAGCCAAACGAGAACAGCCAAAACAATAAAGTTTAAGAATTGGAAAGCCTCCAAATTGTTTGCTGTCTCATTCTACACCTCCTGAAAGCAACCATTCAAGTACAATCATTACATGATCAAAACTAAACCTTTGGATATGCCGGTTGGATAATCATACTGGTAAAATTTTTTCCTCTTTAAAAACTAATTTAATTTTATTCCTCGTTTTCAGTTCCAACAAATGAAACAGAACAAACCCATAAATCCAATTCTCCTTCTTTTTTTTTTTTTCCGTTTAATGAACAAAAGCTGGTTACTCCGTAGTCTGTGGTTTTGAGATATTATGGGGAGCAAGAATTTTCTGACATCGGTTTTACCGGTTGTTCTAATATTTGCTTCCTATTTTTTTGAAAGGGGATGCTGTGCTAATGTGAGTTATGATCACAGAGCACTTATTATTGATGGAAAAAGACGAGTTTTGCAGTCTGGTTCCATACATTATCCAAGAACTACTCCTGAGGTGGGGTTTTGAAATTAACTCAGTTTTGATTGTTTCTTTTTTTTTTTTTTTGGTCATGTTATGCTCAATTATGTCACAATATGCACTGTGGCTATTGGAGGTGAAATTTCAGGTGTGGCCAGATATTATTAAGAAGTCGAAGGAGGGGGGATTGGACGTGATTGAGACTTATGTCTTCTGGAATTACCATGAACCCGTGAGAGGCCAGGTGATATGTTAATTATGCTGTTTTAAAGTCTGATGTTCTACTTAAAAGTTACACAGAGCGTATAGATGGTGACTTAGAAATAAGTAATTTATTGTTGTTTAGACTATTATTTAAAGAAATTGATCGGAGAATTCATGATTAATGATATAACCTATTTGGCATGCAAGCAGGAAAGAGGGTCCTAGTGTAAGATTAATCACCCTTCTACAGCCAAGCAAACTGACATACTTTAAATTATCTTTGATGGCTGTATGCTTATAGCGGATGTACATGGCATATTGGTGTGATCCTTTAAGACATGGATACCTATGATCAATTTTGCTTCGATTTTGACTTTGCTTACGAGGAAAATTTAAATTCTCTCTTTCACTTACTCAATTTTTTCCTTCTTTACTATTATTATTTATTAACGACGATTGTATCTTTTCTTTTCCATCTTTGTAGTACTATTTTGAAGGCAGGTTTGACCTGGTGAGTTTTGTAAAAACAGTTCAGGAAGCTGGTCTTTTTGTTCATCTGAGGATTGGGCCATATGCCTGTGCTGAATGGAATTATGGGTCTGTTCTGATTATAATTTCTTCTCATGCAATATCATATACTATTCTTCTTTATTCTACTTAAACTGCTTCCCTGTTCTCTACCGACTACAATGTTTGAAAGTGTGATAATAATGACAAGCAATACTGATATGATAAATACTGTTTGTGTTACCCTTACAATCACGTGTTGTAATTGGCTACTCAGAATAACTGTCAAAAACAAAAATTCAATACATTGAATCCGATTACCTAGATTTGCTCCATAATTTTCCAGAAACAGTTCCTTTCCAGTTTAGTATCGTCTTCTTAAGTTTCAGATTGATGGTCCTTTGACAGGGGATTTCCAATCTGGTTACACTTCATTCCTGGGATTCAGTTTCGAACAACAAATGGACCTTTTAAGGTACCTACTGATGTTGAAGGTGGCAATAATGAATTCTTTGTATTTACATTTTTGTTTTCCTATATCAGTTATGCATTTAATTAAAAGTTTAATTATACAGTTGATAGTTGATTTAGCCTTTTCCTAAATTTATATGCTATTTTTATCGTCATCATCATTGCAGGAGGAAATGAAGCGTTTTCTTGGAAAGATTGTAACTTTAATGAAGGAAGCGAATCTCTTTGCATCACAAGGAGGGCCAATTATTCTTGCTCAGGTGATTGTTATATACTTATATGGTAGTATTTTGTGCTGTTATAAGTGGGGGGATTTTGAATGCTTCTATTAGTTTAATTAGTTTAACCACGAGCTGTCATAACTATAAAATTTACCAAGTCTATCAAATCACTACTGCATGATTTAGTGCAGCAACAATCTTCTTGATTATTTTTCTTGTCCCATAACAGGTTGAGAATGAATATGGGAATGTTGAATGGGCATACGGGGTTGCAGGAGAGTTATATGTCAAATGGGCCGCTGAAACTGCTGTTAGTCTGAATACAAGTGTACCTTGGGTGATGTGCCAACAAGAAGACGCCCCTGATCCAATTGTATATACTCTTGATGCTTGGACACAAATTTCCTTGCTAGCACAGTATAAACACCTTTAAGAGTACTTTGAATTGTGGAAGTATATTAATGAGTTTTTTCTTCAACTGAGAAAATTATTATTAACCTATTCTTTTATCTTTCTAATGATTTGAAAGATGTCGTTAGTTTTCTATAATGAGAAGTTACATGCAGATAAATACATGTAATGGATTCTACTGTGATCAGTTTACCCCAAATTCTCCTTCCAAACCAAAAATCTGGACTGAGAACTATAGTGGCTGGTAATAATCTCAATATGTGTAGCCTTACCATTTCCCCTTACGGAAGATATCAAGAGTATAACAGATTTTTTGCCAGCAAAATATTAAAGTATCCTACTTGATATTGAAGGTTTCTGTCATTTGGTTATGCAATTCCTCATCGACCTGTTGAGGACCTAGCTTTTGCTGTTGCACGCTTTTTTGAATATGGTGGTACTTTCCAAAACTACTATATGGTGGGTTTGTAATAAGTTGATATCCTTTGTTCTATTTATTAAATTATTTTGAGAGTGTGATAAAAAACTCGATACAGCTCTGAGTCATGCTGACATTTACTTGCAGTATTTTGGTGGAACCAACTTTGGAAGAACAGCTGGTGGCCCTTTGGTTGCAACAAGCTATGATTATGATGCCCCAATAGATGAATATGGTAAACTTCCAATTAAAAAACATTCTCACTGACCCAAGACACTTAAAGAACTCCTCCTTCCAAATTCAATGCACCATCGAAGAAATTATGTTATTTGACTATTGAATCAATCTGCTGAGTTGCAGCCTGTCCTTGCTCTTAAGCAGAGATATGTTTATTGCAATATAATCCCCCCTCCCCTTTCTTATTGTCTTGCTGATTTAATTTTTCCAGGATGATATTATATGTAATCAGTTCGTGAAAATGTGTCAGCGGGCATATAATTTGCCAATTATATGTGATCAAATTACATTCATACCCATCTTAATTGTGTCCAATATCTAACTGTTGGACTACTTTGCTTTGTACTTAGTGGGTCAATGTTTATCTGACTTGGGCTCTAGTTTGACTTGCCATAATTTATTATAGTCGTTAATCTCATGAGAACTGTCAATGCAGGTTTCATCAGACAGCCAAAGTGGGGTCATCTACGCGACTTGCACAAATCAATAAAACAGTGTGAAGACCATTTGGTCAGCTCAGACCCAACACACCTGAAGCTTGGTTATAACTTAGAGGTATGGTAAATGTTTCGAAATTTATATTTTGTCCATCTCTTATTTCCCCATGAGTTGGGAAGATATCTTCTACTCTGATCTTGAGGGGGCAATGTGTATGCTAATAAGAAGGATTATACATAGTAGAACGTAAGATTAGGGCATATACCAAATTATCTTGACGAATCTTAGGTGTTCAAATGAATCTATACTTGAGTTTATCTAATTCACTACGGAACTCTTCTCACTCTCTATAACAATGCTAATTTTCAGTCTCTACTCTCTATACTAACACTATTATGCTTTCTTCGTGATTTCACGTATGTTGCATTGTTCTGACTCACATTTTCATTTCCCTTTTTTCAGGCACATATCTACTATAAGTCTTCCAATGATTGTGCTGCTTTTCTTGCTAATTATGACAGCAATTCAGATGCACATGTTACATTCAATGGACATATGTACTTTCTTCCTGCTTGGTCAGTGAGCATACTTCCAGATTGCAAGAATGTCATTTTTAACACTGCCAAGGTACTCAGAACAAAACTAATTTTCATAATGTCATTTTTAACACTGCCAAGAATGTCATTTCATAATGCTGACCGCCATCCTCTGAGCTGACTAAAGTATTCTATTTTTCTTCTTGGTTAAGAAAGAGAAAAAAATTGTCTAATCAGTCTTTGACGTACTATTATTATGTGGTATGAATATTATGGCTTTATTTATTTAATTCATCTGTGATATCATTCTCCATTTTGAAGGTCGTGTCCCAAAGAAATCTTGACGATGCTTCATTTGCTCATTCAACCTCTAGTAAAGAGATTTCACTGGAACAAACAGCGTGGAGTTGGTACAAAGAAAAAGTGGGCAGTTGGGGCAACAACTCATTTATAAAGCCAGATTTATTGGAGCAGATTAATACAACTAAAGATGCCAGTGATTTTCTATGGTACTCGACCAGGTAACTCGCAAATTATTCATCAAAATCATACCTTTCTCTCTCTCTTTCTAGCTTTCCACAATGAACTTCATATCATGCTCCACATTTTCCTAATCAAGATCAGTTACCTTTTTCATGAATTCCTTTCTGCCTATTTATTCTACCTAAATTTATCAATTTTTGATTTTCCTGCCCATTCTGTTTTTCTGTTTTGACTTTGCTTCACAATTGGCAGTATTAATGTGAATGCTGGTCAAGAGAAAGATTTCATTTTGAACATTGAGAGTTTGGGGCATGCAGCACTTGTTTTTGTAAACAAAAGGTTTGTTGGTAAGTATGCAATTTGTTAATTGGATTTGGATCTGCATATGTTTTTTCCACACTTTAGCTACTCTGGGATTCTCAATACTTTCTAAAGCGCCACCAAGTACCAACATGTTTATAGCCCATTCAAATTTGGACTCTTTGAAAGCTACTTAGTTCTCCAATCCCTCTTATGAATTTTATGTCTAATTGCTTTAGTATGATAATTGATGAACATATTGGATATCTTGCAGCATTTGCATACGGTAATCATGATTTGGCAAGCTTTTCACTCACTAAGAAAATTAGTCTTGATGAAGGAAACAACACACTGGATTTATTAAGCATGTTGGTCGGCCTACAGGTTAAGTAATTTATTTATTGGCTTTCAACAATTACTTCTACTGATCTGAATGCCAAAGATATTAAGTTTAATATGGATTGCTGTTAATTGCAATGGATTGACTTAAGTGGATCCTGGATTTTTCACAATTTTATCAGAACATCTTAGAAACAACAATCATTGAAGAAAACTAACAACATGATATTCAATTTTATTATCAAATCAGTGAAGAGCATAGATATATAAAATTAATGACTAGAAAGGCCCGTTTTTACACTAAATAATTATTTTCTTAATTTCTTCCTAAATAAGCAGTCTTGAAATATGTGGTTTGTGTTCCTGCATGAATAATATCAGTGTGACATGGTTTGCGTCTTCTTTACAACTGCCTAGCTACTAGATATTACTGGCTCCCTTGGAAGACGGGCTTACTGATCTGTCTAATCCTTTGATATGTACTTCAGAATTATGGACCCTGGTTTGATGTTCAAGGAGCTGGAATTTATTCCGTTACACTAATTGGCCCGAGTAAAGGCAAGAACGATCTTTCTTCTGGAAAATGGACCTATCAGGTTGGACTTTGTCTTATATCAATTTTCTGTCCTTGTGCTTCTTCAAGTATCATCAATGAGCATGCTTTCTTTTGAAAAAAAAAATTTTAAGATCTCTCACCTTTGCACTAAGAACAGCGTAGCACAGCTTCCCCCCCCCCCGCTTCTTCAGAGTATCATCATATAATGAGCATGCTTTCTTTTTGAAAAAAAAATAATTTTTAATATCTTCTTGCACCTTTGCCCACTAAGAACCAGCGTAGCACCAGCTTCCCCCCCCCCCGGCCTCCCCCCCCCCCCCCCACCAAAAAAAAAAAAAAAAAAAAAAAAAAATCAAAGCATTGTCATTGTCATTGTAAAAAAAAAAAAAAAAAAAAAAAACAAAGCATGTCATTGTCATTGTTGAGAGTATATATACTTGAGCACCTCATGCTCTGAAAACATTGCTCCACAAATTTTCATTCTTTACAGGTGGGACTGGAAGGGGAATACCTTGGACTGGATAAGATCAGTCAAGCAAATAGTTCACTGTGGACTAAAGGTCCTTCTCTGCCTGTTAATAAGAGTTTGATATGGTACAAGGTAAGTTGACCTAAGCAAAATTTCACGGTATCTATTCACTGATTCTTTGGACCTTTGCTTACAGAGTCTATACGTACAAACTGATCAGTGAACCCTCATGCGCATTGATAAATAACTTGAAAAAGGGTAGCAAAAGCAGCTTCGGCTCTACTATATAATGAATAATCTGTGTAAATGAATTGCGGATGTTAGGATTGCAAATTGGCTCCCTGACCTCCTTCATTCACTTGCTCAATTCAATTTTTGTAACCAGATTCTGATGCATTGCCACTTGGATACTGTATCTTGGTTTTGATATTTTGTTTCTCTTTCCTAGGATACTTTCATCGTCCCTGAAGGAAAGGGCCCTCTAGCCTTAAATCTAACAAGCATGGGAAAGGGTCAGGCCTGGGTTAATGGACACAGCATAGGACGATATTGGCCTGCATATCTCTCACCTTCAACAGGATGCACAGAAAATTGTGATTACAGAGGAACTTATGATCCATCTAAATGTCTGAAGAAATGTGGTCAGCCTGCTCAAACACTGTGAGGCACTATATTACCTCTTGTTTTAATTTTATTTTTTCTCCATTTTCATTTATCTTTTTTTTCTTTCGTTTTTTTCTCTCTCTCATTTTTGTAAACAATTGTTAAGAGATAACATTGTTCAGATATCATATCCCACGAACATGGATCCAGCCTGGAGAAAACCTACTAGTCCTACATGAAGAGCTTGGCGGCGATCCTTCAAAGATTTCTGTGCTAACAAGAACTGGCCAAGAGATATGTTCAATTGTGTCAGAAGATGATCCACCACCAGCTGAGTCTTGGAAACCAAGCTTAGACTTCAAGTCTCAAAGCCCTGAAATTCGATTGACATGTGAACAAGGATGGCGAATTACAACAATCAATTTTGCTAGTTTTGGAACTCCTGCTGGATACTGTGGCTCATTCAATCTAGGAAACTGTCATGCTGACATGTTATCCATTGTTCAAAAGGTAAGAAAAATTTTTCCCTGCAGTAAAATCCGAAATGTTATTCTTTTACTTGTCTACACCATTACATGTTAGAATGGGATAACAGGCTTGCATAGGTCGAGAAAGGTGTTCAATCTCCATATCAGCAGCCAATCTTGGTGATCCTTGCCCTGGAGTTCTGAAAAGATTCTTCAAATCTTGCAGTTTTTCAATGTCTTTCACATTTGTTCTAAGCTTCAAACAAGTTAAATAAGTTTGTTTCTTCAAATCTTGCAGTTTTTCAATGTCTTTCACATTTGTTCTAAGCTTCAAACAAGTTAAATAAGTTTGTTTCTTCAAATCTTGCAGTTTTTCAATGTCTTTCACATTTGTTCTAAGCTTCAAACAAGTTAAATAAGTTTGTTTCTTCAAATCTTGCAGTTTTTCAATGTCTTTCACATTTGTTCTAAGCTTCAAACAAGTTAAATAAGTTTGTTTCTTCAAATCTTGCAGTTTTTCAATGTCTTTCACATTTGTTCTAAGCTTCAAACAAGTTAAATAAGTTTGTTTATATTCAAGACTTTGGTGCGCCATATGCTAAAAAAGTTGGACTGTAGACGTTTATATAGCATATTCTTTCGAAACAAATTAACAGAAAACCATTGATCAAACAAACCAACAGTTCATGACCATGTGTAGACAATACAACGGATAAAATGCGTCTTTGCGTTTCTGTGTCATCAATGATCAAATCAAGGAAAACCCCAAGCTTATCTTAAAAAAAAGCAGAGAATAAAATTTGAATAAAGAAACCCTGCAAAATCAAAGAATCTCGAAATTTAAAATTTAGAACTTAAAACTTAAAACCCAGCTGAAATCAAGAAAGATTGAAATGCAATTATTCTATCATTAACTTTTTTTTTTTTTTCTGAAAGAATTACCTGATGACATCACAAAGTAGAATCTTTCTATAAAAGACAATGAAAATAATAGAACAGGAAGCAGAAGAATCAACGTTTATTTAATATATTAAATATCAAGTTAAAAAGAAAGGATGTCACTTTAAATTGATCCATTATCTTCAATTTTGTGCAATTTCTCTTCGATAAGACGTGCAATTGTCGAAAGGAAACATTCAGTTCTTCAATCTACTGAATTGCATACACAATGACCCCATTAGCTCATTTTATTCCAAAACTACAAGGGTAATATATCAGATGGCAATAGCTGAGCCGTGACTTTCTGTAGAATCAATCATCATGGAACAAGAAAGATTTTCCCTATATGTTGGCTACTTTCAATAAGCTTGTGAGCCTCTGCTGCCTCAGATAGAGGAAACTGCTTGTAGATCACAGGCTTCACCTTCCCCGCAACAATTGCAGGCCAAACATTCTTCTCTACCTCGCTCACAATTTCTGCTTTGTTTTCTGGACTTCTAGCTCGCAAGCTAGCAGCTACATATAAATCACCGGTGAGAAACACATTGTAAAATGCATCTATACTGTAAACCGTAAAGGAAGGTTGTCAATGTTACCTTGAACTGTGAGACGCTTTGCAAACAAAGAACGCAAATTAAACTCTGCTACAGCTCCACGCATCAAGCCTATAATGAAAAGTCTCCCATCAAAACCTAAGCTGTCAAGGTTTCGCTGAAAGTAGCCTGCTCCCATACAATCCAGAAGAACATCAACACCTGCTATTGAAATTAAAAAATTAGGCTTGGGAAAGAAAAATTTTCGATCTTTTTACAGTTATGATCCTAAAGGACAGACCTTTTCCACCTGTTTCTTCCATAACCCTTGCAACGAAATCCTCTGTTTTGTAGTTGATGCACACGTCAGCTCCAAGTTCCTTACAGAAAGTCAATTTCTCCTCACTCCCTAGTGATCAAGAATATAACATATGAACACTAACTTGGGATGTTCCAAAAAAAAAAAAAAAAAAAAAACACTAACTTGGGATGTTCCAAAAAAAAAAAAAAAAAAAAAAAAAACTTTTGCGACCTATTCCCAAAAAAAATGCCATGGAAATTGCCAGCTAGACCTGCTGTGACAAACACCCTTACTCCCTCGGGCATTAGCAATCTGAATTGCAATGTAAAAAAAAAAAAAAAAAAAAAAACTTTGCGATATTCCCAAAAAAAATGCCATGGAAATTGCAGCTAGACCTGCTGTGACAAACACCTTACTCCCTCGGGCATTAGCAATCTGAATTGCAAATGTACCAATTCCACTGGAGCCTCCGTGAACCTGAAATGCCAATAATCTTTAGTTCAAATAACAGGCTACCCATTAAACCCTCCGTGCAGTAGTTACCAGAAATGTTTCCCCAGCGGAAAGTCGATTGCTCATAAAAACAGTTGACCAAACAGTGCATGCCACCTCTGGAAAAGCAGCAGCTTCCTTAACAGAAATTCCTGAAGGAACTGGAAGTACTTGTCCGGCTGGAACTGCCACCTTCTCAGCGTAGCCTCCTCCACTCAGAATAGCACACACCTGTAAGTGCAGAGAGATAGTCAGATGCAAATGATACGTTATGATATGAATTGATATATTTCGAGAAGTCAGATTTTACTTGATCCCCCACTTTCCAGCGGGAAACAAATTTCCCAACGGCTTCAATTGTATCAGAACATTCAAGACCCGGGTAGGGACTAGCACCTTTAGGAGGTGGGTACATACCCTGCCTTTGGATGGTATCAGCCCGGTTAACTGCGGTGGCCTCTACCTTGATTAATACCTCATTATCTTTGATATCAGGGTCTTCTACTTCTTGTAATTGCAGCACCTCAGGGGCGCCCGGTGTTATCACTATTGCTTTCATTTTTGGTAATTGCAGAGATAGATGGTTGTTTTGGGGCGTCTGGCTCTCTAATCCTTTGCCACTTAGCTCTTCTCATCGTTGATCAAATACATTGCTATTATATTTTTTTGATAAGCTATTACTATATTAACAATTTGCAATTATGTCATTTTCAAAAAAAAAAACAATTTGCAATTTTGTAGCGGAAAAAGACAGAACTGCTTACCTGTTGACATCACCGCATTCGACAGTATATGGGTGTAGACAACAAGATACGACGAAAATCCAATTAAAATGGCCTAAATTTATGTTTAAAGTAAATCCCAACTCACATAAGTCCAATTATGAAATTTGTTAATTATTTCTAGGTTCTGGATTTAAATCGCGAGTTCTAATATAAATCCAACTCATTATAAGTTGAACTATTAAATGAATATTATTAATAACTTTTTTTTTTTTTTTCAAAATAAATTGCATGGTACAAGGGCATAATGTAATTGTAACCAATTGCTTCCCTCCTTTTCTTTTAGTCGACCATAGCTTTCTTTTCTCAAATATAAAGGTTAATATTCTTGTCAAGAACTTCTATGAATAAATCCAGAATATATTACACATTAAACATCATCTGATTGAGACAAAAGGCTGTATCAATTTCGCATTTATTATCATCACTGCTTTGGAAATAAAGCCTAAACAAGATGACTCGTGAGCTTCATTTTAGTCCTAGCTTACAAGAGAGGAATGGCGATAGTCACTGCATAGATACATGATACATCCCGTAAACATTGGGACTGACCTTCATCATCAATAAAAGCTGAACTGCCATCCATGACATTATGGAAGAAGCAATATCTTTCCAATATGCTGGCTACTTTCCAGGAGTCGATGACCCTCTGCAGCCTCGGATAATTGAAACAGCTTATAGACCACAGGCTTCACCTTGCCTGCAGCAATTGCAGGCCAGACATTCTTCTCAACCTCATTCACAATCTCTGCTTTGTTTTCTGGACTTCTACCTCGCAAGCCAGCCGCTGCATATACAATTATCAATGACAAACACATCATTTTTGCATTTCAATGTAGCATATTAATTCATTATACACCCAGAAACATCTGAAACACACAGAAACGTAAGACTGATATCATTTCCTACAATTAATTTTTGAAAGCGGGGCTGATATCATTTCCTACAATTAATATTTGAAAGCGGGCACATGCAAACACATATTTCAGTCCTTTACAATTATATTACGAAGTGGGCTGGTAAAAGCAAGTTGTTCCAGAAGAAAAGAGTTTGTGTGAAAGTTTTTCAGGATATCAGTTTCTTTCACTTTCAGGAGCTTTGTCTTAACCTTCTTGAATAATCATTCTTATCCAAGTCCCAATATGTAGGATAAAGTTAGAAATATGCACAATGAAATACATGAATCCCAGAAAAAATGAAGTGCTGGTTTGATACCTTGCACAGTGAGGCGTTTTGCTAACAAAGTAGTCAGATTTAATTCTGTCACAGCTCCACCCATAAAGCCAATGATAAAAAGCCTCCCGCCAATATTTAAGCTGTCTAGGTTTCTCTGGAAGTAGGATGCTCCAAGACAATCCAAAATGACATCAACACCTGCCTTTGGAAACAATTTGTTGCACTTTTAGGAAAAGGAAAGAAAAATCTTAATCCTTTCAATACATCAAGGAGAAGTTGCCATTGTTTGATTGCATAGGAAAGCATTGCATTTGCGATGCCTAGAAAAAGAACATACCTTTCCCACCCGTTTCATCCTTTACCCGTGTAACAAAGTCCTCCGTTTTATAATTGATGCACACATCAGCTCCAAGTTCCTTACAAACAGCTAGTTTTTCCTCGCTCCCTGACAATCAAGAATAAAATATTTCAGCACTAACTTGCCATTTTTTCATAGCAAATCAAGGATCACGATAAAAATTGCAGCCCAACCTGCTGTGACAAACACTTTAATCCCTTGATATTTAGCTATCTGAATGGCAAAAGTACCAATCCCACTAGAGCCACCATGAATCTGGAACTCAAATAGGCATCAATTCAAGCAGTAGGCCACAAATTAACGATTACATGTGTAAACAAAAGTATTATAAGCAAGAAAAACACATAGAATTAGATTAAAGCATAGCAGCATATACATATACCAGATACAGTTAGATAAGGAGTTACCAGAAAAGTTTCCCCAACAGTCAGCCGGCTCATCATAAAAACAGTGGACCAAACAGTGCATGCCACCTCGGGGAAAGCAGCAGCATCCTTGAGGGAAATGCCGGGCGGAACAGGAAGGACTTGACCTGCTGGAACTGCTACTTTCTCTGCATACCCTCCTCCACTAAGAAGAGCACACACCTTCATGACATCGATATTTAGATCAGATGGCTACATAACAATGTCATGTTTAATGAAGTAAAAAAAAAAGTAAAAAAAAAAAAAAAAAAACATAACAATGTTGCATGTTTAATGAAGTAAATAAAAAACATAGTAAAAAAAAAAAAAAAAAAGGCAGTCTTTTAAAAAAAAAAATAAAAAAAAAAAAAAAAAAGGCAAGTCTTTCAAGCTAGAACTGGATCTCTCTCTTTTATTTAAAACACAGCTTTTTCATTTTAAATCAATCGCTGAAAGCACACCATTAACTAAACAAAAAAAAAAAAATAAAAAAAAAAAAAAAAAAGGCAAGTCTTTCAAGCTAGAACTGGATCTCTCTCTTTTATTTAAAACACAGCTTTTTCATTTTAAATCAATCGCTGAAAGCACACCATTAACTAAACAAATCAAAGAGCAATCATTATTCTCCCAGAGGTCGAGAAATAGCTTCCTCCAATTATTGATGGACAGAAAAGAAAAGGGAAGAAAAAAAAAACAATAAAACAAGAATCAAAACTTAATTTGTTCATGAATAGAGCATCTTGGAGAATGGCTAAAATAACCTTATCGCCTACTTTCCAGGGAGAAACAAGCTTTCCAACGGCTTCGACGGTACCGGAACATTCAAGACCCGGGTAGGGGCTGGCCCCTTTGGGAGGTGGGTGCTTGCCTATCCTCTGGAGCGTATCGGCCCGGTTAAGGGCGGTGGCCTCCACCTTGATCAATACCTCATCGTCTTTGATTTGTGGATCTTCTACTTCTTGCAATTGTAGCACCTCTGGCCCGCCTAGTGTAGTTATCGCCACTGCTTTCATTTTTTTTCTGCTCGATTTTTCAAGTTCTTTCCTACCGTTCGACTATGGAGAGGAGAAGCGCTTTCCACTTTCAAGTGTCTAAAGCTGGGGTAGGAGCAGATGAAAAATCAGACAACGTGTCGTTTAATTATAAAGAAGGATCAATCGTTTTGGTCATCACCTTTGAGCTTCGAATTTTTTAAGCGTAGGCTACCGCTAGTCTCTCCTCAACGAGCTGTCGTTCCGTTCCCTTAATTTGACCGAAGAATTTCATCTTGGTCTTCGTTGTTTTTATTTATTTCTAACAAATCATCAATCAAATAAATACTGATCTTATATTTATAAAAAATAACTATTAATGAGATTAAAATGGAAGAATAAGGGTTAAAAGATCTCGTACTTGACTTTATATGCACATAAATAACAGTCAAATAGACTTCCAGATTCTAATTTGTAGGAACTATATTTTTTTCTTTTGGGACTTCACCGGGCCGTAATATTGGACTTATGAATTGAGTGGCAGGCCCAAAGTGATTCTTTACTATCAGATTTCCGTGTTTAGGCCTATAGCCCACCAAAAGACCAACACCCAAAAAAAACGACGTCGTTGTCGTGTCGAGATGAACTTCTAAAGCTGTCGCCATGTCTTCTCCGTCTTAACTTCCTCAACACAGACAGCAGTCAGTGAGAAAACTACAAAAATTTAAACTTTCATTAAAATTTATTAATTTAACATTTCCCAAAAATTCCTGTGCATCTCGAGGCTAGGACAAAAATGGGTAACAAACTTGTGCAATTTCTGGATATATATATATATATATATATATATATAATAGATATATATATAAAATTGTGGTGAAAGCAAACACATTCAGAGTCTAATGTCCCCTAAGGTTTAGAACTGAAAAGCTATTTACAAACTACTTTGTAAACATCCTCCTAAATTGCTTGGCAATGCATTTGAAACAGGCATTGTTTTTTTCGCAGAAAGTTTTTTACTTTACTGGTTGCTGTTGATTGGAATTCGAGCAAATAATGATGGATGATGGGACCGGCTTTTGTGGGGTTGGGGAGATTGTTTACTTTCTTCTTCCAAATTGGCGTTATATATATATATATATATATATAAAATTTGGTGAAGCAACCACATGTCAGAGTCTAATTGGTCTGAAGGTTAGAAACTGAAAACTATTACAACTACTTGTAATCATCCTCCTAATTGCTGCAATCATTGAACAGGCATTGTTTCGCAGAAGTTTACTTGTACTTGGTGGCTTGTTGATTGATTCGAGCAAATAATGATGGATGATGGGACTCGGCTTTTGTGGGTTGGGAGATTGTTACTTCTTCTCCAATTGGCTACTGGAATTCTGGGCTGGGGAAGGGAAGGCCACTATGCTACTTGCAAAATAGCAGAGGTGAGTTTTCCTTTTCTTCCTTTCTTTAGTTTCAAATTTTTGCTCACTCGGTTTATAATAATCAATTTTTGTGTTCATGAGAATCATTTAATGGATTGCTATGCTCATGGGTTTTGCTTGGTGGTGGTTGTTTGTTGGTATATTTATTACCTTCTAATCATATGGGATTTGCGGATTGAGATGTCTATTTAGTTGATTGCAGTTTCAAAATGAGATTGTTTGATGACCGGTGGCGTTGCTTTAATTAAATTCCGAATCTTAAGCTGCTTTCTGTGTTGTGCCTAACTCAGATGCTCCTTGTTAAATTTATCATATGTAAGATTACTCGACCTAAAACCCAAGTCAACTCGTTTCTGCCAGATGGGTGTAGAAGTTAGGCGGGAAATTGTCTGGTATAAAGTCAGTTCATTTCATCTGATTTCTTACTTTTTGATCTTTAGGGATATTTAACTGAAGATGCCGGAGCTGCAATCAAGGAATTGCTCCCTGATTTTGCTGAAGGTGACTTTGCAGCTGTTTGCCCGTGGGCTGACGAGGTCCGCTTCCACTACCACTGGAGTAGTGCTTTACACTATATTGATACACCAGATTTCATGTGTAATTATGAATATTGTAGTAAGTAATGCATATTGCCTGTTCCTTGGTTTAGCTATGATATTGTTAGCAATATTACACTACTGTATAATTGAAAACACTAGCTATTTCGTTAGTGAGGTTTACCTTTATAGAGACATACACATATTAGTTTGTTTAGTCACAGTTTCAAGGTTTCTTATAGGGGATTGTCATGACTCTGCTGGACGCAAAGACAGATGTGTAACCGGAGCAATTTTCAACTATACTAGCCAGCTTACATCAGCATATCAGAATTCCAGTCCAGAGTCCAACTGTGAGTTCCGCTAATTAATTTGACTTTGACACATGATATAAGTATTATAACATGCTACATTTCTTTCCAACTTTGTTTAATTTGGAATTCTACAATGTTGGTGCAGACAATTTGACAGAAGCACTAATGTTCTTAGCCCATTTTGTTGGGGATGTCCATCAGGTTCTGCTCCTCTTGCTAACTTTAAAACAACACATAGGGTGCCAAAATATCAAGTAATGGAAAAAATAAATTGTTATGTAATTGGCAATTTCAAATTACCATTTTGAAGATTTATTGTATTAAAAGAGTATCTTAAGAATGAAAGCAGCCTTTGGAAAAGATGCCAGCCTTTATTGAAAAAGAAAATATTTCCAAGTCCCTGTATTTTGGTACACAGCATGCCTGATTTTGGACTCATTCTTTTTTCTTTTAATTTATTTTATTTCTATAATGAGATATTCCATCTATTGGCACTATAACAGTGCATGATTGTGTACAGAGCCATAAAACTGCTCTCATCTCTCAACCCAGTGGACAATCACCTGATTGTTTAACTTGTTTTGTAATGGCAGCCCCTGCATGTTGGTTTCACTGGAGATTTGGGTGGAAATACAATTAAAGTCCGTTGGTATCACAGAATGACAAATCTACACCATGTAAGATTTTTATATCTATTGAGAGAGAGAGGGAGAGATTGACTTGCTCCTTGTAACAAAACACTGGATGTGTTTACATACCTGATATGTCATTTCATGTTCTCAGTCCATTCGACTTGGATGATTGCTGAAGATGTAAACTAAAGTAATATTTTATTCATTATACAGCCAAGAAAATCAGTTCTCTTGATCTATAAAGAAAAGCTTGTTTTTGAAACCAGCATTGGGTTACTCTCATATGATATCTTTTATGTCATTAGCACAAAGCTCTTTATGTAATTTATCTTCACAAGGTATACCTGTTAGTACCGTACTTCAAATAATGGTTCAATTTTTTACTCTGGAATTTCCACTACTATGTGCCATCAGTGTCATTATTCAAATTAGTTACAATCAGTTTCATTACTATCGTTCTATTCCAGGTGTGGGATACCATGATTATTGATTCAGCCTTGAAGACGTTTTATGGTTCAGATCTTACAAACATGATACAAGCTATTCAGAATAATATTACAGTATGTTTTTCCATCTGCCTAGTGCTTCTGGTTGTTATTGTGAGGAATGCATACAGTGGAGAGGTGTTTATAACTTTTTGAGGATTGTAGAGGTTTTACTTCTTTTTTTTATTGTTCTAGAGTATGTCTGGTGGACTGTCATAGAAATAATGGGTTTTATTGTACAGAATCCATCATATTCCATTATACTAACAGTCTATCAGATATATTCGAAATTCTTTATGCATCGTTTTCATTTGCAAATTATAAACTAATTGCCTAGGAAGCTCATTTAGGACCATGGATCCATTCCTGTTCTGGTGTTGTATACAACTTCTAATCTGTGCAATTACCTTTTTCATTTGTTAGGAAGGTTGGTCTAATCAAATACCATTATGGGAATACTGTCAAAACAACCGCACAGTTTGTCCCAACCCGTAAGTTCATGTTCTTTTTCTTTTTCTACATGCAATTGTTCGGTATGGCTGAAAACACTGGTAGACTAGGGAAAACACTGTAATATTTATCGTACACTTTAATATGGTTATAGTGCTATGCTTTATGTAATCAAGCTATCAATACCATACCAAATTTTTTAAATGCCAAAGGAATAGAAAATGTATGTGCAAATGATGAATCAGAGATGTTTCAAAGTAAAGGCTTAACTATTACTACTACTACTACTACTACTACTAGAGTAGTTGGATTAATGTGTCTTTTTGGTCCAAACTATATTGATGGACGCATATTCGTACTTGTTTTCTTGCTATCCAATTTTCTGATTGCATACAAGAAATGTTAAAAACAAGGAATAGAGCAGCGATAGACTTATTTTGTTTTCCTTTTTTAATTTGTGCAGGTATGCTTCTGAAAGTGTTAGTTTAGCATGCAAGTTTGCATACAAGAATGCCACACCTGGAAGTACTCTGGAAGGTATTTCCTCAGTTACCTGAAAGCTACGCTTATTTGTTATTCTGCAAAATATACAAGTAGGAAACTGCCTGGGCAGCATTTTGAAGAACTTGGAAGAATTTGGAAGTTATCCAAGTATGACTTCCACAATTGGTATTTTGACATGCTGAAGGACCAAATTCACATTAAGCAACACAGCCAATTTCCCAAAGATCAATTTTTAAGTGAATCTTGTTACTCAAATAGAATTCTGTCTTGTATAGTTAATCCTTGATACCTTATGTTGCAGATGAGTACTTTCTTTCTCGGTTGCCTATTGTGGAAAAAAGGCTTGCACAAGGTGGCATTCGCTTGGCTGCGACTCTCAACCGCATTTTTGCTTCTCAAAGCAAGATAGCTCAAGTATGAAGGAAAAAGGGATAGAAAAGCATCTTCAATGTATGACACAGAGGAGGGCCCACATGACCATTTTATATATGGCATAACCTCTCCATTAACAAAATATCATGTACCACCCAATTAATTATCTATTCCCCATTTGCTAATTCTGTTAAGCATTCTTTAATGTATGACACAGAGGAGGGCCCACATGACCATTTTATATATGGCATAACCTCTCCAACAAAATATCATGTACCACCCAATTAATTATCTTCTCCCCATTTGCTAATTCTGTTAAGCATTCTTTAATGAGAATACTTTATAGTTAACTGTTGACTTCATTCCATAATTATAATGGGATGCCTTCTGTATTTCAGAATATGCCCTTGTTGCTTGAGGAAAAAAATTGTCAACGTAAAGGAAACTCTAATGTGGAATTTAATACTTGTACTCAATGAGAACCTGTTCCTTGTTGCATATATGTATATCTAAAATCTCTTGCAAGTTTTGTATATAACTAACTCGTTCTATTAGGCTCCTTTCATTTGTCATTTATTTTTTATTTGTGTATGATTGGGAGAAAGGAAATTTGAGTTGATAAAGAAAAAATGAAAATTCAAAGCCTTTGGAGATTTGTAATGTTTGTGGGTTTCGCTACCATTTTTGTGCCTGGAGCTCTAGGCTGGAGCAAGGAGGGTCACATAATGACTTGTCGGATTGCACAGGTAAACTATCACATCCATTTTTATCTATAAGTAGCAGGTCCCACTGTCCAAGAAGGATCTTTGATGCATTAAAGATAATCAGAGAAGAACTAATAGTTAATTTGTAATTAACAGAACCTCCTTGGACCTGAAGCAGCGCATGCTGTAGAACATTTACTGCCTCACAGTGTGAACGGAGACTTATCAGCACTGTGCATATGGCCTGACCAAATCAGACACTGGTACAAGTACAGGTGGACAAGTCCTCTTCACTTCATCGATACCCCAGACAAGGCCTGCACATTTGATTACTCAAGTAACTGTTAACTAACTCTCTAATGTTAAACGTTAATAACCATTGCCATTTTCTTCTATTCAAGTTATTTACCTATTTATGTATAAAACTGTATTAAATAGGGGACTGTGTGAAGGACAGGTGTGTTGCTGGTGCCATCCAAAATTTTACATCTCAACTTTTGCACTACAGAGAGGGTTCCACTGATCGCAGATGTAAAGAATTTTCACATGCCACTCGTATAATTGAATTTATAGGCTGGGTAATCAATTAAGCTGATTTGTTACCTTTTTTTGCAGATAATTTGACTGAAGCTTTGCTATTCTTGTCTCATTTCATGGGAGATATTCATCAGGTATATGTATGTTTCTATTTTTTATTAGTTTATTTTTATCAATATTAAAAGCTAATTTTCTTCTTGTTCCAAAATTTCAACAGCCAATGCATGTTGGATTCACTAGTGATGAAGGAGGGAACACCATTGAGTTGCACTGGTACAGGCACAAATCTAATCTCCATCATGTGAGTGTTCTCTTGAGACCTGTATGAATATTTTTGTTCTTGGAACCTGGATTAACTACTTCATGTAATCGATGACTACAGGTGTGGGATAGAGAGATTATTCTAACAGCTTTAAAAGATTTCTACGAAAATGACATGGACCTCCTCCAAGAATCCATTGAAGGGAACTTCACTGATGTAATAACATATGCAATTAAGTTCTCAGTATTCTCATGCATTTTTTTTTCTTTAATTTTTATTATTATGATAAAAACAGGGAACATGGTCCGACGATTCAACATCATGGAAAGACTGTGAGGATCTCCTTTCATGTCCAAACAAGTGGGTTCTCTTCTACTTATCTTCATTAGAATTTGCAAATTGTAGGTGGCCATGTTCAGATCTTCTGTTTTTAATGTGTGTAGATATGCAGTAGAGAGCATAAATCTAGCTTGCAAATGGGGTTACAAAGGCGTCAAGGAAGGTGCAACTCTAGCAGGTATTTTTTTGTTCATAACTCTGGCTTTCTAAGATATGGAGGATAAAGACCACCTTCTCTTCAATATTTATACGAGGGTTTCATTAAAGAAAGCTTCGAGTTTGTGGCTTTATGCATAGACAAGATTAATTAATCAAGTGATATAACTGTACCTATAGATGATTATTTCAATTCAAGGATGCCAGTTGTGATGAAACGCATCGCTCAAGGAGGAGTTCGTTTAGCCATGTTCTTGAATTCAATTTTTGGAGATTCTGAAGATGAGATGACATTAGCAACCTAATAAGCAATTGATTCATCAACAAAGGAGCAGAAAAACTCGTTATCATCCATTTATTCTCCTTAACCAGTCATTTTAACTGACTTGAATTATCATCTGCTTCATTTCCTGATGTTCATAAATCACCATCGTTGTTTGTTCTTTCATGTTTTTCCCTTGTATTTGAAAGTTCTTATTCCTGTATGGACAAAATTTACGCTAACAGCAATTAGCAAAAGTAATAACATTTCATTGACGTTTTACCTTGTCAGCCAAGTAGCAGTTGCATTTGCTAATTGATTACAGCTAAAAAGGAATATATATATATATATATATATAAGATATGGAAGGTAAAGAACCACTCTTCTTCAAATATTTATACGAGGGGGTTTTCATTAAAGAAAGCTTCGAGTTTTGTGGCCTTTATGCATAGACCATGAAGATTAAATTAATCAGTTGATATAACTGTAAACCCTATAGATGATTGATTTTCAAATCCCTGATAGGGATGTCAATGTTATGAACGCATCGCTCAAGGAGGAGTTGTTTTAGCCATGTATCTATGAAATTCAATTTTTGGGGGAGATTTCTGAAGATGAGATGACATTAAGCCCAACCTAATAAGCGCAAGTTGATTCATCAACAAAGGAAGCAGAAAAAACTCGTTAATCAATCCATTTATTCCCTCCTTAACCCAGTCCCATTTTAAACTGACTTGAATTTATCATCTGCTTCATTCTTCCTGAGTTCATAATCACTCATCGTCTTGTTTGTTCTTTCATGTTTTTTCCCTTGTATGAAAAAAGTTCTTATTCCTGTAGGACCCAAAATTTACCGCTAAACAAGCAATTAGCAAAAAGTATAACATTTCATGACGTTTTAACCCTTGTCAGCCAAGTAGCAGTTGCATTTGCTAATTTACAGCTAAAAAGGAATATAGATAATATATATATATAGTATATATATATAGCATATGGGAGCATCTTCATCATCTAATTTGGAATATTCGCGTTTGATTTGAATTATGCATGTTCCTTAGCAACTTGCGTTTAGTTCACTCTCTTCAACGGCGTTAAATAAAGTCTTTATAAAAATAATAATGGTTGTTGCTTATTTCATGCACGTTTTTGACACGCATCAAACATTAAACATGCAAATGTCAAGTTTTGCAACGTGTTGCACAAATCGTAGCGTTTCCCCAAATCCTATTAGTTTATTAGGCTTTTATTGTTGAGTTGAACTTAAATGTTAAATACGAATCAATAAATTATTCAATTCAACGGTTAAAAAGTAATATTAGGAATTAATTGTAAAATGATTAAGAATTGAGATATGAATATCATTTTATAATTGCATGATTTTTTTTATCTAATAAATTATATAATTTATTGAATTAAATCCAAAATGCAAAATTCTTCAATCAATGAAATTTAGCTCGTAAATTTAGATAATCAACTCTAAATATTTCTGATAGACGCAATACAATCGACTAAAATAATTTTATATTAGACAGTGCATTTTTGAGAAATCAAATTTATATTTTCAGCATTATGAAAATTAAAGTTATTTTTCAACCTAATCAATATATTATTAGCAATTCAACAAATAAATTTATTTTATTATTATATAAATAATATAGTTTTATTATTATATAATTAAATAAGTTGAAAGAACAACAAATTATCGATAATTACAAAATAAGCCTCCCCTGTGCATCGATGATCTCGAAGCATTATTATTTTAGTTTAGATTTTTTTTTTTTTTTTTCCTGCCAAATTTTGACCCACGTTTGCTGGTCCAAAACGTGGGACCAGGCGGCGGACTATCAACGGTTGCGAAAGCACAAACATTTTAAATAACATGAAAATGGACGGCCCTAGATCATGGGAACTAACTGCCACGACCATCATCCAGCCACTGTCAATTGGACACGCTAGCGACTCTGAGGGTCTTTATTTGACACGAAAACCCCTACTTTAACCTTTGAACGTGTCCTCTCTGTCACTCTTATTCTAGTTTTCTCCTTCCAGATTCCTAGGATCTTGTGGGTCCTTCAAGACCCTCTTGTCCACCGTTGAATATGCTAACCATTTTAAAACACAGTTGGGACGCTGACATCAGGCTTCAAATCAACCAAAAAATTCGTACGGTTGATCGCACGTTTATGTGGTTGATCGCATGTGACACATACACCCAGCTACTAGGGTTTTATATGCAGTGCAGCTACAACATCAGCGGTCAAAATTGACTGTACTGTAGATTTCCAAAACTACCCCTTTCTCATTTAGCAGAAACGAGCTTTCTTTCCCTGTCCATTTCTCTTCCATTGCCAACTCACTCGCAGCACAAATTGAATACAACAAAACAGGAATTTTCCGAGGAAAGCGCTGCCTTTTTCACTTTCTTTTACTGTACTTTAATATTATAAATATAGAGGTTTCTGCTATGACTTTCTTGCGTTTCAAGTCTGCTACCATAAGAACATACAATTTGTTCTGCTAGCTTTATTTTTTTAATTCAAAATCATTATTTTTTTTCCGCCTAAAAAGCAGATCCAGAAATCTTGGACACAGTCTCTCCTTTCTATTCAAGCTTGAACCCACAAAAAAATAGTAATGTTCTTGAACCTTCTACTTTTACCAATCATGATTTTGTTTCGATTGCTCTCTGTTTTCACTTTTCACAAAATGCTCTGTTTTCTTGTGTAACGGGTCGTTTTTGTTGCCATTTATTGTGTTCGTTATGAATCTCATTTTGTTTGGTACATTTTTAGTTCCATCTAACTCGTTTCTTTCATTATTTTCTCCGAGCATTGACAAGATCTGTTAAAGTTTATAACTTCTTTGCTGAACATTCTCTGAGATGATCAAGTAATTTATTGCATGCTAAATAATTTAATTACTCAAGTTTGCTTCTTTAAACTTTGTGAAGTTTATAACTTCTTTGCTGAACATTCTCTGAGATGATCAAGTAATTTATTGCATGCTAAATAATTTAATTACTCAAGTTTGCTTCTTTAAACTTTGTGATGTGATCCTGTTCATTAAAAAATTTCACTTCTGTTTTTTTCCTGCTGGATATTTTATATTTACTCAAGTTTGCTTCTTTAAACTTTGTGATGTGATCATGCTCATTAAAAAATTTCACTTCCTTTTTTTTTTCCCTGCTGGATATTTTATATTTGCTTATTAAAATAATACCCAGGTTTTGATCTTTGGAAACAACGATTATTCTGTGGCACATGCCAGATTTTAACTTTTTAAATGTGAAATGGAAATTGGTTCCTTCAGAATCCGATATTGTTTCAATATTTATTAGGGTAGATAGGTCACACGGGTTGCATTTCACAAGCAAATTCAATTGCTTCAGTGGTTGCCTCTAGCTATATCAGTATACTTTGCGTTTTGCTGAAGCTCCGTATTTGAGCATATAGCAAACCAGTTGATCAAGCTACAAGTGAATTCAATTAACTATGTATTTCATGTGTCATCCTAGTTGAAAACGTTAATTTTGCTTGTTAAGCATTTTTAGGGAATCTTTATTAGCAGTGCTGGTAGCTAGTTACTATAGCACACGTTGTTGGGAATGATAGATTATTGTGCTTTTGCTTCGAATGCCTATAGTTTTCTCTTCGCATCTACCGTTACATGATGGGGAAAGCCAAGTTTTGCTTTGGTTTTCTTGATGCCCCTTGAAGTTTGAACTAACTTCATTACGTGATGTCTTTAACTTTTAAGTTATTTGGAATTTTCAAATTGGTTTTCTCTATTCCAAATTATTTGGAGTTTTCAATTGGTTTTCTATATAAAAACCTTGAACTCTTCCATTCAGAATACATGCAATTTTCAAAGCTAATTTCTTTCACTCTGAGTGCAGGTTCAACAGGCCAAGAATTCTGATTATACTTTGAATTGAGAGCTTAAAGGGTATCTGGTCTGGAATTTCAAACCGATAGTCTGAGCATGGCGTTTTCAAGAATTGCTAGGACTGGCTTGAGAAGAGCAGAAGGCACCTTCAGTAGTTATGCAAGTGAAGGAGTATTAGTTCATAGATGGTCTTCACCTTCCCTTAGAAATGTCATTGCAGGGAGCCATTTGTCGTACCTTTCCACCTTCAGCACAGTAAATCATGCAAGTTTTTGGAACAGGGGAATAAGGGTAACCCCAAACTACCAATTTCCTAATGCAGAGAGGATTTTGGACGAGTCTGAAAATGAGTATGATGAAAGAAGGTATCCAGGTCTAGAAGCAACCAAACCTGGTGAAAAGCCAAGAGTGGTTGTACTTGGCACTGGATGGGCAGCATGTCGATTCATGAAAGGACTTGACACCAAAATATATGATGTTGTTTGCATATCACCAAGGAATCACATGGTCTTCACTCCTTTGCTTGCTTCAACTTGTGTTGGAACCCTTGAATTTCGCTCTGTAGCTGAGCCTGTTAGTCGGATACAATCTGCATTGGCAACAAGTCCTAATTCGTACTTTTATCTGGCTTCCTGCATCGGTGTTGACACGGACAAACATGAAGTGGGTCTTCTTCTTTTTTTTTTTTTTTTTTCTATTTTTTTTTTTTCTGCTTGGCATTCTTATTTTCATTATTTGTCATTGCATCATGTATGCATTACTTCCATTCTCTTTCTTCTTTTTTTTTTTTTTTTTTTCCTGCTTGCATTTTATTTTTCATATTTGTCATTGATCATGTATGCATTACTTCCATTCTCTTTGAGAAATGTCATAATCTCAAGTAATGGGAAGTTCTTTTCTCGTATGCGTGCAAAATACTTGCCTGAAATTCAAAAATTATCATAATTTGAACAGCAAAGTAGCACAAGTATTGATAATTGCAATGCAGAAAGCCGCTTGTCCATGCGGACACCCTTATTGAAGTAGTTTTTGTTAATGACATTCGAAATTATGCAGATTTTAACCATAATAAGTTTCATTTTGATTTAACAATAATTATAAATAAATGTTTTTCTATGTGATCAGGTGTTCTGTGAGACAGTTAGCAATGGTGGATTACCTCAGGAGCCTTACCGGTTTAAAGTTGCATATGACAAGCTTGTTATTGCTGCTGGAGCTGAGCCTTTGACTTTTGGTATCAAGGGAGTTAAGGAACACGCATTTTTCCTAAGAGAAGTAAATCATGCTCAAGAAATAAGGAAGAAGCTCCTCTTGAATCTTATGCTTTCTGAAAATCCAGGTGAGTTCATAGTCTTGGTGCAATTTTAGTACATTTATGATTATTTGAAGGAAGCCAAAGTACTAACAGAGTAGTTAATTCTGATAACGTCATTAAAGGCATATCTGAAGAAGAGAAGAGCCGCCTCTTACACTGTGTGGTTATTGGAGGTGGTCCTACAGGAGTGGAATTTAGTGGTGAATTGAGTGATTTTATCATGAGAGATGTTCAAGAACGGTTTGCTCATGTTAAGGATCACATTAAGGTCACTCTTATAGAGGTAATTAACATGAATCACCACTTATCCATGAACAACTAACCTATTATTGATTGAGGCATTTGCTAATGTTTTATTTTGGTCTTCCTGAACAGGCCAATGAGATTCTATCATCATTTGATGTTGGACTGCGACAATATGCAACAAATCATTTGACAAAGGTAATTAATTGAATCCAACTTGTTTGTTTTGTATCTCAGAATGTGTTTCTTTTTTTATGACAATCCATGACAAGTGGGAGTTTTGTATCAGTGTGGTGTTTGTCTCACGAAAGGCGTAGTGAAAGAGGTGCATTCCAGGAAATTAGTACTCAGTGATGGTACTGAAGTTCCATATGGTCTACTGGTATGGTCCACTGGTGTTGGTCCATCTGAGTTTGTTAAGTCACTAAATCTTCCCAAGTCTCCTGGTGGAAGGTATTTTACAAAAAACATTTCTTTTTCAACATTTTTCCCTTTTCATCTCAATTCTTCAATGTCATCTGATCCATGCATGTAAATCCTCTGTTAACTTATCTTATTGAGTAATGCAGGATTGGTATTGATCAATGGTTGCGGGTACCTGCAGTAGAAGATGTGTTTGCACTTGGAGATTGTGCTGGTTTTCTTGAACAGACAGGGAGGCCAGTGCTTCCAGCTTTGGCTCAGGTCAGCAGAAGTTTGCTGCAAGATATATATTAGTATCAATGGAGTTTTTGCTAATCAATTTACAATTCTTAAGCAGGTTGCAGAAAGGCAAGGGAAATATCTAGTGCAGTTGTTTAACAACATTGGAAGGCAAAATGGAGGAAAGGCTTTCAGTGCAAAAGAGGTCCCTCTAGGCGACCCTTTTGTGTATAAGCACATGGGTAGCATGGCATCAGTTGGGCGTTACAAGGCCCTTGTTGATTTGCGCCAGTCTAAGGTAAAGCACAAGATGTTCCAAAAATTTTGTTTTATGATTCAATGATTATGGGTTCAGTACTGGGATTGAAGTAGTATTGACAACTCTAAGATTTCCACTTCGATGTCCAGCCAAAGCAACAACTCTGGTGCATTGGGCTTTATGTTTATGATCTTTTATGTTTCAATTCTTTGGCAGGATGCAAAAGGATTATCACTTGCAGGATTTCTTAGCTGGCTAATCTGGCGTTCTGCTTATCTTACACGTGTGGTCAGTTGGAGGAACAGATTTTACGTGGCTGTAAACTGGGCAACCACCTTGGTTTTTGGCAGAGACAACTCGAGGATAGGATAGTTTCTTAAATCCTGCATTTACCATTGCCATTGTTTGTTCATTCTTTACACTGCTTTCAGGCGTTGAGCTGGCAAATGTATCGATTGCCAATATTATAAAGTTTTGGGATAAGATCCAATTTAAGGTTTTTTTTTATTTGTAACCAGCAATAAGATTAGAAAGAGTACACTATTGATCAGATTATGGTTATCAAGAAGAAAAAGAATTTAGGAGACAAACATTCTCTTCTGCATTGCGTATTATCTGTATATTCTGTGCAAAAGAAAAAAAAATATCTAAGCGCTACTGCTTATACTATGTACCGTATGCTGTTCCCTCGTCACAGTAGCTAATCTAACTAAGTGTACAATCCACGTGTAAGTCAGAATTGTAACCAACTCTCCATGTACTTTAGCTGTTCTTCTTTCTATTTGGTTATTTTCATAGCAAGGTTCAGAATTTCCAGATAAAAAAAAAAAAATCAAACTGATGAACAGAGAGGACAAATATTCATGGCGGATTAAAAAGTTAAAACCGCATATTTAGAAAACACGTGGCTGTCCTTTTCTTCTTCGACCCACTCTCTCCTTCAAACGGTTCATTCGTCGTTCGATATCGTTTAACAGAGGACAGTTCAATGAATGCACAAATGAAACGACCAGCTCTTTAGAAAAGAAGAAACGTCGTTTTTGTAAATATGATGGCTGACGTGTCAATTATCATGTAGGCCGTAGCACAAAAGGTGGTTACTGGCCGCTATGCTTCATGTGATTACGACCGGCGGCTAACAACAGCGAGTATGGAAGAAAGAGGTAGCAATTTTCGTTTTATTTTCTAAAGATTTTTCATTTTCTCATCCTTGGATTGGCTCTGTTATATGAATTTACAATTTAAATCTCTGAAACAATTTTTTCATTACTTCCTTTTCAATTGAAGGCTTACCGTAATAGACAAAACTTCAAAGACATAAAAAAGACATAATTTTCTTTTTTTGAACTGAATCAAAAAGACATAATTGGTGATATACAAAAGACGGGATTTGAATTCAAAATATATAGACTTCATTTATGTGCAAAACTAGTAACTTTCGAGTTTCGATCTGTACAACAGGCAGCCTCTAATTATTACTCAAAAACAAACATCTCTCTCTATTTGTCTTACAAAAAACCATACAAAAACGGATCTTTGCTTCTGTAAGCAGCTGAACTCAACTGAAGTGATGAGAAGTTCGTCGACAGAAGATGGAGGCTACAGAGTGAGCCAAACCCACCACTATTCCCACCTTCACTTGTCCTCTCTTTGGGATCGGACGGCCGTGAAATCCCCTTGAAACCTTCCTGCTGTTGATCATAGAACCTGGCATCTTTCTTTCTCTTGAAAAAGGACTAAACAGAAGTTATAATTAGAATTAATAGCTCCGGAACTGGAAGTGGAAACTTCAATTTTGGCTTCGAGTTGGTTGGTTGTGTTCAAAGCTCTTTCCTTTCAAACCTTTATATACAGGGATATATTGATTAACACCCCGGATTCCTGATGTAATTACGAGTCGTGCCCCTTTAATTTTGACTCTCAGTTGACAATCTTGACCCTGAAAGTGCCAGCTGTGGCATCATATATTTTCGCAAATTTGACCGGGAGACAAAGTCAATCATCTCAGTAACCTGACCTCACCAAAGAATTCTGATTTCTGACCAGCATTTTGTTGGTTTTATTAGTACTCATGGTTCTTGAATTCCATTAAAATGGCAACTGTCGAAAATGGATTTTTATATTAGAATTTAAACTTAAAACCACTGGTTAATATTGTTACTATGAGCAATTTTGTTTTCTAATATATTATTTTTCAAAAAAAAAAATATTTTGTTTCTAAACTTGACATATTCTAATTATCATTGCTTATGCGTGAAGTATGAACACTAATTTCAAAGATTAAAAAAAAAAAAAAAAAAGGATATGAACAACTAATTTTCAAAGATTTAAAAAAAAAAAAAAAAAGGAATTCTTGCTAAAAAAAAAAAAAAAAAAGGAATCTTGGTGTTCAACGAATGTGAACACATTTAATAAGGGCAAATATGTCATTAACGTAGGCGACAACAAGAACCTATTTTAGTAAAACAAAATGCTACCACTAGTACTAAAATAAGGTCTAAGTTAGTAATGATTAATTAAAAGCATTTTTGATTGTGCAACGTGATAAAAATCACGTGGCCTATTTGCTTCCATGCTGGAGCCATCAGCCATCCATCAATTAGGGTTAGACATTTAATTTAAATATAACAAAAATGGGCCCATCCTTACTTTCCACGGTATGGTTTTTGTCCCTTTGCTTTATCTTTTTCTTACTAAAGATCTGATTCCACCCAAACAGATAAGATTAGACATGTCCTTATGCAATTGCAGACCCCACCTATTACCATTTTCTTCGTCATAAATTGGAGTATTTGGCAACTCTCTAATGTTTAGATATCTATAATTCTACAAATTAATGTTTATGATTTTCAAAAAAAAAAATTACATTTCATTTTGCATTTAGATTTGTGTATCTATATTTGACTAGTGAAAATATTATCGAGAATTAAAAAATAAAATTGTTTGAAAGAATTTTATAAAAATTTCAATATAAGATCCTCAGTTTAAAATCATTTTGAAGTTTATTTTTATTATAAGAGTAATATTAAAAATATATTTTCATCACGTCACTTAAAATTCATGAATCAATTCAATATTCTTACATTCGACGTGGAAATATGTTAATTTTCATACTATTTTATTACATAATTCATTCCATATGAAGTGGGAGATTTGTAGCAATAATGCAACATCTACCTAATTAAATAGTTAACTCGAGGAATTAGTGGAATCCACTTTCAAGTCACAATCTTTGCATATGTATCTTTTATCTTTAAAGACCAAAAAAAAAAAAAAATTAAAATTGATCCTAAAAGAAATATTCAAAGTCACCCACCAAAACCCATCTTTTCTTGGGTATTAGGGTTTTCAAAGTGTGACTTGAATATAAAGTGTTAATTAAAAGATGATAAAGACATTACCTTTAATATTTGTAACAATAATTAATATCATAGTGTGTATTTTAATGTTAAATGAAAAATTATTAATGTTAATCATGTGTACTCTGCTCTTTCTATTTCTCATAAAGAGAACTCAAATGAATGTCATTTAAAAAAAAAAAAAAAAACATTGTTAATAGCATTCCCATAATTCTTTACTTGAAAGGGAAAGGTATTGGATTCAATGAACCACTCATAAGATATATATCCATCGACAAATTTATTAAGTTGTGAAAGATTTTGTGAACGAAAGAATAGATTCGGAGCCAACAAAGTTGGATATAAAATTAATTAACTAAGGCTGCTAGCTTAATTATGTTTTTTTAATTACTTGGTTAGACATGTATGTCTGAAAGTGGGGGATGCACCTATAATTATTGTGAAGGTGTCATCGTTTTGGAACAACAATTACGTCAATGCTTAAGTAGGATTATGTCTGTCACACACTCAATTGTCATTATTGTTATTTTGATCATGTCAAATCTAGCATTAAATATAAACTAATAAATCAATTAATAATATCCCTTCTTTTTTTTATATAGATTTATCTATCTCAATTTAATAATTAAATCTAATTGAGAATGTAATAACTATATTATATTTCCTCCGTCCTCTTTTTTAGAATAATATTTAAGATAATTGCATAAAAATATGATTAAATAAGATTAAGGAAATTATTAAACCATCTAATTCTAAAAATAATAATTAATTAACACTTATTTACAGAAGATATTAACAGGCATATATAGAGCTAAAAAAAATAAATATTTTCTTATTTTTTTTAAATGACAAATGAAATTATATAAAAAAGTTTTAATGTTGACATTAATAAGGGGCAGATGAAGTAATGCAAAAGAGATATTATTCAATTTTTTTTTATTAATGCAGAAGAGATAGAGAATTTCACTTATGACAATCATTTTATTTTTTTATTTTTACGTTTTTAGAGGTTTGGTAACAATGATAACATCCAGAGAGTAAAATTGTTTTGACTGAGCTAACGCCAAATTAATTATTGTTGAGCATAATAACTAGTATTATAACTTGCCCGATGCACCGAGCAATGTTTACTATCAATAAAAATGAAGTTTTTTTAAATATTTTTTGTGTCGTTAAAATAAGAATTAAGTTTTTTTATTTTATGTTTATAATTTATTATAAATTTTTATTTATTTATTTAAAATATTAATGTGTTATTTATTTAGTGTTGTGTGTCATAAGTGTGTGGATGTCTTAGTTTTTAAAAAGTTATTGTATACCATACGTTCCAATTTATATTTTTTAAATTGCTTATATATTGTTATTTAATAGTAATGTATTGTTTATTCACACTCTTTTTAAACGTGTGGATTACTTATTAATTGTTTTGGAAAAAAAAATGAATTTATATTAATATATTAAATGCTATAGATAATTTTTTATATAGATAATATATTGATAGAGGGATTATCTAAAAATATAAAACAATTGATCTTTTTACAATTTTTATAATTGTGCTAAATTGTTTGAATTTTAATATCCGTCATTCTATAATCCAAAGTAATACCAAGTAGCAAACTGTGCTACTTATATTTGGTTTTCATATAAAGCAAACTACCCGACTTTTCTATATTATATAGATAGATATAATTTTTTCAACAGTGATAATAATTTTGAGAATTTAACTAATTATATTGAAATAAGAAATTGAGTATTTTTTTATTTTATGTTTATTATTTATTATAAATGATTGTTTATTTATTATTATATTCCGTACGTTTCCGTATCTCATGTCCGTGCAACCTAACTTCTGGTATATAAGATCACCTCATACGTTAAGGTAATCATTAAAATAAGAAATTACATATTTTTATTTTATAATTTGAGTTATATGTATTTTAATTTAATTTTAATTTAAACTAATTATATTAAAATAAAAATTAAGTATTTTTAATTTTTAGGATACCTCATACGTTAAGGAATCAAAAATTAAAATAAGAAATTACATTATTTTATTTTATAATTTGATGTATATGTATTATTTTATAATTTGAGTTATATGTATTTTAATTTAATTTTAATTTAAACTAATTATATTAAAATAAAAATTAAGTATTTTTAATTTTTTATTTATTATAAATAAATATTTATTTATTTCCGTATCTCATATCCCATGTTCGTACAACCTATCTTCTGATATACAAAACTATCAAATACATTAAGGTAATCATTAAAATAAGAAATTAAATATTTTTTATTTTATAGCTTGAGTTATTTATATTTTAATTAAATTTTAAATTAATTTAATGTATTATCTTGATTGACCGTAACTAATAGATATTATCATGATAAAAATATTATTTAAAAATATCAAATTTATCTTCTTACAATTGTTATTATTACATCTTATCTTTTTATATTCACCCTAAATTATTATTATTATCCTCGTACTTGACAATTTCAGACGCTTACACTTGGCTTCTATATAGATTCACATTAAAAAAATAAAAAAAAAAGAGTAGCTAATAAAAAAAAATGGAAAACAAGAATAGGATATAAATTAAGAAAAGTGGGAATCTCATTAGATAACCAAACTTCATTCGTCTTTGTACAAAAAGAGATTAATTAACACTTGAGCAACAAAAAAACAACAGTTCATTTCTAATATCTGCTATTTTTTTCTCTCTTAGTCAAAAATTTTGAGATTCAAATGAATCAATTAAGCTAACTGAACACATCTGTTGCAAAAGGAGAAAATGGAAGCAAAAGAATGGGCCAAACTCAATACTATAGCCATCTTCACTTGACCTCTCTTTGGTATCAGCCTCTGTCTCTGTGACTGTGACTGTGAGTACTTTCCATTTCTACTTTCACTTCCACCATTATCAATCATTCTTGATCTCCTAACACCAGCTGCTGCCATTTCCCTTTCAAAGACTGCTCTCTCTTGGTGTTTACTGATGGTTTGACAGGTGGGTTTTAAAGAGAGGTGGCGGCTAAATGCCCAAATGGGTTTCATTGAATCTTCGATATAGCTACAACTATAGCTTTCCACTTTGTTTTTTATTGACGATATTGACCTTGCCTTGAGCAAAAAGTAGTCGATACCCGTGAGGATAAAATATGTATTTTAGATTTTAAAGCGAAAGCAGACAATAATAATAATGCTAGATCTTGCTTTATTACTATTATTATTATAAATTTGAAAAAGAAAGGCCCGACCGATTCGGTAATTCCGATAAAAGAAAGCGATGTCTTATTTATGACATATTGCACAATCTTCACGTGACACATTTGGTCCGTATTTATTTGGAACGGGCAGAGTGTCAGCGTTTCTTAGCTTCTTGCTCCAGCTCCTGAACTTGCCCACCTCAACCTGAAATAACTTAGTAATTTTTTTAATTACTGTATAAAAACTTTAAACCATAAATAAAAATAAATGGAAGAAGTAAACTTTAGCAAATGCTCTTACATTGAATCAAGACTTTTTATTATTATTATTATTTTTTTTATTTGTGACTATTTAAGGTTGATGTAATGGAGTTGCAACTTTAGTTACGATCCCACTAAACATCAATGCATCTAATAATTGTTAAGGTTTAATTTAAGGTTCTAATCACATTAGAGTATAATTTTCTCCACTATCTCAATACGATGATTGTGGAGAAGAAATAAGTTTTGCTTTAGAATCTTTTTTTTTTTTAAAATTTTATTTTTCTCCAATCTCCAAAGAATAAGAGAAAAGCACTCCAAAGCTTTTCTATTTATTAAATTATTATTTTTGATACCTCGAGTCCCAAAGAGCCTAAGCATTATTGAGTTACACAGATTTATTATTCCCCAACTGAATTGTGGGTTACTTTTTTTTACTCCATGTATCCCAATTGAAAAACCAGCCCAATAGATTTTGGGCTTCATATGCTAAGCCCGAATCCAATATGAAATGAGAGAATGGCCCATTGATTTATTCGAACCGTTTGATATTACGACGGTCGAAAAGAACTGTGGCGAGGAGAATTTGCGTGTAAAATCAGAACAAACGACAAATTGGCTTTAACTTATATAGCGAATAAGGAATAAATCAATAGAGGATTCTTGTATTATGTCACGCAAACGAAACACTGAACAAAGCATAAACACTATTAGAAGGTGTTCAATTAACATAATATTATACTGCAAAAAATTGATTGATTTTCACATTCTTGTCCAAATCTCTCTTAGTGGTGACATGATAAGAGGATTTAGATTGCAGAATTTTCTTGACGAGTCTGGTATTGTGTCCATCACTCTTTTTTGATGGGGCTTTTTGTTATAAATCTATAAATATTAATAAATGCTAATTAAATATAATTTCATCGCTCTTTTACTTTTATTTATTTTTATTAAACGTAAGAAATGAAAGATTTCAAGTTTGAATATTTTCATTTATAACAAAAATACTATTGCATGAGAAATAAATGATAATATTTCAGACTATTTGATGCTCAATAAATTAACTGAATATCAATAATTTGTGTGACAGTATATTAGTGAATTTCAGCATCTAATCCCAAAATTTAAACATTTTGAAACCAAAGCAGGCAGTCCAATTGGCTAATGCCACTTGGCATTCAAGTTTATCTCTTTCTTCACGTAGTGGTTATTGAATAACATCTCTATCTATGCCAAAAGTCCAATTAATCATCATGTATTCACCCCTTAGAGAACGCAGAGAGCGAGTTAGAAGAGTAATCATGATAATAAGGAACTAGAAGATAAGAGACACAGTCTGAAGGAAACAATGCGAAACCCGAACCAATTAGGATTGTCTCTCAATGCAAAATCCAACCGTTGCACATTGTGAATTGAGGGTAGATGTGATATACAGAGAAATTTTTTGAAAAGAGAGACAATGGGTAACGTACTGGTGAAATCATTTTAGTGCAACGTATTGATGAACTCATGATGACTCAGATGTGAACTGTGAAGAATAGGCTAATCGAATCCAATCCAAGTAGCAGTCACAAATACAATCAAATAATGTAATTCTTTTCTTTTTGAAAAAATATTGGAAATTGGGCTTAATCTGGATTTGTTGTAGGATCAGTGAAGTAATACTATTAATAAACTGTGACTGAGAGTGCTAAATCATGATATTCAAGCCAATGATAAGGACTTGCTTGTTTTATTCTGCGGGGATTTTTTTCTTTTTTTGTATAAATAGTCTCTTGTTGTTTCTTCAAGAGCATAAAATTCCCAATAAACCCAAATGGGTTGCTACCAAATTGAAATTGTGCTTTGAATAGAGAAAGCATTCGTGCAAATTATCAATATTTCTCCAGTCTCCAATCATTGCAATTTGTTATAGGATACAGTGTCCAAAATATCCAGTGAATTAGAGTTAATTTCTTCACTTTCTCTTATCTTTTGTCTCTTGGTATCTCTTTTTGAATCCCATTATAATCATAGAAAACCACGAGAAATAAAGAGATATTTCCCATAATTTTGATGCCTTTAAATTGCTCGATAAGCTTGGCTACCAAAGTCCCACATATTCTGGGACAAGGAAGAAGGTACGCGCCCAACCATTTTGGCAAAACTTCTTGCTTCCTCACTTACAGTCGGAATTATCAAAACAAGTCTCTTCAAATTGTCTCTCTTTCCAAATTAAACCAAACCCAAAATTATACTTCTTCAATAATGGAGGAACCCAAAAGTTTGGACCTTTTATCTGGAAAACCAGAAAAATACTCCAAAGAAATTGATATTGCTGTCAGAGCTGTGCAAATGGCATGTTCTCTTTGCCAGAAAGTGCAGGACAGTATCATTTCTAAATCCAATAATCAGGTCCAATCCAAGGATGACAATTCTCTCGTCACTGTAGCAGGTAACTATTATCTTCCTTTTTTTTTTTTTTTTTTTTGGTTTTTTTTTCTCTCGTCACTGTAGCAGGTAACTATAATCTCCTTTTTTTTTTTTTTTTTTTTTATGGTTTTTTTTAATGGGCTTCTGCATTTTGCTCTGTCTATAATAGATTTTTGATAGGCTCTTGAAAATTTATATAGATTGTTATGCGTAATAAAGACCTGAAGAATTCATAACTAAGACTTCGTTTGTAGATGAGAATCTTGTACTGGTCGGACTCTACTTTCACCTTTTTTTTTTTTTTTTTTTTTAGAATGTTCAATTTAATTCTAATATGGGATGTGTTGATTCTAGACACCTTTTTTTTTTTTTTTTTTAGAATGTTCAATTTATTCTTTGATAGTGTTTGATTTAGACATCATTGATCACTGTCAAACTTAGTACACTTATTAGTTATTACAATAAAGCTCAATTAATAATTTTGATATGGAATGAACATTAGTGGCTGATAGAAGTGACCCACAGGAGCATATGCTATTACTCCCTTTCATGCCCTTTGGGTGGGAGAACTATAGCTATCACAATTGTGGGATTGGGGAGTGAGAAATAAAGCATTAGACAGACTAAATTACAGTTAGAATGTAGTTAAATCTATCCACTCGTTGATTTATACATGGAAAAAGAAGGGCAAGTGGGCAACTGAGATTTTGATTGAAAACTGCACGTATACAGTAAACTGATTTGGCATATTGTTACCTTCCTCACAGTCATTTCTACTGATGCATTTCCAAGATCTAGAAATTGATGAAGTATCAGCATATGGTTCCCTTATCACCATCCTATTGGGAGTAAAAAAAACATGGATTCTATAAAACAACACTGTAGTTGACCTACAGGTCAAGTCTCAGTTTTTCTTAATTTCTGCATAAATAACATGGTAGTTGTGTTATACCATTATGGATTTATTGTTAGACCTTCTTGATGAGCCTCGTGCATTGTGGTTCTAAATTAAGGTTTCTGAGAACAGTCGAATTTGTATTACTAATCAAAATTCAGTAAAATAATTTTGTTTCAAGCTTAAAGCAGGGAAAATGCCAACAGAAAAAGTGAAATATTGACCAAATGATCGAGTTCTTTATGTAGCCTGCAAGTTCTCTTTTTGAGCTTAAGCCCGATGCATGTCGTTAAAATGTCTTTAAGAATATATATATGTTTTAGTGTATAGTTGCAGTTATGGATCACTGGTCAACATTTGATAAATTTAAGTTGTAAGCAGTTTCTTTGGTTCTGATTCAGTTTCTTTAGAGTATAAGCTGTAAATATAAAATACTGCATCCTAGTTGGCTGAATTTCTTGATTACACCATTGTAAACAGATTGGAGCGTCCAAGCGACTGTTAGCTGGATACTATGCGAGTCCTTGGGAAGTAGGAATGTCTCAATAGTAGCTGAAGAAGATGTTGAAACTCTTTCCAAGACTCATAAAGCTGGCCTATTAGAAGCTGTAGTTCAAACAGTGAATGAATGTCTAGCTGAAGCACCTCGGTTTGGTCTTAATGCTCCAGGAGTGGCTCTCACAACATCAGAGGTTCTTGAAGCCATCAGTCATTGCAACTCATCTGGGGGTCCTATTGGAAGATTTTGGGCACTTGATCCTGTTGATGGTACATTAGGTTTTGTACGTGGAGATCAATATGCCGTTGCATTAGCATTGATAGAGGAGGGAGAGGTTGTGCTTGGAGTTCTTGGTTGTCCTAATTATCCGATGAGAAAGGAATGGTTAAATTATCACCACCGCTACCATAGAATTATATCTAAGCTAACCCCACCGACATCTGAATCTTGGGACAAAGGCTGTGTGATTTATGCAGGTAAAGGTAGTGGAGAAGCCTGGATGCAACCTCTACTCCAAGGAAATAAGAAGCTTGTATGGCCAAATTCTGCAAGACCAGTTCGAGTATCCTCCATCAACAATCCAGCATTGGCTACCTTTTGTGAACCAGTAGAGAAGGCAAATTCAAGCCACTCCTTCACTGCAGGACTAGCTCACAGCATGGGGCTTAGGTGAATATGTTTTTCATTCCTCCTTGGATCAATAAAGATATGAATACATAAATAAATGGCATGTTAATCAACTAATAATTTAACTGCAGAATGCAACCATTACGAGTTTACAGCATGGTGAAGTATGCAGCCATAGCTCGGGGAGATGCAGAGATATTTATGAAGTTTGCAAGGGCTGGCTACAAGGAGAAGATTTGGGATCATGCAGCTGGTGCTGTTATAATACAAGAGGCAGGTGGTGTGGTTACTGATGCTGGAGGGCGTCCACTAGACTTTTCGAAAGGAATGTACTTGGATGGTCTTGATAGAGGCATAATCGCTTGTGCCGGACCCGTATTACATGACAAGATCGTTGAAGCTGTTGATGCTAGCTGGAATTCCTCTAGTCTGTAAAATTTCATTGGAGCCACCACGAATAAAATTTGTTCTGTAATTTTTCTTCCTCTTGTTTATGGAGCAGCAGCAAGGCTCTGAGTTTTCAATTTATGTCTAGCACAAATACTCTATTGTAAAGTTTTGTAAATTCTATGTTTCACCAATCCTCTGTATCTAAGAAGTCTCTACTGTAGATACTTAGACAGCCAGTCTGCATATTTATGAGAGCACCCAGCTCCCTGTTCCTGAAGATCGGTGTTTCACTTAGGATGGAGAAGTTTGTCTGTTGGATAGAAAAATTTCTGCCGAAACGTTTCCCTATTGCTTGATCCATCAATAAATTTCAGAATTAGAGAAAAAAAAAAAAAAAATTCTTCCATCAATAAATTTCAGGAATTAGAGAAAAAACAAAAAAAAAAAATTTCTTCTGAAAAAAAAAAAAAAAATTCTGAATTATTAAAGTTATAGATTATAATTGATCAAATGATAAATTAATTTATATAATAAATATACTTTTAGAAATGAGAAAGTAGTAATTTCAAATCCATTTAATGCCAATGTTTTTTTTGTATTAAAATATCAGAAAATGATACTATTAAACAGTAATTGGTTTATATTTAATATCTGGAGTGTAAAGAAACCACCGGCAGCATTTGGTCAAAATCACAATTAAAGAAGGGTAAGGGGTTTAATTAATTTTCTGATCCTAAAAATTGAATTTTGGTCCGCTTATCATGACAAAACGCCATATTGTTGACACTTGCAATTAAGCTTGTGGGGGCAGCCAGCAAGCTTCACAGGATTATATAAGGGTTGGCTAAGGCTAAGCTTTTCCTAGTTTCAGCCTTCCAGGAAAAAAAAATGTATATATTCTTTCCTACGTTATAATTTATATTCCTCCTTCAAGACTTTGGACCATACTCATATGAATCTGTGTCCCCAATTCCATGGAAATGAATATTAATATACGGAGTTTCATGCATGTAACCCTAAATTCGCAGTTCCTATTTTATTTTCTACAACTGCTTTGCTTTCTTAATTGCAAGCTCAACTGTGACAGCAAGTGCACAAGGCCAACCTTAATTTCCAAGATGTACTTCTGACTATTAATTCCTGACTCCGTGTCATAATATTTGTCACATTTATAGTTTTAAGGAGTAATAATTTTTTTTTTCTATGTTTACCTTTTGTATATGACCAATAATTATTACTTCAATTTAATAATTTAGATGTAAAATTCTAAATGTAACAGATATCAGGAAAGAGCGGTACTTGGTGTTAGTAATTTTTTCACAATAATGGAGCCACAAGTCAATGCTTCTCTTAAATTGGCACAGGCAGCCTAATTATAAAGCCTGCCAGCCCAAGCTTTGACTTCCCAACTAGTAATTAAGGAACATCTCTTTGGAGGAGGGTTGGTTGGGTAGATAACAATGAAGGATTTTTTTGTTTTTTTTTTTAAAAAAAAAAGAGAGAGAAAGAAAGAAAATATCACAGATTAAATTGGGCAAAAAGAAAGATGAAATTTATTTTGTTTAATAAAATCATTCAATGAGAATTTTGAATATGAATATATATTTTTATCTTGAAAATTTCTTTCTTTCAAAATGTCAAAAATAAATGGATAGTTGTTAGCCATCCCTCTCTTAAATTTCTTTGCTTGTCTTGTCCATGCAAATTGCTTACCCATCCATCCTCAAGGAAGGGTAACATTTGGGCCTTCAACTTAGTGTAATTAGAATTCACAAATAAACTCATAATTACAAAATTTTATAAATTCGAAATGAATTTTTCTAGATTGGAAGTTGACAACATTTATGTTCAAAAAAATTGGGTACATTTATTATTTAAGCCATAAATCTATTTCTTAATTGCTTACAGCAAATTGGTCCGTACTTCATGGTAATAATTTTGGAGTCTAATCTCATTAAGTTTGTTTAATTGCGATTGAAATCACTTTTTTGAGGTACTGATGGTTAATTTAGAGGTGAATTGGGTAAGAAATTAGAATTTACGGGATGATATGAGCTAATTAATATTAAAAGATTAATATCGATCAATTAGTTAACTAATTTGACCTTTATATATTTTATGTGAATTTGATATTTAGTCGATATCGATATACATAAGAAAAAAGATATTAGATATGAATGTGTTTGCACAAATTTTTCCCTCTAAATAGATACTTTCACATGCATGGTTATATATTTCTCTTACGTCTTAATTTAGAGATTGCTATTTTTTCTGTTTTTTCCAACATGAAAGCCCAAATTTCAAACAAATAGAAAAGGAACCCTACCAAGTGGAGCACTAGAGAATAAAGCTTATCTTGAACATGGTAAGACCATCAAGTATGTCCACTTGCCAGATATACATCACGATGACCAATTTCAGCTTCCACTCATAAAAATAAACCCCACCTTTTAAGGCAGAAAGTTTTGCATGAAAATTAATATTTAAGTGCCCAAATCTTAATTTTAGTATTATTTCCCAAAATAATATTTATACCAACCGGCAATTTAGATTAAAAACACGTATATATAGCTAAATTTTTATGTGTTATAGAGTACTTCTGCTAACTATTAACTGAATTGTAGAAATATAAAGTGTCATTAATTGCACCCAACCTACTCTACAATCAAAACATGGCCCTCCCATGCCCACCTGTCCTGCCCTCCATTAATGCATCTTTATACCTTTAAATACTCCTGCACCTTTCAACCTTCTTCTCTCTCTCTCAAAAACCCATCTCTCAAAACCTTCAAAAGAAATGAAGACTTTCACTTTCTTATTTGTTTTAGCTCTTTTACTTGTTTCAGGATCATTATCTACTTCCACCCGACCCCAACCCCAACCCAATTCATCCAGAGGCAAACCTGCTACTGTCCCTAGAACCAGAGGTGGTGGAAATGATAATCCTGGAATGGGCGGATACTTTGGGCCCGGAGCCGGGTTTGGAATACCGGGATTTGGAAAAGGTTGGGGAAATGGGATTGTTGGTGGCGGGTATGGAGCTGGTTATGGAGGTCCAAATGGAGGGTACTCAAAAGGTGGTATTATAAGGCCTACTGTGGTGTGCAAGGAGAGAGGTCCTTGTTACAAGAAGAAGCTGACTTGTCCTGCAAAGTGTTTCACCTCCTATAGCCGGTCAGGGAAGGGATATGGAGCTGGCGGTGGTGGGGGTGGCTGCACCATCGACTGTAAGAAAAAGTGTACTGCTTATTGTTAGATGATTGATTGTGGTAACCGGTAGCCGGTAATAGTTTCTGCTATATTTTATACACCTATTACTAGTAGTAGTTCGAGTATGTGATCTGGTTTGATGATCATTTTGAGTATCATATGTTATATATAATTACTAGTATTAGTTCGAGTAGTGTGATTCGTGTTGATTGGAGTTCATTTTGAAGGTATCATTAATGTTATGAATAATCGGTATATATACGTAGTATATTTAATACAAGCGACAAAATCAAAAAGCATAAAAAACTCTTATGAGTTATTTGGTTTGCGATTGAGAAAGAAACATTTTTTTAAGGTCCTATGAATTCTAAGTTATCGGAATTGTTTTTTTTTTTTTTTTGAGGAAAGTAAATCAAAATTTGAACAAATAAGTTTGCGACAATGCATGACCAGCAATACAATGCTGGTATGCAGCAAGATCTCATCAGCTTAAGACAAAATTTTATTATCGCTTTCTTGAAATATAATATAATGGAGAATGAAATAGCAAAAATATGCTGTCCCTGGTCATAAGACAGATGAATTAAACACGGATAACTATGAGAGAAGCAACATGAGAAAAGTCGAACATTTATAGCTGGTGAGAGCTAGACAACTTAACCTGTGACTTATTCCATTGTTAAATTCAGAGTACAGTAGAAATCCATATACAAGCTATCAAGCTTACCAGCCTAACAAACGGTCGCCTCCGATAGAGCTACCTCATAGTCATAATGCGTAGCTGCACCGAAGAATTGTCTCTAGATATACATGGCGCTTGTCAAGCAGTAAGCCAGCTCCTGGTGATACTGAACAAACTCAAAGCAGCACCGCTAGGCTAAGACAACAGCAAGGGGGGCAGAAATTAATTTCCAATTAAAACCGGGAAGAATGGCATTTAAGGACTCTCAAGTAAACTTCAAATGAAGTGACCACCATAGGCTTAAAATGCAGGCATTTACAAACGAGCAATGAAATATCGAGCAGGTCCCGCTAACAAAAGCTACCAGGAAGAACTGGGAAATGTTTTGCTTCAACTCAAATACAGTATATAACGCCGCCTTAGGCAATCTTAGCGCGTCTACTTCCCAAATCTTAACTTGTCTGGCTGTAGGGCATACAGTATACAAATATCATAGAGAACCACACATAATTAGAGCTAAAGAGCCTATATTGGCTTTTTATCCATGCAAATATAGGATGCATCAATTCATTGGATCAGGCGATCATCTTATAGTCTCTCTCTTCTATTTTTTTTTTTTTTTTTGAGGAAAGTAATCAAAATTTGAACAAATAAGTTGGCAATCATACCAGCAATAATGCTGGTATGCAGCAGATCTCATCAGCTTAAGACAAATTTTATTATCCTTTGAAATATATATAATGAAATAGCAAAATATGCTGTCCCTGTCATAGCAAGAAATTAAAACGGATATATGAAAACATGAGAAGTCGAACATTTATATGGTAGCTAGACAACTTAATGTCTTCATTTAATTCAAGTACATAGAAATCCATATAACACAATCAGCTACAGCCTACACGTGCCTCCATAGAGCTATCATAGTCATAATGCGTGCTGCCACCCCAGATAACATGGCCTTGTCAAAGTAGCCACTCCTGTGTACTCAAACTAGCCCGCTAGGCAAGAACAAAAGGGGGCAGAAATTATTCCCAATAAAGGAAATGGCTAAGGCTCAATAACTCAAATGATACAAAAGTTAAACAGCATTTACAAACACAATGAAATTCGAGCAAGCAAACAAAACTACAGAGTAATGAAATTTGTTCAACAAATGCTAGTATAGCGCCTAGCAATCTCTCTCTATTCCCAAATTTACGTGGCTGAGGGCATATACAAAATCAAAACCACACATAAATAAGCTAAAGCTCCTCATATTGCCTTTATCCACAAACATATAGGATCATCATATTGCAGCCCTCACAGCTCCTCTAGCTGCCTCCCGCTTCATCTCGGCAGCTTTACCGCTGCCACGGAAATACATGTATACTTGCTGCACACATTAAGGCAAAGAGGTTTAAACAAAAAAGAAATATGCCCATTCGAGAAAAGTACGAGCTACTTGGTGCCTGCAGCAACAGTGCATAAAACATCATAATTTCAATAGAATGGTGGTAGAAGTGGACCTGAAGAACCCAGATGCTGAGTACCACTTCAAGGCAGAAGAATCCAAATCCAATGAAGTAGAAGATCTGCAGGCAAAGAAAAGGTTATGTTGATTTCAGTGTATATCTAAGTTGAGACCATGTGTCCTAGTAACAAAGCAAAATAAGTGAAAACAGGCAGAACATTGATCTATCGAGAAGTATATTATAATCAGCTGGAATCTAGTTGAGCTCAGACATCTCACCCCAACTAAGGCATGGTCACCAATAACATCTATTGCAGACAGGATGCCGCTGTTCCAAATAACCATCACAAGAAACAGACATCAGTCAGCAAAATCAGTGAAAACTTTTCAGAAAGCTTCTTTCATTACAGACAATGAACTTAAAAGCGGAAGATTAGTCTGAAAACACATCTTGCATAAAGAAACATTTGAAACACTTCTGGATACATACGTGAAAGATTTTCCTTTGAAAAATATTGGAGGGGCAACTGCTGCAACAATGCAGAAGGCAATATGAACCTGTAAACATAAAACAGTATAAAAAATTGGATATTCCTCAATTATTACAGATCGGCTGAAAGAAAGACAAGAGCTTACCATATAAAACATGAAAAACCATCCAAACTTCATAGCACTTTCAGTCCTGCAAGAAGGCATATGATTGCTTAATTCAAGAGCATAGCTGATCAGATATTGAACAGTACCTGGAATTTTCTATAGGCCTAGGCTTAAAACAGAACAGTTACAACTAAGAAACGAATGTACCAGACTATTTATTCCATTTTAAAAGGGTAAAAATCTAGATGCACTATACTTTCTGTCAATATTTACGTTAATCCATCATTATCTAAACCATATAGCAACCAGATCAGAATAATCTCACATGGTATCTAACCTTTATAACAATATCTTTTGGCTTCATCAACAGTCAAACAGTAAGTAAGCTTCATTGGAAGGTTAAATAAATAAATAAACAAGAGGAAAATCCATTTGCAGAAGGGTAGATAATTACCTAAATGCACGATAAAGTGGACGGTACCACAAAACATATGCTCCTGGAACTCCTGCTATGAAATAAATAATAGCAAGAAACCAGATTCTCACCCCTGCAATATGAGCATTTTGAGCACAATAATATCGGATTATATAACCTTTTAAGGCATCAAGTACATAGCAAGAAACTGTGTGGACAGGCCAAATGTGACAAATTTCTAAAATTTACCTTCTCCTTTAATCCACGCCGTTGTAATGGCTATAATGTTCCAGAAAAGACAAAGAACCAATCCTGCACAAGATATAAGCACCATTTGTCACTTGTCTCGTTCCACTTTTCAAGGCATCCATCAATTCACTTACTAAATAATGACAGCAAATACATAATCACAGGAAACAGACATCAAAAGAAATACTGAAAAGACACCTAATTCAAATAATTTGAATCAAAATTATCACCATTTCAATAAAAGGTGAGTAACAAGTAGACCAGAGAATCCAATCATGCCATTCAATTAAGCAACAAAGACATTTTTAGCAAACATGATCCAGGTCAATGTTATATGCACACTTAACCAATTTAACCGATGACTGTTTTTTCCTTTATGTGACTTTAAATGCCACCACAAATTCTACTGTTGGCATTGAAGTTGGACTGCCGTAGGGAAACTGCTATCAAGCCATAATTTTCGAAAAGCTTAAGACTTTTCACTTTTTTCCACCATTGATCACAAAAAGCAGCCAAAGAAAACACTTCTTTATCAAAAGAAAGTCAAAATTCAGTTTTGACAAAAGGAACTCGAATCTTTACCAGAAATAGAGCTGAAGTCTAGGCTTACAACAAAGATATAGCAGATTCAGGATCATAACCAGCCCATTTCATGCAAAAAAATTTACATCTCAAGGTTTCTCTTCCTGTGATCCTAATCATAACTGAGTAACCTCAAAATATGCTTTAGAACATAAACAATGCTAGATTCAACGCAAAACTCCTTTCTCTCAATCTCTCTCTCTCTCTCTCTCTCTCTCTCAATACAATTCCTTCTCTTTAAAAAAAATAATAAATTCCTATAAATACAAACCTATCTATCCATACTCAAATAGAATTCTTGTACTTCACAATAACTTACCTAAATAGGTCGTAAATGCAACATATTGGATTCTTTGTAGATGAATTGGTATTTCATTTGCAATGTCATGATGGATGATTGGGAAAAATGGTGGCCAATTTTTCTCCTCCAGGACAATTCCAGCTGCATAAGAGGAGAGAATTGGAAGTTAAATAGAGAATGACAATTGCCAATCTTGAAGAAATACAATCAATCAACAATGCTCTAAGACAGTCAAAATACAACTTAGCTGTCAAAGTTACACTCAAAATAGTGTGGGTGTGGGAGACCAACATTGCAGAATATAAAATCAAGGACTCAAAAATAATATCCAAACAAGGACCTATTTCTTCTTCTACTTTTTTTTTTCTTTAAGGATTCAAACACCAGAACCAGGCATTATGAATATGAAGTGAACATCAATGGCTGATAACGTAAGAAAATATTACCTCGTGCAGCTGCATCTTCACGCCGTTTTACATCCTGCATAGCACCCATACAAGGATCTTTTAGATTACGTGTAAAATTAAGACATTTAAAAATTTGTCTTTTTAACTTCAAGTTCAGCACTATAAAGTTACTAAAAGTTTTCTTTGGGAATCATAAAATGCAGCATGAAAACACAGCGTGAGAAGACTATAGTACTACATAAACTATGAAAAGAGACAAAAGCCTTTATACACTGCATTTCTGAACTGCACTTATGTTAGCAGTTCAGAATACCTTTTAAAAAGAGACAAAATCCTTTATACACAGCATTTCTCATAAATATTAAACGTCAGCCTTTTCTAAATCCAACTGGAGGTGGATAATAATCTCTTTCATTAGATGGAACTATCCTACATGAAACTTGAAATGTTGCATCAAAATGCATCCCATTCTTTTTCTACATCTGGATACATAAACTAATATTTCTGAAAAGGCACTAAAAGATCACCCAAGTACTTGAATTTATCAAGTGAAAATCTGCAACTTTAGCATACACTTTTCAAATAAGCCTTGTCTATGATCTATGAACAGAATGAAAAGATATAATGCAATAGATACGTCTATAGCCATGTAGCAACAGTTTTGAATTTCTTCATGTTTATGAACACATACCTGCTCTCGCCTTCTTAGTTCAGCCTCCTTAGCTTGGAGTTCCTTCTCTTTCTTCTTCAAATCCTAAATTTAAAACCAATTAAACTAGACGAAACTTTGAGAAAGTATACAAGTAGCAATTATGAATAAGGACTTTCAACAGCTAGAGAATTTTATCATACTGTAGTTGAATCAATTGGAATGTCAACTGTTGCACCATGATCATAACCAAAATCAGCAGGCTCAGGAGGGAGAGGTGAAAGCCTCGAGTTTGAAGCAGGAGGAGCACTCTGAAAATTACAATGATACGTGTAAGAGTTGTAGAGTTGAGTAATATAACTAGTTCATTTAAATGCTGGTTGGTGGAAGAAGTCCGGAACCAAAGTACCAACTAGCATTGATAGAATATTGGATGCATTATGTTATTTTTGATTAGGCTTACTGCAGTATAAAAAGCACCTCCACTGAACTTCTGTTGACCTTTTCCCCTTACAGCTGGATCCTAGTTACCAAAATTAGATTAAACATAAGCTACATAAATTTCTGGGAGCACAAAGAATTACAAACAGAATTATATAAAGCAGCAAAATTTTAAATAATCAAGTTGGTCTCATTCACCTAATTTAATACTGTCAGAAACACATGCAGGCCTGTGCTAAGCACAAAGTTCTGTTTGCAAAATCTAAACTAGTTACATCACATAGCTGGGCTATCTGTACCATCTCCTAAGCTAATTCACCCCATTTAAAGAAGAAGATTGCCAAACAGCCCATCTGTTCATCTAGAAAAAAAAAAAAAAATGCAGACTATGACTGCCCCATATAAAATGTAGACGGCTAAGACTGTGCAACTGCATCAATTGGAAAAGTGCATTGCACTCGTCATTTAAAGTATCTATATCATACCAAGGATTGAGAAAATAATACTTGATCACTATAATAATAGAATCCAAATTTTTGCCATTCCAACATGATTCAAGAGGATGGTAAAAAACAGTTCTTCCCGAATTTATTTTTTTGTACGTTTCAAAATATTGAAGCACTTCACAAATGTCTAGTAATCATACAGCTTTACAAAAATTACATTTGTTGCTTTTAAAAATCAATACATCAAATGTTGTCATTAAAAATTCATAGAGGATTATAGTTTTGAAAGTTATGCTTATGTCAACGGCCAATAAAATGGGAAGGAGAAAATAAAAGACTTGGATTCTCCACAAAACATTAAATTACTGAGCAGAGTGCTAATTTACAAACAAAATCTACACATCAAATAATCATCTGTAGCTTCCTAATTCAATCACACCTCAATATCATATATTACTAAACAAAACAAATAGCTCCGCATGCACGCACAGAGACAAGATTGGTACTGAAAAAACCAAAGCACCACAATCTAACCAAACTTCCAAATCGAGACGCTATATCAACTACAGAACTCCCCGAGACCCTAAAATTCATAAAATTCCCAAGTGTTTTAACATCCATTCTAAAGCCCATAACCCACACGACCAAAAGATCACTAATTGAACTTCAACTATTCGTCAAAAAAATGAAGTCAAACAATTTGAACAGCAAAAGGAAACAAAGACGGAGAGAGAAACTCACAGAGAAGGGATTAACTTCTTCTTCATCGAAAGGGTTTGGATCATAACGACCAGCCATGATAGAAACCACGCAAGGAGGCAAATAGAAAGTCGATAGCTTTAAACAGAGACAGAAAGAGAAAAAACAAAAGAATTGGAGAAGAAGCAACCTTTGAAGATAAAATTTAGGCAACTAAACACAAACGATAAGGAAATATAGACAGGAGAAATTCTAGAGAGAGGAAGTTTTGATATACAAGTCTACGGAGAGAGAGAGAGTTTGGACTGGTCTAACAATGTCAGCTTATTGCAATTTTGGATTATTTTAAAGAGATTGAGACGAAACGGCGGGACAGATGGCTCTTTAATATGCTCATGTGAATTGAAATTTTTTCTTTTTCTTTGAAAATATGATTATTTTGAGGGGTGAAAAAACATAAATTTGATGATTTTGATTTTGAATTTAAACAACTTTTGTTTTACACTTTTGGCTTCTTTTTCTCTAAATGTAATGAATTGATTCTTACCTCATCTTTTTATTAATTAAATGAATGAAAGAATTAAACTTTAAACATTTAATTTTCTAAATTGTAGCAAATGATTTAAAATTTTTAGGTCTCAAAAATAAATTTTGAGAAAAGGGTTTTATTTTTAAAATTCAAACTATACCAACTCATCGATGACAAGTCAAGTATCTGTAGATAAGTTATTTATATAAATATTTGGGTGAGTTAAAATATTTTTTAATATGTTATAAATTCTTTAAGATTATTATATAATTTAATAAGACAACTATTCAATCATTAGACTTACTAGTTTTGATTGTCTTGTATAAATTTTAGAAATTATTTAAAAAAAAAAGAACTTAATTATATTTTTTTACTTCGAGAGATTTTCTGTTATTATGTCAAATATATTACATGTGAAGGTCAATAATATTATATATTACTATTGGATTAGTTAACTCCTACGCTACGATGGCAAGTAAGCTAAACCCATTTCTTGTTTTAGAAAATCCAAACATAATATTTTATTGAGGTGATCAAGAGTACGGTTTGGATTGGAATCGGATCGAAAAAATATTAATTTTACGAATAAAAATAGGAAAAAGGACTACATTTTGATCACTTTCAAAGATTTTGGGATCGAAATTAGCTCAAAGCTATGAAATGGTTTATACAGAAATGGAGTATGTTATATATAATCATGACATTTTCAATGAAAAATGAAAACGTTGCGGTCAAATCACGAACGTAGATGTTGAGCAGGCAAGCCACCCTTTCAAATGTATTTTCCTTTCTAGAAGAAAATAAGCCATTTTCTAGACGCACGTCTGTCTTTGTCCATGCCAATTACCTAATTTCAGTTTTAGCATCAAACTCTAAAAACCCACAAATATTAACATGATTTAGAAAACTGTTTTGAAATCAATTTTAATTTTTCCCTACAAATTATTGGTTTTTAGTTTTCAGCCATCTCATTGCTATCACCATACATGGAATTTGGAAATAATCGCTAGTGTAAACCTGGCGTGATCTGGCGTGATCGCACCCACGGTCAACTTCCAACAAAGAAGAAAGAAAGAAAATCAAAAACTTAATTCTTTTCTGAAGATGGGTTTGACATTTTAAGGCCTACTTACTGTTCTGGTAAAAATTGAAGGCTCTTTTCCAAATTTTGTAAAAACATCCCTCCTAAAATGAAATCCACAAGTTCTCAAGGAGGAAAATTAGGCTACTACTACTACATACACTAAACAATATCTGAATCATACAAACAAAACTATTCTTGGTCAAATAATGAAATAATTACTAGCATCACATGAAGCCTACACAAATTAGAATAGATTACAAGTATGGATACTGTGTGTATACATGGATACTGTGTATACATCCGTATATGAATGTCGCTGAACTATCCGAACCAGTGTATTCCAGCTTTTTCATTTTAAGTTAGAATGAAAATTTAGTGATGGTTCCGTCTACGTTTCCTGTGTCTTTCACTCCCTTTAAAGGGATCAAACCAGTGCCTGTCCCCATTTACAGCTTTGTTCCACCGCTCCTTGAAGATTTGCAGTTCCCAAGTTGATTGTCTCCTAATCTGCTTGGTCCAATTTAAAGCCAAGTTCGTTCATCAAATTAGAGCATAGTTTAATAAAATAAATGCATGGCTCATTTCACAATATACCATGTAATTTCTAAATGAAGTAGTTCAATCACCTTGGAAGCTAATTTTCGTCTCGTTTTATAATAATCAAATATACAGTTAGAACATTTAATAACCAGGACCAGTCTCATAACATTTAATATAGAGAAATGCAGACATGATATGCAATCGTACTCAATTGAAAGCAATTAGACCAGGCAAGACGATAGAAAAAATTATAAAATGCTCATACTAGAAATGATGTTACACTAAAAGATCAGTAGTCTAACCTCCATTCGAGGATCTGTGACTGAGGCACCATGTCTCTGAATAAAAAAAGAAAAAGCACATGGGATAGAAAATCAGTGAGTTCAGAATTAACTGTAGGAGTTAAAAATTTCAAATATTTGTATGAACAAAAAAAGTAGCTACTACTTCTGGAGAGTTTACCTTAGTCAACTCCTCACTGTTTGAACCCTAGAAAAAGGAGAAGACAGAAAGCAATCAAGACAAACCATAAACTTTCAGTAGAAGAACAAGTACAGTTTTTTCAATCAAAACAAGAAAATTTGAACTGGATAACCTTTTTTGTAGGAGATCCACCCCCACCCAAAGTTTGTATACCCTGATGTACAATGTACTCACGGTCAACAATGCCCACCTTTTTTGTTCGATCTCCCTGCATTTTTCCAGAATATCATATTTATGGCTTTCTACATTAACAAGTACACACTGAGAGACAAACGAAATAGGTTCAACCAATTATTCTTTGAAAGTAAGAACCATGATGGAGATGCAAGGCTACACTATTTTACACATGCAATTAACTAAACTACATAAAGAGAAAGGGGAGTGGAGGCAGCAGCAGCAGGGAACTAAACTATGTAGCACGTCATACCTGTGCACAATATCCAAGTTTCATATCCATTCCCCATCCATGGACTAGATCATTCTAAACAAAAAGAAAAGTAGTTTAGATCAATGAATGAAACAAGAATAAAAAAAGAAAATGATCACACAACATGCTATGGTCATAATATTAACAAGGTGAACAAATATCTTGATATAATGTTATAACATTTGCTTTCCGAATATGTAAATACAAGTAGGTAACCTACACATATATAAAGTTTTTGCTTTACTTAGGAATTGTTGAAAGTTCACCTAAGTTACAGAACCACTGTTACCTGTATAAGATGCCAAGCACAATACCAAGCAGATCTTGAAAATACCGGAGCCATACCTTCCACAAATCTGTAGAAGCGTTAAATACAAAACAAATTAGCATTTGCCTTGAACCCATTGAAGAACAATACAGAGTATCCTTCAACGAGGACAGAAGATAGTGTTGAAGCCCTTGAATCAAGGGCCTGATAGAGTTGAACTCAAGATATAACATGTTTAACTGTGTAATGGCATTCCAATATATGATCTAACTCAACAAAATTTTTCACGCAACAAATTAGTCAACAATAGTTGATTTTTTCTTCTACTGATGTTGCTTGGCAGTTTGACAGCAATGGAAAGGAAAAGGAGGTGGTAAAACTTTAGCCAAGACTGCCTAACAAAAATTTTTAAGTCTTTGCAGAAAAAGGACCAGAGTTATCACCCAGCACCCATTCGAATAGCTATATACATTTCAAAAGCTTACCCAGTGCATGGGGGCCCCTGACTGACATCAGAACACTTGGTACTGCCTCGGTGGTCATAGACTCTTCTGCAAAAAGATGTTCATGTGAGTATTACAAGTATTAAAGTGTGATTTTGACAAACAGTTTCCAAAAACCAACCAAGCACTTACGTATGGTATTCCTTTGATCTGGACCGTATAGTAATTCTATGATGTATGCCAGTCGAATTTGGGCCCAGTGCTGGCTGTGATATCTCGAGTCCTCTTGATTTTACAATCTCCAAGTATCTAGGAAAAAAAAAAAAAAAAAAAAAAAAAAGAGGAAAGGAGAAGTGGAGGGTCAAGCAGCAGCAGGGAACTAAAAGCTCTGTAGTTCTGACTCACGTCGATACGCTTGTTGCTAAAATAGTCCAAGTTTCATATCCTCATGTCCACCATCCATAGGGATCTCAGAATCATCCTCTATATAACAGAGAAAAGAATAAGGTTAGTTTAGATCAATGAATGAAGGGACAGGAATAAGCGATAAAAAAAGAAAATGATCACACAACATGCTATAGTAAGTCATAATTTAATTGAGACAAGGGTAGATACAAATTTACCTCTTGATTTATAGCATGTGATAGTATAACAATTTTGCGCTGTGTCGCGCACTAATGGGTACAATAACAAAGTACGGAGAAGTAAGTCCTATCCACATATGAGCGGTAAGGGAAATACGCGTTTTGTTGCTTACATTAGTGTGAATTGGTGTGGAAAGAGTTGTCACGAGCTAGTTACAGAACTACTTGTTAAGCCTGTATACTAGACTGCCGACTAAAACGCAATTTACGATAGAGAGGAGCCATACTTCCACATATAGATAGAGAGTTAAATACAGAAACAATAGATTGATATATATAGAGGTGTATATATATAGAGATATTGAGAGAATATCAAGGTATGCCCTCAACGAGGAACAGAAAGATAGTGTTGAAGCATATATAGATGAGACCTGATAGAGTTTGAACTCAAGATATAGACATGTTTAACCTGTGTGAATGGCATTCCAAATATATGATCTACTCAACAAAGCTTATTTCACGCAACAAATGTAGTAAGACAATAGTTGAAATAGTTTTCTTCTACTAGAGATAGGGTATCTAGAGATAGCATGTTTGGATCAGCAATTGGAAGGAAAAGCGAGGGTCGGTAAATCGTTTATGCCAGAGACTGCCTAACAAAGAAATTTTTAAGAATAGAGCGAAAGTTCTTTGCAGAAGAGAAGAGGACCAGAGTATTATACACCAAGCAACCCCAAGTTCGATAGCTATATTATGCCCGCTCTTTCAAAGCTTTTACCCAGTTGCATGAGGGGGCGGGCTCCCCATGACTATTGACCATGCAGAACACTATAGAGATATAACATGGGCCTCGGTGCCGGATATGGCTCTTCTGCAAGTGTTTATACGTGAGTAATATAGATACATAAGTGTGTATAGTATCTGAGTTAAAAAACAGATATTTGTATATCCTTATATTTGATGCTGGATCGACGTATAAGTAAATATATTAAATGATGTATGACCAGGTTCGCGAAGTTTGGGCCCAGTGCTGGCTTGTGATAATTCGAGTACATATTTTTACACATCTCCAGTATCGTATGGAAAAGAAAAAAAAAAAGAAGCATAAATATAATCAAGTTGTTTTCCTAGCAGGAGCCTGGGCCTTGTAAATAAAACTAAAAGAAAAAAAAAAAAAAAAAAAAAAAAAACCATCAATTAATCAAATTGTTTTCCTAACAGAGCATGGGCCTTGTAAAATAAAACTAGAGATCAAGTAAATGGATAAACTATCTCATAATCTCATTGCAAATTTCGCTAGAATTGAATTCCTCAACATGATTCCAAACAAATTTGCTTTGGCTAGAGAAAGTGCAATAAAACATATAACAAGGTTGTGAATCCTGGTTCTGCATAAGTTTAGCCAGCCGGAGAAATTGCAGCATATGACGCCTTTTATGATATAACAAATGACAAAAATAAAAATATTGAAGATGTCTACAGAGAGGAAAATTAAATTATTTCCAACAAAACAAGTCTTCTGGATAAACAAGTGATTTAACATAAAAGATCACTTGCACCATCGTCATCAACAAACTAGGTACATAACGTCATATGATCTAAAATAAAAGGCCAAAGACACGAGCATATGCAGAGAAGAAAGTTCAACAAGTAAATCAATTTACCTTCTCGGATCAAATTTCTCTACTCCTAAATCTTCATCCCACAGAAATACGTAATCATAGATAGACACAACAGCTGGATGCAGAAAGCGCTTTGCAAACCACCTAAAGGGGGGAAAAAGAGCACAGCAAAATTTAAAATCAAAACTGGAGATGGCATACTAGATTGGAAAAACTTAAAATAAATGGACCCAAGAATAAATAAGTTTGAGAAATTGTGAAAGTTGGACTCATCACTCATCAAGACACGAAGACAATTGTTAGTTTGATAGGTTGAATTATGGATGCAATAAAATTAGCAGAACCATTCATCCATCAAAAAATAGAATTTTCTTTTTTTTTTAAAAAAAAAAAAAAAAAAAAAAGATTGAATTTTCATATTTTTTTTTTGTTAAAAAAAGAAAAAAATAAAAAAGTCTCTGAACGTGACCTTTTAGATCAATTTATAGAGCCTGAATCTGCAATACTGTTACATCATACTTCTAAGCCTTTGAGGTTTTCTCAGGTGGTCCATTTTTTTTTTTAAAAAAAAAAAAAAAAAAGTCTCTGACACCTTTTAGATAATCTGAAATCTGCAAATACTGTTACCATCAAACTCTAAGCCTTTGAGTTTTTCTCAGGTGGTCTAAAGCATAAGCAAATAAAAATTAACAGCTCAGACAAAACCTTGAAGAATTCACGGTTAAATAACCTAACAGCTAGGTCCTGTAACCAAGGGATAATTAGGTTACCCCCTGAAATCTTATCTTTGGCAAAAGTACAAGTTGCTTTTAAATTAACAATAAAACAATGATATCAACTATCCATTTAACTTGCAACAGAATATAAGGTTAAAGAAAAACAAATGTCAAGGTCAAGTTCACCATTTTGTTTGGTTCTGAGCAACTATGTGTATAGCCTTGTCACTCCAATTAAGATCCCACCATCCATCCATATTGCCATCATAATGGAATAGAATAACTGTAAAATTCTCTGGAAGAAACTGAATTCAATGAAATTAGGCAAAAATGTTTTGCTCATGAACTAAGAAAACTTACATAAGACACAATGGGATACCTTTTGGACCATAGCATCAACATTATGTTTTTGCCTAATACCAACTGGAACAGCCAGTAAGTAACGACTGCTACGAGTATCAACCTGATTCAATTGTCACCAGAAATTAAAATAGAACATGATTAATCTAAAAAAAAAGAGGACCGACAGACAAATATATTTTTCAAACTATTGAATTGTTGTTCCATCAATTTTGCAAAGACTTCAACATGACCAAAAAAAAAAAAAAAAAAGCAAAGACTTTCAACATGACCAACAAAAAAAAAAAAAAATTAAAACATATGCTATGTGGAGAGAATCATTTAAAACGATATCAGGCAATATAACCAGAGGGATCCAAAACCTTTCGATTCATTGGAATATACTTGAAATAGACCAAGAGGCTTTAACTCCAATCCGAAGTACTCGTGACAATAGCCAGCAGGTCAAAACCAGCCAATTAAAAAAAAAAAAAAAAAATTAACATATGTAGGGAGAAATCTTTAAAACGATATCAGAATATACAAGGATCCAAAACCTTCGATCTTGAATTACTTGATGACCATAGAGGCTTTAACTCCAAATCCGAAGTAGCTCGTACAATACCAGCAGGCAAACCAGCCAATAATCCAGTAGCCAAAGCTGATTCCTAATTTAGAGTATCAAGAACACCTCATGGTTACAACAAACAGAAGAAAAAATATCAAATAAAGTCAAGTCAAACAGAAGAAAAAATATCAAATAAAGTCAAGTATGGGAATGAACGACTTTAATTCTAAAATTCATACATTAAACATTCGATGCAACAGATATTAAGAGGTGAGGTTGTAACTATTCTTATTTGATTGTTAAGTAAGAAGAACATAGGCTATAGCTTCCTGTGTGTTTTAACTCTCATGAGTTTGACAAACAGGAAACATCCAAACAAGAAATAAAAAATTTAGCAATTTAAATGTGAGTTCCAAAATTACCGTTAATGTGTCAAATGGGTGCATTTTTTCTTCCATCTGATAACACAATGAAAATAGAAAAACATCAGAAGAAGAGAGCAACGAAAAGAAGCTAAATCTCTTTTTATAAACAAGAAATAACATATCAAATGGAAAGACTACCAGAATGTAGTGCTCTGAGCCCTAAAATCAAACCAATGAGCATAGATGTTGCACTGAACTATAAACTAAATAATTACTCTAAGCTTATAGATACTCCAAGATGAAGATTTTGAATCATATTTAAACTGATATAAATAATTATAATATACAACTAATTTATTTAATTGAGAATTACTGAAATCAACTAATCAAATACCATCACTACTTTTGCTATTCGAATTTATATGTAAAAGAGCATTGATAATAACATTTGGGAGCAGAGACTTTCTAAAATTCTCCTATTAACCACCACAGGACAATAAACAGAATATTTTGTATGGGATTTTTCTGTCTCAAATCAAAATATCTAAAGGGTAAGATGGGATTGATGTACCTTTGTATGTTGATATTGATAAATTGTAGTTCTATACACAATGAACAACATCACTGTACATAAAACTCCCATAAACGGGAGCTGCTTCATTTTTAATCCACATTTCCCCTGCATCAGGATTATATTGTCAGATAATTATCAAAGACATTAGGCAAGATAGAATTTACATAAACTTCATCTTTTTAGCTGCAGTCTTACAATCATACAGAAGTAACAAAACAATAGACCATACCCCATCAAAGAAGGCATTCCTTTTCACAGACGATCTGAGTGACGTCATAGACACCCAGGGATTCTACAACCTTTTCATAACAAAACTGCACATAGGAATTGACGAGTTATTTTAGGTCCAAGTAGCACTATTTCCTTAAGACAAAAAATTACAAATAAAACAGACCAGTTTGCACAATTTTTAAACGAACAATAAATTTTTCTGCAGTATTCCATCCATCCTATAGTTCACCAGTTAATCATGATTAGCAAACACAACTATTCACTCTCCCATACTGAATAGAAACTTTGCCCAACTTTGAAATAGTAATTTACATTCTCTTTCTTGTTCGTCCAAAAAAAAAAAAAAAAAAAAAACTGTTTGTTAAAATGACTATTACATTCCTCATTAACTCTGGAATAGAAACTCTCTAGCCCAACTTTTTGAAATAGTAATTTTAACATCTCTTTCCTGTTCGTTCACGAAGATCGACGGCACGTCACAAACTTGACACGACCGACAAAAAAAAAAAAAAAAAGAAAAAATGAAACAAAAAAAAAAAAAAAAAAAAGAAAAAGAAACCGAGGGTTAAACCTTATTTCCAATTACAATCCTCAGCTTTCACAGCAAACTCAATTTTGGTGATTACTAACAGAGAAGAAAAAAATTTGAACTCTCTGAAGAGGGGGAAAAAAACGAAGAAGAAAAGAAAAGATCTTTAAGCGAAAGCGCATGCAAGCCGGAAGCTTGGTGCAATATGCCCTAGATACAAGGCTTAAACAGATTGTACAGATTTTTAATGCAAAGCCAGAAGATACAGCAAAAAACAGCTCAAATGAACACCGAGTTGCCAAAACTAAAAAAAAAAAGACCAAAGCTTAAAAAATAAGCTCTGAAAACGAAATCTTCCCAGAACAATATAAATAAATAGCTCAGGTGCTGTGAAAAAGAAAAAACATTCCTTTTAAAATACCCAACAATTTCCTTAAAATGAGACGAAAACTTGATCCCTTTTAAAAATATTATTTTTTTTGTAATATAAAAAAATGAAAGGAATCGACTTTCTTCAAGTTCGCGAATGAATGAAGAGAAAAACACAAAATGAAAATTTAAACTTCGGCAGTAGATCTAAAATCCGGAAACCGCTATTGCTCTCTGGATGTCGTAAGTGAATATTTATATTTTCAAGCATGTAAATGTAATAATAAACAAATGAAGCCTCTTCATGGAGTTAACAAAAGCATTCTCAAATTGAAAATAAACAAGCAAAAGAATTTGAGAACAGGACTACAGGCACGACAAATGGATCTTCCCCAGTTAACCAATCTAGCACGGCAAAATCAACTATTATTTTTGGCTTCACAAAAAAAAAAAAAAAAAAAAAAAAAAAAAAAAAAAAAGATACTATACAGGTCTTAAGACGGCTAAATGGTCTTTAGCCGAACCCCAGTTAACAATCTCAGGCCACGGCAAATCAACGCTATGTATCTTGGGGCACAAAAAAAAAAAAAAGACATAAAGAAAAAAAAAAAAAAAAAAAAAAAAAAAAAAAAAAAAAAACAAACCTTTAAAATCGGTCTATAGTAAAGCCAAACAGCGTTAGCTGGAGACCGACCAGCTAGCTCGCCGAAACGAAGTAATGCCCGGTCCGATTCGGAGGCCACCAACGATAGATTACCAGAATCTATGAAAGGTGAACAAAAAGATGCAGACACAGAAACAAACAGAGAGATTTTGCGCGAGAGAGAGACCGAGAGACACAGTCGAAAGACGAAAGTGTAGGAGGCGCCACGTTCTGAGGGGAGATGTAGGACACCCAAGCCAAGAGTTTTTAAATTTAAAAAAAAAATTAAAAATATTAGTACTATATTTTCACATTTTAATTTTAGATTTCTTACTTTAATTAATCGGATTGGTTTTTAATTATTTATAGGTGAGGTGGATGAGTTACAGTTGAAGAGACAGAGATTTGCTTGCTCTGTTAACTCTCGGCCCTCCCTATATTTTTCCCATCGTTTGTATCGCCGATCCTAATGTTTCTTAATTTATACGACAACATAAATAAATTTATTTTATTTCAGTTAATATATATAAAACAGTTAAAATCAAATAAAAATAAATATTTTAAAAATTAATTACTAATTGAAAGATAATTTTTTATTTTATAAATAATTTTGAAAGGAACAACTAAAATTGAAAAAAAAAAAAACAATATAAAAGCGAGGATCAAAATTCAAAAGCCAAAGCAGCAGCGTTAGCTTTTGCAGGAGAACCAGCATTAAACTAGAAAATGAGGCCAATTTATTTATTTATTTATATTTTCCAGATAAAATATTATCGTACATTACAATGGCACGTGTAATGTAATCATGATCAGTAAATCACTTTCACTATTTATTATTGATTTCGGGGCTATCGTTCGAGGACTTTAAAAAATTTTAATACTGCGTTTGAATGAGTATATAAAATATAAATGGTGGGTGAAAATTTTTTGAAATTTTTAAAATTTTATTTAATTTGGGTGAAAATAGCTTATATTATTTTTAAAAAATTATATTAAAGATTAATTCAAATAGTTCATATTAATAATTTCTTTATAAAATTCTTTTAGAAATATGAAATATGATTATTGGGGTATTATTATAATCATAGTATGCATTAAGATAAGTTAATCAATCCGGAGTTGTTAGAGTTAGTTGTGAGCTTGACAAATGATTTTTTATTAATTTTATTTTTGGCTGATAAATGAATTAGTACCAAAAATAAAAAAGAAAAAGAAAAAGAAAAAGACTAATTAAATAAAAGTGCATATTGGGTCAGCGGAAGACCGGGGTCCCTGTCCTATACGTGCCTTGCATGCAAGACTGTTCGGGATTTGGTATAGTTGTTCAAAATTTTCTTTTTTTTTTTTTTTTTTTTTTTTTAATTTTTTTTTTTTTTTTCTAAACTTTTTTGGCAACGTAGTTGTTTTATTGCTATTATTGGTAATTGGGGTTTAAAATTTTAATTATGTTCATTAATAAAATGATTATCAACATGCTCAAAATTGACAGTACCAACAAGCTTGAAAGGTTTCATACTTTGAAATTATAAATAAAAATAAAAATAACATCAATAAATTAATAATCTGGAATTACCTCCATTCCATTAATTTTGATTTTTCAAAATAAAAAAAAAACAAGATTGAATAAATAAAAGCAATTATTATTTATAATTAAGAGAAATAAAGTTTAATGGGGACATGGAATAAAATAATTTCCTTAAATTTTTAAAAACATTATTAAAATAAAAAAAGGACAAAAATTAATTGAAGGGAAGTACAAAATTTAGGGCTAAGCATTGACTCATAGGTTTGTCAGCATTGGCGAAATGGGTGATTAAAAAGAAAAGGCTTACCAATCATTTAAGGGACCCAAGCAAATATTATTGGTATTTTTTTTTTTTTTTTTGAATTAATTGGATGGGAGTAAACGTGTCATTCAATATTCAGTTTAGTTCCAAATATCAAATCCAATATTAGGGAAATACTAGTTCGATATGGAAATATTGATAAAGACAAATTACTTCATATAACACCAAAATAAAAAGATGCCTTCTTTTACCAATTCCACGCGTAAAAAGATAGTCGATTCATAAACAAGAATACAAGCCTATTCTTGATAAGGATATCACAAAATAGTGACATATTCTGAAGCCTTTCTGGAAAAGTGTTTGCGTTTCGTAAGGTCTAAATCAAAAATGAAATTTTTGTTTCCAAGGAAAGGTTATTTGGGTGTTAGAAGTGTAGTAATTATATGGGTATTGTTCGAAAAGACAATGTAACCGAAAACTCATGATTTAAAAAATGAATATTGTAGATTTTTTACCGTAACAAGTTTCCTTTTATGTCGTCGTTGGCCGACCAGGATTAGGAACCAGATATCATATTCTGTAACTTAATTAATGCTTAATACCTTTACTCTTTCCCAAAACAAGTAGGCTCCACTAATAAGCCAAGTTGATCCCGTAATTTAATTTATTATGTTTTATTTTTATTTTAGGGGCCCAATGGGCCGACTGGAGGAACAAAATGACAGCCTAATATGATATAGATCCAGTTAACAACCTCGAAACTGGGCCAAGCGACAACACAATTGACGCAATTGAACCCATTGCATCAAATCAACATAAGTACTGACAATACTGCTCCTTTTTTCTCTTTCAAAGTCAAAAGATCTGCTTCTGACTTCATTTTTGTTCTATTGACTCCAAAAAGTTTGAAAAAAATGGATAGACATGACAAAAGTAAAATAAGGTGAAATGTTGTTTCTCTCTAATTGTTGTGTTTTGAGTGTTACAATTATATCATACAGCAGTTGGTTTCATTAGAAACGGACAATTTTTACATTTAAACATCCTAGAATACATATGCTAAATTGAGAACCTAGGACTAAAACTGAGTTTCAAAACTTTAACAGAAGAACAAAAACAATGTACAGCAGTCGTCACCTGGCCCGAGTTCTCTTTCTTCCTCTTGGTGGATTTTCAGGTTGTTGAGTACCATTTCCATGGCCAGCTTTTCTAGGCCGGCCAGATCCTTTCTTTTTCACGGTTAAGGACTCTGCTGAAGGAGGAGAATGAACATTACTTGGTTTTTTAGCAATATTTGGAGTTTTTGCAGCATCATTTCCATCTTTTGGAACCTTTCCTGATAATTTGCGATTAACAGGCCGGGCACTTCGCGGTTTCACAGGAGGATGAAGCATTTGTGGTGTGGACGAAAGAAGGGTAATAGTAGTCTTGCTGATATAGTCCTTTAAATGCTGCTGCAAACTTTTCGTGACAATCTCTCTGAGTAGTAATGCAGATTTATATTCACGAGTAGTTCTGGAATAAAAGACTAGGGCATTGTTAGCAAGTAGCAACAGATCTCTGAAGACTTCTTTAACTGAGGTAATAGTGCAACTGGCAATTCTTGATCTTAATGTATCAAAATCCATATGCTGCAATATCATTTTCTTGTATCTTCCTCTCTTCTGTTACAGAAAATTAATAACCAGAAAAGTCAGTTGCTTCCATATATTAGTATATGCTTCTTTCTTTACAGTAGAATTTCATTCCAAGACATAATGCAATAGGAGCAAGCAAAAGAGCACATGCATTATTTCATTCCAAGACATAATGCAATAGGAACAATACCTGGCTATCAAGCCTTCGACGAAAGACAGTAGCACATTTATTCTCAGCAATAGAATCAAAAATTCCCATGAGATCAGTGATCCCATCCTTAATTGAACCTTTATTTTTATCTTCAGTGCCAAAACATCTGCCAGTTTGACCAGAACTGCTTGTTGAATTCTCTTTATTTCGTGTAGCAGATAAAACATCAGTTGATCCCCAAAAATCGCTTTCTCCAACACTCCCTTCTTTCACATCCTTACTGAGGTCTTTCCTCTTTCTCTTCCCTCTCCGTCTCCTGATACTCCCTCCCTGCACCATAGAAATGTTCCCTGCTAGATTTCCAAAGCTTGACATTTGCGCTTGCTTAAGAGAAACTGAAACTTCAGGCTTAGCCTCAGTATCTTCAACTGACACAGAAGCCGGAACCTGACATACAGGTGACCAACTTGTGCTGGTTTCCTGAGTGAAACTCCCAGCCGATAGTCCATCTTTTGATGTCTCTTTAATGGGAGATCCAACTCTATCAGATTTCTGAAATGGCACAAGTGATTCAGTCTGACTGGAACCATAACCAACATTGCTGTCATTTCTTCTCTCAGCCTTGAGAACCTCAAGCTTCGATTCCAAAGATCTGAAATAGACAAAATGAACAAACTATAAGGACAATGGACAATGGTGTCTTAAATGGTATTAAATTAGTATAATTAGCTTATTAAAGACACTTGAGAATTCGATGCAGTTATATCTTAGAACCTGCGAGAGAAAAGCGAAAAGATTTCAAGAGGACCATACTTTTTAACTCTAGTAATAGATACTGTATGTATTTTGATCGTAACATGGCATTCTGAGATCAGAAAACTAGAGATTGGACAGGGACAACTTACTAACCCAATTGAGTCTTCAGAAATTTCTAAAGCTTGCCTTAACTCTGCCATTCGCTGCTTCCGTAGCTCTTCAAACAAAGCTCTGATGAATATATAACATGGAGTAATTAATGAGCCATTTGATTTAGAAATTTAGACATTTAACAAATGCTAGGAGTATATGTCAATTTTGCTTCAAACCATTTAAATAACAAATGGTAAAGCATAGACCCCAGTAAAGCAATAAGTTCAGCAATTAAACTATTACAAGAAAGGCCGACTTACGTGGATCCAGAAAAACGCTGCTGCAAGTCATCATATTTGGCTTTGCATACCTGTAATTGGAATGCTGTTCAAATACATTGAGTGTGCCAACATAAATAAATATACGCAAATGGCATTGCATTAGATAGTAGTCGATCACCATTGGAGCTCACATGCTAATCACAGAATAGTCTCCAACAAGTGCCAGCATTGAATTAAGCATGCGCAAATCAATTGTTAAGGCAAGATAGAAAATTTTCGGCCATATCTCAATATATTCAACATTTCAAACATAGGGCTATTTCCAAAACAGTTACCACATACACTTATGAATTATGATCATTACTTTGAGGAATAAGGTTCAATTTTAACTTCTTTGCCGTATCAGACCAAACAAGAAGGGTCTGAAAACAACCTCTTCGCAAAAGTGGGATGAATTCTTGAAATGGGTCACCCTTTATATACACATATATATATATATATAGAGAGAGAGAGAGAGACAGAGAAAGACAGAGAGAGAGTCAGTGTCTATATTGACATGCGATGGTGAATGTCAGGTGAGGATGAATTACAACATTTCTAACTTAGCTTGCAAGTAGTCATGCTGATAATAGACCAACAAAGTCAAAGTCAAAGTCAAGACATAGTTGCCACCAATGTGACTAAGTCCTAACCGGCAACTATTATTCACGTCGCTATCTTGTTTGTTTCCAAGTTCCATCCAAACAGAACTCAACCGACTATGTTTTTGCTTTTGGCCATAAATAATTATTTAATCCTCCAGCAGAAAAATGTTCTATATATTTGTAGTTTATCAGTGGGGGGAAAACTAAATTTTCTTTCCAAATGTGTCCTCCAATAATGGAGGGTAATTTGGACATTTTGTCTGCCCACTTGCAATAAAAATACAAACCAAGGGTAAAACAATTGAAAAAAATAAAAAGCAGAAAAGGAAAAGGAAAACCACACATCCAATCAACGTGCAATTTTCATACCATAAATAATACTCTGTAACTAAAAAACACCAAAATATCCATAATTAATTATTAATACACGAAATTAACCAAAAAAATCATGTGATCAAATTTTTAATTAAAATAAAATAAATAACCTCGGGTGTAAAAGTGTACGGACAAATGGTTCGGGCCCGAAGCTCGGCGGCGATCAAATCCCAGTCTCGGGTACCGTGTCGGAGTACGGCCCCACCCAACAACAATTCCTCCCATGTGCCCCACCTCTCTATCACCACCTCCGTACCCATAACACCGTCCACGTGTACGCCCTCGATCAGTCTTCCACCACGAGTACCACCTTGTTCTATTTCTAATCCTACGCACCCGTCGCTCACTTTAGCCAGCGCCGCCCCAAAATTTCAGACGAGGAGAAATAAGGAAAGGCAAAAAAAAAAAAAAAAAAAAATTTAGCCAGCGCCCGCCCCAAAATTTCAGACGAGGAGAAATAGAAAGGCACAAAAAAAAAAAAAAAAAAAAAAAACGAGAGAGAGGTCTGCACAAACGGAATTGAATAATATACAAGAAGGAATTGAACGACCAAACCCAACTGGACCGTACTAATCAGAGAGACAAAAAACCGCCTTTTCTTGGATATGGGGAGAGAGAAAAAGGTGGTTTTCATGGGAAAGACGAGGTGGTTTTCTTTTTTTTTTTTTTTTTTTTTTTTTTTTTTTGTTTTATTATGTTTACAGGTTTTTGTGTTTTTGCAGGGTTTTTTTTTTTTTTTTTTTTTTTTTTTTTTTTTTTTTTGTTTATATGTTTACAGGTTTTGTGTTTTTGCAGGGTACGATTTACAAATTCACAGAAGTAGTAATAAAATTGCGTGAGACAAGGGGTTGACAGTTTCGTTTTCGTGTACAGAGAAAGACATTAAAAAGAAAGAATATAAGAGACTGAAACGATGGGAGAGATGTATTAGCGTTAGTCTCTTCGCAGAAAGATCAAAGAAAGAAAGGTGAGAATGTGTGTCAAATGAGAAAAATATTGGCTCTTCAAGCAAATTTTTAGAATTTGTTCTTTTTAGTCGAAAAAAAAAATTAAATTTATTCGGATTCTCTTGCTCAATCTCAACATACTGGCTGACCTTTATCTTCGCTTGTGTATTCACTTTTTTCGGTCAAATTACGTTTGTGTCCCTCACTCGTCATCTCATTCTCTATTTTTATTGTTTTTTTCATCTTTATAGATTTGATATTAATAGTAAAAAAAAAAAAAAATACTAAAAGATATTTTGGTCCTATCCAGTCCCATTTAATCAGGCTTACATTTGGAATAAAAAAATCAAAATAATATAAATTTAAAAGCTAATATCTAATTTTGTTAACGTTCCTTAGAAGATAAGTAAATTTAGTTGTTTTTGTTTTCTTTTACAGTTTGTTTCATGTTTAATTTTATAAAAAGAATCTCATTATCCGTTGACTTATGATATTATTGAAATTTAAATAATGAATTTTTTTTCTAATTATTTTAAATATTAAATCTAAAAGGTGAGTTACATTGTAAATGTTGTAAAAATATTATTTTATGATATTTTGTCCTTTAAACACATTTTATCAAGGAAAAATAAATTTGACGTTGTTGTGGGAGGAGGATGTAAATGTCATTGAAGAAAAAGATAGAATACCAGAATTCAGAAGTTCGGTTTGTTGTGCTTAGCTTTATAAATTTACAATTCTTTAACAACACATCACTAATTTTTTTTTTATTATTATAAACTACGGGTGTCCGCACCCTTATTACGAGTCCCACAACCGCCTAATCTGACTTCAGAATTTAGTTATAATTAATGTTTTTTGGCTCTCTATATAAATATATTTAGTAGCGGAGAATTATTTTTATAAGTTATTTAATTAGAAATTTAGTTATAATTAATGTTTTTCGTTTCTTCACACAGGTGTATTTAGTGTCCAAAAATTATTTTCATATGTTATTTAGTCTCGTTGTCAACAGAGACACGATATGTAGATAACACATAATTATTTTAACATCACATGATTTGGCTAATAATTGATTAGTGTTTATTTTCCCGTAAACGTACAGCTACCACAATGTGATTAATGAGCTCAAAGCCATTATTAACTCATCATTTATAGTATTATTTTTGTTTGGCAAGAGTAACCGTTGTAGCAACAAAGACGTGTCGCAGAAATTTCCACTGGATTACCACATATAATTGACATTTAAATTTTAACTATGCTTGTTTAACTCGCAGTCAATATTTGAATGCTTTAATAAAACGGAAGCACAGCTTAAAAATTATACTCCAGTTCCGGTAAATTTAACAATTAATTGATTTTTTATAAGAATTAAGAAAATATATCACTTTAATTCTAAAAAAATAAAAATAATTGATTAAATTTCAGTTTAATTAATATTTATTTAATTGAAACAAAATTTACTATAACGGAATCTAGGTAAAAGAATGGCATGGCAGGGAGAAAAAGTTGATTTCCAAGGTTTATCAAGAGAAGAAAAGGTTAAATTAGAAAAAAAAATAAAAATAAAAATAAAAATAAAAGGAAGAAAAGTTGATGCATGATTGGGTTATCAGAAAGACCAGATCGGTTGGTCCAGCAAAGGCAAAGCGACGTGGATGTGGAATTGGAAAAAGGTAACCTTTATTATGAACAAACAAGGAATAATTAAGTGGAGAGAAAAGAGTGGGTTTGGGTTGCCACATGTGTTTTTGTATGCCACATGTATGCCCTGCATGCACTGACCCCACTATAGCTGGGCCAATTGTTCCCTTCCGTGCCTGCCTTTCGTTACATGTTTAGTGGCAACCATATGACATATTTTCTTGTAATTGCCCTATTATTATGTTTGTGGACCACTGATACCCCTTTTGTGTGATGGATTGTGACCTAATTGAAACATAATTTCTGATCCCCAATTCAAAACTCAGATTTACCGTAAAGCCAAAATTTCCTATTTAGCAGAAAATGGACTGTATTTCTAAACAAATTTAACTCATAAGATTAATTATTCAAAACAGATTTTGTTGTTGAAAAGACTTTATATGAATATCATCTCGATCCAGCATAGAAAAATGTCTATGAAAGCTAATAAAACACAAAAACAAAAATATCTCCACATGAAATTCTCTGCCTTGCATGGGCATGGGTGAGGGAAGATGTTGTGTGCTAGCAACCAAAACAACGAATTTGGAGATCAACGTTTGAAGAAATCTATGAATTTCATTGAATATGACGAGTGTAGTATACAGAACAATTGTACATAATTACATTCATTTCAATGTTTACAAAAAAATACAGACGACGCCACCTACAATCCACAACTTACAGTGAAAATCTTTCGAGGTACTGCCGGAAGGACTATAGTGTGAACCATGGCTGCCTTCCCTTATCATGCGGCAAGAGTGGCGCGTAAAATGTACTGCTCTAAGTTATGCTTCGTACAACTACCACGGTAATAGGACTCTTGCAAAATATGGAACCTCTTGCAAAATATGGAACAGCAAAAAATATGCAGCTGCCAGACAAAATTGTGAGATGCAAAAATCACATGTGCAAGTAGCATCGCGTTGCATTTCTTTCTGTTGAGCACTCTCACACTCGCAGCAGAAACTGGCTTTAGCCTTTAGATGGCAGTGTGTTGTGCCTTTGTGGAATTCCCTGAAGACTATATTTGGATCAGGGCAATTTCGCAATATCAGTTAGGATTGTTGGAGAACTAGGTTCAATTCCATAGCAGATTTTGCCACCAATCCTCCTTTCCTGCAGAAAAATTTACAAGGAACATTCTGATTATAAGTTATCAAATCCAGAATACAGAAAAAAAACAGTAAATGCTCTTGAAAGTGCTGTTATAGGGAAGAAAAGGCTGCACAAGGTCTAGCATGGAATTCAAGAAAGCATGCTACAATATTTAACATATCATTGAGAAAGAAGAAACAAGAATTTTAATATGGATGTCCACTTTATTGCTAATATTTATTCAGTCAACGGGATTGGGAAATAATTTAACTTCAGCATGGAGTCCTTTTTATTTTTCATATTCAATTATTGGAAAAAGAAGAAGAGATGACTACAAACTGCTCCTTGCCTAATAAGTGCTGGAAGAATTTGCTGGATCTTTTGCAACTGGACAAAGCACTGTTTGCAACATTCTAGTCTGCATTGAAATTATCAATGTAAGTGTCCCACAACAATAAATTGGATGATTCCATATCATTTAGGAAAAGTAAATGTTGATTAATAAAACCTTTGTTCTTGATGTAGATCAACGCCAACAGCTGGAGGAGCAGAAATAGTTGAGCGTATTACTTGTCCAAAAACTGCTACAAGCTTCAATAGCATCTCCAATGAAACACTTGTATGTCTGTACATTAACAACACAAGTTAAATGTCTAAAGAAGTTTCTCTTCTACTTCCAAATAGATTGCCGATTTTTAAATGAAAGAGACTTTGTGCATTATATGGCCAGAAATGGAAACGGTTCGAGGTTTGGCAATCTGATCTCAATGTCCTAGGTAAAAGTTGCAGTTCATTAAGATTTCTTTTAGTAGAGAATTAGAGATCTATATCAACTCAATGTTGATCAACACTTCACAGCCATGAAAGTATGCTAAGACAATGTAAACATTCCAACAATCAGTAAACTTTGTGGTAACATCAATTAGTTTCAGGATCATAGCTGAAATTTGGTATTAAAATGGTGAAAATGTCAGGCTTGGTAAGCCCATACCTTTCCATCTTGCTATCTAGTAAACCCACAAGCACAGGAAGCAAGCAAGAAAATAGGTCTAGGGTAAGAATCTCCATTTTCTCCATGAGACAACTGATTACATCTGTTTGCACCTGCAGCAGAATTTAATTATCATAAGAAAATACCAAACATCTGAGATAAAACATTAGTCATTGGTCACAATAATAAAAAAACAAAATAAGCAACAGGCATTAACAATTCTCATAAATACCCACAGAATGATCTGGCAGTTTCCTCAAGGCACTTATAGCACCTTTAATGTCATTCCGTTCCCAAAAATGTCGAACTACCTGCACGATGAGATCAGAAATGGCTTTGTGATTTTCACCCCAGAAAAAGGGAAGACGCAGCAAGGGAAAAATTTTTCAAAATGTAGAATATTAAATTACAAACAAAACTGCATCAGTCGCTTGAGATAGCAGCGTTCAGGTAAGTTCACTACTATTTATCATATTTTATACAATGTTAAATTAATCTTCTGAAAAATATCAACATGTCAAGTTTCTAGAGGTTGCTTTACTTCAGAAAGAAAACTCCATCCATATCAAGTTGCAAGAAAAAATTTAGTAAGCAATGAGGCAATATTTGCATACGTCATTTGAAAATATCAGTATCAGAAAACGGCATGAGTTACCTGTAATTTTGTCAAGCGGGATTTAAGGGTACTTAAGAATACATCATGAGTTTGCATTAAATCATCCGTAATATCCCTGTAATTAGAAGAAATCAAATCCCTTCCAGAAATTTGAGGCTCCTCCTGTCATTATTGGAAGAGAAGAACAAATTGAGTTTGGTCAATCAAAGATGAAAACAGAAGCTCATGCAAATTCATTAAATTAATTCTGAAGATGAACTACAACTTTCAGAAAGGGGCTTTCCTACATGGGAAATAATTTTTCTAACAAAAAGTGAGTGGTGATACATTTATCAGCCAGTTTGATTTCACAACCAAATTAATCAATGACTGTCTCAATGCTATATCATAGGCATAGGGAAAAAGCAAACTCTTAAGAAGTCATCATGAAGGACTAGTACTTCAGAGGTTTCAGAAGGAAAGTGTGAAGATTGTAGCAACAAAGTCCAGATGTGAAATTCTTTAGCAAATTTCTGTCTCGAATCCATGTAAATTCTTGGAATTCAATCCAACTTGTAAATCTACTCATTATATTTAAATTTATTCTTGAGAGCTTAGAATGTTCCACCAAGGGCTATACTATTCAGAAACTAAAAATTCTAAACCCATTAGAGATGTGACTGTTTGCTTATATACACAATCTTCCTTTAATGGGAAAACATCATACCAGCGTGGGAGGTGTCTTATCCATTTCACGTACAACACAAGGAGTCATATTAGTTGCTGTGAAAGGTGATCCATCTGTTTCAGGTATAGCATGAGGGTTCACATTAGTTGCTTTGAAGGGTGATCTATCTGCTTCAGGTCTAACAAGAGGGATCACATTAATTGCTGGGACAGTTGTTTTATCCATTTCAGGCCTAACACGACGGATCACAGCAGTTGCCGTAGCAGGAGTTCTATCTATTTCAGGGATAATACGAGAGATTGTATTAGTTGCTCTGTTTGGTGTTTTTTTAGTTTCAGGTATAACATGAGGGGTCACAACAGCTATGGGGGTTCTATCCATTTCAGGCATAACATGAGAAGTCTCATTAGTCCCAGTGGTGGCTGTTTTTCTGGTTTCAGGGATAACATAAGGAGCCATATTAGTTGCTGTGGCGGGCTTCCTATCTGCTTCAGGTATAGTACGAGGTGTGACATTATTTGATATGCTATGTGTGCTATTTGTTTCATATACAGTTTGCGAAGCCATATCTGTTGACTGGTTTTCATTGCTGAATCTTTCTCGTCTTTCAAACTTCTCCACCAGACTGCGAGTCCTGCCTGATACAACAGCAACTGCCAGAATAATAATATATAAGACAATCAATTTTAATTCAATCTATGCTTTCTGGAAAGTTGCATAGTTGGTATATACTGACAAACCTCCATTGACAATTTTAACAGGAGGAGGATCTCTGCTATTAATGGATCCATCACCTGAAAACAAAAAATTAAAGCAGAATAGCATAATAAAGTTAATAGCACGTATGAGATAAAATTAAGATGAAAACTTTTTAAGGGACAAGGAATAGGGAATCAGCTACTTATTGGAGAAAAGCTATCCCAAGTGCACCACATATTGATCCAAGTGAATTTCTAATGGATGTGAGAGAGCACCAATTTTATCAACATGAAAGGAAGCAAAGATGATGAGGTTTTAGAGAACATGTAAGCTTGCAGCAATGAGATTATTTAGAGCATCCACAAACTAAAGTTCTTGCAATCATGAAAAAGATGGTAAATTTTAAAAGTTGGCTACAAAATATTAAGAAAAGAATAAAAATGTTCAGATGGAAAACCAGATAAGATAACAAATTATCATAAAAAATGCAAAACAGAATAAAACACAGCAAGAACTACAACAAGATGGTTTAGATAATATCCATGGACAAGTTAGTCTGTGCTTTATGTGAATATTACTCAGAGATAATGAAATCAATATATGGAATCGAAGTCACTGCTCTAAAGTTTTGGCAATCTAATTTAAGTCTAAGCAAGCCTAAAATGCATAACTGAGGGACAAAACTGGAAAGAAAAAACATTTGGTGAAAAAACAGGTAAAAAGAAGAATGAATTTTGAGCATAAAACAAAATCTAAATCATGAAAGCATCATATGAGAATAACAACGTACGATTTTCCTGACGAGTAGGTGCCTCTGGGGATAAATGTTTTTCAAACTTTTCAGCAACACTCTTGGTGTTAGAACCTTTTTCCTCACAGGGTTTCTGTTCTCTGTCTTCTGGTACATTCAAAGTTAGCAACTTCAGATCCATTGCGCTCTCTTCCTCGCTTGACATATTGCTAATATTTTCAGATTCAAGAGCTGCTGACAATTTGTCAACATCATTCTTGCTATTTGATGGCTTCCGCATGTGAGCTGGCCTAAGCAACATGCCAGGTTTTGTCCTTGAAAAGGTGACTGCTTCCTTTCCATAATTGGAAGAGTTCTTCTCAATGGGACTATCTCGAGGTACAATGGTGGGTGCCAGAAAAGATTTAATAAATGCTTCTCCACCAGCCTTTTCATTCACAACTTTCTCGGGACTTTTCTTCTCTGTTGCTAGATTACTTATTTCCTTAGAGTCCAACGGGAGAACCATTTTTGGCGAACTTAAAGAACCAACTTTCTGTGACGAAACAGGAGTTCCACCAGTAGCTTTACATGAAAGATGGAAAAACATATTAGAAAACAAGGAGACAGCAGTATGGAAGATAAATGCACACACTACATATGCATTGGGTATTCCGTGATCACACTGTTCCTACTTGTCTACCAAAAAGTCAACACTATCAAGTTTTGAACCTGTACTAATTCCTATCCATATACATGGGCCACAAACCAAGACATGTCTGAATTTCAGAAGTCCTAAATCAGCTTGAACTCACAGAATAAATTAGAATTCATACTGAAACTAATCTATGCTAGAGTACACCTTAGTAAAGGGCCTTGTTCTAGCCAAATATTCCTTTACCGTGGTCACTACCCAAATAAACCATCACAAAAGACGTGAGATATGTTGAAAAACCAATGGAAATGACTGAAACCATGACTATCCAATGAAGAATTTTAGTTTCCCATCACATGTTTTATGCCTACACTCTTTCCTTTTTCTTATTGTAAAACTATCCTCCAAAAGTTTGTATTTAAATATTTCTTTAAGGTCTGTTTAAGCACCACACCAAAAAGACATTACTAGATTTAGACAGATCTAAACTCATAATATGGAAGAGTCAAGTTCTTGATGTGGATAAAAAGCACTCACATAGAAGACAATAAAGAACTGAGGTTATTAGGAATCATCGATAATTTTGTTGATAGAACTACAGAAAGAAAGAACAACTTACAATCCACATATATGTTCTTTATTTCTTTGACATCATAATCAGGAGACATCGCGCAAAAATCTGAAGTTGATCTTACTTTGCTCCTTAATTTGTCTGGAGAATTACCCTTCATGATATTAAATTTTTTATCTGTGCATTCAGTTTCTTCCGGTACAAAGCCAACCCCATATGGCTCTATAAGCTGAATAGAACATGGCAAAGATTAATGGCATAATTAACACTAACTGGATGACTTAGAAAAGAAAATTATAGTCTTCCAATATTTAGGGAAGGGAAAAGGGGAAAAACAAAAGGGAAACTGTACAACTTAGGTAATTTACAAAATTTAGGGAAGGGACAACAGAAAAAAAAAGTAGTTAATAAGGAAGTGTACCGATATATCTCCTACCCAAACTGCTACGGAGTTTCGGTAGTACGAGCAACCCAAAAGTTTTTCTTCATGAATACAGAGGTCACTAAGTGTGGACCACCCAATATCAACAGCATCATGGCAAATTATGGGCTCCCAAGAATAAACCTGCAGTTAAGGCATTATCCACAACTTATATTCTTTGATAGATTCAAGTGACAAAAATTCAAGATGAAAACAATCCTAACCTTCAGACAATCATCTAATCCACAAAAAAGTGTCCTCCCATCAGGATGGAAGGTAATTGCGCGTACTCCAGTAGCCTGAAAAGAGAAAATGAAGCAATTTATATAAATTAGAGTTGCTCATGCTTGACATAGAAATTGATTAAAGAAAAAATGCAGAAAATTCAAAGCAGCTTCAAATCAAAGTTGAAAGAGAGTGAGAAACAAAAAGGTTTTGGGGAAAACTTCTTTGCCTATTGCCCTCTTCTACTTAATTGCATTACAAAATGATAAGTGCCCAAAAGGAATTGGAAAATTAAGCACACTGTATGATGCTCATGTCTCTTGAGGCAAAACATAAATGTTGTTATAAAATTATTAATATCATGCAATCATACAAGGGAAAAGAAAAACCAAGAAAATAAGTAAGATCCTGGAGATCTTACAGAATCAAATTATTTTTCCTCGTTCAGGCCACCAAATAATCATTTGAACAAACCAAAACACTTCACAGCCAAAACAACACCCTACTACTTCAAGTATTAATTTAAGCATGCTCAGATACCTCAGGTCTGGAAGATCCAATCAATTCAAAAGTCTCCAAATCCCAGAATTTCACAGTTTTATCTGCTGAGCCTGAAAAATTGAATAGCATGATAAGTTTCCAATGAGTCTTGCAAGAAATTGATGTAATACGCTGATTGAAGGATGTCAAGCACACCGCAATCAGAAATTTTAGTTGTATAAAATAAGCTTCAAATTAAGCAAATATGTATAAATCTTTGGATGATAGTTAATCTATAACAAGAATAGCAACATATTAACAGAGATATCAGAGAAGCAGACAGTGAAAGAAGCCTATGGTCATTGTACGACTAATATTGCTCACATGCAAAAAAATGCAAACAGATAACTAAACCACAAAGAAAATAAGTGCTCACCAGTGGCAAGGAGAAATTCAAGGGGATGGAAATCTAAGGATCTAATATGTCCTTCATGGAACTTAAAATCATGTAATAGCTTTCCAGCAGTAAGATCCCACACCTGTTTTACAACAATAAGGGAACCCAATGAAAAGATAGAAATGAAACTTATGCCCATTACATTATTGATAGTGAGATCAGTTCATACCTTTACAATATTATCAAATCCGCCAGAAACTACCCAGCGACCATCAGGAGTGAATCTTATAGTACTTATGCCTCGAGTATGACCCTTGTATGTGTGAATGCATCCCTTCTTTCTGATATCCCAGATCTTCAAATTTGTGTCTGTGGAACCAGATGCAAAGAACTCGCCAAATGGATGAAACTCAACAGCAGTGCAGTTTGATCTGTGTCCAGTAAGAGTGCGAACCACTACACTTCACGGACAATAACAAATATATTAGAAAATTTTCTAAATGCTATAGCAATACCTGCTTGCGGGCGGAGGTATAAAGGGATTCGTAACTCAGAGAGACAAGCTAAAGACATCTTCGGGTGAGAAACACCACATGATTGACATTTTGTGTCAAATAATAACAAATTAACACTTAGAAAGGAAAATCACACTTCTCAATTTTCTTGCTGAGGTGTTACACAATATACGACCTCATTCATAACTTTTAAACTAAATTTGGAAATCATGATTCAATGTCATGTCTGTCAAGTTCTCATATTTATGTCTATCTGTTCGTCAAATTAATCAACTTATCTTTCATTTTCCAATTAACCACCCAAGGGTAACCCAATCAAATTAATCAACTTACTTTTTGCTTCTTCCAGATCCCACAGCTTTATCACCCCTGTCGAAGCTCCAGCAAGAACCAAAACTTCTGCTGTGTCGAAAGCAACAGATTCAACAGGACTTGTATGACCACATAAACTCTGCGCGCGAATGCCAATAAATAAACAAATGTATTCTTTTTATGGCAATAATAGACATTGAATATAATGACGACATTCATAATGCAGTAAAAGAAATAGGATATCTGGTCAAATAATTGGGACCAATTAGGTCATATTTGAAGCAATCACCAATGCACTGCATCATCAACTACATTATTACATTTATTTTTTACCAGAAATCAATCTCTATGATCAAAAACCACACAAGAGAAGCTAAAACACCCAAAATTAGCAACAAATTTAAATAGGTCCCAAAAAGTAAACAAAATGATAAACTTATGAACTGACCATTAAGGAAGTGGGTTTTCCAATTGTCCAGAGATTGACTTTGTTGTCATCACCGCCCGTGATAAACAGTCTACATGCCTTTTTCCCGATGCTAAGGCAATTTACATTGGTGGAATGAGCCACAAATTCCTCTGTTTTCATTTCGGTCAAGGAAGTGTACGTAAATCATCAAAAAGAAAAAGTTAAGAATTGGATTTCTTTTTATAACGAGTTGGTCCCTGGATTCCAAAGTTCTTTTCATGACTAAGCATAAACTATCTTTTTATATTGGCAGTGGCATCATTCACATCCAGAACATCAGAAACAGAAAACTCAAACTACAAATTCCTCCTCTCCGGCTCTCAAAGAATTGCGGGGAGGGGAAACTTTGATTATTCAAGATCAAACGAACAAAACGACAGAGGTACCAAAATAGATAAACCTTAACAGACGTCACAATCTATAGATAACCAACCAAGGTAAGGAAGAAGTGGGGATGAAAAGGGAGCTCAAATAGGCAAGCAACATTCAAGCAGACATTTCAAGATTGTTTAAAAAGGAGCCTCCACAATCAGCAAAAAGAACAATTTAAAAAGCAGGCACGGAACTAGAATTTTGATAACAAAAACCGGGCGCGCCAATCTTCAAAAACAAGCTCAATATAAAAGCAAAACCCAGTAAAAAACTAATAGTTGTACCAAATGCTCCAAATCCAAGATAATTTGAGCTCAGCATTCTCACATTTAAAAAAAATAGCAAAAAAACAGAAAGGATACGCAGCTTGTATCCACGCTTCGCCATTTCTTCAACGATACAGAGAGACCGAGAACGTCTCCGCGCCAAGGAAGCTAGATCAGAAAAGTAGCTTGCAATTCACAGTTCAGGCAACGAGCTTTATGTGCTTCTTGGAATAATAGAAAAGTGGAAATCCAAAGGTGAAAGACAGGAATTAGATTCACAAAAAGGAAATAAAATTTCTCGTTTTTCGTCTGTGAAATTTCAGATTCTACGGTGAAGAACTGCTTTATTTTCGTTTATCGCAAAATGCAAACTGGAGAAGATGAAGCTAATAGTCGTTTAAAAGAAAAAGACTAAACAGTTGAATTCAGATTTCCATACCATGATTGAGCTAAGCTACTTCCATGTTGCCTTCTTTTCTCGTTCATGTTTACCAAAATACCCTTCGGTTTTTACGTGTTTTTCTATAGATTACAGAAAATGTTTCTAATTAAACAACGTGTGGACATAAAAGCCCTCCGTAACCATGTTCCAGTGGGCGTGGATTTTTCTCTTTCTCCTTTTTTTTTTTAATTTCTTTTAAATTCATTATTATAGCACATTGTGGTGGAAATAATTACAACTTTTCTTTTTCTTTTTCTTTTTCTTTTTATCGTTTGCAAAATTGCAATGTTTTCACATTCTTTAAATCAATTCTTTTTAATTATTTTTTTTATTAATTTTATTCAAAAATAACAAAAATCATCAGCATGGATTTGTATCCCAAATTAATTTTTCTTGGATTAAAAATATTTTGAAATCAAAAATTCATAGAATATTATATTTTTATTTATTTTAATTTTGAAATCTACCTACCATTGTATGATTAAATATGCAGGTTGATTAAACTGGGGAAAGGAATAATTTGGCAAATGACAGCCACAGAGATTCCTTAAAATGTAAGCCTTTCCTCTATCCTTTGATCCCTTATCTTTTCTGTTGTTTTCAGGTACTAGGTAATTTAGGATGTTAATACTTGATTTATATATGATAAAGACATTTGCTTAAAAATACAGTTAAACAGAATTCATTTCTGGTTTCTGTAATTGCTAATGTGATATATATTATATAACAACCTCCATAAATATAGCCATGAAAGCCACCAAATAAGAATTGCATAATCATCTCATTTTTACTTCTATTTGCAATTAGTTTTTGTGTGGGATTTGTATATTTCTTTTATTTATTACAACTTTTCGACTTTGGTCATAGATTTTAGTTCAATCATTATGAAACTATGTAATAAAATGTTTTATATATTATAATTTAATGTTAATGGAAAAAATACATGTGGGTAGTTGTTAGTATAATAATAATACCAAGTGCTTGACATGTCTTTCTTTCTTCTTCTTTTTTTTTTTTTTTTTTTTTTTTTAATACAACTCTTTTTTTTTTTCGAACCTTTGGTCCATAGATTTAGGTTTTCAATCAATTCTGAATATGTTAATAAAATGTTTTATATAATTTATAAATTTTAATGTTAATGTGGAAAAAAAATACAAATGTGGGTTAGTTGTTGTATAATAATAAATACCCAAGTGGCTTGACATTTGTCCTTTCCTCTATTTTTTCTTCCTTTTTTTTTTTTTTTTTTTTTTTTTTTTTTGGTCCAATTTTTTTGGCCCAATGAATTAATTCTTTGTATTACTGTTCAATTAAACAAAACTTTTTAAAAAAAAGATTAGCCCAAAATGCTTTCCCTTCCAAGTAATCGAGTCAATATTTTTTTTTTTTTTTTTTTTTTTGGTCCAATTTTTGGCCAATGAATTAATTCTTTGTATTACTTTCAAATTAACAACTTTTAAAAAGATTAGCCCAAATGCTTTCCTTCAATTATCGAGTCAATAACAAGCTCACTAATTTGTGGAGATTAGGCAAGAATTTCATCAAATTGTTATCATTGATTGACATCTAAGGCTTTATTGAAAACAACTTTTTAAGCAACGTGTGGAATTTTGATTTATAATGTTAAATAATATAGTGTTTGAACTAACTTTTAAAAATTAAGATATATTTTTTATAAAAAATTAACTTATGCAGTGTTTTTAACTTTTTATCTTTTATAAAAAATTACTCAAATAGTTAATGTCTATAAAAAAAAAAAAGGTAATTTTGGCTAAGGTTATGCAAATGGGTAAAATTCTAACCAGATTGTGAGAGTAGAAGTTCATAACTTTCCAAGAATTAAAAGAAAAGGTAAAAAGATTGGTCAAAATCTGAAATTAATTGCAAAAAAAAAAAAAAGAGAGAGCAGAAAATGAAATGAAAGCAAAGGGCAAGATGTAAAACCTTTTAGTTTTAGGGGATGTGGGGTTATAACAACAATTGGATTCTGACGCAAATAGGAATGTCTTAGTAGAATACATGTATTGGGGGCAAAAAAAGAGAGAGAGAGATCAATGTCCCAGAAAAAGTACACATGATCAAACATTTCCTTATTTTCCAAGAGACAGTAATAACCTGTGAAGGAAATACTTGAGTCCATGCTCAGCTAGCATATGACCCACATGGGAAAGAGAGAGACCCATGCAATGCAACCGAACCAAGAATCCAAGGTAATTGATGGGATTGCTTTTGTAAATCCCAATTCTTGATTTTCTTTTTCTTTTATCTTTTGGCAATTGGTGAGTAATTACTAGGTAAATATAAATTCAGTTGCAAGATCTCAGTCATTTTGCTAAATGAATTATTGACAAGACCATCACCTTCAAATTGGGTTAAGGTTATTTCCTTCTCCATCCCCATTAGTGCATAACACCAAATTACAATCTTTCATATTTCAACTAGCAGGATTTATTCAACTTTAGTTTAGTTGTCAAAATCAAATTGAATGCAAAAACCTTATCTTTATTTTACTTAATTTGTCCAATATTTGCTAAATAAAGAACAGTTAAAAGCAGCTGCAACTTGCAAGTACACAATTTAGATTAATGCATATAATGCATACACGACGACCTTTCACTTAAAAAAGGCCACCGCCCAAATTGGACAGTCGGTAACTGGGAATGCTGTTGTTAAATAATATCTTTTTCCAAAAAAAAAAAAAAAAAAAAAAACACTTAAAAAAAAAAGGCCACCGCCCAAATTTGGACAGTCGGTAACTGGGAATGGCTGTTGTTTTAAATATTAATAATCTTTTTTTCCAAAAAAAAAAAAAAAAAACAAAAAAAAAAAACTTAATAATAAAGATTATGAAAAAATACAATAGGAAAGCGGAGGGAACTAGATTAAGATTACCATACGGTGTATAAAGTTTCTGTACCTTCTTTCTAACAACATTTAATTTTCCACTGTGCTGCTAATTGTTGTCAAAGTTTCAAATCTTTGTTTTGGAAACTGGTAGATTATGAAAAGAAATCGTTATTTTTGAAAAAACTGCTGAGGAAGCCCAACCGACATTCTCAAGAAGTCCGATAAAAGAGGGTTTGATTAAAATCAGTTGTTTTTTTGTTAAAATAAATAAATCCACATTATGACTAAGATTCAAACACCTGTAATATTCACACAAAAATGATGAAAATAACAAATAAAATGAATATATCTCCAAAGTATTATATCACATTATATATATAATATAATAATAAACAACTGTGAAATTTTTTTTTTCAGATACAACAATAGAATAATTACAGGCTTAAGGTTACCTCTTAGAAAATTTCCATCCCTAGCAAGCCCTCAAGAAATGTGAAAGACGGATAATTTTATTTTCTAAAGTTTTTTTTAAACGTTTGCAATTACTGTTCTTTTCATTGAGTTCTTCTCTTCCTAATCTGAAACAAAATCTAAAATGTTTCCAAGTTAAAATTTTGAACTGCTTGACATCTTCTCTCCGCTCTTCATCCATCACTCATGCGTAAAAAGGTCCTGGAACAACTTCAAAAGACACTGGTGGCCTTGAAATTCTGGCCAAAAAAAAAAAAAAAAAAAAAACTATAAAGATATGAAAATACATAGGAAAGAGGAGGGAACTAGATTAAGATTACCATACGGTGTATAAAGTCTGTACCTTCTTCTAACAATTTATTCATGTGCTGCTAATTGTTGTCAAGTTCCAATCTTTGTTTGAAACTGGTAGATGAAAAGAATCGTTATTTTGACTGTGAGGAAGCCAACCGACATCTCAGAAGTCCGATAAGAGGGTTGATAATAGTTGTTTGTAAAATAAATAAATCACATTGACTAAGATTCAAACTGTAATATTCACACAAAATGATGATAACAAATAAATGAATATATCTCCAAGTATACACATATATATATATATATATATAAACACTGAATATCAGATACAAACAATAGAATAATTTACAGCTAGGTTACCTCTAGAAATTTCCATCCTAGCAAGCCTCAGAATGTGAAAGACGGATAATTTTATCTATTTTACGTTGCAATTACTGTTCTTCATTGAGTTCTTCCTATCTGAACAAAATCTATGTTTCAGTTGATTGACTGCTTGACATTCTCCTCTTCATCATATCATGCGTAAAAGGTCCTGGACAACTTCAGACACTGGTGGCCTGAATTCTGGCTCCCACTAAACATGGAAGAAGAAACAAATGGATATAAGGTGATTTATCCTACTAGATACAGAAATCAAAACTTTAGAGATAGATTAATACAACCTCCAAAGATTAAAGCATAAATGATATGCTTTACTTTTTCAGTTGTATTTCATTGTCTATCCAACAAAAAGAAATATATTCTAGATAATTCGAAGACCGGATGAAACTATATGTCAGCAAAACGTACCTGAACACATCTGGATATTATATCAGCAAAACGTGATAAAGACTTGACAGGATATGCTCCATTTAAAGAAGGGTCAACCATCCCAGAGAGTGAATCTATATCATGAAGCCGAGGAATTGCCCATCTAACCAGAGATTGCTCACCTCGACTACGTGACCTAGATTCGACTTAATTCATCATTCAAAATATTAGCGCCAGTAATTAAACATCAAGTCAGAACAAAAATCCCATTCGATGAATCACTAACCTGTCATAGGACTTCCTTCCTGTAAGGAGTTCTAGCATTACAACTCCAAAGCTATATACATCACTCTTGCAAGTATAACTTCCCAACTCAAGCTCTGGAGCGCCATAGCCATATGTGCTAAGGAGGCGTCCTGATAACTGAAAAATCACAGTTACAGATATCAGAAACTAATATTCATATAGACTAGCAAAAGTCATCTTGGAGCTCAAAAAGAGGACATTTCATTTTTATCTGCATTAAATCAAGAGAAGGTTATAGAGCTTGAATATGGATAAATCACTAATAGGCTTTTTTACATTGGTTTTGCTCGAGCCAATTTTGTGTGTCCCAAACTCCCAATGCTTTTGCTAGTTTTCCAATATCTGCCAACTTAGAATTTAATACACTCCGAACAACTCTTTTGAAACATATTTCATTAGCAGTTTAACATTTTACACATTTTTTCATTGATCATTCTACTTCTCACCGAATTGTATTGCACATAAATCATGAATCAACAACACAGTCGAGCAGAAATTTTTTCGTATGAAAAGCTCTCAAACTCAAATAAGCAATTTTCAAATATTAGCAATTCATGAATTAGCTAGAAATGCAGACTAGCTTGTTAGAATATAGACCAAAAATATTACCTCACTTGCAGAGCCAGATGATTGTAGAGGGGCCAAACCACAGTCTGATACACATGCTGCAAGCTTTTCATCAAGGAGAATATTACAAGATCTGAAATTCCTGTGCACAATGGATGGCTGACAGACTTCATGCAGATACCTTATCACATGCAAAAAGAAAGGGAAGGAAGGAGAAAGGAACTCAGTTTCAAGAATGACCAAAACAGGATAAAAACAGTCTCTTTGCAAGATCATATTTACTTAAACAAGTTTATACAAGGGCTTTCAAGATTCATTGATGTTTATCTACTTACTGTAGGGCTCTAGCTGCTCCTAGCGCCAGCTGGATGCGTGCATTCCATGAAAGTTTCTTATGGATCTCATCATCCACATGCAGTGCATCATGAAGCGTCCCTGTTTCATAGTACTCATGAACAAGTAATCGTTGGCCGTGCTCATGACAGTAACCCACAAATTCCACAATGTTTGCATGTCGAATTTTAGAAATAGCAGAAACCAGGTCAAGGAATTCCTTGTCTGTCTGTTGCCTGATAGCCATACTGTTTAGTTTCTTGACTGCCAGTAGCTAATAAAAATGAAAAGAAAAAAATGTGAACGTTATAAATAGAAGTCAGAAGGGAAGCATTGACCATTTGGAGAAACAACATAAATGAGTCACCTATGGGAAAGAAAAATAAATGATGGTGCTACCCTGTTACAAGAGTTGCAAAAACAATGGAAACTTCCGTTAATTTAGATAATTTTTACTCAAAGCCTACCAAAGTTTTAATTATTATAATTATACATAGTTGTTTGAGTGACCACAAAAGAATAATCCAAGCTAAAACACAATGCAAATTTGCTAATGACAAGAAAAGAAGAGAGAACTTTGAAACATGTTTGCATGACTGGAAAAGAAGAAAAAGAAAACCTCAGATACATAACACACCCAATGTTCAAGATCGCGATCAAGCTTGAGAAAAAACCACTTTATTATTCATATTAGCAAAAAAAACCTTACCTTCCCATCAGGAAGCTCAGCCTTGTAAACACTGCCTAGTGTGCCCTCTCCAACAAAATTTTCTTCTGAAAAACTATTTGTATATTGCTGAAGTGTTGCAATGGTGAAAACTCTTACAGAACTTGAGGACTTCAGACTCTTAGTTGAACTACTCCTTGCATATGCTTCTGCAGGCAAAATTGGATTGACAATGACCTTGTCAACAGGAAGGCAAGGAGGAGGGGCAGCCGGTGGCTGCAGTGGCAAAAAATTCATATCTATCTCATGATCCATATTGTTCCTTGACAGTGCAGACATCTGGGTCCGACTTTTTCCCTGCTCATCCTGTAGCTTTGTGCTTATCTCCAATTTTCGGTTATCTAACAGAAAAGATTATGTAATTTTATAATCAATTCATTTTGAACTGGTTGAGAGGCCATTTCCCATGACAAATAGAATACAAAAGCAAAAGCATGATATTTATCAAGTTTGAAAATAAAAAGAACACCAAGGGATAAAATACCTTTCTCCTCTTGATTATATGGTTGAAAAGGAAGTTTGCAAATAGGCTTCTCCTTGTGGCCCTTATAAGCACCTAGATCATGCCTTTTGGCATCTTCCTTCACTTGCTTTATTTTCCAGCGTTTTGACATTAAAAGACATGCTCCTAATATGATAATTACCACCACCACTGAAACAGCAATTCCAATGACCCTCTTAATTGTAAAGAATGACCTTGGTGTTTGTGGAGTAGGTGGCCCATGTTCCTTCTTCTCAGGTGTTTCTGCAGGAGATGGTGACATGGCTGGAGATGGAGGAACTGCAAGTGGCGGAGAAGGAATAATGGTTGTGTTGAATGGGTTTCCATCTCTTCTGCAAAGTACCAAGTGACCATTACAAAAGGAGTCAGAAAAAATGAAGAGTAATAAAAAAAAATTGGCATGCAAATAAGTTTGAAGCCTTTGCATATTTTAGATCATATCATAATATGGAAACAAATAGTTGCTACCAAATGTGGAAATTAGAAAATAGTATATTGTGTTTTCTAATTTTCGTTTAATATACTTTATGTCAATCCTTTATGATGTTTCACCATAAGGACATCTCATAAATCTGAGAGCAACAGGGAAGTTATTATGAACAAAAAGGGTGCACTCACCTAAAATTTGGAATATTCAGCAGCTTTGCAGGTACAGGTCCCGAAAACAGATTGTTATCTACATTCCTATGCAAAAGGAATGTTGCAAGCATCAGCTGAGGCAGCATATGATATAAACCAACTATATCCTAAAGGAAAAAATAAAATCAAATAACAAACTGGGAGCTTAAAATTAGAACTCCCAAGAAAAGGTTTACTAATGAAAAGGAAACATAGAAGACAAAAATGTATTACAAATCCTGTAGAGGAAGATCCTGTAGAACATCAAGGACCCCAATGAGTTTATTATTCTGCAAATGCCTGCAATGAAAAGATCATATTCTATTCATGGAAATACTACAAATATGAAAAATTACATACAGAAATAAGGTTGAGATACTCAACAGTGAACTAAGAGATGACAAATTTCCTAATGATGGAGGCAACTGACCACTCAAATTGTTACCAGAGAGATCCCTACATATGAAGTATGATCACAAGCAAAACCAAGAAAAATAGATAGGCAAAGTTAACAAATGAAGTTAAAATTTTTTTACAAATTTGTCAAGCTTGTCATATGCTGAAAGGCATCTGGTATTCCTCCAGTAAGATGATTATTGTTTAATGACCTGAGAAGAATAAAAGTTAGATTTAAAATGAAGGGATAGATAATAAGAAGACGACTCTTCAATATGACACAATTCTAAACAAAGTTTTACCCAAACTTACAAGTATGACAATTGAGTTAATGAAGACAATGAATCTGGGACACTTCCATTGAACTGATTACCAGCAAGAGAACTAAAGCAAGTAAAAGGACACGTAACTTAACTGGGCAAACATGTAAACAAGGATTGATAACAGCATCTACAAAAGATAGTAATTTGACTGCATCAATTTGCCAAAATATGGAAGCAAGGTTGAGATATACATACAAGCTCCTCAAGGTAAGGGGTAAGTCGGATGGAATACTCCCTCCAATATGATTGTTGCTCAGATCTCTGCATCAAAATATAATAAACATAATACATGAAGAACTTTAAAACGTCCATTTACGAATATGGAGACTATACATAACTCGTTACCAAGTTCTACAAGCTATTCAAGTTTCTGAATGATTATAATCATTAAGAAATGCTTCAAAATTGCTTTATTAACTGAAAATAATAGCTCATGGAGATTATATCTAGGACTCGAGAATCAAACTTTGAAAGCCATCACTGACAAATAGCAGTGTTGGTCTGCAAAGAGGTTCAATAAATGGAGACATGGTGACTCTGAACAAATTGTATTTATAACGCTTAAATTCTGATAATTAATATGTGCATGACCTGCACATTTAATAAAATACCACTTACATTTCTATGATAGATTCGAATAGCACCAAGTTATTGTCCAAGGATCCTCCTAAATTCATCCCATTTAGTTTCCTGTAAACATGAAAATTTTATTGCAGAAGTTTATATATCAAAGTCAAACAAAAAAACAGAAGAGAAATTGAAGCGTACAGTGAAGTTATGTTATAGAAGACGCAGCTGACACCTTGCCATTCCTCTCCACAAGGATCTCCTCCAACAGGAACCCATCCAAGCAAGGGCGGGAAGTTCAGAGAGAAGCACAAGCTATTCATCGCCACAACTGGGAAAAGTGACATAATTTTACCAAAAGAAAGAAAAGGAATGTTAAGCAAGCGAAAAGAATGCACTGATTAAAATGAATTAATAAAGGAAATGCTTAGAATCCAACAGAAACATAGTAATAGCAGGATCAAGTAATCCACCAAAAAGGGTGGGGAACTCAAAGGCAGAACATCATAAACCAAGAAACATGGCCGAAAGTAATTACCATCACGAGGGTCAGTTAGAGCAACACAGAACGACACCGTAAAAGCCGCCACCACCAACCCAGAAAACGTTCCCCACTTTAGGCAGCCCATTGTTAACACAACTGGAAAAATATTCCAAACTTTATATCCTTTTCTCTTGCTTCATTGAATATTTTCTCAGAAAACAAATAGAAACCCACTAAAGACGAGACTTTGGAGTATGAACGCTGAGAAAGCAGAGATTTTGAAAGCTTGAGACTTAAGAGAAAAAGACAGCAAGTGAATCAGTGGAATTGAAAACGGAAGTGATGAATAGTAACCTTTGGATTAGAAGAAGCAAAAGAAAATATAGATGCAGAAGTAGAGTTTGAAGAATGAAATTTTTTGAGTGTCGCACTGCACACTGGTTTGTATGTTTTTGCCTAAAAAGAGTAAAAAAGAAAAGCAGAGACAAAGCCAACGGCATTATTATTGAAAGCGAAGGCGATGCTCTTCTTGCGCTGTTTCTATATTCTACACAAAGCCAAGTGCTTTAATTAATTTTTAATTTATTAAAGCAAGAATTGGGGTCTCCTTGTCTTGTCTATAATAACCGGTGCTGGATCATACAAATCTTTTTTTTTTTCCGGACTCCATATATAATTTTTTAAAAATAAAGGGATGAAAGACATAAACAAATATAAATTGAATTGATAATAACTTCTCTCTTTTCGATGCTAATACACAAAAGTTTTAGGTTGTGAAATATTTTATTTTTACATAACAATCTTCTCTTGATAATCAAGTTTGATTTTGATTTTAATTTCTTTATCCAATAACGTTGTTGACATGCTGCTCATTGATGTTTTCGTTCCTAAAATGTTAGAACTTCTCCTACTAATAATAATTTAGGCTAACATTTAAAAATGAACGTTACAATTTGTACGCTCTCAAAGAGAAAAAAAAGAAACAACGTTGGGATAGACTGTATACGAATACTGTTGACTATGTGATAAGTAGTGGAGTTCAGATTTGTCACAGATTGGTTTATTTTGTTTTTGGAAGCTCTAGCTTCTTATTTAGCCGTTACTTCTATTTATAAGAGAATTGATTTTTCATATCGTGTTTGAATATTAAGTTTTTCTCTTGACTTTATTATTTATATATTTTGTTGTATTTCTTTCTTTAAATTAGCTTTTGAAACTTTATTTGATTAAGGCATTTCACTTGTAATATTTTAAATAATAATTTACCTTATTAGTCAACATCTGCTGAAAGAAAGAAGAGCACCTGCAGTGATTATTTAATGACAAGGTCCTAAGTTGTCATGCAAACTGCACATACATCATACTGTAACATGAAGAAAACAAAACAAAACCCACATGCATATTGGATTGTATGTCTCTGTCAGAGAAAGAAGAGAGTATTAAGTATGTGTTGGAGTGTGGACACAGCACCAGCTTTCTTCCACTCTTCTTATTTATAGCACATAAGACACTGATTTGCTCCTCTGTCAATACCTATCCCAGATGGATGGAATTTGTCTAACGTCGTATAAAGTAAGCCTGTCACAACATTGTCCTAAAATACAAGAAAACGATATCATCTAATTATCTACCAATAAGTGTTTAATTAAGAAACTTATAATGCTTATTTAAAACAACCTACCTATGCTAATTAATTCTCTTCCTTCTTCATCTGGGTTATAATTAATTTAATTGAGGATGTAAGTGTATTACTTACTAGACTTATTTTGCGGATCTTGCGATTGATTTACAAATATATAGAGAGTGATTGAATTTTTGAAAATTTTGATATTTTCTTGAGTTTATTTATTTTGATTTAATAGCATTTGTGGTTGTTGTCCGACTTTATAAAATATCAACTCAGCATCATATTATAGAAATTTCAAACACTATATTAATTAGTTTTAACAAGTGAGTTAAGATAAACAAGTAAAGCAAGGTTTTATTAGAAAAATAAACGAGAGTCTCTTTCCTATAGAAGGAAACATATGAATGATGTGATTATTAAAGAAGGAAAAGAATTAGATTGCGGTTAGAATTAAATTGTAATGATTTAGCAGTTGATATGGTTGGTGTCTGAATAATTACTTGAGAACTTGTTGCTAGCTTATTTTTCCGTCATCAAATAGTACTTCTAGAAACACGATGTTCATTGTGTGAAAACCACGCCTTGTTTTACACCGACGTTCTATGCAAAGTGATGGATGGGGGAAACGGCATAGACCATGAGGTAAGGCCCATTGGGCCTGGCTGGGAAGGATGATGAGAAAGAGTTATATGGCCTCGCTATGGTGGTGCAAGCTTTTTAAAGCCCAAGACAAGTTCCTGCAAGAGAAAACCCACCCGCTACTTTCCCCACTCGAGCCAAGATCTCTTAACGGATAAATACTTTATCACCATCATCATTAGATTTTAATTCTGACTAATCTCTGTTGATTTTCATGCTAATGAGGCTCATTTTGATTTGATTTTTTTACCCAAACTATATCGATGAGAAGTAACTATTGACCACTACAAACCACATCATCCCCTATCTTCCCTTGCTCCCCCATGTTCTTCACATGTCCATGGCATGGCATGTTCTTGTGTAGTACCTTTCTAAAGAAATGCTCATAAATAATCTCTGAAACCCTATCTGTCTATCACCCTCCCCATTTATTGTTTTGCTTACTTATATTCGCCTTATTTAGAAATACTTATTTTTTCCTTCGTGTTAATTATTTTTTTCTCTATTGTTTCAACTTTCAACAGCTTATAGATCTGTGTGGCATTAATTCTATATACATATATATATATATATATATGTAGATGTAAGTTGTGTAATTACTTTTACTAGAACTTATTTTTTTGCGGGGATCTTGCGATTTTTTGATTTACCAAAAATTATATAGAGAGTGATTTAATTTTTTTTTGAAAAAAATTTTGAATATTTTTCTGAGTATTAATTTTATTTTTGATTAACAATAGCATTTGTGGTTGTTGTTTCCCGACTTTATAAAAAAAAAAAAAAAAATATTCAACTTCAGCATCATATTATAGAAATTTCAAACACTAATAATTAAAATTATTTAATTCCGTTTTTAAACAAAAGTGAGTTAGATTAAACACCCGTAAGCAAGGTTTTATAGTTAGGAAAAAATTAAACAGAGAGTCTCTTTCCTATAGAAAAGGAAGAACATATGAATGCTGGATGATTATAAAGAAGGAAAAAGAAATAAGATAATTGCGGTTAGAAATAAATTATTGGTAATGATTTAAGCAAGTTGATATGGTTGGTGGTGTCCCTGGGAAATAATTACTGAGACACTTGTTGCTAGCTTCTTTTTTTTTCCGTCATCCACATTTAGTAACTTCTATGAAAACACGAATGTTCATTGGGTGAAAACCACGCCTTGTTTTTAAAAAACAACCGACGTTTTTCTAAATGTCAATAGTGAAATTGGATGGGGGAAACGGCAATAAGAACCATGAGGTAAGGCCCATTGGGCTTGGCCTGGCTGGGAAGGATGATGAGAAAAGAGTTATAGATGGCCCTCGCTATGGGGGGGTGGTGCAAGCTTTTTAATCAAAAGCCCAAGACAAGTTTTCCCTGCAAGAGAAAACCCACCCGCTACTTTCCCACTCGAGCCAAAGATCTCTAAAAAAAAAAATAAAAAAACGGATAAATACTTTATTCTTCACCATCAACTCATTTAGATTTTTAAATTTCTGACTAATCTCTTTGCTGTTGATTTTTTCATGCTAATGAGGCTCATTTTTTTTTTCATTTGTTTTATTTTTTTTTTAAACCGCCAAACTATATGATGAGAAGTAAACTATTGGACCACTGAAAAAACACACATTCATCCCCCCTATCCTTTCCTTCCCTTGCTCCCCCATGTTTCCTTTCACAATGTTCCATGGCAATGGGGCATGTTCTTGTTGTAAGTAACCCTTTCTAAAAAGAAATGCTCATAAATTAAACCTCCTGAAAAAACCCCTATCTGTCCTATCAACAACTCTCCCATTTTATTTTATTTTGTTTTGCCTTATTATAATTCCGCGCCTTATTTAGAAAATACTTTATTTTTTCCAATCGTGTTTAATTATTTTTTCTCTATTGTTTCAACTTTAAACAGCTTATAAGGATCTGTGTGGATTAATTTCTATATTACAATATTATATATATATATATATATGTATATATTTAATATATTTTTCCCTTACCAGCTTTGGTATTCCTTCTTTACCATTAAAAATGACCTTCTAATAATGATGTTTCCCTCTAATTTATTACCGGGATGGCCTAAAATCTATTAACTAATATTTTCATGCATACATGCACTTCTTTCTTGGGTCAATAACCAAATTTAGAAAAAAAATTATGTCATTCTGTCAAACAGAAGAAGAAAAGAAGCAAGAAATTAAAATTTTTGGATCGTACTTAAAAAATAAAAAATATCTGCAAGACTGCAAACCTTTTTTAAAGCATTTTATTTTTTTGTATGGAATCACGACTCCAAAAACCAAACCCACTATTTGAGGCTGCTCATATATATATATATATATATGTATATATTTAATTCCCTACCAGCTTTGTATTCCTTTTACATTAAATGGACCTTCTAATAATGATGTTCCCTCTAATTATTAGGGATGGCCCTAAAATCTATTACTATATTCTCATGCACATGCACTTCTTCTGGGTCAACAAATTTAGAAAAATTATGTCATTCTGCAAAAGAAGAAGAAGAAGAAGAAATTAAAATTTTGGATCGTACTTAAAAATAAATCTGCAAGACTGCAACTTTTTAGCATTTTATTTTGTATGATCACACTCAAACCAACCCACTCTTTGAGGTGCTCTGCATATACACTGTCTTGCCGTCTGGCTTTGAAGAATGTCAGATTGGATACATATCATTATTGTTATTGTTATTATTATTATCAATCTTTCTAATTTCGATAGCGTTAAGTTTCTGTTTCTTTCTTCTTCCATCGTCTGGTCGTTGTTTCAAGATTTTCCACATCTTTTCCCCTGGGACCCACCCACGTTATTCTGCATTTCCCAGTTTAGGCGGACTGTACGGTTTCAGGTCTTACGCCGTTCATTGAACCGGTGATTCTAAGGTTTTTATGAGTATGAATAGATCACAATCGGTTCTTGTTCTGGTTTCATCTCTGCTTTTATCCTATTTATAGAAATCGTGGATTATACCGATAATTTTGGACAGTTTTAATCCCAAAACATTTAATAGAAACATTGAAACTTAGAACTGAACACTTCAATTCCGATATTATTCAGAAACTGGAATACTCAACTGATTTCGATTTGAGTTTTTTCAGTTCTGGAATCAACCCAGCGGCCAGGAATCAAAGGGACGATGATAATGAAATCACAAGACACATGTGGGTCCCTCCATGGAAGTTCAATTTAGATGCTTAATAAATTTAAGTAGTGGAGAAATTATTTTAAAATCCAGTGATTAACAATCAAAAATTATGATGAAGATATTAAATTTTTTTTTTTTTCCATTTGATAAAACGAAATTTTTTTAAACTAATAATTGGACTTTAATCGTCAGCCTACGCTGCCTGTTACAGTTAAATGTTACAGCAAAGAAATATGGAATCCAATTAAGATCCCATTTCACATGTTGGGTGGCGGTTGTAAAAGAACAAAACCCACTCAAGATCAAGACAGAAAAGAAGTAAAGAAGCGCCGCTGGTTAAAAAAATTCACAGAAAAAAATGTTAAGACACAGATCACGAGACAGCCATCAAAAGACGTAACTAATTATTTTTGTAACAAAGCAAAGACCGATATCCCAATTAGAGTTTATAGTAGAAAGGGCTTTAAATATTTGGTGACTCTGTCCTTCTTCCGTATGTAACTGTTAAGGGACCTGATATAATAAATACATACATTGATATTACATTTACAGAGTCACGGATTCACACTCTTTATCTTTAACTATAAACACTCCCTTCCCTTCCAGTCCTTAATGGCATCCCTTTGATAATTTTCTTGATATTTTTATTCGTGAACTTCAAAATGGGTTGTTGTGTAAGCACAAATGGAAGTTCAACGAAGGATCGGGATTTTCAACTGGGATCTGCTGATTCTTTGAAACACAAGTCAACTCTTGAAAGTAGAGCTCCTCCTCCTTCTGTTGAAGAAGAAACAGTTAAGGAAGTTCTTTCTGAAACTCCAAAGCTCAAACCGATCAAGAATTCACAACCACAACAACACCATCATGAAGAAACTCATAACAAGAGCAAAATTCATATTGAGCAGGCATTTCTTGATGAGAAAATCAAACCAAATGGGTTCAAGAATGAGTTGGTTGCTTTTCAGGAAGAAGAGATCTATGAACAAGAAGTTTCAGAAGTTTGCAGCTTGAGCGAAACTGTGTCAACTACGACCTTCAATAATGACAAAAGAGATGAAGAATATGACGACGACGACGATGGTCGATATGGTGAAGAAGTTAAGCAAAGAGTAAAAAGATCTCCGGTAGTAAAATTACCTCCAAGAAACCGTTCAGTTTCAGGCGATTTTGGTCCTAAGCGAGACCGGATTGTCGGAAAATCACCCAACCGGAGAACCGAGCAGTCGCCGAACAAAAGAAACAATGCTGGTGGTGGTGCCGGTTCTGTTAGCTTGGTTCAAAGCAAGGAATCGGGTATATACCAAGCGGGAAGAAACGGGTTGAGACCCGACCAGAAAAGAAAAGACCCAGGTGAAAGCTCAGGACGGAGGTCTAGGTCGCCAGCTACTAATAGATCTGTAACGGGTCGAAGCCGGTCAGCTAGGAGGACAATTGCGTCTCCAGATCGGGTTAAAACCGAACTGCCTGAAAATGGGGGCAGTAACATGGAGGGTAAGTGGCCAAGCACTTCTAGTACTACTTGTAATAATACAGCAAATGAGTCACTTGAAAACCCACTTGTATCCCTTGAATGTTTTATCTTTCTTTAGAAGGACATATTATTCCGGCTGAAAATTCTCGCCGGAAATACTGTTTTCCGGTGAGGATAATTTGATTTCTTAGTACATTAAATATGCAAATTTCTTTATTAGGGAGTTGTTTATTGTCTTTCCCTTGTGTGAATAGATATATTATTTTACTTGCCTTGTTAGTCTTTTGTAGACAAATATTTATCATTTACATTTATATAAATGAGATTAAATCCGCTCAATTATAATAAATCATCCTAATAATTTCAAGTTCCAAAGTGAACACATTGAGCCCTAAAATTAAAAAAAAAAGAAAATAATTAAAAATTGCCATTGGGATCATAATCTTGGAATAAAATATGTTCTCTTTTTAATTCCAAATGAATCTTTCCTACTTTCAAATACATTGTAGGAAAGAAAAGTCACTTTTCCTTCTAAAAAAGGAACAATTTTTTATGTAAAAGCAAAATTTAATTAATATTTTTGGATTAACTTTTAAAATTATTAACCAATCAAATTATTTTTCAAATTACAACGATGAGTCATAGCAATGAAATTATTTGAAATTGCTTCTTAGGATTGACAGGACAGGCCATTGCACTTCATAGACAAATGTGAGCAATTGCAATTTTACTTGCATTTCAGATTTTTTATTTTTTATTTTTTATTTTTTATTATTATACATGCAACTCTAGCAAAAGGACATTATGGAAGAGCAACGGAATTGAAATTTGAGGTTGAATGGAGGGAAAAAGAAAAAACATTCTGTTTGTAGCCGTTAAGGATTAAGGACAAACATGGTAGGTGGTCCTAATTTTAATGTTAAGCTTATAGTGCCAGTGGTGTTTATTGTTGGCTTTTTATATAGAAACCATATCTACTATTTTGTATTGTTTCTTTTTGCACTCGTTTCCGTAGAGACAACCAGTCAAAACATTTGCGTTCCAATTTCCCTCTTTTCCATTTACTAGTTTTCTTCTCAAAAAATTGCAATTGCAATTTTTTTGTAACGGTCGTTGTCCTGACCGTTGGACTAATATCTACAAGATGGGCTTCAGCCCATTACTCAATGGGCCGGAAAGCTGTGAGAGTAGTTTCTGCTGGCCTGTTGCCTTCCAGTCAATAAATAAACTCAGCAATAAATTATTGCATTGAGGGAAAACAAAATTGCATGGGTCAATCAACAAGGAAGGATCTCATTTGCTTAATATATTGTATTAGGCTATTCGCTCTATCTTTTTCTTTTTCTTCTTCGAATAATTAAGGAACGCTCTCATAGAAAAGTGGATATCCGATTTAAACCCAAAAAAAAAAAAATACAAAGTGAAAAAACGAAAAAGCCTCGACAGGGGTGGGTTACCTAAGCCTATCCTTAAATGGATAAAGCTCGAGCCTTTTTGTTTGGGCTTTTACTCGTCCGAGACGGCTTTGATTGGTTACTCGTCCGAGATACTCGCATTCTGTTTCTTTTGTCAATATGAAAAAAAGAAGGCTCTTGAACTTCTTCCCATACTCAAACAATAATTACATTCCTCAATTTCTTACAACGTAGACTGATCCAATTTGATGGGTAAAACAATACATCTTTTAAGGATCCAATTCTATCAAGAAAATTTTGAACAAGGAATTGATATATATACACAACATAATATGGGTAAGAAGTAAAAAAAAAAAAAGCAACTCTATCCAAGAAAATTCATGCTTGCTTGAAGCTGTAACTGTTGGTTTGTGTCACAGCAAGCACTTTGAGATGCTTAGTTTTCTTGACTTGAGGTTGAGCTTGAGCTCGAGCTCGGGTTTGGACCGGAGATGGCAGAGGGTTCTGAGATTGAATTTATATGAAGTTGATGAGGGCAGCAAATGCGTTTGGGCGGACAAGGCACCGGTGCTGGATGTGCTATAAAGGTAGGGATGTTATCTCCAGGCATTAACACTGAAACTCCATTAGCATATACAGTCATCTGCTTAAATTAAAGATTGGTTAGAAAGTGTTCCTATGCAACAAA